AGTGGTGGTTGTCGTCGTAATGGGAGCATCAGTGGTGGTTGTCGTCGTAATGGGAGCATCAGTGGTGGTAGTCGTTGTAATGGGAGCATCAGTAGTAGTCGTCGTCGTCTCAGGGGGAGCAACAGTGGTGGTGGTACCTACTGTCGTGGTTTCGGCGTCTCCCGTAGTACTTACCGTTGTTGTTTCTATATATTGATCTACAGTCAGTTTTGCGCTTGATGAAGGATATTTAAAAGTAAAGTTAAAAAGGCTGTGTGCTGACCCAAGGCTGCTTGCACTTGACACACTAAAGACATTGACGCACCTTCTGTTATAGCTGTCGTGGTAGTAGCTGCTGCTGTTGTCGTTGTGACGTCCAGCGTGGTCGTGGTCTGATCAATGACTGCTGTAGTCGTGGTAGCGACCACAGGGCCGGTGGTCGTGGATGTCTCGCCGACGAGCCCACTGGTGGAGGTACTGACGGTTGAGATGTCGCCTTCGCTAGTGGTGGTAGAGACTCCAGCCCCTGTTGTGGATTCGACTCCTGTGCTTGATACTCCTCCTATCGAAAGGAGTTAGCAAAATGGCCAGATGTCATAAGACGGGATAGAATTTGTCAATCAGATCCAGTGGGGAGGTTATTCATCAAGAACTTAAGAGGGGAGTTACCTGTAGAAGATGTGTCTGGGACTACCGGCGTGGTCCCAGATGGAGGGTCCACTGTTGGACCTGTGGTCGATGGAGAAGTAGAGGGTTCCCCCACAACGGAGGTGCTCTGGATGCCAGTGGTACTTGAGGCAGGAATGGTCGCACTAGGTGACTGTGTTGTGGTCGAGGAATCGGATCCATCCTCAGAGGAAGATGCTGTGAAAGACACAGATTCACTGGAAGTGGGTTCAACGCTGACGGATGTGGCTGATGTCGGTGGCACCAATGTCGAAGAACGCCGGGTAGTTGACCCTGTGCTTCCCGGACGGGTGGTTGATCCGGGGGTTTGATCTTCCGGCGGAGTGAGGCCTTGAGCGATGTAGTCGACAGGACATTGACTCGCTGCGATACCTCCCAAGATCACAGTATAGCAATCTGGTCTTGGAGGGAAGGGAAAACCAAAGTACAAAGGACCTCGGCCACATTGATAAGTTTGTCCGGGACCACGGAGATGTGACTCCCAACGTAAGATACCATCAACGAAAAATAACTCGGTCTGAATGTCATTGTACCACTCCACAGGAACCAAGGGAACGTAGAAGTCGCTAGCGTTGAGGCCCACGGTCTTGTCACCACTCTTCAGCTTTCCCTCTTCAATGTAGTACCTACTTGCAAAGCCACAGTTAGTGCCAGCGCCTGCCTTCTCACCCTGAGAGAATCCGGCGATGACTGGCGCGCTGGCCTGTCTCTTTCTCCGCTCACCACCACCGCCAAAGGCCACGGCGATGAGAACCGGGTCTTCAGGGGAAATGGCTGTCTGGGTTCCGCTTGGCATGCCCTGGCCTAGAGCAGTGAAAGTTGGCTGAGAGGTCGTAGTCGTGACCACGACTCCATCTATGGTCAAAGTGACAGTGAGAACTTCTTCTGGCAACGGAGTGACTGGAGGAGCCTCGACTGGGGTAAAAATTATGGGAGGGGTTTGAGCAAGGGTCGTCGTCGTTGTCAGGCCAGGAGTCGTGGTCGTCAGGCTCGGGGTTGTGGTGGCGGTGGTTGTGGCGGTTCCATCGACTGTTGCAGTTGTTGTCAAAGTCACAGAGGTGCTCCCGCTTCCGGAGCTCACAGTAGTGATGACAGTGGTGATGTATGTATTGGCAACATATTCTACGGGGGCATTGTTGATGGCGATGTTGTTGCCATCACCCCACAGATTCACAATCTGAGAAGCAGATTGAAAGAAGGAGCTGTAGTACACTGGCTGTACAATGATAGAGCTGGTGGTTGACGGGACTGGGCAGGGGCCAGAGGGACCATAAGTAACGGTAGTTAGAGCTTGTGCCGAGACGGTTGCCAAAGGCACGGCAAGGGATGCAAAAAGGAGCGACGAAGCCGACCACATGGTGACGGCGGGGTTGAAAGAAAGCAGGCAGAACAAAAAAGGGACTGCAGAACGTGGATTTGAATGAATGACTGTGGAAATGAAAAGGCGAACAGGATGAGAAGGAGGGATTGCTTATGAAGAGAGCCGATCATAAGAGATGATTGCACCAGGAGAATGCAGCATTCCAGTGAGCAATACCATGTTAAGCCCACTGCACAGACCTCAGGAGCACCGACACTCACATACCATCGAACACATGTCGACTGGAATGAAGACAGCTTGGGCCTGTGGAATGGGCAAAGGGATGTGTGAAATGATTTTCTCTTCAAAGGGGCTTCCATGAATTTGAGGACATGAGAATGGAGCATCGAGAATCGCTTGCAACTTGGGACGGCCATACTTTCGCATTGGGAATCTTGATTGTTTTCGAAATGAGCATCTGAAGCCCACCTCGATGGACACAGGGATTCATCAGGGTTGAAATTCGGGGAGCTCATGCAGTTCTAGACCAAGTTTGAGGAAGAGCCAGAGGAAAGCAAACTACCTGACCAGAGGTGAGCGAAGGCGATAAGCACATTGTACATCCTATATCCACGCAATCATACCTTGAACGATGAAGATTGAGGACTGCTCAGCGTGGCAAAGTATGTTCTCTCTAGGCCAGTCGAGTCGGCATGCAGCAAGGGAGTCTGGGTAGGCAGAGAAGGCGACTAGCGGGAGGGTTAAGAGTTAAGGGAGGGTCGAGGAGATCATACCTTGGGGATACCACAAGAACATGGGGTTTACAGTGATGCATCTTGACTTGGAAACATGTCATAGCATGATAGAAGTTACAAGACAAGTCCTCAAGTTCCCGAGTCCCAAGTCCTCAAGTTCCCGAGTCCCAAGTCCTCAAGTTCCCGAGTCCCAAGTCCTCAAGTTCCCAAGTCCCAAGTCCTACCAGTCCTCCAAGCTCCTTCCTCCATTTTCCAGGCCTTCGACCTTGAATTAAGCTTCGAAACCGTCGCGTGACGCGCCGCGGTAGAGCGCGTCCAGATGCTAACCGCAGGAACCATCTGACGTCATGCCTGCCAAATGAGACCGTGGACAGGTGAAGGAAGGCACAGTGGGAGACGTCGAGGCAGTTTGGGAAACTACGCACCTACTCGGAGGCCGAGGGGCCACCTCGGTCAACTATACTCAAATCACCTGACTTGGCTATGGTATTCTGTACATCTGATTCTCCAGACAATATGATGGCTGAAAAGCATGTCGACGACTCACATCCAAGTGCTGTGTTTCCTCTAACTAAGCCTCTAATTGCTGTTTCGTTCCTTGCCAAACAACGCCTTCAACCAAACCAACAGCGGACAAGGAAACAACGACCACGTCAATCACAACCATTGTGCACACTCGATAGACGCCCTTCTCCAACAAGTATTCGCCTGGCTGTCCCTTGTGCTCAGCCATCTCCCCAATATCGAGACTGCTTTCCAAATCAAACCCTCCTTTGCCGCATCCACTTTGCTATCTGGTCACCGGATCCTCTCACTTCTTTCCTTTCTCCTTCTCACGATCTCGACTACTGCCCGCCCGCGTAATGCCACTAGTGAATTTGCCAAAACTACCAGCCAGACTGTGGCCTCTTTTATGTGGGAGTGCCCGTCCATCAGACCCAGAGACTCCCGCCGCAGCCGCCGTGCCGGAGCCTTGAATACCCGCGCCTGTAGCTCCTCCTCTCCCTCCAACACCAGACGTGACCCCTGATGGGCCCATTAGGCTCAAAGGTCTGCCCAGCGTCCCTCCACGTCCAACACCACCTCTAGTCCCGCCTTCACCAACGGACCGATTACTCGCTCGACTGTCTCTGCCTCCCTCAATTGCATCATTCAAACTTCTCGTCGCAGATGTAGGGCCATATACGTTGTCTGCGTCAAATCCGCCACGCAGAAGCCTTTCATGCCTACGTCGTGCTTTTTCTTGCGTCTGCTTGAATTTGTCCAGTAGTTCGGGCCACTTCACGTCACTGGCGGAATTGGCGTCCCTGGTGCGGTTCAGCCGACCAGAAACATTAGTTCCCGTTGCATTGGGCAATGCCTGGCCAGACATGCCGCCGACGACAGAGGGACGAGCCGATGTAGGCATGGCTGCAGGTGTGTGTAGGAGTCCAATTGCCGATACAGAGTTGAGCCGATTCTTGAGTGCGCCAAATGCCGACGATTGTGGTAAGAGCATCAGCAGACCGTAGAGGCATTTGTACAAATATGGATATCGATCCGGTTCGAGAAGTTGTAGACGTAGATCTATAGTCGAAACAGTCAGCTGCAAAGATCAGCGGCTATTCGGCCTGTCTTACATGTAAATACTGGACTCTCGAGTAATTGCACCAACTTGTCGATTTGAATGAGCATGTTGACCGTCATTTCCAGGTCCGCAAAGATCTGCAGCAGGTTGTATGCTTGCTCATATGCTTGAGCAAGCAGACAAAGGGAGAAAGTTGCAACGGCGTTGTAGCACCATGCGCGAAAGAGTGCTACAAAGAACATTTGTCCTTCTTTGCTGTCGAGGTTTCTGAGCCGCTTTCTCAACTCTGCGAGTTCAGGGGCAGTAATAAGGTTGTTGTTCAGATTCTGTACCATGATGCTCGAAAACTCAATGTCCTCGTCCTTCTCAATACAGTCGGCCAAGGTTCTGTAAATTCTTTCAGGTTGCAGGTTAAGGCATAATTGGCGGATTATCAAGTTGCCTCTAATCTCGAGAAGCTTTCTGTCTGTCGAAAACAGCTGCAACAGTGCCACCATGAAAGAGGTAAAATAGCCGTCCTCGCTGTTTTTGGAGATTTGGGACAAGAGCTGAAGATCTCGGGTGACGACTGCTTCGGCGGGGTCGGAGAGTGTCTTGAGCAGTGCTGGGAACGTACCGTCATTAAACGCGAGGACTTTTTTAGGAGCCTTTCGGTGCAACATGATCAACCAGCTCAATGCGGCCACACGCGTCTCTTCGTGCTCGTTCAAGAATTGAAGTGTCAACGCGTTGACAGCCGCGGCATAGTCCAGGTCTGCCATAGGTTGTGGAGATGGAGCAGCCGTAGACCTTGGGGTATCTTCGGGCGGCGACTGTCCAAGCTCTGCAGCCTCTTCAGGTGACACTTCACTCACACTCAACGGGAGCGCAGGCAGGCTCTTGTTTGCGAGGCCCGAGTGTCGCTTTTCCTGTACCTCATTGTCCCTAGCAGCCAACGATCCCAGCCCGCTTGTGGAACGTGGATGTCTGTCTTCAGTATGGACTTCGTCCTGGAACGTAAGGATATAGTCCATCAGGGATCTGTTGACTTTGCTGGCGGTCGTCCTCACCTGCTCCGACTGGGCAGAAAGCGCCGGGAGCACTTGAGTCAGGAGTCGGGGAACGTATTGTAGGATCTCTTCGGGACTGATCTCGAAGAAGCTATCAATCCACCGGAGAGCAACAATACCGATCTCCTCTTCTTTTTGTTTGGATAGGCCTTCCAGGCGTAGGTTCGGGTTTGTCTCTCTACTAGAGGAGACATCGACAAACTTGAGCAAGATGTCGAGGATCTTTGTATGATCGACGACTACATCTTGACCAGGAATCCAGTCTCCATCATGTTGGTCCATCTTGTCCTCATCCTCATCGTCATCAAGCGCCGTTCCCGACTCGGAATCATCGATTGCGTTGTCATTAGAGGCACTGTCGCGGGTAGGTCCACTATCGGCCGGACTGTGGGACAAGCGTCCTCTTTGACTAGTGCGAGACTTCCGACTCTGCGCAATGCCACGCTTGATCTTTGCAATTTTCTTAATCTCGCCAAGAAAGCGTTCAAGAAGACCTTGGGTGGCTACGTAGACGTCTCTGTTTGGGTCGCCGAGAAACTTGAACAAGCCGCCCAGGAATGCGGGTAGGTAGTGAACGAGTTCCAGATCGGGAATGGTGTCCAAGAGCGTCAGCCATGAAACAAGAAAAGTCCTAGTAAAGGGATTGATCACATGGATGCGTTCTTCGAGGAGAGGGATGAATCTTGCCAACGAGAAGGCAGTGGGATATTCGATGCTTGACTGATCAGACACAGACTTGTCGCTGTTACCACCGTCTGTATTGTCTGCAGCGTTGAAATTCAAGACGGACACGTAGGAAGCGGCAGACTCGGCAACGATGTCTTTGATCAAACGATCAAGCAGTTCAGCGCCGTTCTTGACCGACAGTTCCGAATCTGCAGCAAGCTATGTTGGTTTCAGTAGACTGTCACATGATGGCTCAGACTCGAGAGTCGCGCCTACCTTGCAAAGCGTATCAAAGATGTCGTTAAAAAAAACAAGCACCTCGCCTTTTGCCACTTTGGAGATGTTGTACATCGCTTCGCAGGCATAGTAGCGTACACGTGCATCCTGATCGGTGAAGCAAGCCAAAACCGGTGGCACTATCACTTGCAAATAGCGTGCGACCTCGTCCTGCGAGGGGGTGCGTCAGGCAGTGTGAACATACAGGTGCGCAAGATTCGAGACTCACTGTGCCCAAGGCAATCGAGGCAGCTGCTAGACCTATCAGACCTCCATTTCGGGCGTGAGGGAGATGAACAGCGTAGGCGTAATCATGGCAGAGCTGGTCCAAAGTCCTTTGGATCTTGTCCCATTCTTTGGCAGCAGCGGCTTGGCGGATAAAGTGCTCGAGTCTTGGACGGTCAGCGTGGTTCTTTTGAGGATGCACCAGATCAGCCTTACTCTAGAGCACCTTGCTTGCGCTTGTCGTATAACTTATCGGTCAACAACCGCTGAACTGAAGGGTCCATGATGATATGATGAGGTTCCAAGGTCAATGTACGATGTCATCATCAGAAAGCGGTTGCGCTGAAAAGATCCTTGATGATCGCGTCCTTATTAGGATGGAGCACAGGTGTCGATACACGAAGACAGTCACACCTAATGAAAAGTTGGCCCCGTCGAGGCCAGTGTTAGGCTGGACGCGTTGGTTGTGTCGTCCAATTAAGCCGACGATGCAGGGGAAGGAACAGGTTAGTCGACGTTGAAGAGGCGGGGCAGGGAGTCGTTCCTGCCATTTACCTTGGGTTCCCCAGCACCGACTCTGATTGGTGGCGGGCAACCTCACCCCAACGACGCCTTTTGCTCCACCAACTTTTATCCACTGACAAGACTTGACCTGGTAGCTAATAAAAGGAGAAGGTCGATGGCACAAATACCAGAATGATGGCGATCATTGTATGACAAATTCATGACTACCCCAAGTCGTGGACCTTACGGGTTTCTCAATGGGTACTCGCTGGACATTCAACTTGGCAATTCTTATGTCTATCTACGGAGTAGGTACCTATTGCCTTCAATCATCCGCAAGTTGAGGCCAGTCATCATCTTGAGGTCCACCAACCTAGTTCCAGAGCTTCACAGATCTTCTCGCCCGCCATTTATATCGAGTTCTTCATTTCTTTAAACTGCTTCACATAAACAATTCGTCAAAGGTCTCCCTAATGGCTGATGTACTGAAACACGGCGCTCACGGCATCCTCAGAAGCTTCCTGTCGCAACAGCAAGTCTTGGATTTTCCCCAATGGCCCTTCCTCGCCGTTATTCACAAAATGGTTCCAAGTACTCGTATCGCCATACAGCATCGCTGGCGCCTTGATGGACTGAATGCCATCCGGTCGGCATCGTTTGCACTTGAATGTGTCATGGGTGTCACTCGTCGTTCCCGGCTTGAACTGGAACAACTCTCTCAGCGAGTCGAGTGTGAAATGGCGTTCAACGTCTTCGGCAGAATCCACCACGGTTGATGACAGAGCTTGCTTGTGCGATTGACGTTGGAAGATCTTCTCCTCAATTGTCCCCGTCCCCATGAACCTGTAAACAAAACAATCCTTCTTCTGTCCATCTCTCCAAACCCGAGCAAGAGCTTGCTGATCTGCCGCCGGGTTCCAGTCTGGGTCAAAGAGGATGAGCCGATTTGCTCCGATCAGGTTGATCCCACAGCCACCGGCCTTGCTGCTGAGGAGGAAAATAAATTCTTCCCCGTTAGGATCGTTGAACTTGTCCACAAGTTTTTGCCTCTTGTTAACATTCATCGTCCCGTCGAGTCGGAGACACCCATAATTGCGAGCTCGGCAGAGCTTTTCGAAAACGTCCAAAGTCTGGGTATAGTTACTGATGAGAACAATTTTATCATTGGTATCCTGTCGAATCCTTGCAAGCATTCGTTCGAGGACTGCGAATTTTCCCGAATGCCAGGATTTGATGTCTCGGTCTCGGCCTCGATGCTCTTTTGGAACATAGTCGTCAGGCCATAAAGCTTCGCTGCCCGGCAAATCGTGTTCCAGATCAAGCAGGTCTGGGTGATTGCACAGCTTCTTGAGCATACCAATTGCTTTGAGAGGCTGGCTCCCCTTCCCTCTCACAAGACTTTTAATCTCAGGACTTTGGATAAAATGGTTGTAAAGATCTTTTTGAAACGGGGCGAGATTGCAAAACACCACGTGCTCATATTTGACGGGGAGATATTTGGACAATATGTCGTTGGTGCGTCGGATGATGAACTTCTTGACCATCGCGCCGAGTTCAGCGTTGGCTGCTTCGCCCTTTTCTTTGTCAGAGTCTGACCCAGCTGCGTCTCGACCACGGAGAATCGGTAGCTCGAATCTCTTGCGGAAATCAGCCTTAGTCCCTAGATATCCAGGGTTTGCAAAATCCAGCAAAGCAAAGTATTCGGTGAGGTCATTCTGGATCGGCGTTCCTGAAAGGATAACTCGACGCTCGACACTGAGTCCGGTAAGAGCGAGGTAAGTTTCGCTCTCTGCGTTTTTCAAGCGATGTCCTTCGTCACAAAGCAGAAGACCAATCTTGACATCTTTCAACTCTTCAATATTGAGTCTCAGCGACTCATATGAGACGATGAGCACAGGTCTGGCCACCGATCTGCCAGAAGCAACGGCCCACTGTCGGAGTTGAGTTGTCAATTCTTCCTTTGTGGCCTTTCCATCAATGGCAAATGGGTTGATCACCCCTTCACCCAACCATTTGACCAACTCATTGGCCCAATTCTTGACGAGGCTTGCAGGGCACGCAATAACGCATTTCTGTATGGTAGACTTGCCGGCCGTCGGCGATTGCTTCAGCAGCGTAAACATGAGCGTGATGCATTGCAGGGTTTTTCCAAGCCCCATCTCGTCTGCCATAATGCAGCCCTTCGCCTTCTCGTCCACCAGTCCAGTTGTACATTTATACAAGAACTTGACACCCTCCACCTGATGTGGACGTAGTACTTTGGATAATTTCGGGTTGATGACGACAGGAACTTCTGGTCTATCACTTTCGACTTGTTTCTTGATGCCCAGAATCTCGTTGAGACTTTTGTGCATCAGAGGGATGTCCAGCTTTGGTTGCTCCGCAGGCGGAGGGTCTACCAGAGGGACGTTGGGTTTACCATCGATTGTTGGGTCATATAATACGATGGCAAACTCTCCACTGGGATCGTGAAGTGGTTTGTTGACGAATGGAAGTCCTCTTCTCATACCCAGACTTGGTGCTTGTCGAGAGGGATCGATGGAACTCTTGTTGATAAGCGGCACCAGAAATCTTGCCCGAAAGGTTGATTCCTTGTCTCTGACCTCGAACACAGGGAACTTGTCTTTTAGCGCAACCACATCCTCCTCGAGACTAAACCCTCCACTAGTATCATTGCTTCCTCCGTCAGCTTCAGCATAGTTGACTTTTCTGCGCTTTCTTGGTGGTTCTCCACGGGCCTTTCGGGCATTGGCAGAGGCTGGACATTTGAATGGCTTGGTGAGTCGGTCCAAGGCTGCAGGGGAGTTGACACTAAGTCTGCTCGTTTTGGCCGGTGGAATGTTTTCCTTGTCCATGTCATGGACAGAAGTTTTGGACCGTATCCTGTTAGAGTCAGCCACGTCGAGTTGGAAGATGGGTAGGAATTCAGTACATGTTCGAGTCTCAGGTAAGAGCTTATCCAACTTGCAGTAAGCTGCCCTTGCCGGAACACAGACTTTGCATTAGCTGAGAGAGATACAGTGGCAAATATCTCTACGGAGCAGATGACGGGGCGTTCACCAGACGCGTGTTCGAAACTGGCAAGCACGTCGGACGTGTTTTGAGCAACGCGCAATCACGTGATAATGCCTACCCGTTATGATGTGGAATAGGCCCCACCATGTCTTGGGCCGTCCACAAACTCTCTGGTCATCTTAATCATGGAGAACACCTGGGTCAAGACTGTCTTCGATGGGTTTCAACGGCGGGCACGACGATACGACTGTCATATGATTCTATTGATAGAATGATACCACAGCAAGCAACAAGTCCGCAGTAGAGCTGGGGCGATCAAGTCTATTCCATCAGGCACAAAGGAATCATGTCCGCAGATTTCTGGGCCAGCTACCTCTCTGGGGCTTTGGGGATTCTGATTGGGAATAGACTCGATGTCCTGAAAGTAAAGGCTCAGGCAAGCCCAGGGAGCACAGTTGCAGCTCCTCAGCAAGAGCCGGGAACGACAGCGTCACGGTTCACTGGCCTATTCCGGGGGGCTGCTGCACCCATCCTTGGGTACGGCGCTTTGAACTCGATACTCTTCATGTCATTCAACCGTTCATTGTATTGGATGGATCCCAGCATTGTCGATTATACAAAGCTTGCAGGAGTAGACCTAAGCAAGATCTGGGTTGCCGGTGCCCTAGGAGGGTTGGCAACATTTGTGGTTTCAGCACCTTCAGAGCTCATCAAGTGTCGAGCTCAGCTGATTGTGGACGGGCAAGAATCTTCATACAAGGTGCTAAAGTCCATTTGGAGTCGCCATGGACTGCGTGGACTCTACTATGGTGGGGCTATAACCAGTGCCAGGGATGCTTTCGGCTACGGTTGGTATTTCTGGTCCTATGAACTCAGCAAGAGGTTACTCTTGTCAAGACAAGCAGATCCCTTTCTGGCGCCTTCTACCACGGATGTCCTCATCAGCGGAGGCATTGCCGGGGTTGTAACGTGGGTGTCAATATACCCACTCGACGTGATCAAGACACGTCTACAGACCCAACCATCGTGGCATCCAGAGCAACAAGGTCTTCTTCGGAGTGAACAAGCAGCAATTTCTCGATCAGTACAATCCTCCCTTGGCATCGCCAAAGACGTTTGGCAGACGTCTGGACTTGGAGGATTCTATCGGGGAATCGGGATCTGCAGCTTACGCGCATTTGTTGTGAATGCGGTGCAGGTATGTGTCTCTCATCTTTGCAAGAATCGGCAGGCGCTTACATCCAGCAGTGGTATGTTTATGAAAGAATTATGGCATTCTTTGACCATAAGCAGTGACCAGGTTACTGGTTGGAGGATGACGGCATGATGCCGGGCCGTAACAATGCCGAAGGTCAGGTTGTCATCTGCCTCGTCGAGTCGTCAAGTCGTGGCAATGTCTTCCCAGTGTCTCTAGGAAACAGTGTCTCGGGCAAAGGCAGGAATGTTACTGCTGTTATAAAAGGCCCCTTTTACAAAGTCTAGGCCTGCACATCCTCCATAGCGGTATGGCTTGACTCGGTCTCGCCACTCTGTTTAGTACCATTGTCTGTGCCGAGGCCGATGGCAGCATCTGCCAGCTTTTGAGAATGCGCTTCGTCCTTGAGCATGCGTACCCTGTTCGTCGTCAGTGTCGTATTACAAAGGATTCATCATTCAGTGTATCCTGACCTTCTCTTATGATTTTTGCCTCGTCGATGCTCGTTGAGGTTGTGGCTATCGGAAAAGTATTTTGCGCACTCGGTGCAGTAGAAAGCCCCTAGACCAGGGAGATCCTCGCTGGCCTTAGCATCCTTGTGCCGAGCAAGGTGTTTTGGGGATCTGAGGTCGGCTCTGACCTGGTCGAGATCACTGTGTTGTGTGGATTAGCATGTGCGCGGTAATTTTTATTGGAGGAGAGAGTATCGGACCGAGTACGGCGCTTCGTTTTGCTGCGTCGGATGCTCCCCATAGTTTCCTCACTGCACGGGTGTATGGAGAAGACAAGGGGTGCCGAAAACACTGCGTTGGTGATTGTGGAAACTTATGGCGGGATTTTCAATCTCGTGCTTGTCGCCAACCAGCCCAAAAAGGTTTTCTGTAAAGTGTGTGTGGTCTTGGGTCTTCGGACAGCAGGAACGCCCTTAGAACTTGTAGTGGCCGAAATTCGGAGTTAGCCCGGGCTTTTGCAGGAACGTAGGTCTGACACTTTATCACGGTGTCCGACAACGATTCTTTGCCCAGGATATCAGTGCTGCGTTGGTAAAGGGTTCTCTTGCGCGTGAGATGGTGTCAGTAAACAGTTTCAAGGCTTTCTAAGTCAATTGATCAAGTAACGCATGCCCCAAGAGTTGCCAACCACGGAATTGCAGAGGCTACTACTTGGACACCTAGATCAAGAGTTAGAAAACCAAGTGTTCCGTAGTGGGAAATTCAAAACCCAGTTAATAATGTCTATATGGCAATAATAATAATGGCAGTCAGAAATCTGATGAACTTGTAACAGACTTTTCGGTCAACACCGTGTGCACGGAACAATCCCCCGTTGGGAGGCGTGGGAGGTCTCTTTTCTAGCCGCGGCATTGGGCTTGGGAGTTGAACCCGCCAATCAGATACAGACTAAATGGGACAAGTTCTGGTCCGAATCGGGCTCCTGGAGCATTGCCATTCTGGAAGCAGGACTGTGTAATAATCACACTATGAAAGGGTTTCTTAGACGGCTAATAAATATGCTAGCAAGTTTACAAGAGCTCTTGACGGTGGGAAGGATGTGTTGAGAGTAGATTTTTCGCCTTGATCGAGTGGTCATGGCAACCATCAATAATGAGATATCGGAGCACGTGAAATGTGAGATTGAGAATGTAATTATGTCTGTTGTGATTGGTTGTGGGACCAGGTCTGCAGGTCTGCAAGAAAATGCGAAGGAACATGAGGGATTTGACTTGTCGGAGCATCCGCCGGGGGTTGCCCAGGTAGAAGATTGGCGGTGTCTGTGGGGCAGCCTCGGGCCTGGAGTTGGGGGTGAATGGGTCACAACGGTACAAATACTCGTCAGATTCAAGCACAAGACACAACTTGTAGCAGAGGAAGCAACAATAGCATCCCTCATATTACTACTACACTCATACTGGTTTGCTAATCCACTCATATCCTGTGGAAGCAGATCTCGAGAGGAGTAAAGTGAAGACGCAAGAATCCTAGCGAGCTTGACGTATTCCAAGGCTTATCGTCCCCAGCTGCCGCCACTGCGATTCGCTGCCTTTGGCCTGGCCCAGTCACGTTTTGCTCCGAGGACGCCTCCAACTCAAGCCGACAGAGCTTCCACCCGTTCATCCACCATTCCGCACATCACAGCTTCCTTTTCTTCATTCTTGACAACCTTCTTCTCTCCTCTCCACTCTGCTCACGCCGTAGAGAAGACTCTTCTCCTTCACTGAGTCGATCTTGATTCTTCCCAATTGTCGGCTAGAGCTCAAGTATCGTCGCAATCATGATGTCCGCACGGCCATTGGGCCGTCTGGCCTCGCGCCTGGTGAGTTTCTTGCTCTCCTCCAGTTCTTTGACCCATTCCCCGCCATGTCATGTCAACAAATACAAGCTGCCTACTCTTACCTGTGCTTGAGAACAATTACTGATATGGCCTTCGACTGTAGGGTTCCCAATTTGGGACTGTGAGTGCTCGATCGTCCCCTCTCGACCCCATGGTCATCATATTAACCCATATCAGCAGCCCTTGCGAGCATCTCGCGCAGGATATGCGACCGTCTCTGACAGTCCTCTGGATAAGAATAAGTCTCCCCGTCTTTTGGTATGAGGTGCAGTAAAATCTGACTGCCCTATACAGGTCGAGATGACAAACTGGGAAAAAGGTCACTACATCAACTACAAGTAGGTTCTTGGTTATAGTTAGCTTATTCCGATATTAATCGCCTGCATAGGAAAATGTCCGAGAACCTCGCCATCGTTCGAAAGCGACTAAACAAACCCCTTACTTTGACTGAAAAAGTCCTATACTCTCATTTGGATGATCCCCATGGCCAAGACATCGAACGTGGTGTCTCATACCTCAAGCTCCGACCTGATCGAGTAGCCTGTCAAGATGCTACTGCTCAGATGGCCATCCTCCAGTTCATGTCTGCCGGCATGCCTTCCGTCGCAACTCCTTCGACCGTCCACTGCGATCATTTGATTGAAGCTCAGATTGGAGGCGACAAGGATTTGGATAGAGCAAAGGACATCAACAGAGAAGTCTATGACTTTCTGTCTACCGCCTGTGCGAAATACAACATCGGCTTTTGGAGACCCGGCTCTGGTATTTTGGCTACCACTCATCCTATGCCTTCAGAAGACTAACCCATACGCTTCCACGCAGGTATCATTCACCAGATCATCCTGGAAAATTACGCCTTCCCCGGTGCTTTGTTGATTGGCACTGATTCCCATACTCCCAACGCTGGTGGTCTCGGTATGGCTGCAATTGGTGTCGGCGGCGCTGACGCAGGTACTGTTGCCCCAACCTTCCAAGTTCTTTCATTTCGCTAACCTGTTTCAATCAGTCGACGTTATGGCTGGACTTCCTTGGGAGTTGAAGGCTCCTAAAGTTATTGGTGTCAAGTTGACTGGTGAACTTTCTGGATGGACCTCGCCCAAAGGTTTGCGATACAATGGTAACCTTTTCTGAAGACAATGCTGACTCTTCCTCAGACATCATCCTCAAGGTTGCCGGCATTCTCACAGTCAAGGGTGGTACTGGCGCGATTGTTGAAGTGAGCGAGAGCAACCCCGTCCTGTTTTGACATGAAAACTGACATCTTTTACAGTACCATGGTATGTCGTGGCATCTTTTTTTGCTTCTGATTTTTATGTCGCACGTGAGTACTGTCGAGGAAGTCGCGCCCCCCAAATCCTCGAGTTGAGGAAGCTGCGCGTCCCAATTCAAATGTTTGAGGGTGGACCTTCCTCGTCCAGTGAATTTCCGCTGTGCTGCGCCCCTCGTGGAAACTGCGGCTACGCAACAAACTTAAACAAACTGGATATCTGGACTTATCCTCTCCTCTTCTCACTTTGGACTAACGCCCTGGTTCTGGGACCTGGACTTGGTCTACTGTCTTGAATCGTCAGCAAGGTAAGCTGCCTCAAGCGACTGTTGTTGACGCCACTAATAAGTTTCAGACTTTCTGACCATCACGTGGGCTGACCTCCCCAGTCGACTCGTATCCCTTCTCAGTCCTCAACCCCTCACACTGCGACCGGCGGCTACCTTGACGAGAACAATCCGACTCGGCCGGGGCATGCTTCACTGGCAGCATTTGAAAAGACATCTTGATCAGCAAAGCAAGCTTGGGAAGCTACTAGCCAAACGCCACTCTACTCTAACCGCCAACGCAGTCTTGCAACGGGATATTTTCTGCACCGCGGACTCGACTCTAGCAACCTTCTCGTTCCGACTCCGTGGAGTCTGTAATGGGACTTTTCCTGGGCCGCGAACCACATTGAGTGTGACCATTCTCTTACCGCTCTATCTGGACTGGACGTTTCTTTTGTATTATTTATGCCTGTTTCGCCTTCATTCTTGACCGAGTCGCACATTCGCTAATCTCCTCATCTCATTAGGTCCTGGTGTTGACAGCATCAGCTGCACTGGTATGGCCACGATCTGCAACATGGGAGCCGAGATTGGAGCCACCACCTCGATCTTCCCATTCAATGATCGTATGTATGATTACCTCAACGCCACCAAGCGTAAGGCGATTGGAGACTTTGCTCGCTCCTATAGCCATGAGTTGAAGGAAGACAAGGGCGCAGAGTATGATCAGCTGATTGAGATCAATCTCTCCGAGCTCGAGCCTCACATCAACGGGCCCTTCACTCCCGATTTGGCCACTCCAATCTCCAAGTTCAAGGATGCCGTCAAGGAGAACGGATGGCCTGAAGAACTCAAGGTTGGCTTGATCGGTTCTTGCACCAACTCCTCCTATGAGGACATGAGCCGTGCTGCTTCCATCGCTGAGGATGTTATGCAGCATGGAGTCAAAGCCAAGTCTTTGTTCACTGTCACCCCCGGTTCCGAGCAGATCCGTGCCACCATCGAACGTGATGGCCAGTTGAAGACCCTTGAGGATTTTGGTGGCATGATCCTGGCCAACGCCTGTGGTCCATGTATTGGTCAATGGGACCGAACCGACGTGAAAAAAATATGTTCTGCCCGCCATTGTTGTCTCATACCTTGCTAACTTCTCTTTAAGGTACTCCCAACTCGATCCTGTCGTCCTACAACCGTAACTTTACCGGACGAAACGACGCCAACCCTGCTACACATTCCTTCGTCACCTCGCCCGATCTTGTGGTAGCACTGACGGCTGCCGGCACGCTCAACTTCAACCCTCTGACTGATACGCTAAAAGACAAGGATGGCAAGGAGTTCAAGCTCAAGCCACCAACGGGTAATGGTCTGCCCCGAAATGGATATGACCCTGGCCGAGACACATATCAAGCGCCTCCAGAGGAACGCTCTTCAGTTGAGGTTTCTGTGTCTCCTACATCAGACCGTCTGCAAGTTTTGGAACCCTTCAGTGCCTGGGACGGCAAGGACATTTTGGAGTATGCAACTCAATCTCGACCTTTTTGAGGCCAAAGCTAACAACGTTTCTAGTGTGCCTATCCTCATCAAGACGCAGGGCAAGACCACAACGGATCACATCTCGATGGCCGGCCCATGGTTGAAGTACCGTGGCCATTTGGACAACATCTCAAACAACATGCTGATTGGCGCAATTAACGCTGCAAACGGCGAAGCGAACAAGATTCAGAACTTCAAGACTGGCGAATGGGATGCAGTGCCCGCCACCGCGCGAAAGTACAAGGCCGAGGGTATTCCATGGGTCGTCATCGGCGACTGGAACTACGGTGAAGGCTCCTCAAGAGAACATGCTGCTTTGGAACCTCGACATCTTGGCGGTACGGCCATCATCACCCGAAGCTTCGCTCGTATCCACGAAACCAACTTGAAGAAGCAAGGTATGCTTCCCTTGACATTCTCCAACCCCGAAGACTACGACCGAATCAATCCCGACGACAAGATTGATCTTCTCGTGACCAAACTGGCCCCTGGCCAACCCATCACCATGAGAGTCCACCCTAAGGACGGCAAGACATTCGAGGTTGAACTTTCTCACACCTTCAATGAGGGACAGATTGAGTGGTTTAAGAATGGCAGCGCTCTCAACACCATGGCCAAGAAGGCAGGCACCAAGTAAAGGACTGGACTGGCGGCGTAGGAGGATTCAAGATTGCTTGATATATCTAGTGTACAGGGTTGATCGCGAAGACACAGAGTGACAGGAAGAAAGCTCGGAGGACTTCGAGTGAGGTCAACACAATCACATGCCAGCCTGGAAGTGAGTAGCAGCAGCATTCGAACGTGGGCTCAGGCATGATATGATGTTTATGTATCTTTCAATAGCGACAATACCAACGTGCACTTGTGTTGATTTCGATGGTGACCATGTCCCAGACTCAAGAACATAGGTACACATACACCTGGGGTACCCAGTGCTATGTAACTAACTATTGACTCTTGGGAAGAGCCGGCCCGCGGAGGGAGGGGAAAGTCACGTGGCTATTTGCCGTGAACCTCGGTACTAAAGTTCAGGATTAACTAACTGTCTTTGTAATTGCTCATTCAAGGCACTCTATTCGAGAATCACTTACCGTCCTCTATTCTATAGAGTGCGCAGCATCTTCTATCACAAACATTGTATAAAGTCGATACATACGTTCGCAAGCCCCGTCGACCAAGCTCTGTTCGTCGTTCCCGTCCAGATCTGTCAACGCTATCCCCGAGTGATCGGCTCCGGACCTTGAAGGTTGCTGGTGTATCACTGCCTCGCTGCGTGGGGTTGGAATTTAATATATTATATTTGGAGATATTCCCCATTCGCCCATAAGATTATCGATTCCCTCCTCGACTCACCGGCTGCTCAACCATTGATTGGTTTTGTCATATCTAAGTCGCCACATGTAGCTCGCACAAGGCTCGCCTCAAAGACACATAGACAAGCTACCAAGAGAGCTTCTCGCCAAAACCATTCAGCAGTTACATGCGCTTCAACTGCAAAGCACTGACGTTTAGCCAGGCTTTGAATTCATTCCAGCATCCCAAGACTATCAGCCAACTTGCCACAGGTCACTATCATCGTCACAAAACTATGGCTCAAACTCTTCCCAAGCTTGCCGATTGGGAGCAGATCAGCACAAATGTGATTCGTGTCATGGGCGCCAATCCGAGCAAGGTAGGAATTCGTCCCTGGTGCCAGGAATATGATTTTGGCAACAACATCGGCCATGTACTGTGCTAGTATTTCTTGTGCTATGCTGTGCTTCCAACTTGCTGACTGGGTACATGGTTTTAGTTCACACTTCAAGGGACGAATACGTACATACTCGGAAGTGGACCTCGCCGCCTCCTGCTTGACACAGCCCAAGGTGAGAAAGCCTGGCTCGACAACATCACGTCAGCACTCTCGTCGCAAGCACAGAGTCCAGTCATCTCTACTGCAATTCTCACCCACTGGCACCACGATCATATCGGTGGCGTCAAAGATCTAGAATCGAGATTTCCGGATGTCAAAGTCTATAAGCATCTCCCCAACCACGATCCAGATGGGCTTCTCGACCCTTCGAGGGTGATTGATATCCAAGATGGCCAGGTGTTTAAGATTGAGGGAACAGACTCTGAATCTGACGTGGAGATCCAAGCCATCCACTCCCCCGGCCACGCCAAAGACCACATGGCCTTTGTGATCACGTCATCTCCAGACGCCGATGAAATTGGTGCAATCTTTACCGCCGACAACGTCCTCGGCCACGGAACCGCCGTCTTCGAAGACTTGGCCCTTTATCTTGACAGCTTGGCTGTAATGAAACGCAAAGTCCAGGACCAAATTTCGGCTCAACAGAAAAGCTGGACGGACGGGTCTCCCATGGCCAACGTCGATGGAATCAAAAAACGTGCCTTCCCTGGCCATGGCGCAGTGATTGAGGATGCAGTCTCCAAGATTGACGAATACGTGAGTCATCGACGCATGCGTGAGGTTGAGGCCTTGAACGTCTTGAAGTACGGCACGACCAAGTCGCCCGAGTCGCCGTTCGGCAATAACCCTGGAAACATCAGCTCGTCGTCTACCTCATCCAAGAAAACTCCACGAGCCGCGCCGGATTCTCTGACCATTGTCGGTAGTTCAGAGTCAGAAGAGAGCGATGTCGATTCTCAGGCAGCCGCCATCGCCGGCGTTGCTAAGGAGGCGACGCCGGGCAAGGAGTGGACGAGCCTGGAGATGGTCAAGGTCATCTATCGGCATTATCCCGAGAATCTCTATCAGCCGGCCGAGTATGGCTTGATCATGGTGCTAGAAAAGCTGAAGAAGGATGGTAAAGTTGTCAAGACTGGCGAGGGTAAATGGAGGGCTTGTGAGAAGGCGACTCTTTGAATGCAGAAACTTGTGGGAAAGTTAGTAGGAAATCCGAGTCAATGTTTATAGCAGGCGTCTTCCAGCCAGACGGCTGGCTGTCACTCGTTGCAGTGAAACCCCGAAAACTGGCCATAGAAGCGAAGATTGTCGCCCTTTGAGATATCACGTGGAACCAAGCTGCCAACATCACACGAGAAGACGACGAAGAAATCAGAATCTGTCGAGAGGATGGGAGTCTTCTGACAATAACTGGAACTATCAAGGCTAGAAGCTACGTATTCGTATAGGCCTAATACTACATGCTCGGCAATGGCATCGCTGGCATTCTCTGCTACAGCGCCAACCACAGTGAGATCGGTAAGGCCAACCCGGGTTTCTTCGAGAGGAACCGTAACCCACAAGAGCGTGGGTACTTCTAAGAGGATCACGACTGGCTGGATTGTATTTCCTATCCAGATAGCAAATGGCATGATTCAGACCGCAGAACCCCAGTCTGGCGGTTTCAAGGCGAACTTCGGAGCTGAGAGACGCCCAGAAGATGTCCTTTGCCCAGAAAAGTCTGATCTGCTGCTCATCGTATGCGTCGCAAAGCCTGATATATTCATTCAGCTCGTTGCGAGATGCAAGCAGCGGAAGCGGGGGTCGGTGTTTTTCAAGGATACGGTCGTCGGCGTGGAGTAGCGACCAGCAATTCCGATCGACAAAGAGGTCCGAAAGCCAGCCATACCAGGAAACCCAATCTCGAATGCTTTCGAGGATGCGAATATCCAACCTCTCTCCATTGACTTCTATCGTCGCAGTGCTTGCTGCCTTGGGTTTAATGCCACCTATTGGGGCATTAGCCGGCAATGGCGCCTGGTCCGGGGGCGATATCATGTTTGCTGTGAGATGATGAGCTGAACGGTACACGACTCTCTAGCCTTCAGTTCTCGAGTTATTAGGTTGACCATCGGTGCATAGAGGATGGAGGATATAAGTTGATAAGGAAGATAGTCCCGGAGAACATGATATCTATATATCCATATCAAGACTCGGAGTTGGGGGTTGTCCATGTCATCATCTTATCCGCGTATGCAAACCACCGACACTTGTGACTCAGGCCTGAGGGTTTATGTTTGACGCGATTAGGTCGACATCATTACAATACCAACGAGACCTAAGTTTCTGACTATCCTTGCGATGGCCCCGTTTGAAATAAGAAGTCATCGAAACAGAGTTAGCGCGACATGACATCATATGACGTTCTCCAGCTGCACAAGAATAACCATGGCCTGTTAACATCTTAGGAGGGTTTCGTCTCGAATATGCATATGCCTGTGTAGTGGCTGGGAGAGCTTCAATGAGATTGCTGTTGTGGCATCTTCATTGAGGGTAATTGATGTTTGAGGTGATAGTTCTCAACACGCATAAGGACCGCAGCCAGAATCCAGGCCTTCATTGTACAAGGGCATGGCGATGCACGGCAGTTCAAAGGCTCACCACACAGTCGCCCCCAGTATGGCCACTGAGGTTTTCAAAATGCTGCGACTCTTAGACTAAGCCTCTGTCGGATAAGAATGCTCTGATTGCTTCACCGACTCCTTGTGGAGTGGGCTTGGAGGCACAAGCGTCAGCATCAAAGCCAAATGTGTCCTTGAGATAGTCTCTCGTGGTGGGACCAATCGTGACAATGACAAAGTTGGGACCATCAACTTTCTGGGCAGAGTTGGTAGTCCAACGGGTGGTTGCTTTTTCGGTGAGACGACCTTGGTGGTCGAGGAAGCCCAGAGAGGTCAACATGGCCTCACAGCCCTGAGGTGAGAAGACGACAATGATGATGAGGCTAGTTCCGAGGGAACTATCTGTGAGGTCATGAATCTTGGAAGCAAATTGTTGGGGAAAGGATGGCATAATTCCCGTAGAGTAGACCTCGAGTTCATCAACTTTGATTCTCTGATTGGGGTGTAATTTAGAATCAGGGTCAGCTAGGGTTTTGGGGATAACGTCTCGTCTCTGTTCACCGACGAGGAACAACAGACCCTTTTTGCGCAATCTCTGATCAAGTGCTTGCACACGGTCACCACTAGAGGGCCCTAGAAGTGGGGTGAAAGGTAAGCGAGGAGCGTCGTAGAAGGTGTACAATTTGGTGGCGTGCAGGGAATTATAATGAGATAGAATGTACTGTGCTAGATTGGCACCATTGCCAGAATGGTCGCCAACCACAAGGGGTCGTAGATGGGCAAAGGATGATGTGGGGTTGAGGGAGGACTCTGAGATGAGTGTATTCAGGGCGCGTGACGTTGCAGGACCAACTGAGTAAAGTGGAAAGTTGAAGTCATCGTCTAGCAACTCGGTGGGTGTTGTAGAGGGATTCGAGGGACACTGTGAATGAGTTGAGTCGTCGTTGTCTGTGTTGGACGCTGCAGGAGGGACAAAACATTAGTGGTCTCCATCAAATTGAGTCAAGGACCTGGGTCACGATCCGAAACAAAAGGACACGAGGAGAAAGACTGAAGACTGGGAATAGACAATACCGATTATAGAGGAATGGGATTGTGGCCGTAATCCAACCTCGGCGCGATGGGGAGCAGAAGGCACCAACAAGGTTGAGGGATCCCCTGACTCGGCCCCGCGACTCTCATGTGAATGAGGCACATCGACCGAATTGACGACTTGGGACCAAGCCTCGACGGCGCGTTGGCTAGTGAAGATGATGCCTCCATAAGCGCAATGAAGATTTCGGGATCGGAGTAAGTGCTTCAATGCCTCGAGGTTGGCGACGTTGGGGTGATGTTCCAAGACAGGGAGAAACAGGGGTAGGAAGGCGGGAGTGGAGAGTTCCGAGGGGGTGGAGTTTGCGTCAGGGATCGAAAACGCTCCGAGTGTGGAGAAATATTCTTCATAAGCATCATGTGGCTGAGAACGGGTCTTGAGGAAAAGGACAGGGAGTGCAGTCGGGAGAGGTAGGTCTGAAGTCGAGGGCTGATCTGAGAGCGCCATCGATATCGATCAATCGATGAGTGAGAGGTGTGGCGCGGAGGTGGAAAGTCCGGGGATGTTGGGAAATTTCGCTTTGACTCGGACAAGGGGGGGCCGGGCGCGTGGTGAGTCTGAGTAGTGATGTAGTGATGGAGAGATGCGTGATGAGTGTTGTGGCGTTGTGTGATTGGGAGGTCGGATGACCATGTGGGAAGGGAAGAAGCGAAGACGACCACGATCGATTTCAGACAAGGAGTGTAGAATGCAGTGGCAGTGGCGTTCTGCTTAGCGACGACCTGTGGACGTCAATAATTAGCCTGAAAAGGTGGTAAAAAGGCCAAGTGGGCCAGCCATAGAATGGCACTAAGGCTGAGGACTGCAGGGTAGATCAAGGATGAGAAGAGGCATTAAGTTTCGAGTTTGATGACGGATGAGAGTGTTGATTAGCTGAATATAGATGAAAAATATAGCACATCGGAGGCAGAGAGGTAGGTGTGCGAAGGTCAAGCAGCTTGAGGGATCATGTCAATACTGGACCGCCAAACCAAACGTCGAATCGGAAAGAGAAGGGAAGGAAATCGGAAGAACAGAGAGGCCTGAGGGGCCAAAGGCTAAGGGTGGGAAGTGGAGATCAGGTACGAGTGAGTACCTATGCAGGGTGTGATGCCGGTTGGCGGATGTTTGTGTGGACACATTGGTAGAGTATGGAAGGAGTTATGAGGATAATATGAAAACGCCATCTATAATCAGCCGAGGATGCATGTTGGGTTGACGAAAGATACCTAGGTACCATGGGTAGATACCTAGGTACACGATGCACTAAAGGAAAGGAAAGGAAAGGATGCGAGGGGATATGACCTGAGACATCGATTGAATCACGCCAATGAGAGATGATTAGGGTATGATAAGGAAGGAAGGTTGGTGATTTAGACAGGCATATGTGAGGGTTTCTCCTGAGGCTGTACGGAGTAATAAAAGTTGGTAGTTGGTGTTATTGTATTGAGGGCTTAAAGGCGATAAAAAGCAAGAGAGTTATTCTTGTACAATAAGTACCTAAGCACAGTATGTGTTCAAGATTTTGGTGTGTTCAAGTCACAGCTTCCTTGACTTGACTTGACTATACTTTGTAGGTGCACCTGCAGTCTAAAGAACATTCCTCTATAGGCAGGAACTGTCCCGCGTACCTGCCTACTCTCTTTCCACTCGCAAGGAAATATTCAATTTCGAGGCAGGCGCCAGGAACGAACAATGCATGATTGACTGACTTGAGGCCGAAAAGGCCCTTTCTGCCCAAAGAGGAAATTCGAATGTCATGGTGTCTTCTTTGAGATGTTCGCTTGAGACTCGTCTCGACTCCCAATCTCGACCTTGACCCATTTCCATCTTACGATATATGTATCAGCCGGCCCGCATTTTCCTCTTCTTCATCCACTACTTGAGAACTTCTACACCCTGCCAATCTCGGGCCAGTACCTCTCTACCTAGCTGATGCTGATGTCTCCAAACTGACCTTCCTAGTTAACGCTGCGTGGGCAGCCCTCCCATCTCAAGAGTACCAGTCTGCCTGGTCGGCCTGCGGTCATTGACCGTGGCACCATGGCACCATGGCAAACCTCGATACATCTCCACCCCACTTCTCCCAGCCCTGTCGCCATCTTCAACGTCGTCTGACCTTCAGCTGATCCTTCCTGATCCTCCCTGATCCCCGTGCCTGACATTTCTGCAAAGCCCTGATTAGGCGCCCGGCTTCGAATGGGACCCGACCTCGCCTGTCTTGAGATACCTCGATCACAGCGACCCCTTTGCACCTCTTTGGCTCCATCTCTCACACCACCTTGAACAACTCCTGGGTCTCCTTCAATCTCGCCATTCATCTTGGTCTGAGCGCATGGTCAGGTGTGGGTGCCGTCAGCCTGTCCTCACCCTGTGCAGATCAAAACCAGACAAGCTGGAGAAACCGGAATGGGCCCGTCCGACTGCCATGTAGGTGTGCATTCGTCTGCTTCACCCCAACCCCACGTACAGACTCCTCTGATCATGTTCCATCCTCGCCAAAGGCTCAAGGAACGATCCGCAGTTGGGCACCTCCATGACGTCTGTTTTGGCCTACACCACATTGGGAATGTCGATATCTCACAAACACAACAGTCTGTCGTAGTTCCATGCTTGTATCGCCTTGCGGTCCACTTTGTCCTCCCGGCTTTGATATTGGCTAGGTCGCACAGCGTGGCCTCACCAATTCATAGACGTTATCAGACCTATGAGAGATCCTTTACCCCCCAGCCTAGACCTTTTCCATCAAAGAGTCAGGCCATGCTCCTCATCGTCATCACCATGAGCGCCTGGATGTATTATCCACGTGCCAAATAGGAGAGAAGGCCAGCATGTTTGCAGACCAGACCACCCAGACTCGTTTGCTTTGAGACACTTAGGTCTCGGCAGCCATCGACGGCAGTCAGCCTGGGCCATGCCACGGCGTGACAGTGGATGTTGGACATGATTTGTGTTCGATTTCCCCGACAAGTATGAGAAACTTGCGTTGTAGCCTGGTCAGTGGTCGGCGAAGCACGGCTATGGTTGTGTCAATTTGTTGGGAGAAAATCATTGGGACCCAGGCACATTTTCGATCTGTTTGTCCGTCCTGCATGTCTTGGATTCTTGCCGCCGCTGGTAGCAAACAGTGCGCAAATGCAACAAATGCACCTTGACTATTAGGACACTGATAGCACAAGACCTCGTGCTCGTCCCAACACTGCCGCTGCGGTTGTATTGGAAGCACCATGGCTAGATGAAAAATGCTGTAGAACCCGTCGTCGCACCGCAGCCTGTCATATTGGCCTCCTCGGTGGCCAGCCAACCAAAGCCAAGACACTGTGATCTGTGATGCTCTTCCCCCAACCCTTGTCCACCCGACTAGTCGACTTGAGAAGACGCCATCATCGACCCATGGTCCATGGGCCCCCAGTCCAACCGTGTCCGGATTCGGTCTTTTCCTCGACCGACCCTACGCGTGGTCGAGTTCGGATTCTATTTCTATTATAGAGGCCGAGCCGCGAGGGCAAAACCACGGCTGGACGTCTGGCTTGGCTCGCTCGCATGTTGGTGTAGCAGAGTATCAGATGAACCCGTGGCCCTGTCTCAGCAACCAAGATTACCCATACTTGTCATGGCTCCATCGAAGGGGCACTTTGGTGGGGAGCCGATACGTCGACTAATTAACTTGGTAAAATCTATCGATCTTGTCAAAACACTGTCATGCTGCCTACCTATTGTTAGCCCTCCCCTTCATGGCCACCTGGTCGACCGCCGTCATCCTGCCCCGATTTGAAACTTTCGGTACATGTGTCTAGAAGAGTTTGAGAATTGTCGTCGCGACCGAGACGCTGATGCTCCCATGTCACCTGCAATGAGGCACCCTGAAGAGTATGCACGCGGCAAGCCAGAGCCGTTGTCCGTTTTGGTGTTGGCTTGGGTTCCACACAACAACCAACCGACCACGCGGTGCCCTGGTCATCCGGCTACGCACATGGGTCAAACTTTTCCACACTTGTTTGTGCCTTCCATCTCATCTCGCAGGCCCTGTCTCTTCCACTGACCTCAGGCTCAATGTCCTGTTGTTGACGACGGATCTCGGAATCGACTCTGACGCGCCAGAAGCGCCAATTTGCAAATTGCCTTGCCTCGACCTCATGCCCAACCCAGGTGCGAAACCCGTCCTCCTCGTCGCCATGCTCATACAGACGCAATGTGAATCCCATCACGCTCCTGTTTGCTCCCTCTCCACCTCCACCCGGAATCCGGGGTTCTCGCTTGCAATATATAGACTCTGCTGCAGCATCACAGCCTCACCTGGTTGACCTTTGTGCCACTCACTCGTTGTGCTCCCCTTCACCCTCGACATCCTTCTCCATCTTCCTTTGCACATACTCTTTTCGGGCTGTTTCTTCGACCATTTCCTTTTCACCTTGCTCCTCCAACATGCCTCCGTCGAATCCTGTCGGTCCCCGGGCCCCCAAAGACGACTTCATGAAGGCCCTTGGCCTGAGCACCTCCGATCCCAAGCACGAGGGTTATTACCGCGCCATGAGGGTAAGATCAATCGTTCTCCTGCCTCTTCGTCCGAAAACTCCGATTGACCGGCCCCAAGGAAGAAGCCATCGCCGTGTACAACAAGATCAACTCGGACCGCACCAGTTTGGTCGACGATAAACGCAACGACACTTCAATCGCCCAACCTTTCTTCTGGCATCATATCCGCCCAGAACGTCGTCGACAGGCCGTCATTGATACGTGGCAACAGGCCAAACCGGGCACCGTTCAGCGAAGTCTCTTCGATCGCGGTGCCACAACCGGTGAATTCGGCCCCAATTGGGTCACCCAATGGCTTCTGTACAGCGTTTTTCGATCCCGTGACATTCGCAATAATCGCAACCGTCGAGGAGGAGAAGGCAGCGGCGGAGGTAATGTTTGTTCTCTCGCAACCTTGTACACCGAAACCCTGACGTCCACCACTGCACAGGTCAGAGCTCCAGTGGAGGGAGCACGGATGCAGCCATGTTTGATCCTGCCCGAGACAAGTATGTTCCTCGTTGAGCAAAAGAGACAGATGTTTATATTGTCGTTGCTGGGAAGCAGAGAGCCGCAGGTTGGCACATTCGTCCTGATGATGGAACTGTTTTAATAGCCTCAATTTGTCATTTCTTGTCGCCATCGTCTCCGTCCTTGTCATCCTCCTCTTTGGACTGGCCGTCGTCGTCCTTTGAGGCCTTTCGATCGTCTCTGAGAGCTTTAGTGACAGCAGGATCCTTCTCGTCCTCACGCTCATTCCACTCGACGTCGTATTCGGTAGCCACGGCCTTGATTTCTTTCCTGATGGCATTACCTTCCTCAATAAGGCCTTCCCACTTCTGAAGATCGAATCCTTTGACTTCGTAGAGCTTGCTTTGGCGACGACTGATGGTGAGATTCATGGCAGACCGATAAGAGACCTCACGGTTATGATAGAGGAACCACATGTAACCCCCAATAATGCCACTCAAGCCGACCTATATTGACGTCAGTTGCGTTGCCCATATCGATGCCGCACCACTTACTAGATAGGTGACGGGTTCCATTGTGTCCCACCCATAGTCCGTCTCAAATGTCAAGCGGTAGACGACATACCAATACCTAGAGTAATCAGCTCAGTCCACAACTTGGTCGTCTCTTCATCGTCATCCATACCCAATGAGAAGGCCACAGCCTGACATGGCGATACGTTGGCCAGCCTTGTGAGCAGCCTCGTCGCACTCTTTTTTTATGACTGCCATGTCTGAGATTTGCCTGGAGGTCTTGCGAAGCTTCTGTCGGAGGTAAAAGGTCCGGTCATTGAATGAAGGCACGCCGACTTTGATGGCATCCGTGAACCCCTCGATTTGGATCTCGAACTCTTTGGCGCGAGCAGCGTCCCGAATGAAATCTCCAATCTCGGTGGAGGCTGACCACTTGACAAATTCGCCTTCGTCTTGGCCACTTCCCTCTCTTCCCTGACCACTGTAACTTTGGACTGAACCATCGCCAAGACTAGGCTTCTTATCCTGTTCCTCGGGAGTCTGCTTGTCCGGTTTGATCTCATCGTTCTTGGCCTCCTTGGCCCTGAACACGACCGCTGGGACACGGTTCTCGCCCTTTTCCGTGGTGATGCTGGGCAATTCAGACTGGATCAGTCGTTCGAGGTATGACAAAGGTTGCTGAGGGTGGACTAGGAGGGCCAAGGGGGCAACGTCCTTTCGATCGGTATTATGGTCGCTGGTTGTCAACGGAACAACCAGCTTGAGGAGTCTGGACGGAGTTGTAAGTAGTTTCCCTAGACACGTGTCAGCAAGATAGTATCCTCGAGAGATGATTTCATGGAGAGTGTAAGTGGCTCATCCGATGCCAACCTTTTGTCATAGCCCCAGCGGATCGCTGTCGCCTTACAGGGGGCACATCAGCACCTTGTCGATGCCACGGCGCACGGCTTTGCTTGTCTTTTTGCTCAGCAATGGCTTCATCAAAGTCGGAAAGGGCCTCGTCCACGCCCTGCTGATTCAGTTCTTTGGCCTTTTGTTCATACGAAACCTTTGAGGCACTTCGAGAGAAGACAAGGATAGGATGTGGCGCATATGTTCGACCAAAGCCGGGTCGACTAGCCAGTTGAGAAGTAGGACATGTTCTTGACTTGAAAGACTGAAAATAACCATGAGATATACCACGAGGACAAAGCCTTCGCGTCACTACAGAATGTCGCATCTTGGGCGCGTCTTTGAGATCACTGCTGTGGCTTCCCAAAACAGGATGTCACCTCCATGGGCGTACGAGGGGAGAACCAAGAATCAATGCTAGAGAGCGACAAGATGCATGGCGAAGTGGGAATGAATCAGTGACCAGATTCGAGGTCAAAGAACCAGAGGGTTGTAAAGCAAGATGAATGACATTAATACTCTGACAGTATCATCATAAGCTTGGTGCCTTGTTGAAAACACGACGTTTGCGCATCGCGACGTCATGTGGCTCAATCCAAAGCCCGCCAAGCATTTTGTTGGTCTGCAAAACAAGTAAACAAGCATCCTTCAGCCACAGTTTGCTGGGAATTTGCTCCTTCCTCGTTAAAGCTTGCCGCGCCAATGACAATTGATCAACCCTCGGACGTGTTCCGAAGGCAAGCGCCAATCTATGTATGTGCACGTGTTGTTGGATGATTACCTAGGTACATACGGAGTACTACACCGTGGATGGTAAGGCTACCATTGATAGGTACTTCTAAGGTACCCTGGTGTATGATGTATGCCTAGGTAGCATCATCCCTACCGATTTGGCATGAGTGCCTCATGGTCTTGGTCATGATCTGAAGAATAACAGCGCGTACTTGATTGTTGAAAAAGGTCATAAGTCATCATCATTGTTTGGTTTCATAGCTGTCTCAGCGCATTGAAAAGAGAATAAATTGCATAAGCCACATCCTCCAGAACAAATTAGCAGAAAAGGAAGGAACAGCAAAAGCACCCTCCACTCGCTAGGTCTGTCATGCTGATGCGCAACGATGGTGATGAAGATCGCAACAGTTGCCTGCCTCATTATGTCTTGTCTACTAGAAAACGGCATCGTCAAAAGTCCCCGTCTCAAAAGTCATCATATCATCCGGCCATTGAGCGTTGACGCTTTTGGCGGCTCGCGATCATCGTCGTGGCCGCTGTTGCATACATGGTCGCGGTCATTGTCATTCTCATTGTCATGTCATTGTCGTTGTCGTTTTGGAGGTGGTCATCAAAAGGGGTCATGGGTCTCGTTTTTCGGGGGTGAATCAAAGTCGTACATCTTGAATGGGTTGGAATGGAACGTCAGAGGCCGTCACCTCGGCCCCGCCACCCTCTTGCGTCGTTCAGTAGCGTACATTGACACGCCGCTTGTCAACGTAAGGCAGATCGGTCGTAGATCTCGAGGGATACAATGTCTGTTGTCCACCCGATAGGCGGAAGAGGTCTGGGCTGCGACCATCAGTCCAATCAGGGGAACTCCCCCCACTTCTACTGCCGGTGCTGTCGGTATCGCCATATCGATAGTCGTTTCGATCGCTCCCGCTTCGTCGGCTGTGTCGTCCAGACCCTACAGGGACTGGGTTGCCCTGGATAACACCGCCATGTGCAAACCCCGTGGGGTACATGCCATCGTTTGCCGAGAAGTTCCGGCAGATGTTGAAAGCGATCAGAGCCGCTCCCTCCTTGGCCGACGACTCGGAGCTGTGGTGGTTCGAGGTCTGATACTCTCGATTGTTGACTCGAACGATGCAACGGTATCCCGCTGGGCTCCGGGTTATCTGGTACGAAGGTTCAGGCCACCGACGCCGCTGACAGAGACCTGAGAAGATATGTCAGTACCCTGCTGGTATAGTTTGTTTGAAGCCATAGCATTCGTAGCAGCACAGTAATTGGTGCCACGAGACGAATCCAATCGATGTGCCTCGAATAGCTGGGGACTATGGTGCTCCTCGAAGATAAACTCGAACTCGGACGACACTCATAGAATATGGCTCGCCTTGCACGAGTCCTGAGTTGGCACCAGAGAACGTGAAACACTGCTGTTGGAGAAGACATACTGGCCAGATAAACGGTATGCAGCATGTCTGCATGGACACTGGCCAAAAGATATTGGTGCCCAAAGCCCTATCTTGTCCGTGCCAGCAAAAAATCTCAAAATTCGACAAAACTGAATCGAACCACCAAGAGTCAAGCTGTCAACCACGAACGGATTGGGACGACAAGAACCGCCACATAGAAATGCTACCCGTGTCAAAGACCTCGGTGGATTGGAATTTCCAGGCAAGCAGTGTCAGGTAGTAAAACCTCAAGAGCAGCAGCGTTACCAGGCCTTTTTACAAGTCAGCCATTGCAAGAAACCACACAATCGGTCCTCCCGTTGTCGAGGTCCTGCAATGACAGCGAAGCAGGCAGGACTTGCGTGGGGCAACTCAGACGTCCACAGTGGCCAAACACCCGACCGACGAAAACGATCGGGTATTGGCTCTTGTCAGAAAGTGGAATTCAATTCTGCTCTTTGGCATCGTAAGTTCTTTGATGTGTTGGCATGCTTTTTAGCCAGTGCCGGCAACCCGTAGTCATGGCCCGACTTGGACCCTATGGCTGGCCAGAGGCTTATGCAGATCCAGACGCAGGTCATGGTTGGCAGGCAACTTTCCCTCGAGCCACTCTCCACTCAGCATGTGAGGTGCTGCACGGGGTGGAAGCTTCATTAGCAATTCCGACCAGAGGCACCCGTGGCGAGCCATGGCCTTGTCAGAATGGGAACCCCGCCGACCCGCCGACAATCGTGTCTGGCAACCATGTTGGACCACGCATCCACGGTGGTCGATAGTCGGGTGCGTGACCTTGACATGGAGGGAATGACTGCCGGATCAACACCACCCCTCTGGGTAACAGGCCCAGCGCCTCTTCGGAGTAATCATAGGTTATGCAGAAACACCTGGCATGTGGGGAATGGGCCACAGCACCAAGGAAACAATTGGCTTGGCCTCATACCGAACAACTTCTGCTTGTCAGTGCGGAATCTGTTTCAGGCATGATAGGTTGACAAGCCAGGTGCGAGGGGTACGAGCAGCTAGGTTACTCCATGTCCTGCATGAAATGATGCCATCGTTCTGGAGCGGCAAGCCTTTTTTTGATGTGCATTCTGATGCGCATCATCTAGATCAATCGCAGAACGCGAAAAATGGATCTGAGACCGTCTCTGCGGCCCACAGCTCTTTCACCCCGGTGCTTTTCAGTCCGGCAACGACCACAGTCAGTCAGTTGAAGCATGTGGCTAACCGCCCTCGTCTCGTGAGTGCAGTCCTAACCATGCCGGCACGACTGCAAGGTTGCGTTGGCAAGCTGTAAGTGATCCCGCCAGTATACGTCCCAATATGCCTGGCTGCCAGTTGGCAGTTGACCAACTGGGTCGACACGCACTCTTCTCCTACTGCTGCTATTTGCCTTGACTGTTGAGCCACTTGCTCTCGTCAATTATCACCGTCTCATGCATGGAGACCAAAGCGTTCCATGGTAAAGCAGAGTTTGACCAGTGTCTACTGGCAGGTAAATATGCCCGGGTTAACTGTAACACCCATCTGCCCGGAAGTAGGGGCTACTTAAGCTCGCAAGCCCTGGACAATGAATCTCCGCAATGTGGTGCGTTATGATTTGCAGTGACGAAAATTTACGAGAAACGTGTTGCAAAATACGCACACACCTCTCCCTTATGTCGGAATGGCCGAGTGGTCTAAGGCGTGTGACTTGAATTGAGCTTAGTTCATTGTTATCACATCTCTTCGGAGGCACAGGTTCGAACCCTGTTTCCGACGACACATTTTTTGCCCCTTCGCCCTACTACTCCTACACCACTACACTCTTGTGTCGCAAAAGTACTCATGGGCATTTTAACGAAAAAATATTGATTGCTTAAGTGCATTGATTTTTTGAGGTATGTACATTGTTGAAGGCGCCCAGACCTTTACCAGCACCCCTCCCCATTCAAACATCGATAAGTGCGGCGACCAGTCTATTGATCATCGATAACATGCAAATATTTCTTCGCGTCTCTTCTTTCTCTCAGCGTTGCAGGAGGGAGGTCGTAGTAACTACTGCTTCGATAATCTTGGAGGTAGTGGTAGGTCAATTCGCTCAACTCAGCTGGTTCGATACCGAGATCTTTGAACGTTTTGGCCTTGCGATCAATAACCTGATCAATAGATTCTCGCTCAAGCTGGTCAGCCGTCAATATTGGCCACCAAATCACCTTATTCAAATAGTGAAGTACGGGCTTGAGGAGGGCTTTGGGTAGGTTGATGTGTCGACGGTGTTTGAGGATTTCTTTGTCGACGATTTGTGCGATCTCCGCAAGGCTGTAATTGGTGGGACCGTACAGTTCAAAGGTTTCACCAGCTGTGGAATCGTCATATCCGATCTTTTCAAGTGCAGCACCGACATCGATGGCCTAAATCTCATGTTAGTAGGTCGATAAAACAGGCAGGGAATACTTTGCATACATGGACAGGCCAAAATCGTTCCTGCATATTGTTAACCGTGAAAAGATTGGTAACTCCAGCAAGTCGGTGGAGTAAGTTGTCCTCGAAGCCAAAACAGGGAGCTGGGCGGACGATAGTTGTCTCCGGGAACAGTTGTCTTGCGACGCTCTCTCCCTGGGCCTGCGCCGGTAGTCAGTATTGTGTTACAAGAAAACAGTGATGCTATGGACAACGTGCCTTTGTGCGGAAGAACTCCGAAGGGGAATTTGGATCCGCATTATAAGAGGAAAGATGGATGAAGCGGTCCACGTCGTACTTTGCAACGGCCTCTGCTATCCTTTCCACGCTCTCAACGTTGACATCAAACAAGCTGAAGTTCTTGGTGGGATAATCTCGACCAATCAAATTGAAGACCATGTCAGAATGTCGGACGCTCTCCTCGATGGATTGGGTGTTTCGAAGATCGAATTCGATGAAAGTAACCCTCCCAAGGTCACCAGAGACCTTGAGATGCCGCTTGCCCATGTCATCTCGATATGGTATGACGACCTGAACTCCTCTTTTCGCCAATCGGTTGACGATGTATCTGCCCAAGAAACCATTGGCACCAAACACGGTCGCCGTGTGACCTCCTAATGATGATCTTCCACCTTGCGATCTGATGATGGGCTTGCCTGTCCTCGTAATGGCGACATCCTGGAGAAAACGGCGCTGGCTCGACGATGTCTGGGAGCTTCGTAGGGTGCGCAGGGCGAGAGTGGTGGGTTGACAGCACTGCATGTCGAGCTGCAGTTGCAGGATCTCTGCGTCTAGCGACCAGGGCGGCCTTCTGGAGAGGGTGTCAAACTACTAGATAGAAGGGTCGTCGAATGGCACAGAATAATCTTAATCAACCAACATAATGATCACGCAAGATATTGATCTGGATGCGAGATGTCTCCTGCGTGGTTGGTCCTGGTTGAAGCTTCCCCAGAGAGGCTTGGCATTGGATTCTCCGACATCCGACTTTGGCTGGAGGTGCAAGCGCAGGCGCACCTGCAGGCGCGTCAACAGCCTTGCCTGAAAACTGTCTTGCGGACAGTTCGAGATCCTGTCATCACACTCTCTCTATCGTGATTCATATTGTCCTGTCCTGATTCAAAATCCGCTTATCTTGCCCTCGACCGACTGGACAAGTATCTCTCTCAAACCCTGATTTCCTTCCATACTCGATTTCCTCTTTCCATCATTTCATCATGGCCCAAGCAACCAACCTTGAGGCCATCTCCGACTTTCTAACAGACCAGCGGGATGAAGCACCCACTGATCTTCAACACAAATTCCTCACCTTTGAAGATCTCTGGGAGCGAAAGATATGGCATCAACTCACCGACGAATTGCTTGAATACTTTGAACTCCCAGAAAGTGCATCTCAAAGATTACCCATTTACAACACATTCATCGTTAGCTTTGCCGAGAAGATCAATCAGTTAAAGTTGGTCAAGCTAGCCCTGAGTGCCGCAGCACAAATACAAGGTCAGTGTATATGCGAAGTGATTCATGTTGTTTCGACTGACGACGCTTAGATGACAACGAGCGAAGCCAATTCCTCAAGACCCTTGCTACAAGAATTGACCAGCCCGAATCACAAGATGCCTATGTCTACGCTATCACCGAACTCGCCAGTGTTCTTCTGCGATTAGACGAACCGACTCAGGCCCGAGAACAACTGGACAAGGCTCAAACAACGTTAGATAACTTTGATTTTGTGGAAAATGTGGTTCATGCAGCGTTCTACAGAGTCAATGCAGACTACTTCCAAGCCAAGGGGGATTACACTGCATACTACCGCAATTCTCTGCTTTACCTCGCCTGTATCGAGGAATCGGAACTTTCGAGCAAACAGCAACAGCATAGAGCATACGACTTGGCCATTGCCGCTTTGGTTTCAGACAACATTTACAACTTTGGCGAATTGTTATTACATCCGATCCTCGACGCTCTCAAGCCTCCACATTCTCAATCGTGGCTCAGAGATCTTCTTTTTGCCTTCAACAGAGGAGATCTTGCAGCATTAGATCGACAATCTAACAATCTCAGCAAAGATGCCACACTCGATAACAATCGTGAATTCTTATGGCAAAAGATCAATCTCGCGGCATTGACAGAGTTGGTGTTCAAGCGCCCTCCCCACGATCGTGCCATGACATTCAAGACCATCAGCCATGAGACCAACGTCAAGCCAGATGAGATCGAACACCTGATTATGAAGGCCTTGAGTTTGGGATTGCTTAAAGGAAAGATTGACCAGGTGGAAGGAATCGCCAAAATCAACTGGGTACAGCCCAAGGTATTGGAACGAAGTCAGATAGATGGAATGCGATTGCGATTGAAGGAATGGGACAGCAATGTCAATGACTTGGGTCACTGGATAGAAGGAGTTGGCAAGGATGTGTGGGCATCATGATTCCACCTTGTTGCAGAGTCCTGGCGTTGATAAGCTGGTCACACTGCGCTTTGATGCTTCTACTGGGTCAGCAATGTACAAACACAGTTCTCTTGAGAGGCGCGATATCGGTAAATTAGAGTCGGTGCTAGAGTTCTTTTGAGCGCACCAACTACTTGAACTGAATCTTGATGGTAGAGGAAGTTCGCTAGCGTTCGTTTCCGAATCGGGAGTAGCTTGTGGGATCTGCCTCCAATCAATTCTCCACGTCAACTTTTGGAATTTGCTAGCCTCCGTCTAGACGACACAACACTTTGTCAAGCGAGCACTTGTTAGTCTTTGTGCAGAATATTTTCTGTTGACTCTGGGCGCGCAAGTTTGCTTCCGGCAGGACGTGTGCCATTGCAGGTACCATCATGAGTGCAGCAAGACCTGGTCTTCTCCAGGTTTGCCGTACTTGGAGGTCAACGAAACCTCGTCGCTTCCTCTCGTCTCCGCAGGCCTGCAACACGCAGTCGACTTCAGTCACCTTGCAGAGCTTGTCTTGTTTCAGATCTCCTGCAGACGCTCGATTCTCATCTACAACAGCGTTGCGAGGTGAAGCTTCCCCTCATGATCCTTCCGCCGATTCCTCTTGGGGCAACGAACAAGCCCTCCGCTTTCTCGCCCAAGCTCAAGATCATCAATACTTGACCGAGGCCGAGAATCAAGAACGAGCTCGTCTGTACCTGCAGCAGCAAGAGGCACAATTACAAATCCTCCAACTCAAGAGGACCGAGTTCCCTTCGCCAAGCAAAGCAGCCGCTGCTGAATTTCAAAGAGTCAAGGCCGTCCATGACGAGACATGGGATCAACTGGTGAAACAGCTGCAGCAGGCATTGCAGCGGCAATCCAGCGAGAAATACGAGGCCATAATTGCCGAGACCAAGGAGCGCGCGCAGGCCGAGATTAAAAAAGTAGCTGCTCGCCAGGAAGCGGTTGGAAAGAAGCTCAGCCACCTTAGCCGTCAGACCAGAGCTTTACGCCAAAGCCTCGTTGAAGAGCAGCGTCAGATTCGTTCGATTTTATTTCAACTGCGCCGTCAGCAAAGATCTCAGGGCGGACAGCTTGCCGACGCTGACCAAAGTCGACTGGCCAACCTCAATGCCCAGCTGAGCGAGACGCGAGCGCAGCTTCAAGATCTCGCACGGAAACGGCCCACGCTGAATGCCGCACCACGAGGGAAACCAACTACGTTGACGGGTACTGTGACGCGGACTGGGACGATGCACAAGACAGTGCGTGTGACGCAGAAGACGCAGACGTGGAACAAGCAGCTGCAGAAACACTACTCGGCCAAGATCCAACGGCTGGTGCATGATCCAGAGGAGATCACCATCGAAGGCGATGTTGTCACCATCGGTCTCTTCACGCCGGAGATTCGAGAGCAAAGGGAGAAGCTGGGTAAAATTGGCAAGGGCCGAATTGAATACATGATCAAGGAGATTGTGACGCCGTTTGGCAAGACGGTGGAGGAGCGCCGTTCACAACGTGCTGTCGCTGCCGGCGCCGGCGAGGACGGCGTGGAAGAAGAATGGAAGAACAAGGTCGCCAAAGCCACCAAGGCCGGTAAGAAGCGCCAGGGTGTCTTAGCTAAGGGCAGACAGAAGAAAAACTCTCGAATTGTTGTCGCTTGAGCAGTTGTCAGTCTGCGCAAGTGAGGGGAGTCATGCACCTTTGGGGCCATGTTGACTTCTATATACATGTTGTCATACACGCTGTCATGGCCAGCGATTTGTATAATTAGACTGCAGTAGTGGGCGAAGATTAAGCGACTCCATTACCTCGCCGAGCTCTATGATCTTCAAATGGATGGCAATGCGAAGATTGGTAATTTTCCGTCGAGCACTACTTAACTGTGATCATAGGGCCATTTAGACACCGATGAATAAAAGACCAAAATTGGTCGGTTCGTGATCTGAGCAACAGCCCAAAACTACCTAGTCACGGGGATCGATGAATCGCCACGCATTCAATGAAATCGCTTGTAGTATTCAAGTCTAGTAAGTTCATCAACCAGGAGACTGTGTATCAAACCCCCCAAGAACATGTCACACCTCATAAGCCTTCAATTCCTGCGTTGTTGGACATGGACCTTTCGCCAGACCTCTCACTCTATACATCTGACCAACAACCAGATCAGATGATGAGCATGCGCCATTCGGAATCTCAGCAGAAAGGAGGACCATGTGTGATCGAGGCAGAGGGCTTGCCGTCTCCATTTTCGTTTCAAATTGTCTGAGATCGATTCTCTGAGTTAGGATTCTCGCCATCTGTGCGTCTCTCCTCAACAAGCTCTGACGATTTGTTGTCAGTCTCCTGTTCAGTAATGGCCTCGGGAATAGTAGGCTGCGCGGGCTTTTTGATCAAGGAGGCGCGGCGAAGCTTGAGTTTTCGTTCTCCCTGTGCAGATATCCGAGTCAATTCAGCCACAAAGGATTGGCCCCAGAAAGCACTGTGAATTTGGTCAGTTCTTGGTCTGGAGTGAAGGCAATGTCGCGGATAAACAGACCTAGTGTATTTGGAAACGTATTTGTGAAGTTTTGCAAAATTGATAGCGCGGAGTTCTGGGCTCATGGTGACGGCTGCTTGAATGGCACTCGCGAGCTCCTCCGTGTTCCATGGATTGACAGCAATGCTGCCGTTGAGACTTTGAGATGCTCCAGCAAATTCAGAAAGGATCAGAACGCCATTGCGCTCCTCCTGAGTGGCAATGTACTCAAAGGAAACAAGGTTCATGCCGTCACGAGTTGATGACACAAGACAGACGTCGGAGACGGCGTACAGGGCGATGAGTTCTTCGAAGTTGACTGATTTGTGCATGAAATGAATCGGCATGAATTCTACGGTTCCTGCGGGGTGTCAGTTGGGATATACAACAGGAAAGGGGATAGCGGGGCACACCAAATTTTCCATTGATACGCCCGACCAGTTCGTTGACGACGGCTCGTAAGTTCTGATACTCCTCCACATCTTGTCTGCTTGGGACGGCGACTTGCACAAGGACGACTTTGCCAATCCATTCGGGGTGGTCAGTGAGGAATACTTCGAGGGCGTGTAATTTCTGGGGGACGCCTTTGATATAGTCAAGTCGATCGACGCCGACCATGAGCTTGACACCTTTGAACTTCTCCTCGAGCACGGCGATTCGTTTCTGGACCTTTTCCTGCTTGAGGCCCTCGGTGAACTTTTCGGGATCGATGCCGATAGGGAAAGCACCGACGGTGACGATCTTGTTCCCAAACTCGACGCCATTGGGAGTGGTTGTAAGGTCGAGGATTCGGGAACAACTACTCAGGAAATGTCGGGCGTAATCATAGGTATGAAAGCCGATCAGATCGCAGTGGAGAACGCCCAGGAGGATCTCATTTCTGACTGGAAGGATTCGGTAGATCTCGCTGGATGGGAAAGGGGTATGTAAGAAGAAGCCGATCTTGACGTTGGATTTGGAGGTGCCAATCTCCTGACGGAGCATCTGCGGGAGAAGCATGAGGTGATAATCATGAACCCAAACCAAATCACCATCTTGAACGTCTGCGGCGACGGTACGAGCAAAAAGGCGATTTGCCTCCTCGTAGGCGCTCCAAGCAGACTCGTCGAAGGTGATTTCGCCTGGATGGTAGTGAAAGAGCGGCCACATGATGGAGTCTGTGTAACGGCGAGTTAGTGTGGGGTGAACGAGTACTCAGAGACCAAATGGACGTACTTGAAAAGCCATTATAATGTCGATCGGCGAGTTCATCGTCCATGAAGACAGGAACGGCATTGAACTCGTCCTTCAGGCGCGTAGTGAGATCGGTAACTTCATTCTTGGGGACCTCGAGTCCAGGCCAGCCATACCACTGAAACTGGGTTGATTTGGCCAGTCCGCTCAGACCGGTGACAAGACCGCCAGATGACATTTGAAAGTCATATTTGCCATCGTTGGAGCGCTTGATGGTGATGGGGAGCCTATTGGAGACCAGAAGAAGTCGGGAATCCTTCTTGGAGGGTTCGGAGACAGGAGCAGGCATTGTCAAGGCCGAGGCGGGCGAAGAAAACCCGAGTATGACTCAGCCAGGGTATGAAGCTAGAAATCTTGTAATGGGGGAACTCTTTGAGCTTGGAGATGACTAGCGTCGACGGATGTAAGCGTGTTTCAAAAGGTTTGACACGACAAATTCCGGAGGATGGAAAATGACAGGTTATGACAACGTTTCATAAAAAGTTGATGGTGGTTCTGTCGTAGAAGGTGATGAAGAATTGTGAAGTCGATTCAGGGAAGGTATGTAGTGTTTTGGAAGGCAGTGGGTGTGATATTTCTGACCAGGGTTGCGGCTGACTAGCAATTCGGATGAAACCGTTTGAACTGCCCAACAGGAACGAGACTGAAGGCCGGATTGAGACGAAATGGGTTATTGGGAGCAACGGTGGTATCCAAATCGAGCGGTAGAAGTTGGAGCAGGGAAGCAGCTACCTCGCGAAGCCTTATCTTGGGTACGGTCCCGGTTGTTGAACCGGGATGGTGGGAGGTTGTAGAAGTATGTTGTTAGGAGTATGGCTAGGTGGGCAGCCTGGCCCTGCTGAATCCGGCCCAATGCGTTGAGATTGCACAGAGGAAGGGTTGGATAAAACACGTTTGAAACCTACTTTGTCATGATGAAAGTAAGGATGAGGATGAGGACGAGGACGAGGACGTGGAGTGGAAGTAGAAGTGTGAGTTTGTGAGGATGACTTGTGAGGTTCACAGGATACGAGCGAGACTGAGACACCAGGGCCGGTGTAAGGTTGAGGATGCCAAGACTTGATCTAAAGCGAGAGCAAAGAGGGCAGGAGCAGGAGGATGTTGACTGTAGTTACGTGGCTACCCAACTTGCAAGTGACAACGGAAAAACTGTGGAAAGGAAAGAATGACTGAGGCATGCCCTCACACCAATTCCGGCAGTAGTGGTACTTGGTGCAGCTCAAACGCTACGACAATGTCTAAAAGTCTCCTGTAGGGACGGAAACACATGCCCATGTGGCCCCAAAAGTACCTCCTTGGTATGAACGTCCGTCTAAAACATCACTTCTACGTCAGATCAGCTGTAGAGTTGGACACATGTCACGACAAGCCTTGGTTTACCCAGATACTCCGGATCACTTGCAGCCAATCACTCCAACCCCCTCTCTCAGGTGCCCTGCTCCGTCTCAATCTGCTGACGTTCACATTCACCTCTGTCTAGACCTGGAAGATCTGTAGGAAGTTGAAAGTATAGTCATAGACGGAAGCAGGGAATTGCGTCGATCTCAATACCGAACTCCCCTACAATGCCTAGGAAAAGGTGGCAAGGTACATGGTCAGCGACGGAGAATTTTTGGAAGAGTGGCACTTTCCTCAGGCTCAACTTGTCAAGGCACCAAGGGCAGACACATGTGCTAACTTGCACCATCGATTCGTTTTTGACGTCCTGCCTCGTGGACCAAACGCCCGAAACGCCTTCCAATGGCCATGTGGCAGTCATGCCCACGCTCCACCCCTTGGGTCGCGGTACATTGTGTCGGTCCAACTCCGGCTAATGTCTTCCTTGGGCACCAAATTCTTAATGTCATATATGTCATGTATGTCATGTCGGTAGGAGCAACAAATTGCTTTTGATTCTCACAGCTCTCTATCTTGATCTGTAAATATGGGAGATCGAGTACGAAAGTCTGCGGTTCACGTCAGAGCCGAGACACGAGGAGTGAACTCAACCCTAGGTATTCACCTGTTGAGGCTTCAACTTCTCCTTGGAATGCTTCATCTCCTTGGGTTGGTCAACGCCGCCTCCAGGGGTCTTGCCCACTTGCTCAGACAGTAAATTCCCAATGCTCACATGTCCAAACCCCAGTTCGAGCCTCACCACCTGACCTAATCCCAATCCCCGTAGATGCCTCTACCCTCCACCCCACCAACACATGAAACATACCAACCCACCACCTCAATGTATAAGGAAAGTTTCTCAGAGAGTTGCAGCGTCATGCTATAAATAATCAGAGTCATAGCTCCGTACAAGGTCATCATTCATCCGGCCGAGCGTCGTCAAGCATCAAATCCAATCAATCAAATGGTCAAATACGCTATCGTTAAGACATGAATCGAGCGTTAGATCTGCCGTCAGGGTCATCATGGCTCTCGTCAATCGTCATCGTTTAGTTGGCTCGGATCACCAGCTTGGCCAAAAACTTGTTCGACAATGAATCAAAATCTTTGCGTTCAAACTTGGCATTCGGGCGCCCGCGGAGATAATTTTCTGCATTGCATGTCAGTGTCTCCATCTTGGTACAGGGAAGGCCTCAGCGTCTTACCATATCTTGTCACGTTTTCGCGAACTTCGGTCATGGTGCTGCACACATCAGCGTTGGATGCCAGCAAGGTGTGGTGTTTCGACGTGTCCCATTCAAGGAAAGATGGAAGCTTCTGAGAGATGGCTTGGAAAAGTCCCACAACCACACCCACGGGCGTCGTCTCCATGTCAGTGCAGAACTTATCAACTGCAGCAGAGTCGGGGACACGATAGTGGCAGTCGAATTGCATGCACTCCCAAACCGCCAGAAGCACCGACGCAAGGATGAAGATGGTGGGCCAGTTCTTGAGCTTGTCCCCGCTGTACACACTTGAGTATAGGCTCGACAGCTCTTCGAGCACATCCTTGTGGAGCTCGCGCCACATGTCAGCCATGGCACATTTGATCTGGAAGTTGATCATCACAGGTGCCATGGTTTTGCCAAAGAATTTGGACGTCTCCTCTTCAATCTTGCCCTTTAGGTTATCTTCCACTGGTACGCCTTCAACCATGGTCACGTGTAATGTTAAGTTGTATGCCAACATAAGTTTGAGGGCCTTTTTGATGATGGTCGATCCTGTCTTGAAGTAGAAGCGATATGCCGTCTTTAGCATTTGCGACAGGAAAGGTGTCCCTTCAAAGTATTCATCGACAAACTTCTCAAATGTGCCCGTCCCGTCAATGTGTCGGTCGAGATAGTCGCTCAGCATGGTCGTTGATATCCCCTCCATTCCAGCAGACAGTTTGGCGGTGCATACTTCGTAACCCTCGGGTGACTGGTCATGGGCCTCGATCCAATCCATCTTCAAGCAGGAATCATCACGCACATAAACCTCTCGAGCAGTGACTGGAAGCATGTGTCCATAGCCATGGGTGATGAACAGGGTCTTTTCCGTATCCGAGAATCCTTTGATATTGCCGACCGAGAAGCCCAGAGAGATGTGTCGCTCATAGTCGAATTTCCAATCCTTGAGGAAGTAACCAATCTCCTTGATGTCAATACGAGTGCAAGGAACTTGCCACAAACGAGCGTGCGAGGGTTGGCATCCCGCACAAGGTTCGCCCTTGTCGCACGTCTTTTTGAGGAATTTGCATCGTAAGCATGCCCTCAATTTTCGGATTTCGCTTGCTTGCTTGCGCTGCTCTGGCCTCAGTGGACCCTTCCGTCGGCCGATCCGTTTCTCGCCTTCCGCTCTGGCCACTGTCGCCGTCTTCTTGACAATCTTGTCTGTCGCCTTCGCCGCGATCGGGCTCTTTCTCGAACCCTTTCGACCAGGCGAACCTGCCGATCCTGTAGAACTGGGAGACCGAGCCGTCGATGTGGATAGCTTGGCTGGCGGAATAGGGATGGGGTGGACCAATGCATTGGAGGTTGTGCTGGTGGCAATCGTCGAAGTGTGGTCGGCGGTGGTAATGTGGTCATGGCTGTAGCTATGGCTATGTCCGTGTCCGTGTCCGTGGGCGCACTCAAAATCACTGTCTGAGAAGCTGGTTGGCGAGTACACGGCGTGGGAAGAGCTCATATCGAGGTTGGACATGAACCCATGACCTTGTTCGAGGTCCGAGTACGATGACTCGGACAGGGTTCGGTTGTGGAGTGTCTGATTTGGGTCGACGAAAAATTGGCCGTCATACGATTCAAGATGGCGTTGAGCATCAATCATGGTCCAACTGCTGTCATCGGCAGAACTGGGCTGGGACAAAACTTCGAGGTGGGAACCCGTAGGTGAACTGGTCAATTGGTGATATGGAGAAACAGCCAGGCCGACATCGGTGGTATGATACTGAATCAACTCTGCGTGAAACTCCTGCCAGTTCTGAGGCATCCCATCGATGCCTTGTTCAAGAGGTATGTATGAAGCTTCCAGTGGAACGCCCGAGGAGATTGGGGTTTGCGAAGGAGGCATCATAGCCATTTGCGAAGGATGGAGAGGGAGATTGTGAAATTGAGCATTATACTGAAGCTCATACTGTGTCTGCTGCGCCGTGAAATCCATGACTTGCTGTGCCTGTTCAAATCTCCAAGTCTCCATCATAGGATGTTCTGCCATCGTAGTCTGTCTCAGACCATTACTGTGTGTTTCGATCGGAGTGATGTTTCTGCGTGGATCTGGTCTCTGGTCCGTCACTTGGTCCATGGGTACAGTCCATGCTTGACTTCGGTAATATGGATTGGTTTGGTCGAGGTCGTATCTTAGCTCTTCGCCCGTCAAGCCGATATTGCCCGCCATGGTCAACAATGGTGAGATGGTCAGCCTCGTGGAATCAGATTGTCCTCTCAAAGAACCGAGTGGACGAGGGACGAGGGGAGATGTCGAGCTGGCCTCGTGAAGCTGAGAGGAAAGGAAGCTGGAAGGAGGAGAACACGGCGGGCAGGGCCTGAGGTTTACACAGAGTGACCGCTCTTGTGCGAGGGTAGTGGGAGGCCCGGCCTGAGGAATGAGGTGGAGTGCGGGTGAGAAGAGGCGGTGAACACTGCATGCAGCTTTGAGAGACGGTCGAATTGGCGGGGGACAAAAAAGTGGATGCCGGAGGCCATGTTGGACAATGGCGACACAGCCTGACGCTCAATGGCCAGCTGTCAGCACTGTTCTGTAGGTTTGCCTTTAGGGTTGGGGCCGTCGGCGACTCGGCCACAAGGGAACAGCGCGAGACAAGTCCAAGGGCCTCTGGCCACTGGTTCGTCGTGGTGGCAGGGCAATGGAGTCGTTGTGGATTCGAAGGCCACACAATCTTTGGCTCCAGAGGTTGGCTGTATTAGCGTCAGTTATGGCAAGAGGTTGAAATCCAGGTCACCTTGAACCCTGGTCCTTGGGGGCAGCGTGCGCGATCACTGGTTGTCGGTCCCGGGCGCAGGCTAGGTGCAGCTGGGCTTTAACTGGGAAGATACCAGGCAAAGTCACATATTTTTCTATTTGCGCTCCAATAGAAGATGCCAATGCGCAGTAATGCTGGCTGGCAGGATTGAGAAATTGATTGCCACTTATGAATAATGTACACCTAGTTGCCTGCAAGGTAGAGAGCAAGAGTGTGGCTTACATGGTGAGATGCCTGTAGTTTTAGGGGCGCCCGAGGTCATCTGTGCAGGTGGCCCAATGGTGGAGTTATCGATAACAACAATATGGCGTGAATGGGCAGGTGATGGGGCCCGAGGGATCGTCGAGCTCTCGAAAAGGCCCGAGGGCCCTGGGGCCTCGCCCTCAGTGCTCCCCTCGGCGTTGCTTGCACAGGTTTGGTGGACACTCCCAGATAGGTACCTCACGTACTTAGGCACTTACTACTACCACTGCAAGTACCAACAGTCTCCCACTTTTCGCTTGAGCTGTCCCATCGTGCCCGTCTGCTAGTCGCAATTGACACCCTTCGCTCGGGCGATCTCGACTTACTCTAACCAAACTCCAAGTCAAGAAGGCTTCTGCAAAGAAAATCCGATGAATTTCAGGAGACACTGTGGACTCAAGTCGCCGTGATCGTGATATCCACCCCAAGCCTTCAACCAGTGCTCCTTCTACCTAGATATTCATTTTATTTCTGGAAATCGCACTTGTAGGCGTCCGTGTCTCTCTGAAATCTCAACGGCGGCGATTTGAGACTCAGCCTGTCACGCGCCCAGCAACTGACGATCAGGTTAAGCACTTGGTGATTGAGAATCTAGAACAAGAGACTAATCACTAAGAAGAGAGCCTCTTGCAGAGAGGTTGATGTGCGCGCTGAGACGAGACGAGTCACGTGCATAGGCTTGGCGCCAGCCAAGGCACGTCCCGTGACACCGCCCGCCTACACGCAATCAATTCTGCAAGCGATGCCATCGCCGTCTCCTTTCAACTTTCGCAGCTCCTGCAGTAGTTGAGTGGCACGAAACTCAACTATCCCGGACAAGTTGTGTGACCCATAGGCGGTGTCTGAACACAGCGAAAATGTTCCCTTCGGCAGCCATGGGCCCATGATTCTCGAGCCTCCCACCCTTGGTGTCACTCGCTACTTACCCGGCAATTTTGCCCAACGGTGTTGCCACTTTTTTATCAAATCATTCCTCCACACGCCCACGCTAATGCAGGTAATCCTCTTGATCAAGGTTTAGCCTTGCTCTGGTGCAAGCTACTGGACATCTTTTGTACTCGTACTGTTTCCCAAGACTAGGTAGACTGCACACCCGAACGATGCCACCGTGCTGCACCCCGTGACATTGTTACTTCGTCCCCCGATAATCATAATACATAGCCCGCATCGACAGCCTCATCGAGTGCCGTCGACGTCACTACATAATCTTGACCACAAGGTCCGAGGCTGGGATAACATGGCTCTCGTGTTTCGTCCACATGGATACTTAGTTCATGGCAGGGTTCGACCTGTCTTGCATCTGTCGCTTCACCTGCGACGGAGCAATCTCTGTTGCTGAAAAGCGGTGAAGCTACACTGGGATTAACGGCGGTACTGGGCGTTGGCCAACATTGCAGACCCCTGCTGGAAGGCGTCGAAACTCACAATTCTGGGCACAGGAGTGCATGCCATTGTAGCCACGCTGTCGGCCTGCACAAGTCTTTTGAAACAAGTCACCGCGGTTTCATGGCGAGGTCAAAATGGGTCAACGCACGGTCAAGGGACAAAAAGCCCAAATTTGATCCGCTCATATGTCTGTTTCTTGCACTCGGTGCACTTTGGAGCTGACAAAGTCGTTTAACTCAAGTGATTCTTCATCTCCACCTTGTAGATCGTCTGTTTCGGTCGATATTTAATTAATCCTCTCCTTTGAATATGCTTGTGCATAGAAGGCTGGTACTAAACTGGGTTGTTTCTCTTGGTAAAAAGGAATATTGCCGTTTGTAGATAGCTGTTGAAATACGCGACTCAGCGCGACTCATGCAGCGCCCAACCTTCTCCTGTGCCAATCTTGCAAATGACTCGCAGTGGTCACGACACTTGTGCTCTCACGTGTCAGACATGAACGTGGTCAGCGAACCACATCTTGTAAGTGGTTCAAACCCACTGACTGACATGAGGGTTGTCGTTTGGTCCCAATTTGACCAATGAAGCCTATATTCAGAGACATACCGATACATGGAATTTGAGCACAATAGCAAGCGACAAGACGTGACATTCCACAATCTCGTCCATGCTCCCCTTCCATCCGCCTATTGAGACCAAATAAAGACAAGGCTCTGGGAAGCCAAGTGGTGTCACAAGTCTGATTGCGGCCATAATGTCGTTCCATGATCCGAAATCGTCAATACCATTGTACTTCCGAGAGCCGCCAATTTTGGTCGACTCGTTGGAAACCACCACGTCTAAGCTGCAGGATGAGACAGTGGGCGAATGCCTACCTTTCCTCGAGGCAGCGGAAACCTCTGATGATCCTACGGAATTCAACACATTTGGTCTATTATCTTTGCATCGAGAGGACCATGTCCAGTTCTTGCATGAGAACTTGGCCCAATTCCCAGCAAATTTTGTTGGCCTTGATGCCAGCCGCCCTTGGATGGTCTACTGGGCTTTGGCAGCTCTTTATATGCTTGGGGAAGACATTACTCCGTTGCGATCAAGGTAATGTGCTTCCACTCAGACCCCTTTGCTAGACACGTCCTCCATCTTGGAACGTACCACCCCTTTCCAGTCCAAACAGTTCTCACAGTGTCAACAGAGTGGTCAAGACATTTTACCCCGGTCAAAACAAGAGTGGAGGGTTCGGAGGCGGCCATGGCCATTCATCCCATCTCGCTGGCGCATATGCCACCATACTCAGCCTTGCCATCGTCGGAGGTGAAGAAGCCTATAACCTTGTGGATCGCGAGGCTATGTGGCGGTGGCTTGGCCGACTCAAACAACCCGACGGCGGGTTTCGAATCAGTGAAGGTGGTGAAGAAGATACTCGTGGCGCCTATTGTGCGTTGGTGATCATATCCCTCCTGAGTTTGCCCATCTCGCTTCCTCTCGAGTCGCCCGCGCGATCGGCTGGTCTGGAGACGTTCTCTGATGGTCTGGGGGAATACATCTCCAGATGTCAGACTTACGAAGGAGGGATTGGAGGCTCGCCAGGAAACGAGGCCCATGGGGCATACGCCTTTTGCGCCATTGCATGCCTCTGTCTTCTGGACGCTCCACACAAATCACTCAACAAATATCTCGATCTGGATGCTCTGGTCTGGTGGCTGTCGGCTCGACAATACGCACCTGAAGGGGGCCTCGCAGGGCGAACAAACAAAGTCGTGGACGGGTGCTACAGTCATTGGCTGGGAGGCTGTTGGCCGCTGGTACAAGCCGCAATCCAAGGCCCTCGAGGACCCAAGGACTACAGCAGTCCCCTAGCTCACAACTTGTACAGCAGCGAAGGTCTGGCGAGATACATCTTGTGCTGCTGTCAGGAGGGAGGTGGTGGCTTACGGGATAAGCCTTCCAAGTAAGCAATGCCAACGCTCATAAGACCAGGCCACTCTACTGACTATGTCCACCTCCTGCCAGAAGCCCAGATTCTTATCACACTTGCTACACACTCGCAGGCCTCAGCGTGGTAGAGCATCATCACAGCTACTCTGTAGCTGACGAGACGAAGCCGTTCGAATCCGCCTGGTCTTGGGCTTCCCAAAAGGCCCAGGTTCCCAGCGAAGCTAATCCGACGCAGACGTTTGATACCGGTGCCCATCTCCGGCCTCTCCATCCCGTCTACGTGATCCCACATCAAGCTGTCTATGACATGAGAGATTGGAGCTCTCGGAACCCTGTCGATTTGGCTTAGTCTCTTGGTCCAATATATGGGGATAGCGGCTCAGCAGTGGGATGCAGCAAAAGACGTGCAGGGGGTAATCGACTGAAGTGCCGTCTCTGTTACAAAACATGCACGTGTATGACCAGCCAGACGTTATATGCTGCACCCATTCTATTTGGTCACTTTCCACGTCTGGAAGAGAGATGAGGCAGAAAGAACAAAGCTTCACGGGTTATACGACTCGCAGTGGTCGCGTTGCTGAGTAGATGAGAACTATATCAACAAATGAGCGACTCTTGTTCTACCAAGAAACGGAAACTCGTCCCCAATCGCCAGAAATGGTATCAAGTCGGCACAGCATCGTCGGAGCTTGACGTGGGGAAATTTCAGATTGTTCTCGCCGCAGGTCTATCTTTGGTACACATGGTCATTCATGCTAGTATGATTATGGTGCTCACAGGCCATTTGCCTACACAGTACATTGGGCTGGTCTTGTTTCTCATCTTATTGAAGATCCGTAACGAAAATTCGAAAGCCCTTCTCCTGCTTGCTCGCTTGAACTGCTGGCCGTGGAGCTGTCTATCGCGTGTCGATGTAGAGAGCGACAGTTGCCTCCACAACAATTGTTTCGGACCCCCTCGGGATAGTCGAATCAGAAATCATCATCTGATGGAAGCGCAGTATGCGCATGTGAAGGCAGCTGTCCCCGTGGATGCAATCTGGGTGCGCCGAAATTTCGTGTGTCGCTACAATACAACTGACTATCTCATGATTTCATTCCAGATCAAGGCCTTGAGCTCTTCCTTACTCAACTGATCCTTGTTTCGATCAAAGTCGAAAAACTCCTCGGGGATGGGATCCGCGTTGGGCTCGTCATCGGGGTCGTGATAAGGTTCGAGATATGGATGTTTCAATGCTTCCTCCACTGTAATGCGTTTGACTGGGTTAAAGGCGAGGAGTCTCTCAAGGAGATCCAAGGCAAGGTCGGAGGTTTTAGGAAACAACGCCTTGAGAGGGATCTTCTTCTTGAATGGCAGTGATCGAATGTACTCTCGTGCCCTCCGTGATTTGATGCCGTAGTAATCCTCCATTGTCGGGGTTCCAAGAACGTCGAGAATTAATGTGAGTTGATGATGGTCTGTGATATGGTCAACCTCATAGACAATAAACAGAAAGTCCGGCACAACTTACAGTCTTTTCCCGGGAACAGTGGCTTGCCGCTGAGCATCTCGGCGAGAATACAACCGACACTCCAAACGTCAATGGCTTTTGTATACTCCTTGAATGTAAGCATGATCTCAGGGGCGCGATACCATCTTGTTGCAACATATTCGGTCATGAAGCCGGAATTGTCATCGGTTGAGGCGGCGCTGCGGGCGAGTCCAAAATCGCAGACTTTCAGGTCGCAATTAGCATTGAGGAGCAGATTGGAAGGTTTCAAGTCTCGATGTAAGACATTGGCAGAATGCATGGCTTTCAGCGCTCGTAGGGTCTGATAGATGAAGTATTGGCAGTGGTCATCAGAGAGATCTTGGGTTCTGATGACACGATGCATGTCCGTCTCCATCAATTCCTATAGAGTATCAGCACTGTCAAGAACAGATGTCTGTGAGGCTGTTTACCTGGATCAGGTAGACTTCAGAAAAGGTCTCGTAATTTCGTGGTTTTTGAATATCGAGGATGGAGATGATGTTTTCATGGTTGAAATATCGTAATAGTTTCATTTCTCGTAAAGTGCGCAGGCAAAACATGGAATGGTCGAATGGAGTGATCTTCTTGATGGCAACCTTTTGTCCAGATGGCTTGTGGAGTGCAGAACTAGGTTGCGGTCAGCGCGAGCACCGAAGAGACAAGGCACATATAGTGGTACCTACCAGACAACGCCGTAGGCACCTTCGCCGATGACATCCTGGATATCGTACTGGTCGGAAACGTTGAACGAGATCTTCCTGGACCCTCCGCTCGAACCCTGCCCTGCTTGTGACATGATGGTTATGTGAGACAATTCAAGCGCCGGGCTCTGTTGACTAAGTTGGTGGTGGATGTCAGGCAGGTTATCTCTTGAACTGCTCCAGCAGCCAGAATCGTCGTAATCCTAATCTCTTGCAGTCGATAGATCGACGAAGCGGGAGGAATGGTAAGACCGAGGACTCTCAGGGTGTAGTGTCGGTGAACGAGAGTGGTATGCAGGGTGCTCGTGTCAACCAACGAATCGAGCGATCCTGTCTGAGAGGCAGGAAATTAAAGGCCAAGCTCAATTGTAGTGAAAGGACTAAAGAGACGAGTGGGTTGTGTGAGGGAGAAAGTGCGGTCACCAGTCAATGAAGAACAGTCGTCAATGGGTGGATAAAGACTGGTCTCCAATCGCTGACTTTGGCGTCAGTTCCAAGAAGAGAAATGCTTGCGGAAAACACGATCTTTGTGTGTCAAACTTACCAAAGGATAGACTGGGTTACGGTGCAAGAGAAAGACGCTTCGCGTTTCCGGTTGCGGATGAGGGAGGAGAAAGTTGAAAGCGCAGGTACAAGAGTAGACAGCACAACAGAACAGCACAGCGACGTGGAAGATGGTGGGGTTGAATTGTCGACAATAGAGAATAGAGAGTAGACCTAGGCCAACTGAATGGCCAAAGGAGATCGACGGTTGGCGGGTGCGGGCAGCGGGAGCAGCCCAAAGTTTGTCCAGCGGGCACACGGGCTCAGGTGACAGCGATGATTGATGGGGAGGATTGTGAAGACGGAACTTGACAGGCACCTACCGAATGGGCAACTGTCTCGGCGTTTAATGAGGGTGCAAGGGCGACTGAGGGGTTAAATGTGGGAAGTCCTCAGGGTCTTGACGGCGGCCGTTGCTGTCCTGCAGTACTGTTGGATCCGACTTTGGGTCTGAAATATAAAAACAGAGAACAACGGAGAGTGAGAGCGCTTCGATACTATAAACTGTAGGGGTTGGAAGATAGTTGCAGGAAATTGGGGGAGTGATTGGCATTGCTTCTTGAGCAAACTGGAAAAGTGATATCAAGGGGAAACATCCAGCACGAAGCTTTGCACAAGGTCGAGGGGCCACTGGCACATGGTCCCCTTTGTCCCATCCACTTGTAATTGGGCTGCCGCGTTGTCCTTTCACATTTGGGACTTGAAGCTGGGTCGAATTAGAGGGTCTTTGGCTGGATACGCGCCTGGGCTGGGGAGGCTAAAAGGCTGCCGGGGCCCTACGCCCCTGCTAGCGAGGTTAGACCCGCCGCCTGCTTCGCCCAGATCCAGCACGGCAAGCTGACGCAGCACCAATCGTGTCGGCCAAATAGCGCCTCCAGGCATTCCAGTCGCGCATGGAGCAACCAGTTTCATTTTAAACTTTTCCCCAGGGCCGTTGTCTGGAACTGCTTTTACCAATGCTTCGTCTGCTTCAGAGGTCAGATCAGCGTTTCAAATGTTGACGTCGCGGCTTGCGGCTTGTAGTACGAGTGACGAAAATATCTCATGTGGTGGGCATCACCATCTTCTTCATCACTGAGAATCACAAGGGCTTCGGTAAGCCGTGCCAAGGCAAAGCACGTGTCGCTGAAGTAGTGTCCGATTTTGTCATTGGAAACAGAGTGATGCTCACTACGACCTGATTCACTACTCATACTCCATACTCCGTAGTTAGCTTAATACTAGCGACAACATGTTCCGACTTCATTGTGCACAGTTTTGTATTCATCTGTCTAACTAACTCTAGCGCTTGCACCACCATGTTGCATCATCAACTCCATATCTTAGCCGGGTCGTCGCACGATCTGAACCATGCTTTGTGGCATTCCTGACTTACTGCACTCTCTCGCGGAGCATTCCCATCCACTGTTGGAGACTAACTCCCTGGTCCGCCCTGTCCTCGACGAGCAATGTCTGTGCCCAAAGTCGCAATCCGGGTTCTCCATCCTCCTTGACCACATACAAATGAGGAACGATGATGCTTCCGACTCCTCTAGACTTATGGTCCCGACTCTTAGAGATCACAGCTCTTACCCGTTCGTTGAAGTCATTGTCCAGCTCCGGCAGATGTTGTTTCCCGACCTTGAGCTGACTCTTATCCGGATAGCCGAATACATCAACCACAAGTTGAGGGACCGCATCTCGTCCAACCCAGAGAAACTGGGTTTGTCCATCGTCGATGAGGTACAGGCCAAAAGGAGCGAGACGCTCTGACGATAGGTTGACAGGAGGTGGCAAGATGATTTCGCCTGTTTTCTCGTCAACAGTGCCAGCATCGTCAGGCATGTCGTGCAGTGAAAACATCTTAGGATAAATGTATTGGATCAGAAGAGGGAGAGGCAACGTAGATAGCAAGCACAAAGCTGCTGATCGCATGTCGCTGGGAATTTGAGATGACTTGCGCAACCCAAGATTTTTGATCAAAGCCAGGAAAAGGACAGGGAGAGCGCGGAGATTTGCAGGAAATTGGAGTCCTCCACCGCCCATGCTCCCACCTGCAAGTTCTTTCTTGTAAGTGGCGAGTAATTCAATCAACTTGCCCTGCACGAGGTCGCGCGCTGCTTCAAGGCCACCATTCAAAGCCCGCTCGACGGCTTTGTGGCTATAGTAAGTCGTAATAGCTTGCTGGTCAGCGGAGGCATAGACATCTGCCAATGCTTGAGTGGTTGGCAGGGCGAGGGTCATGACTCTGATTCGTCGCTCCCCGTTGCAGGTCGTGTGAAGCACGGCTGTCTGCATGCAGACCACTGGCTTGGTGATGGTCTCATCGATGGCCACTTCAACCACATAAGCTTGATCTCGTGGGAATGCTGGGAAAGCGCAGAGATCAGAGCTTCGGTTGAAGAAGTTTCCATAAAATGTGCTCATCCTCAGGCCAGTCGTGGCTCGCACGCGGAGCACCGCTTCCAGTCCTATCTCTGACGAGAGGTAGTCGGAGAACTCCTTGGCGAATTTCATGGCATCTTCTTCTCGGGCTGCATTCCATCCGGGATAGAAGTACGTCTGGCCACCAGTGTACCTTGGGAGATTGCTCAATGACGCAACATCCTGATACTGTGACGAGAACAAGAACATGTCGACTGATATCTGCTGCTTCGAGCACTCAACCGCAAAGCTCTTGTAGAATGAATTGCCAGTCTGCAGGAGACTGCTCTCCTTTCCAGTTCCCAGGAGCTTCTTATCTTCGCGCATTTCCAACTTGCCGTGGCCAAGGTTTGGCAAAGATGCTGTGACGACAGTCATTTTACCGCCAACCGGTCCAATCAACTTGTGTCCGGCTCGAAGAGCAGAGCCCATGGCCGAAGCCCCGTTCTGTGTGTTCTGGAACATTTCCTGCAACTTGTCCAAGAAGGCTTCCACATTCTCCCGGCATTCAGTCAGAGTCACAAGCAGATCAGCTGGAGTGGGCAAGAACGCCTCCTCGAGATCACTAACCACCAGCATGCTGGTTTGAGCATTCTCCGTGCCGTCTCGAGGAATGTTGAAAAAATGTAGACTTGAGTCGACCGCGATAAAGCCTACGCGGGTGCGACGATCCGCATTTGGAATCCTGTCCAGGCTCTCTCTGATGCACCTGGCTGCAGTTGCCAATAAACCGCTGGTGACAGACGCATAGCTGACGTCCAACAAGAATAAGTAAACCAGCGGCTGAGGTGGCCGAACCATGTATTCCTGGGGGGCAATGAATTCGACCACAGCATGATTGAGGTCAGGCCTCTGCCATCGATCCAAGCTCTTCTGGCCCGCGGCGTCCCAGTCAAACGCCTGTGGGACATCGTTGGTGAGGTTACACATGTTACATCTCCATCTATGGCCATGATCCAGGAAGGTGACAAATGGATTGATATATGAGCGACATCTTCTACAGCGCGAGATGACTTGATCTGGAACAACCGGAACGGGGTCCTCGACATCGTGAAGAGAGGTATATGGTTGAATGACCAGCGCAAAGGGAAGTTTGGACTTTTTCAGCAAAGAATGGGTGGTTGGAACCGCATTCAACGTAGATCGGACGTACTTTGGTGGACAGTTGGCGTAGGGCGAAGGCGTCACGCTGGTCTGTACAACGGATTAGTAACACTCACTTGGGGGTATGCGAGAGCATGCTTGTGCTTACATTGGCGGGAAGGATTGCAGGCGGAGGGGGATAGTCGAGCTCCGCAACGTTCAAGGGCTGGTTTGACAAATCGGTAGGATATAACTGATTGAGAACAGGAGGACGTTGCTGCCCTTGCGCCGGAGCCGGGACCGCGACAGGTTTCTGCGATAAGTCCATCTGGCCGAATTGTTGCGTCACTCCCCCAACAGAGGGTGACGGATATGCCTGTCCAGGGGGCTGATATCCCCCAGCCGCTGGGTCCTGGCCTGGATATAGAGGAGTGGGGCCTTGCTGAACGGCCGCAGGATTCTGCTGGTAGCCTCCCTGAGGATAGCCAGCAGCGTCTTGTTGTGTAGAGAAGCCAGAAAAGGCGCCCCCAGCTTGTTGTTGGCCACCTAGGTCTGCATTGGCCCCGGCACCAAATTCGTAGGCTTGACCTGCATAGGCGCGCTTTTTCCTTCCGCCATGAGTTGCAGCAGGTCCGGTGGGAGGAGGCCCAGCAGGTTGGGAGGTGGCTTCGTAGCCTTCATGGCCTTGGACTGGGGGAGATTGCTGGCCGTAGGGATCTTGTCCATATTGTGGATTTGGGTGCGACATTGTGTAGTCTTAGAAAAGGACAATCGAGCCTCGCGGTACGGCCTTTGGCCTTGTGGACGTGTGGACGTGTTTATCGAGTTACAAAGGTTGCTGGTGTCGAGGTTCGGAAGAGGGGATGACGGATGGGTAGGGATGATTTGTTGTGGGGGGTCGGATTAGAGGTGGGATGATTGATTCACAAAGGCCATTCCTATTTCTGTCCAAGGCGAAGGAGATTTGGTCGGTATGGTCACAGAAACCCAACAAGAAAAGCAAAGGGGATTTTTTGACCAAGTGTCTTGAACGAGTTGATGTGAATGTCAAGTTGGCCAGTTGTGCAGATGTGTGGATTTCCTGGGCCGATGTATCTCGCAGGCAGGCAGGCATTGGACCAATCATCATCGACCACAGCCAACCTTCTGACATAGCCTGGATATTGCCTGGGCTCCTTTGCCTCTGGCTGTCCCTCGCCTTCGACCTTGATAATTTGAGGCGTTATATTCAGAGCAGAGTCATGTCCTGATTCTATGACCTTTTTTGTGATAAATGGTTGGCTGAATTGATTATAGGTACAATTAAAATATACGTAGCGAGTAGCAGCTGCAACTAACGCTAAGTCGCCTACAGAGCTTCAGAAGTCACTACTACTATACACTCTCTCCAGGGCACCCTCCATATAGCACTTCTCTCTAGGGCACTCTCTCCAGGGCACTCTCTCCAGGGCACTCCAAGATCAGTCGGATAAATTCAGAGAGTTATTCCGGGTCACGGGATCGCAACTCCCGTATATCTAATCATTTTACGCCAAGATTCACTCTCATCCAACTATTTTAGCTAATCATATCCCGTAAAAGGGTTTTCCGGACGCCATATTGTCCTACAATAGGAGACTAAACCCAATGTAGAACCTACTTTGCTTCGCTCTGAAGGACAAGATAAGTACAAGCCTGGCTGACCATCATATCTGTCCGAAACATTGATCCTGCGTATCCAACACCTCTACCAAATGGAAGAACATTCTAAGCAAACCCTTGTCTCAATCCTGCATATGGCTTATTTGGCCTGGCCAATTTCTTCGGTATGGACGTTTGGCGCATAGACAGCGGGGCTCACCTTGCGTGGAGGGGCCGCTGGTCGCTGAGCGGGAGCCGTGGAGAAGCCGGCCCACAAGAAGAGAAGAACAATGATGATTTCCATCAGTACACCCATTGTTCCATGAACAACAATCGCCTTCCAGTTGGTGCTCCAAGAGCTGAACAGGTTTGGATTTCCCGCAAAAGCGCAAAGCATACTGAAAGTCGTCCTGACTGCCATAAAAGGTAAAGCCATCGCCACAGCTTGCAGGAGATGACTGTCGCTCGGTTGAATATGAGATCGACGGCTGAAAGAGTGCAGGGTGATGGCGAAGTCGGCAACAAAAATGGCCAAAAAGAGGCACATGGCTGCTTTGAAGTATTCAAAGCCATGGGCTTGGTCGGTGGGATTGTCGCTGAAGATATTAATGCTGGCCAGGATGATGAGCACCAAACCGGCGATACCAGGGAGACCGAGAAGTCGGAAGATGCGCGGCGGCAAGCCATATCCTTCCATTCCGTTTTGCACTCGTCCCAAAAGTCCAAGGGCGCAATACACCACAGCTGAGAGGCCGAAACTGTTCATAATGTCGTATGTGGCGGTCAATCCTGATGACGGATGGTGAACTGAAGCCAGCGACGTGGAGCCGCCGATTAGACGAAATAGGGAGATCATGACGAGAAAGCGCCATCCGAACTGTTTTCGATGTCCATGCTTGTACGTGACATAAATTGACGCTCCAAGAAGGGGTGTGAAGATGATGATTTCCAGAATAGCAAGGATCTCAAAGGCTGAAAGCACCATGGTGCTGAATGTGCTATGACAGTGAAGACTGGGACGAGATATAGATTAAGGACTGCCAACAATCGAGACTCTTAAAAGTGTGTGCCGAGATGGTGTTTATGATGCCGGAAATCAGAAATCCTATCGTGCACGAAGCCATGTGTTATATACATGAACAGTTCTACCCGGGCCCGCTTGTGCATACGTTATACAGCCATTCTAAGTTGGTAAGAGTCTATCTCAAACAGGACCTATGCACGAAGCGATCATTGTCTATGCGTTACATCTTCAAGGTGTCAAGGAGAAAGAGTTTCTCCAGACTTTAGAGCTGCGCCATGTTTAGCAGCATCGTGTGGTAGTAACACTTTAGATGCAATTGTCTTGCGACCAATCGGCGTGCGATGGGAGAGCGCCCACCTCAAGTAATGATGGTCTGACGGAAAAGGAGGGGCATACGGAAGGTGTGGGCCACGAATTAACAGGGGACTATTGAGGTCTGTGCAGATATATTGACTTTGTCTGACAGATAAGCTTTCTAAAGTCCATTTAGGCAAAGGCTAACAGGCACGAACTCCCTAACTGGGAGCCATTCACGAGAAAGGTGGCTGTACCCAAGAACCTTAAGTTGAGGCCAACGATGTTACGTACACCCTCACTTCTCCTTGCCCATCCCGTCCATAGAATGTTTTCATTCCAACGCTACAACATCGTACTTGGTCCCATAGTACTACCTGATATGCTTCTCTGGTGTTGCCAACCAATTTTCATGAGGTATTTCCTATTCATATCAGTCTCGACATGCCAAACTTGGCTAGGTGTACTTGTGTTCCTATGTCATATTTTTATACCTCTAACCACCAGTCAACAAACATCATCATCGTAATCAAGTTTGCTTGAGCCCTTAGTTTCTAGTCTTTGGACTGTGTTGACAGAAGTCCCAATTCCCAGCAGTAGATATTGGAGATCAGCCAATGCTAGTTTTCAATCTCGTTACCAGGGCGCATGTGCACAGACACCGCCGGACGGCACGCCGTGGTCGAGAACTCTTGAAACCACCACTCATGAGACGCTCATAGTCAATCGTCGGTTCATCCCCCAATTGCCCTTCAACTCTGTTCAAAACCTTCCCCTCAAATATCGTTGAATTCAATCTACTATCCATAGGTCAGCCGCACAGGCACGACAGGTAAACCTTTCAAACATCGATCTTTACCTGGTCCGTCATGATCTGTGGATGACAATCTGTCTACCTAGCTTTCAGTACCCCCTCAGCCTGAATCTCTGTGGCATCCAGGAACAAATGACCAAGAGATGACGAACTTGCCTAAGACCCGGCTAGCCAATCCAATCCTGGGCCTAAACTCTACAACTAGTGTATTTTGTTATTCTCTTACGGAGTAGAAAGTTTCAAAGGATTGTCCAGTTACCAAACACAAAAAGACTATTCTAAGAGGGTCGTGAAGGCTGGGCTGAAAGATCTTCTACAGAAATAACACACGCTTCTGAACCCTCGCAACCATGCGTGAGTCCTGTAGAAGTTCCAGAGACGATAGACTAATACGCTCTCAAGTTTCTCAAGTTCATGCAGGAGAGACAGCGAGTGGCTTCCATTCCTCATGGAATGGTACGAGGTAGAAAAGAGAGGTGTATACTTTATACGCGGTTCTAAGTACCTCCCTAGGCTAAGTAGGTGGCCGAGGGGCCTCGGGCTAGGTAGGTAGGTACCAGATGAGGCCAAGATGCTTGGGATCGAGGCTTGGCACACTAAATAACAAAGTTGAATCACGTGGAAAACTATGGTAACACAGGCCGCAGATTGTGCGACCCTGTACTCCGCCGAATTTCAGAGCCTTGGCAGCGTTTTTCACCCACATAACCAGATTTCACTACGACTTCAAGATTTCATAGGACACATCCACCACCGCACACCCACTCCAATCTCAATCCTTTCCTCATTACCACTGACTTGATTGCAGAGACTCGTTTGTCTCCTTCGTCGCAATCATGGGTGGCGTCACCGTTCGTGATGTCGATGTGAGTCTACTCAAAGCCAACACCTGTCCCGATACCTCTTCCTACGATGCGACAACGAAATCTCATAAGCCTTCGAAGTCCAACGTGTTAAAAAAGTCGAGGTCAAGGACAGATACAGAACAATTTGCTAACGTCAGACTCTTCTGCAGGCGCAAAAGTTTATCGTCGCATATGCCGACTTCTTGAAGAGACAGGGAAAGCTGCAAATCCCAGGTTAGACGCATTCCACCTGCTTAGACGAGATCCGTGAGAACTACAAACGGTTGCCCTGGGCGCTGTTCTGCTCCAGCGTCGACGACGATTGTCATTCTGGATCACAGTATTGAACCTCCACACTAACTCCAGTATTTTCTAGGTTGGGTTGATACTGTCAAAACTTCCCACTCCAATGAACTCCCCCCTCAGTCTCCTGATTGGTTCTACGTCCGAGCCGCCGCCGTTGCTCGTCATGTCTACCTCCGAAAGTCCGTAGGTGTTGGTCGTCTGCGAAAAGTTCATGGCAGCACAAAGAATCGTGGCTCGAGACCATCACACCACGTCGATGCTTCCGGATCCGTTGACCGAAAAGTTCTGCAAGCCTTGGAGAAGTTGGGAATTGTTGAGAAGCTCGAGGATGACGAGGAAGGAAGCGGCCGGGGCGGACGGAGAATCACACAAGCCGGACAGCGAGATTTGGACCGTATTGCCCAGACTGCTGTCGAAGGCGAAGAAGAGGATGATGAATAGACTCGGAGGCGTTGTTGCTCGGCGAGCGTGTATTCGAGAGGTCTGGTAGCTGGCATCAGCACGCCACGACCTGACAGCCTACCTTCAGAGACACTATAATGTGTCCGATGGAATCAACTCCAATCATCGCCCGATTTGATCAGTGGCGCTGTTGACTGGGCTTTTGTTGCATATTCCAGGCAGATGAGCTCTATGAAAACATTATCAAGTTGAAAAGGACCTTGAACTCTACAGGCTGTACCCTTACATTTTTCCAGTGACCACCTCCGATTTCTTGTTTCCCTTGTTATATAATTGATCAGCTGCCAGGATCACACTCTAATCAGCTGGTAGGCTCAGAGCGTGGTCCACAGCCTGTGCCACATTTTGGGAGACCATAGCAGTACCTTCTCTCATGATTATGGCAGGTAGTAGCTTGAGGACATTGTTAGAGTTGGGAATCTGGCAATTCCATGAACACGTGACCGACGAGGCTGAGGCTTTTTTACCAACTTGGCGAGGCGTCCGTTTCTGCCTTGCGACCCACCATTGGACTTTCTCATATCATCCTCCGAAGCCTTTGCTTCGCAATTGAATCATTACAACACTCCGTGATGGCTTGGACTTGAGAATCAGCCTTTTCTTGCCTGCTTTAATCCCTTTCAAGCATAAACCCAAACTATGCCTCATCCTCTGCCGTCTACATTACAGAGTGGACCGCTGTTCTCATCTGCGGATCGTCCTCTTTCCCCACTGCTTAGTTACCACACTCCAGAAGGGCCTTGAGCAATACACAGCCGCAGGCGTTGCAAACCACGATGAACAGTCCCCGCTTACCTTTGTCTCTAAGCTTAAGCCCCAACTGAATTCAATCCAAGGTCATGTGCGGCATCAACTCCCTTGATGTTCGACAATTGGCTCGCCGCCCGGTCCTTGGCTTTACATTTAGATCAGGGATGCTTGCCCGAATCTCTCGTGCACAGTTGCACTGCCGGTATAGGTGAGGTTGCAGTGGAGTAGAAGCTGTTAGCCGTGGTCATCAGTTCAGTTGACTTCATCTTCGTACAAGGCATCTTTAACTCTCCTGAAATCAGCCGTGGGCGTTTGTTGGATTATGGCAGGTGGGGGCCGTGTGACCATTGCCCGAGCTATCGACTGGTTCTCTTTCTGATAAAGCCTTCTCGGACCTTTCGATGTCCAGGAATGTTTTCGTAACGTTGCGAAACTCTTTGCTGTGCTTCCTTTAACCGCACGAGGTGTGTTCACGCTCTCCTGTACAGAACAATGTCGAGTCCCGGAATGGGCTTCTCACAAAGCCGCCTTCCCGAGACCAGTCACTCATGGCAGGCACTAAAACATATCGCGCCTGGTTTAAAGCCAAGGAAAGACTGGCATACAAGACCAATGCCAGCTGAAATCCAAAGATGGGCCAATGATGAGACTTTACCGCCAAAACTTGAAGAGATACTGAAATGGTCCCTCAAGTACGGCGAGCCAGAACCTGAGCCTGTACAAGCCACATTGACGCAGAATAACACACGAGCTTCGATATTTGACCTCGAAAAGAGTGATATTGTTGAAAACACTGCGGGGTCATCTCCAGTTGAAATTAAACAGCAACTTGATTTTCATAGACTGGGACAGTCTACGGCCACTGGAAACCCCACTACCATATCTTGTACCACCATCTCGCGTCGCTCTAGAGGACCCTTTCGGTCTGACAGACGTCAAGGGAAGGGCAACCAGCATTCTCTCGGTGGCGGGGTTCTCGCATCAACCCTCGACCTCATCTCGACCTTCAAGCCGCAATTCGACCTCGACGGTGCAGAATCTCGGAATCAAAGAGTCACAGCGGGTAAAGTCGTCGCAAAAGTGGAATGCACTAGTTGCTTCGATGAATTCTCAAGTTCCGACACCAAAGTTCTGCCTTGCAATCATTCATACTGCAAACCCTGTCTCAAGGAGCTCGTCCTAACCGCGATGCAAAACGAATCCAGTTACCCGCCAAAATGTTGTCTATCCACCATCCCGAGTCAGACGGCTTTAGTGGTTCTAGACAAGAAGCAACGAGAGCTCTATCAGAACAAAGTCTCGGAATACTCAATTCCCGCGCAGGAGAGACTGTACTGCCCGAATTCAAAGTGCCTAAAATGGGTACCTTTGAAGAAGATACAACGCGTGATGGGCAGTCACCGGTGCCCGCATTGCTCCACTAAGATTTGTATCATCTGCAGAGGCGCAGCTCACAAGAGAAATGAGGATTGCCCTCACGATTTTGGGCTGGAGGCCACACTGGCTCTGGCAGACGATGAGGGATGGAGTCGTTGCTTCAAGTGCCGGGCGCTTGTCGAGGTACGTGTCCCGCGTGAAGGCAAGTTTTGAGGCTAACATGAATAGCGAACGGAAGGTTGTCGTCACATGACCTGTAAGTGTGGTGCACAGTTCTGCTATTATTGTGGTGCAAAGTGGCGAAGTTGTGAATGTAGCGATTATGAGCAACCAGAGCGAATCATGACCAGGAGAACGCTCCGACAACAGAGAAACGAGGAGGCAGCTGCAGAGGCAGCGGAGCTCGCCCGAGCCATTGAAGAGATTGAAGAGATGGAAAGAGCAGAAGAGCAGCAGCGAATACTGGAAGCTGAAAGGTTAGCAGCTGAAAGACGACGTGAAGAGGAAGAGCTCAGGCGTCTTGAATTGCTCCGGCTGCAGGAGGTCGAACGACGGCGCATGCAAAAGGAAAGGGAGGATGAAGAGCTACGCCGTATCGTTCGACTGTCGTTGATCGAACAACTGCCCGAGTGGCAAAACTTGATGAGAGAGATACTGCTGAAACAGCAGATTGAATTGGACAATAGACATGCACAGCAAGAAGCATCACACTTGAAAGCTCGCGATGAGGCGTACCAAAGGCAACGGGCTGAGAATGAGGAGGCAATGGCGAGGCTCAAAGCTGACGTCCATGAACGTCTTTTGGACATGCAAGAGAAGCAACGTGTACACCTTTTGAAGACGAAAGAGGATTACGAACATGGCGAGGACGATATGTTTCTTCATATACAACTACATCTTCGCGGCAAACCCAACAAAGAAGCCCGAGAGAAACGGCTGCTGGAGGAGTTCAACAAGCAACGAGATACCCAGCTTCGGTCTACGGAGGCCGGGTTCGAGATCGAAATTAATACGCTGAAGCAAAATGCTCTGGCAGAGCACACAGCGCTCGAGAAGAGCTCCGAAAACAAAATGGCTGAACTCCAGCGCAGGTTTGACCATGATTACACGGTTCTGCTCGAAGATGTTGTCATTGATCGTACTTGGTTTGACCACGTTTCGGAACGGAGACAGAACATGCTGTCTGAGAATCATCATCGTGCATTGGCTGATATTGATGCCGGTCTCGAGCCAGTCGGCCTCAACGAAGCTGTTGCGAAGACTATTGGACCCTTTCCTGCAGACCATACCCGAGAGCCAGTAACTAAGGAGCGGGTTCTGCAGGACAGAATTCCTTCACCTGCTTCCTCTTCGACTTACTCGACAACCAGTTCTTTGGCTGAGCTGGCCTCCCATTCAAATCGCCTTCAGAGGCAATTGGAAATATCAGAAGTTTGTGGACGAGGGGCAAATGAACCTTCACCCAACGAAGTAGACGAGTCAACATGGGGCAGCAACGGAATGACACATCCCCTGCCCACAATAGCAACGTCACATCACGATGTAACCAACCATCTTGGGATGACTGTTCCCTCAAATATTGACAAACAAGTTGTTGAAGGATTCTCACATCTACCTCACTATCAAGATGGGGCCATGTCTAGGACAGTCCATCCGCCTCAGCCTCATCCTCATCCACGCATCAAACGGAAAAGCGTTGGCCAATGTCAATCACCTGCTATACGATGTGGACCGCTAGCGCCGGGCCCAACAAGGGGCAGACTTAGGATTGTCACGTCCATTGCTCCAATGGAGCCGTCAGTCCCTGGGTCGTTTCCAGTTTCACCGGCACAGTCTTCTCGCAGTGTTAACGTGGAGGAAGAAGGCAGCCAGTCCGACCGCAGCTATAAATTCATCGTCATCCCTCCGGATCATACTGGCCGTCAGTCATGCTCCGACACAAGCATGAGCTCTCGAGATCGAGCCAGTTTCGACGATAGTTCGTCGTCAGTCAGGACTTTCGACAGCAGCTCGTCTGTGTCAGCATCGCGGAACGGCAAAGGCCTGGCTTGGAGGCCGGAGTCCAGACAGAGTAGCTTGCTGTCGACGCTCAAGAGCTACGTGAAAACAAAGTCAGGCTGAGCAGTGCATTAGAGAGAAGTTCAGCAAGCACGAATGCGTCATAGGATTTCCGCACCAGCCATTACAACATTACCTCAACAGGCTCCTTTTTCTCGCCTCCACTTCAGCTCCAACAGTCTACAAGTACAAGTATCTTGAACCGCGCTTCGAGGTTGAGCTAGTTGTCCAAGTGGGATTGAGGGACCGAATTTCTCCGGCCTCAAGGCAAAGCTACCTATTTACTCGTAGTCGTGCTGCTTAAATCCACCTGTCACAAAGGTTGTTTTCAAATGGTGCCCGCGTGGTGATGAGGGTCTTGGCTGAGGAAGGATCCGGCGGTGGCCTCCTTGGGACCATCATTTAGTCTCGAACTACTTAGGATATGCCAACGATATACGGTGAAGGAAAGTAGGTATGCTTGGTTGCCTGGAGATGGTGGTTCGAGGTAGTCCTTCAGATAGGTCGGATTGAACTAGCCGGTCCCAGGCCAAGATATTATGGATAGTAATTCAAGACGGCCTTCTCCGTCCAAGAAGAGGGCCTTGAGACGAAAGGCACCAAGCGAGTCAGAAGAGACGGATTTGGCATCATCTTGACTTTCCGCCTTTCACGTTGATCAAGGAAGTTGGTTTGCTACCTTGGACTTGCCAATACATTCAGTGACGTTGATGTGAGGTTCAGAAACAATTGTGTTGCAACTTCTGTCGGACTGAAACTGTCCAATCAGACGGAGCATATTGTCTCACAATAACCACGCCAATCATGACCAGCGTCGACAATTCGACTTTCTTGCCCAATGGAGGCTATCTCCAGAAGGGAAGAGAGACCAACATTCGAGCTAAGGATTTGGGAAACAAGGCTCACTACCTGGCTCCTTCTCGGTGGTATCGGGACGAGAAGATCTTCAAGTTGGAGAAAAGGGCCTTGTTTTCTACGGTCAGTGGTCATGTTGATAATATTCCGAATGTATATTGTGGATAAGGCTGATTCTGGGCTTGACAGCTATGGCACGTGGCCAGCTTCATCTCTCGATTCCAGAAAGCTGGGGATTACCTGTCTATGAACGTACGTGGGGATCGAGGGGACCGAGTGAACGAGAGCTAATGGCGATGTAGCTGCTGGGATGGAACATATTCCTGATTAGAGATAAACAAGGCAACATCAATGCGTTCCACAACATCTGTCGACATCGAGGTTTCCCCGTCCTAACCAAAGATTGTGGTTCCACACCAGTTGTGTCGTGTCGTTTTCATGGCTGGTACGTTCCCGACAACTGTGTGACACTCGAGGATCGAGCTCACCGTGACTAGGTCATATCTCCCAACGGGAGAACTCCACAAGGCCAAAGGATACAACAATCTGGAGGATTTTGACCCAAAGGACCACTCACTCTTCAAGATTCATACGCACATCACTCCCCAGGGATTCATCTTTGTGAATATGGATGCTCGTGAGACTCCTGCTGTGTCATTTGAGCAGCAGTTTGGGGATGATTTCGAACCGGTGCCTGCGTCAAAAACGGGCCAAGAAGTGGGGGATGAATTTGCACTGTTCCCCCGTGACGGACAGCACTGGACTTACGACCATACTTGGAACAGTTCCATTGCGGGCAAAGAATTTAACTGGAAAACGTTTGTGGATGGGTTCCAGGTAAGAAGTGTTGATCGGGGCGGCTAAGAGGAGATGGCTGATCAAGGGACGTCACAGGAATGCTATCACTGCGCAACAGGACATCCCACAACGCTGCCCAAGGATTTCAAACTGGACGAGTATTATCTTCGACAAGGCCACGGAGCGTCACGACACTTCTTGCCACCCAAGGTCGAAGGCATATCGGAGGCATACATCACATGGCTCTGGCCATTGGGGGCAGTGACGTTTAGTGACAATCTCCTGTTCATCGTCCGCTTTGACATCAATGGTGCGTTGGACACTTCGTATGACAGTGAGACATACCGAAGAGCCAGCATTGCGAAGCCTAGCCCGGAGTACGACGTTTGGATGAATGAAGAAATAGCATATTGGCGCCTGGTGGAGATTGAAGATGTGCAACTGGCAGTGAATGCACAAAAGGGGTTCAAGAATGGCGTCTTGGGCTTGGGACGACTGCACTCAGTCGAAGAACATGCTGTGAAATGGTACCTGGACAAAGTGCAGGAAGTGTTGGTGCAGCATGCAGAATTAGAGCGCAGCATGCAGAAGGATATCGACTATGCCATCCCTTCTGCTCAGAGCGAAGCAGCAGAAGCAGATCCCCTGTGCAGACTGCTTGGCCGCGAACACGCGTATGAGTGGTAGTTTGAGTGGAAATACTGTTTGACCTCGTGGCCCCGGATAGGACACGCAAGAAGATAGAAGAGCACACGAGACACTGTACGGAGTAGATGCGCTTGCCATGGAGAGACGTGCGACAATCATCGTCCATGAGGCAGTGCAGCAGCCTTGCACTCCTTTTCTTGTCATTCTGCTGCCGGCCTATTGAGGTGGCACAATGTCCATCCCTGACTATCATCAAAACTGCGCCGCTTGCCACGAGTCAATAATGCGGGACGGGTGATACCTGTAGTGTCTGTATTGGGTGGCACTGGTGGTCGCAATGTCGTTGAAACAGAAACTGCAGATCTTGACGCTTTGTCCAACCTTCTGGATGGAGGATGAAACAAGCGACAATTGGACTTGTGGGCCGGGAAAAGGTGGGTTGGTGGCCCAACGTAAAAAATTCAGCTGGTGTGATAGTGTACTCCGTACGGAGTATCCGTATGTCCTCCAGATGCAATAAGTGGGCGGGTGGGATTAATCAGGTACGGGGGACATTAGGAGGTGGCGGTGGATGGCAGCTTCTGGGTGCATTGGGTGCCACGGGTACCATCGAACACTGAGTCCCCGGGGGCTTCCAGGTAAGGGAGGGGCGAGTGGATCGGGGCATAAGGGAGGGGGAAGGATGGATGGCATGGATGGGCATGAGGTTTCCCATGTTTGTAACTGTGCCTGACGTCATGGCTCAACAAAACGTTGCGTGGCTGCCCGTGGCAGACAATTTCTCCGGCGGCTTTTGGACTTTCTTCCCAACCATCAAGCAACTCAAGTCTGAACGGATTCTTCTCAGCACGACCTCATGGAGCCAGCACGAACAGCTACTCCGTATGTACAATCTGTGGTCCCTAGGCCCTTGGCGCCTCTGAGGGTCAACCCACAACTCCTGGTCTATCAACTCTGATAAGCTGTGATGAAGATCTACACACCAGTCTGCACGTCTGTGATGTGCACAGGATGCCTAGGTAGGTACCTAGAACACCGACGCCCGGAACCCAAGTGAATGTGGTGGTTTTAGGGGCCAAACAGTGGCAATTAGTATTAGGTACTCCGTACATTCAGTACTGTATGGATGTAGCGTGCCTTCGGAAAAATCCTCCAGCTCCAGGTGCAACCTTGTAAACAACCTTGAGTCCTTGACAGTGCTGGTCACCCTAGGTACCTAGGTATACATGAGCGTTCCAGTATGCCTAAGCGTCAGCGTATGCATCCATTACTCTCGGCAGACATATCGTTGATATCATGACTTCCGTTTGTTCCAGCCGCCATCAATCACACACATCCTTGACGCCTACAATCAGGATATTTGCCTCCTAAGCCGAGCACCATGTCGGACTTCGACTCCATTCAGAGTCTCACAGTCTCATCCACTTGGCGAGGTCCACTAGTGGTGCGGTGGATCACGATGGCTACGGAGTACATGGGAAGTCGATTGTTCATCAGCAACCTGGTCTTCCTTGTTTGGTGGGAAGATCTTCTCCACTCCAAACTCCCACTCTGACGCACGATTCTCTACGTATCAGGACTCCCAAGAGCTCTCTGCCGCCTACGCATCAAGTACGTACACACACACAACTACCTACATACTTATCCCAGCCATCCTGATTTTCTCTACCCATGCGTGCCATGCTTCCATGGTACCATTTTACAGTTAGACTTTTAGCCACCACTACCGTTAGGAGGCTGCATGATAGCTACAAGTAGGAACATCCTCCTACAAACTGTGGCACCGTCTTCTGCAACCGCCAGCTCTTCTGGCTCCACCCACTCGTGGCCCGTGTCACATTCCCGAGACTTGGACTTGCCGTCAACAACACTACTCGTCCATGATGCTGAGGTTAAATGCTTAGCACTTTTTGGGCTTGAACTAATACCACCTACACGGAGCTTTTCTGCCGCTGGAATTCTTGGACTACGTATACATACCTACCTACCTAGGTACCTACCCATACTTCCCATCTGCTTCATATTCACAACTCGGTCTTTGCGCCCCTGGTCGCGTCTTTGTCAGTTTGATGTAAACCGGGATTACAGACCCTCCCGTGCCTTCATACTGCCGGGTCTTGAGTCTTGGAGTAGTGGCAGTGTCAGCGCAAGGCCCCTCGGGCTCTGTTGGTATTTCCATCAGCCATCAGCACTGGTTTGGTGCGATGATGGGGGAGCTCGTCCTTTTCCAAAAGCCTCCTTGGCCTACTGCGAGATAGCTAGTTGACTATGCATAGTGACTCGTGAGTAGCTCTTCAGAAGGATGCAATAGGTTTAGTGTAGCTATAGTGTTGTATAGTCTGGGCCACTCCCAAGCCTGTCAGTCATGATTCCCTGATTTTGAAGACTGAATATGCCTACTGACTTTCTGCAATCGATCGATATTTCCGGTTGGCCATGGCGATTGTCCACTTTTGATTTGCCATCCCGCGTCCCAGAGTGGATCGAGCTGCATCCACCGTCGCCGCCGACACGCACAGGATCCTCAATCCTGGATTCCTGGCACCCACATGCATGCAAGCCTTTGGATCTGCCTCGACTCTAAGCACACGCATACGCATATGCTCCTCGCTCACCTCTCCGGCCAAAATAATGTATACTTTCCCTTCCGCCTCCGCTGTTTATCGCTTCCCTCGTTTTGTGTTTTGTTGTTCTATTCGATCGCTTATATCCCTGGGCTCCTCTGCTTCATCCTTGTCCGAACAGAGAATCCTTGACTTCGACTCACTCGCTTCGTCGACTTGGACTCGTTCTAAACTTTGGTACCAGTCGTTATCCTATAACTCCGTCCGTCTATCCGATATCTAGATATACATGACGGTGACACTCCCGCCCTCGCTCCTCCGACACTTGTCATACTATACTACTCCCCATTTGCATGCTTCCCTTGGATCTGTCAAGGACTTCTCTGACCTTTAGTCGTTCGCTTGGACCGGTTGGACTTGTCGCTGTCTGCCCAACGTAGCACTGATCCTTCCCTCTCCGTCACTCACATGAACATTCGTCGTCTCACCATCAGCAGTACCCGGAGCGAGATGGGCCTGCTAGACGAACCTCAAGAGCCCGGCACCCCACCCCCCGTCTGGACACCTGCCACAACCGAGTTCTGGAAGAAACCTTCAAAATGGCAGATATGTATGCCGAGATTGACCCTGGTCGCAAAGCTGGTGGTCACCACCATGGCTTTCGTCGTCCTGGTCAAAGCTATAGGTCAGGGCCCAGTACAGTCGTCCAAACCTCCTCCGCCACCACCCAAGCAACCTACAAATGCCGAAATGAAAGAAATGGCAGATAGCATCAGTTGGACGTGGAAAGATTACCCTCAGTAAGATCTTCCGCCATCCCCGTCTCATTTTGGCCTCAAAAGCTAACATGCTTCTTCAAACAGACATGACGGCCTAACCCGGGGTACCTCACATTTGGATGGTTGCAAAGCTGGTCAAACAGATTGTATCCGCAAAACTCCACACCTTGTCCGCTACGATGGTCTGAAGAATTTCCAAGAATCTCCCGAGGACATTCTCTCGTGTATTGGCCCCAGAGGGCTTCAGCTCAACGAAAGCGACGAAGACGCCATTTGGGCTTACCCTGGTCGTGCGGCAGGTGCGTCACCATAATCTCGTTGCTCACGAGCCCCCCTAACCTCATCTCTAGGTGCCGTCGAGCCAAGCTTGGGCTCATACAAAGCTGCTGGATTGGATGGTGATGTCTCGTTTGACCGCATCGGCCGCTTCAAGGCCTATGGATTAGACCAGTTCGACGCGACCGATGAAGACGAGTTGAAAAAGAAGTCCGGAGACGTTGATTTCGATACTGTCGACTGGGGCGAACTGCAAGAGTCCTGTGCTGTCCTCAACAAGAATCGATTCAAGCCTCTCAAAGAGCGGCCTTCCAACTCGATTCAGTACTCGAATTTGCGTCACAAGCATGACCAGCCCTCTCCCAAGAGCCCGTCATCTACCCTGGATCTGAGCTCAAAGACTAAACGAACCGCTATTTTGATTCGAGTCTGGACTGGTGCCAAATGGACCGCCGACGCAGTCATGAACATTCGATCAATGGTAGCCGAGGCCTCTTTGGCCAGCGGCGGTAAATACCAAGTCTTCCTTTTGCTTCACGTCAAGGATGAATCTGTACCTTTGTTTGTCGGCGAGAATCAGCCACAGGCAACCATCGACAAATACATTCCTCCCGAATTCCGCTCCATGACTGAAGTGTGGAATCACGCGCAAATTCGGAGCTTGTATTCTAACCTTGCACAACATGCGTTTGTGGGACGATCACCTTGGATGATCGTCCAATGGTTCGCACGGAATCATCCAGAATTCGACTTTTTCTACCAATGGGAGTTCGACGTTCGTTATACCGGCCACTACCTCGACTTCTTCGAGGGCGTCTCCAACTTTGGTCGCAATCAGCCCCGCAAAGGAATCTGGGAACGTGCTGGTAGAGTCTACATCCCAGAGGTCCATGGCGACTTTGACACCCAGTTCCGACAGCGCACCCGTCAAGAAGACCCTCATCATGTCTGGGGGCCCGTCTCAGTGGAAGGCGTCAAACCTCGCGGTCCCAAACCACCCGTGCGCGAGTCCGAGGATAACTACCAATGGGGTGTGGGAGAGGATGCCGATTGGATCGGCTTCTTGCCCAGCTTCAACGTCACTGGGACTAACTGGTGGTTCAAAGATTATCTCTGGGGCTATGCTCAAGGCCATTCGACCCCTCGCAGGGCGACTTTAGTTGCCCAAGGCCGAGTCAGTCGTCGAGTCCTCGATATCATGAACTATGAGAACGCGGAGAACGGGCATCACATCGACGCTGAAATGTTCCCGCAAACAATGTGTCTTCACCATGGATTGAAGTCCACCACGTACCCACACCCTATCTTTGCCGATCGACACTGGCCAGCTCAAGGTCTGCAGAAGACCTTTAATGGAGGGCCTTTCGGTCAGGCAGGAGGCCATTGGAACAGCACCTTCAGTAAATGGAATGAGCACGCTTGGACCAACATGACGTGGTACTATAGCTCTGCTCAAGCTATGCCTATCTACCAACGATTCCTCGGCGTCACAGCACACGAGAGCGGCGGTCAAGAATGGGAAGACGCATATGGCCGGACGGTTGTTCGGCCAATGCTGCTTCACCCTGTTAAGGGCGCTAAGTCGTGGCTCTGGACCGATGGAGAGTGGCTCCAGACCAAAGGAGGGACATGATCCTCACCCCCATTTCCATCTGGCACGCAGAGCGTGCCTTGAGATTTTACATGCATTAGCCCAGGAGTTTGGAGTGTGGCATACGATTTGATTGATGATTACCACAGGAGGGACCTCGTATATATGAGATCAAAGGTCTTTTTTGCAATGATGGATGAAAGACTGGGAGTTGCAACCCTGCCAGATGAGATATTGACACATACACGAAGAGATGAGAGGTTTGGTTGCACAGTTTGCACCAGTCGGTGGTGCCCAGGAGGATCACCTGAACATATTGATGAACAGGGATCACAGCACAGCGGTCCAAGTTGAACGTACTGTATATAGAGATAGAGTAGCTAGCCGAGAGGCGGCGTAAATACATAATAATTGTAATCGACCAGTGGACTTTTTGTGCACACTTTCAGAGACGAGTACTACAGCACTAAAGGTGAGACGGTCGAGACACGGCAGCATAGAGATCCGAACCCCAGCTGGAGCGGCCGATTGCGGGATGCATTACTTTCCTAAGGCACTTGGAATTCTAAGCTCCTACTTCGCCTTATCTGACCTCTGAGAAACTTTCACGGGTGCCAAATTTTAGGCGGCATTGGCAGAGTTTAGGGGGCCCAGGGGCCAGCACGGATTTCGTACATGACGGCTTAATGCTGGTAACAGGTAGCACAAAGGGACGAGGAGGACCCCAATCAGCCAACCAACTGGCCCCAAGCAACGATCTGAATTCCCCAGAGGTTCCCAAGGATCACCTGGGGCTTCATTGGTTCCGAGGGTCCCCTTCGTTCCCATTGACAGGCGAGCGTGTGGTTGACTGAAGGTTTCGCTATCTTGCTGCGTTGCTGCTTACCCTGACTTACCACCAACGTACCAGCATGTCCTACAAGCCTACCTGCATGGACTGAATGTTGATCCGCCCAACAACCACTCCTGACATCCTACCACCAACATGTCCTAGGCTTCTCTTGATCACAAAGACCTCAACTCAATTCCTGAGAGGCCCGCATGTTCAATATATGGCTTTCCAAACCTAATGTCCACAAATCCTTTCCGCCGTAGTTCGTTCAAAGACGGTGCTGGCAGTGGTGCTCCTGCGCCCATCTCAATTCCAGCGGATCCCTCCGGCTCCAATCATACCGCCACTGCTCCTTTATCTGTCGATACCAGAGGCGAGTCAACAGCAGCTTGGTCATTGCAGGCATTGACTGACTGATCGCTTTGTCTAAATAGTTTCCAATGCATCCCAGAAACATGTGAACTTTGCTTCTCCGCCGGATATCATCTCACCGGCGTCTTATCCCCCCTCCCCCGAGTCCTCACGACAGGAATTCCCACACCCACTCATCAGTCCGGCCTTTCCAGACTCGTCATCGAACGCCTCTTCCTTCCCATATGGCTCGGCCCTTGCCAGTGACCCCTTCTTCACCGACCATTCCGAAGTGGATGATGACAGCGCTATAGATCATGCTTTGAGGGATGCACGGGTGAATGCGGGCATCTCACCACCGGCCACACCTTGGCCAGTCGTTCGAGGAGATGCCGTGAGGGATACACTTGGACGTTTTGCTAGTGCTCCACGTCGTGTGGAAAATGAGCAGGCCCATACAGGACCTACACGGTCTGCAATGGATGTAAACGCTTTTACGAAGTTGCTTCTCACTGGGCAGAGAGAAACCCCGGCTCCTCAAGAACGGACAACTGGAGAGTCGCCGTCGGTTGGAACCGTCCAACCAGCAAGTGAAAGCAGTTCTAGTGCAGATACGGCATCAACTACACAGCGCTCGCTGTTCGAGACTGCGCAACCCTCGGTGGAAGAGGAGAGCCCTCGATCATCGTATGAAGCGGACTCGAGAGAAGCCATCCAGCCTCGGCCTGTCGCCGCCCCTACAGAGATTCGAAAGAAACCACCTCCCCCCAAAAGTCGCCGTGGAAAGCCATTACGAGAATCTACCGGAGAGCAGGATTTGAAACAGAATTTCAATAAGTTCATGGATTCTCTCTCTATTTCTGACCCCAAAGCTGTTGGGCTTGACGCCTCTGCCCTCAAATCCCCCAAGGCTGCGGCGGATCACTCTGGGGAAAAATCCAGCACCACCGAAGGCAGTGAACTGCCTAGCAGGAAAACACCCCCTGCGCCACCATTGGCCAGGCGAAAGAGCCAACAGACGCCCGGAAAACCCTTGTTAACGCGAAGCACTTCTTCTCGTTACTCAGTCATCAGTGATTATGATGTTCCCCCAAGTCCATCGGCATCCAGCTCCAACTTCAAAGCACCGCCTCCTCCGCCTGCGCGGCGAACTACCTCAAGCAACGAGGGTCGTCCATCATTTGAGGTCAGACCGGTTCCAGAAGACGAACAAGTCGATACAGGGACAGTCGACGGCAACCTCTCTGCAAGAGAAGCAAGACCTGGAGTTTCACAGACGCCTTCATATCTGAAAAGACTCAGTCAGGGTCCTCCTCCACCAATTCCGCCTCCTCGCCGCGGACGGGGCTCCAGCCGAAGCAGCGTAGAGACACAACGACCCTCCATGGCCACTCTGGGTTTCTCTGAAGGTGATGGTGGTTACTATGATCGGGATGATAGGGATGAAAGGGATGAAAATCGCACAGATATTCTTGCAGATCTCGCAGCGCTCCAAAGAGAAGTGGATGCTGCTCGAGCCACTGCAAATTAACGACTCTCGAATTAGACCTGGCAGGAACCCACAATCGTGTATGGCCAATAGCAGACTTTGCACACATATATTGTAGATTTACACTGCATTGACGATGTCATTTGATACTGTTGTTAACTGGTTCTTCGCATGAAGTGTAAGGAGACATGTTGAAACTCACGTGATTTCTTTGTCTCCCTGGCGAGTCTACAGAAGGTTGAGGGGAGTCAGCATCACGCATACGTTGGTATGAGGTGCTACCAAGTAGACAGTCAACTACAAATCCTCTGAGGGGAGATTTGTACGGTGTTCCATAACATATTGCCCTCCATCCACCTAAATATTCCATTTTCCCAATAGGAGGATGCTTGAAGTGTTTGTTTGAGGGGCAAAGGTTTACGAAGGGACAAAAGTTGGGGCAAGAGAGCGGGCATGCCCCGCCGAACTGCAGCGGGCCGAAGAGTCCTCAAGTAACAGTTGGTGCGTGGAAATGCTCAATGACGTAGTGGGCTATGAAGGCAACCAGTTTTGTCTTTCAGGTGTCTTTAGTTGCGAACTACGAAAAGGAGGCATTGGGGTACGGCATAAAGACCGTCAGCAACGAATCGGTATGGACAAGGTCGAGTCCTTACGTGAGCTCTACGATTGCAATATGCGTTTGAGTGGGTCAAGAGTATGCTGTTCAAGAGATCCCTTTCGATGGACTGTAGTCAAGTGGTTAGCATAGAGCCACGGTGCTAAAGGGGTGGTTGTCAGTGGACCCAAAGACGGGCACTCGGGCCTAAGGGATTCAAACTATTAGGAGCCACTAAGCCCAACTTTTGGGGGAGAGACGTTCGCCTCAGGAACCTCCAGGGCCTCCACCCAGGTACGCGTTCACAATTCAGACCCATTAGCTTCGTCACTTTCATTCACATTCACATATAGGTACTTTTAGATGTCCTTGGTTCTTCACCACGGCATCGGCATCGAATTCTCCGTCAAACCGTCATTGCTCTCCATCTTCAGTTCTTCTTATTCTCTACCGCGCAGTCATCAATTCTCCCTGATTTCTACACGAACCATCTCTTGTGTACACGTTATTTCTCACACTGTCTCAATCAGGCCTACCTTGTCTAACCACTCTCGCTCCTCCACTTCCCCCCTCCACCTCCCGCACCCACTCTGGACTTCAACCCAGCGTGGCAGCACCAACACCGGCAAGTAATTCTCACCACTAACCATCCTACATCACCGTCGACGCCCTTCGCAGTGGCCTCTCGTGTGGCGCGAAATCTCTCTCGCAAGCACCTGCACCACCTCGTTGAACCAACCATACCTGTCTAGGCCCCCAGTCTCTTGACGTCGCAACCATGCCGAACAGAGGTCCAACTTTGATAAACTGTGAGTCTAGGTGATTCTGTATCTGGCGGCTGTCTGTACAGGAAACTAACAAGTCTAAACTCCAGTACCCCCACCTCCCTCCGATCCTGCAACCCCAAGTGAAATGGGACCTGGAACCCCCAACTCCACTACCACTTCCCTTTCTGCACTTTCAGTCGTTGCGATCAAAGATGGCGCTATGGGTCATGGTGGTAGAGGTGCAACTGCTTCGGCAAATACACTGGAGGCTGAAAGAGCTGATCGCATCTCTCGACTCGCGGGACTCGAAAGAGTAGCAACCACCCGACCCGCCCCCTTCGGCTCTGTGGGTGGAGGCCAGGGAATTCTCTACGGTCAAAGCCCTTACGATGGGGTTCCTCAGTTCCGAGAGCGAAGCACCGTTGGAAGCGCAAGCGCGACTGGTAGCGTTGGTGGAAGGACAACCTGGGCCAGCGGAAGCATTGACTATGAAGGAGACAAGATGAGCGAAGATCCAGACGACGGCGTCTCTAGCACAGGCGGCTTCAGCGACGAAGACAAGGCAAGTCTTGTCGGATTCGGGGAAGGAGCAGGCAGTACCGTCAGTGGCCCAGTGTCCAGCCTTCACAACCCCCGAGCCTCAATCTCCCGCCAAAGCACCAATGTCAATGCCCCTTCCACACCCCGGACTGGCACCTTTCCCACTTTTGGTTCTGGCCAGAGCACCCCCATGAGTGGTATTACCCCAAGTGGATTGGCGGGAAGTACAGACCCCAAGATGATGGATGGCATCAGTTACGATCAAAACTTTGTCGACACCACGATGCAGCCTGCGCCCTTGCTCGATCCCTCGACCGAAAGAGACCGCAATTCTGGCTTTGGCACCGATTCAGGAGAAGAAGTATTGAGGCGGAGATTCAGCGATGGTGGGCAGGTACGCCGCGGCCACTCAACTCCTGATCATCCATATCTAGGGAGGTTTGGAGGAGAGCGGGAGTAGTGAGACCAAGGTTTGGAGATTGGCATCAGCAGGCTGAGAACGGAGCTGGAGTGGTAGAGACATGGTTTCTCCGTCATCTCTCCAGGCGTGCGTGAATCACGTATGCATGTATGATATCAGATGAATGACGGCGTCAAACGGGATATGATTGGGATCGGTTTGGGACGAGGACTGGCGTTGACTCGGGCCAAAGGACGATTCAAGACGGGCGGTTTGAGCTTTATGGAGTTACGAGGCGACAAAGACTGATATGCCATGAGGAAACTCAATCAAAGGTGCAATGAATTGGGTAGGATAGATGAGTGGACATGAACGCGACAAGTCGAGGCTCTTGTTCCCTCAGGGCCAGGTCCTGTTCTCTTTCCATGAAGAATTGTACCTTCATACATGTAGACATTGCCCTCGAGCCTTGAGACAAATGTCTGAAATTCTTTTTGAGTCCAGTGTCAGACTCATACAGGATCGGCACTGTACAGAATAGTATCAGTAATAAAGATGAGGTCGGTCGGCACAGCCCAAGGTGCTAATTCGGGCCAAGCCTAACAGATTTCTGGTTAGGGTCTCCGTCACCCGCGAGACACTAGAACCAGAGCGCTTAGGCCGCCCGGCAAACCAGGGATTGTCTTAGTGACTGGGCGACTGGGCATGCGTCGGTCGGCGTGGTCAGTTGCCCGTGTCTGCGTCTGCATCTGTCCGACGAGTTTTTGAAGATAATTTGTTGTCGAGTTCCTGACTTCATTCTTGTTTCTGAAGAATCCCACTCACCCTTTCTCCCTCTCCCGTCCTCCTCTTCTAAACGCCTCTTGTGGTCCCCGCGCAGTTTGTCCGTCTACCGCAATCGCTGACATTGACTTGTCAAGTACGGGAACCGCCAGATTGTGACAATTCCTCAGTCTCCTCGTGCCTGCGAATCCGAATCCGTCACCGGATTTTCGACCCTGACCACAAAGGTCCCTTTCCTCTATCTATCTTTGCCCGCCTCCCTCGAGCCTTGCTGTCAATCAGATTTAGCCTTCAGATCCCATTGGTACAGGACTCCTTGTCTTACCACTTAATTCCTCGTCGGTCGCCAGCATGGCCGTCACAACGCAGTTTGCTTGTCAGTAAACCTCAAATTTCCACCCGTCGCCACCCAACGCCATTTCGCTAACAAGTTGACAATAAACAGTCCGCACGCTCAAGGAAGTTGGAATTGTCAATGCTGTTCCTTCTTACGAGTCCTTGCCCGACTTTGAGAGGTCTAATATCCCCTACTCCACTCGTCAAACTAAGTCTGACCGGCTCTTAGGCCACAAGGAAACATTCGTTCTTGCGCCTATTCTCCCTGCGGTCGTTACTTTGCTTGGACAACGGTCGAAAAGTACGCTCCCTTCAATACCCATATTTGACATGTCTCATCTCTAATGTTGCTACTACAGAGTCAACATCATTAGCGCAGATAATGGTGCAATCGTTTCCACCCTCCCTGCCGAAAATGTCTTTGAGCTAGGATTCTCCCCCTTGGGCACCTACATCATCACATGGCAACGACCCTCCAAGGATGAGAATGGCGACGCCGTCAAGAACTTGAAGGTCTGGCTGGTCTTTGATGACAAGGCGGCTGCCGAAGGGGTCGAAAAGCAACCTCTAGCGACATATGTGCAAAAGTCCCAAACAGGCTGGAACTTGCAATACACCTATGATGAAGCCTTTTGCGCTCGAACCGTCACAAATGAAATTCAGATCTATCAAAGTCATGACCTGTCGACCGTCTGGAATAAAATCCGGATCGAAGGCGTTACCGACTTTGCTGTGTCGCCAGGGAAAAATCATTCCATCGCCGCATTTGTCCCCGAAAGAAAGGTATCAAGCATCATCTTGTTTATAGTTTCGGTGCTTTGCTGACTGCTCTATAGGGCCAACCTGCTGCGGTCCGTGTTTACAACGTTCCAGAGTTCACGACCCCTGCCTCGCAGAAAAACTTCTTCAAAGGTGACAAGGTCCAGCTAAACTGGAACGACAACGGCACCTCCTTGATTGTGCTAGCACAAACAGAAGTTGACAAGACTGGGAAGAGTTACTACGGAGAGACCACGCTGTATCTTCTCAGTGCGAGTGGTGGTTTTGACTCGAGAATTGATCTAGGTATGTCTAATTCAGATCTACAATTCGAATCCCACTGATGAGAGTTCAGACAAGGAAGGGCCCATTCATGATGTTTCGTGGTCGCCAAAATCCAACAGCTTCGCTGTCGTCTACGGGTATATGCCTGCAAAGACCGTCATCTTCAATGCGAGAGCACAGCCTGTTCACACTTTCCCTCTAGGACCGAGGAATACCGTTCTCTTTTCCCCTCATGGACGCTATGTCCTTGTGGCTGGTTTCGGGAACTTGGCTGGTCAGATGGACATCTACGACCTTGAAAAGGATTTTGCCAAGATCTGCACTATCGAAGCCAGTAACGCTAGTGTCTGTGAATGGTCACCCGATGGTGTACACATTTTGACTGCGACAACTTCTCCCCGTCTTCGCGTTGACAATGGCATTCGTATCTGGCACGCCAGTGGTCCTCTGGTCTACAACGGGGAAATGAATGAGCTGTACAATGTGTACTGGCGCCCGCAGAAAGCATCAGCTCATCCCTTGGCTCCAAATCCACTAGCAATCGCTCCAGTCTTGCACAGCAGTGCCACTGACTACATGGCAACACGAAAAACCCCGAGCAAGCCAGCTGGTGCTTACCGACCGCCAGGAGCCCGAGGCCAAGTGACTCCCCTTTCCTTCAAACGTGAGGACGAAGGCGGTGCAGCTTATATCCGAGACGGGACTTCATCGTTTTCTAGTAATGTCAACGGATTTGGCAAGCCTCGTCAACGAATCGTCCCTGGGGCCGAAGTCGTCGAGGATAAAGCGCCACTTCCGCCGGGTGCTGCCCCTGGGGGAGGGGTGAGTCTCACGGGTACTGGGGAAGGCGCTGATGGAGAACCTCTGTCTAAAGCTGCAAAGAAGAATGCAAAGAAACGCGAGGCTAAGAAAGCCGCCGCCGCCGCAGCCCGTGATCAACATGGTTCCGGGAATTTGGCTCCCGAGCAAAGCGGTACACAGAAGAAAAGCGGGAGCCGAAGTCCCGACGGCCGTGGACATCAACGAAGCCAGAGTCGAAATTACGTCCCGGCTCCTGGCCTGGAACCTCCATCGGGACCAAGAAAGGAAAGAAGCCGCAGCAATTCCCGTAGGCAACGTGGTGACACCAACGGCTCTCATCATGCTCAGACAAATGGCTTCGCCAAAGGACCTGCGCCATCAACGCCCAACCTCAAAGGACAACGAGGAAGTGCCCCGGCCAACATCAATACCACTGGCCAACTGCCACCTCCCCCGCCCATTCCAGCAAGTGACCCGCCAGAGTTGGAGGTCACCAGCCCAATGACACCTGGTGCAAGTCAAGACCCCAGAGATAAGAAAATTCGGGGCCTCTTGAAGAAAATCCGTGCCATTGAAGACCTCAAGATGCGTTTCGCGGGAGGTGAGAAGTTGGAAGACACTCAAATGAGAAAGATCACGAGCGAGGATAGTGTCCGGAAAGAACTGACTGGGCTGGGTTACTCGGGACCTGTCTGAGCATCTTTTTTTTTTATTTCACTGGGTTTGCAACGGGTCGACAATGGGTTTGGACGCGAATGGAAATCGTCCGCGACTGTATCACGTTGAGGAGTTGCAGTGTTCTATTGCAAGGGAGGTTGTTCTGCATCAGCCAGTTTTGAGATTGTTTTGGCTACATGTCTTCCACCAGGCAGCATCACGATGTTCTTTGCGGGTTGCAACGGGCGCCTCTGAACCAGACATTCGAGACCAAGTCGACTGTCAAGGGACCATCTTGCTTAAATCCAGAGGCTAGAAAAGCCGTCAAAGCGATATTTTTCGTTTATTGAGCCATATCCGCCTGGACCTTCGGGGTGACCAAGGTGAGCTTGGTGTTGGGTGGTAGATGGGACTTTGCAACTAATATGGGCCTTGAAAAAAAACACGAGCCTGCCATTCGAGATGTTTGCCGCCAGGGTTCTTTTCTTTCCGGCCAGCACCTTTTCGCTCGACTCTACCGGTGACTTTGGAAGGCCAAAATTTAAACTGTGCTGCTCGTGCAAAGGGTTAGTCAATCAAATTGCATGAATCAGAGCTGGCCACTGGTGGAAAGGTAGGGTAAGACGGGGTAGGATTAGTTTGGTTATATAGAAATCCGAACGATATCCTCATTACATGTGGAAGCGACTACAATCTATAAGATACCATAAGGCGTTCGTCAATGAACTAGCACACGGCCTGAGCAATAGCTTTCCGCAGACTATAGTACGACAACGAAAGCATGAACATAAGGGGGAAAATGCAGAAGAGAATGTGCCGTGAAGATATGTACACGTGCTCAAAGGCCCGGTCGTTGCTGCCAGAAACAGCAAACGTCGATCTCTCGCGAAGGATACTGAGCTGTGACAAAAGGTATTGATCTCACCTTGTGCTCCACCTAGCATCGCGATTGTGAAAGGCAATGGGTTGGGTTCGAGGGCCAAGTGTGTCGGTTGGACAACAACGAAAGTGGAAAGATCTGGAAAACGGCTGGGAAGAAAATAATGCCGTGGCCACTGTAAACAGATTCAATAACATAGCGCAAGTTGATGTTTTGCAATCAAATTTGACACCGGCTGTATGCTGTCAATGGAATGGAATAAAACTGGTATGGGTATCATCGTTGAGCTTTAATGTCGCTTTATCGAACAAAAATAGAGCTTAGCGCTCAGGTATCGTGCGCAAGTCTCAGGCAATAACCGCACTAGATGCTTCGCGTCCCGGCGCTGAACGAGGGGGTTCTTGGTGATGCTTTCAAGTGAAAATTCGTCGCTGCGTAGGCTGGGAGGGACGGCTTCGACCATGCCCTACCCCATCTTGGGCAACTCCACCTGCATACTTAGAAGATGGTCCCTGTCGACCTGCTAAGCGACTGAAAGGCATATTTCTTGATGCCGTGAACTTGGCAGGCGTCGGTGACCCGAGAACCATGCTCGTGTCATCATCATCATCATCATCATCTGAGGTGTCGTCCTCGCGGAAATGCGCGTTCTTGTTGAACGACCCGTGCCGCTTCCCGCCAATATTGGTATCCATATTGTCTAGGATCCGATCCATACCATCGACATCTAGCTCCCCAGAGTCTAGAAGAGCTTGGTCAGAAGTATGTGGGATAGTGGTCATTGAGCCGTTGGTGTTTTCGTGCAATGGATCGGAAAGTGGATGTACGGAAAGGATAAGGCGGTGTGAGGTCTGGACCATGAACTCGGGTATTGAATCTGTAATACCCAAGAGGCCAAGCGAAGAACCTGGCGTGGAACATGGCAAGACATGGATGCACTGCTGGTTCTGTCCCCCTAACTTGAGGTTTGGCATACGAACAGGCTGCGTATCGCCTTTCCAAAGAGAGAGGATCGACGGAATGTAAAGGCTTTGGTCTGCGAAGCTGATTGTCACCGACTCATCTTGAGATCGTCCATTCACAGAGAGGGACTGGCGATCAACAGAAATGGATCCATGGTTTCTTTGAGGGCTAGACGGAATGGTGGCTTCCGTTGCCTTGCCTCGAAATAAGCCGTCAGAGCGTTCTTTGCGAGTTGCAGGCGTCATTGGCGCCAATGAGCCCGAGCTAGGTTGGAATGCGACTGTTGATGACTGCTTTGCCACATTTGGCAAATTAACATGCGAACGAACGGCAAATCTCGTCAAAGAGCCGCCCTGAATACCAGAGATATTTGATTGCCCTCGAATCAGGTTCATACCAGAAGTTGTGGACCTGGGGCCGACAGCTTCAAGATCCCAAATACCCCATTCGCCATCTTCAAGCAACCCAATGATAGCCCGGCCAGCAGCTATCCATTGCGCATCTATGACTCTCTTTCTCCTAGGGACACCACTAGCGATATCTGAAGTTTCGAAAGGTGGAAGAAAGGTCAAGGGGAAGCTTCCTCCGTCGGAAGCATGTAGAGAGTCACGACTGGACATAGAGTCCGCGGTTGCGGTAGATCCGCGGCGGTCCCGAACATGGGTGGCAAATACATGATAAAGTTTCACAAGTGAAGCTGCAGGAAGAGTGAGCAGCAACGACGAATGTCGCTGCGATGGGAAGACGGCTGGATTGAACGTCAATCGTGCTCCCGCGGCTGGCGAGCGCAGATACTGACGCCGGATGGGAAGAAAGTGTTGGGGTTTTGTGGAGAGTTTCCTCTGTGATATCAGGGGTAGCTGATGGACAAGCAGCAATCCGGACCCTGTGGATGAAACGGAAGCTACAAGCAGAGACCATTTCTGAAGAGTCGAGTTGCCATCTTCTGCTCTCGCCGCTTGGGAACGCGCACGTGTGTTCGGTCGCACTTGATCGTCGATCTCAGTTTCGTCCGCTTCAGCGCCCGTGGACTGGGTAATGGCAATGTCAGAGATAAAGTCTTGATGAGAATTTGGGCCAAATATTTTCAGGCTTTCAACCTCAAGCGTCGAGACATCGCGCACGTCGGGATGAGGAGGAGTAAGGGGTAGGGTGACGATGCGGATAGAGAGGTCGGCACATGCAGCAGCAACAATGATGCGATCGCGATAGATCAGTGGGTAGCTATCTGGAGCCGCCTGTGAGATGTCGGTGTGGATATGAGGAATGGCAATGCGAAGGGCTGCGGTGCCTAGGGGCAAGTCCATGAAACGCAAGACACGTTGGTAAGGTGCTGAGTGGTCGATTTCATCATCGTTCTGTTGAAATTCAGTGGGTCCCACCGTCTGATGTGGTGTGGCTGGCGTTTCATTGTGAGTGTCTTCGTCCTCGAGGTCAATGACCATGGGGGTGCTCTTGGAGGTTCCGTTCGTCTTGGGCGCCGATTCAGGTTTTGGAGAAGCAAATGATCTTCCGCCATACCAAACAACACGTAGGCCTCTATCATGGCCGTAGACAATTATTCTCGAGCCGTTGGAAGACCTTTGAGGGTAAACGCATGAATGGTATGCCTGGTGAGGAAGTTCATAACTGTTGTTGTTTGATTAGCTTGGTGGACAGAAGGACGGGCCAGGACCCAACGGGGGACAGAGGCCCATACGTGATTTGAAAGCGGCCCTTCTGGGGGAGCACGTCAGGATCCATGGCCAGAGCCTACCTAGGTACCTAGGGAGAGAAAGATAGTGGTGGAGGCGGTGGGAAGATCGAGGAACTGACCAGCGATGCAAGCCGGTATGAAGAAGAGTTGAAGTGGCCATACATGACTTCCGCATTTGGAAAAGTGAGGTGCGGAATTTCTGGGGAAAGCGCGTCACACTGCGCGTGTCTTTGAACATGGGCGCACCTTCCCTCCCGTATGCCCACGTAGTCCCGCAGTCGATATTCACTTCTCTCAACACCAGGCTCTGGTTTTTGCCACCATATCAGTTTGTCAGTGGTCTAGCAATAATGGTGAGAAGCACCAGACACGACTAAAGGCCGACTCGTCACTCAGCATGCCAGTAATGGACGAAACGACCATCCACCCCACCCTGGCTGTCCAACAAATACGCACCTCTCCTCCATCCAACCCCCATCCTCCGATGCCATGTGCTCGATTCAGTCCCTTGGCCTCCATGAGCCTTCGGCTTTACCATATCTGGTTGCAGAGTCAGTCCTTCCGACAGATCCTCGTCCTCACCAGTACACCTGGAACCTGTCTCAAACCCTCGATGATGACAACGCAACACTGATTGAGGAGGAAGTCCTCTTCACCCATGCTTGTGTTGTTTGGTCGAGGAATCGCTCCGTCAAAAGAGTCCTGAACCTCAACGTCGAAGGCGAATCAATACTTCACGCATTTGTCACACGATTCAGTGCAACAGAACTTTCTGCCGCTGCAAATCTTCAGAACAAGGTCGCGAATGGGCCGCTATCTTCTGAGCGTGGCTTGGTGGTGGTTCTTAAAACCCAAGCGCATATCTTCCTCTTCTCAGGCGACACCCATGTCATTCCACTCTCTTTTGAGGTGGAATCTGCCTTTCCACTGCCATCTGGCTTCCTCCTGCAACGGCGACTAGCTGATAATGAAGGGGCTAGTCAGGATTCTTCGCCTTCACAACATGACCTCAGCATCATTAACGAAACAATTATCTCCACAGGTGCAAACACCTCTCGTGTATCGATCGTTCTGCCAGCCCCTCATCCTCCATCCCTCCCGTCAGTCCATTCCTCCTTGATTGGAATGTCTCGCACTTTTTCTTTTACACAACTAATGTCTGAGATGGGTCTTGTCGTATGGAGTCCGAGCCGCAAGGGTCAGCCCTTGGCCGAATGCAAGGCTCTGCCCAGATCCGAGAGACTGATCTTCACATCAGCACATGACGAACTGAAAAGAGACCACAGCGAATGGCCTCCGCTTTCTATAGCTCTAACGGTCAATGAGGGAAATGCATCTATTACACTGTGGCATGTGATCGTCGACCATGGCAACGGTGCTAGGGCACATGTTGACCAAGACCATAAACTCGCCAAGGGACAGCACACCAAGAGGAAAAGCTCCCATGCATACGCTCGTGATCCAGCAACAACTCCAAGTGCGCGCATACCTGCGTCCGGGATGGGAAACCTGGTCGCAGAAGGGCAGGTGCATACACATGGATATCCATCCCTACCTGACGATGAGAAAGTCTTCTCCGGCAATGACATTGCAGCGCAGTTGGGTCCCGAGTTTGGTGAATTGGGTGTCCAGACTCGCTCCACGCGGCGCGTGAGTTCAATGTTAGCCAGAACGGACCTGGGCTCTGCTAATGAACGTACCACCTTCAACGATATCGCCATCAGCCATACTGGTCGCCAGAGCCTGAACAGAGCCGGTAAACGTGGAGAATCTATTGGGGGGCTTAGCGATCGTCACAGTTTTGGCTACCGCCGTCGAAGCTCTTTCCCAACCAATGTCTCCACCATGAGTAACGGGACCTCGTTCCTTGACGCATCAGCTCGCGGGCTCTTGGAGGACTTGGACTCCTCGCGACAACTTGTTCGTTTGGAAGATGACAGTCAGGATTCGCGGGATAACCACCTCCCCCGGGACGTTGGCTTTGCAAGGATCAAAGCAATACCCAGATCGAACACCTCAATCAAACCCGGAGTTAGCGATGCTTTGAAAGTGCTTATCCTAATGCCTCCGGACCACTCCAGCCGCAAGAATCCTAACGAGCGTGACCTGTTCGTGTCTCTTGTCGATAAGGGCAAACAAGAGATGATCCTGATGCAGGTCTTGGCTAAGCTTCACCCCGACTCCGGCAAGAAATCGAGTCCATTGAAGCGACCTATCGAGCTCAAGGTCACAGAGGTGCGGCGTATTTCAGGAGTAACAGATGCCTGTAAGGTCGTTGAGGGAGGCATTCAACGTTTGGTTGTGCTAACCCAATCACGATCCAAGCATATCTCCCTGCATCTTGAGGCTCCCTGGTCTCCGTCGTTCAGAGTCGAGCTAATGACTCATTTTGCAACATTTGATCCGCTTGCCCACGCACGGCTGAAAAGCCAAGGACTGTTCAAGGGAGTAAGCTCGAAACGAGCCATTCCAGCAGATGAAATTGAGATACATGGTTTGATGGACGCCGGAGCCCCAAGCCAATTCTACGCCCTCGATCAGAATGGTCTACAACACTCGATTTGCCTTCAACTTCGGCCAGCAGACCCCTTGGTATGGCAAATCCTTCAAATGAGCGATCTCGTGGTGGTCTCGAATAGGAGGGAAAGCTTACTTGTTGCATTTTGGGAGGTTTCTCGCTGGTTGAGTCATCGTGATCCCTCAGCATGTTCCGAGTGGACAGTACTTATTGTCCTTCTGTTTTCCCTCGCGGTTTCCTACTTGAACAATCAATCAGTGATGCCGACTCATCGAAGGAAGAAAGGAGCCTTGCTCCGCTCAAGTAGCGGAAATCCCGTTGACCTCACAAATTTCAATAACATGACTTACGAATATCATGATATCTCTGGAAGAACACCAACAGAAAGCCCTGCCTGGAGTTGGCTTTCTGGTAGGAAACAAAGTGGCAGTACATTAGTTCCCAAGACGAAACCAGCTCGCACCGCACCAGCTAGTGCGCATGAGGACGACAATCAGGACAAGAAAAACACATTCTTGCTGAATTGCATAACATTGGCCAAAGACTATGTTCAATCTCCCATGGGCGAAGCTGCCATGGGCCCCGAGGGCTATTTACCAACCTCTGTCAACAACGACCGTGAGCAACGCTGCAATGCAATACCAAGTATTCTCATCGGCCTACATCTTCTCTTCGAGGAATCTAGGCTCAGTGTGAATTCGTCGCATTTCATGGATACCTCCAAGGCAAATTTGGTGCTTGTTATGATGCAAATCGGACAATGGTTGGACTGGAAAGACTGGAAGTATGGAGTAGCCAGTTATTACAGACATGAGACCCCAGAAAGTGATTTTTGTCTTTTCGACCACTCTGTGATTGATGCTCTCCCTATGCCACCACAGCCATTTGTTCCGCCGTCGATCTATGAGGAACTCGAACACTGGATCACTGAAAGTCGTCCCTCGAAGTTTCTGACCTTGGCAAGAGTTGCTGGCGAAAGTGGTGCCGTCGACCTCGGCAATCCGATATGGCAACGCACGTCGCAGCTGACTCCTCGGACCCTGTTTTTGCTTGCTCTCATGGATACGGAAGCAACGTCAAACGGCACACGAAAGGCATTAGAAGCGCAGTTCAGGTCGAAGATTGGTCTCGAAGAGCTTGACTCCATCCCAGATGGTATCGCTGCTGTATTCTATCAAGCAGTTGCAGCAAGAGTGAACCATCTCGATGAAACTGCGGCATTGGAATCTATCTCGTCCCTCGATCATTATTCTGAGCTGAGAGACCGTGGTGGGACAAGCTACGTACATGTCCCTGAAACCCCTGTTCCCACTCACGAAGCATTGAAAGACTATCACAGCATCTGTGCGTCAGCCGCAGATGCCGAGACGAATCAAAGATGGGATGCATCATCAGAGGCCGACCGTCATGCTATCACTAGACTGATCTTTAACGATGATCGCCGGTTCCCAGAGGCTTCAAGACTTGTGAATCAAACAAGGGCTCCCATAGTCGAATGCACTCCTGAACCCGAGTGGACTGAAGTTGAACTGCTTGAAGCCCAGAAAGAGTTGGCCCAACATGTGACTCGCCGAACACTTGCTGTCGCAGCTGGCAGAGGCATGATGCATTTCAATGCCAGAGTACCACTGATCACCGAAAGAGTGCCAATACCTGCTTTTAGCCTGCAATGCATCATGAAGCCAACAAATTCCAACGACAGCACTCAAGCCATGACGTTCAGCGCAGAGAAGTCGGCTTTCACAGAAGAGAAGGTTTGCTGGGCTTTCTTCCACAACGGAGCTTCAATGGGCCTCATGATTGCTACAGAAGCGGACTGCATCGATACTTCCTGGATTCTGTACAACAAGCCGCCAGAGTTGACGAATCGGCATGCTGGCTTTCTCTTAGCATTGGGCTTGAATGGCCATTTGAGATCCCTGGCTAAATGGGTTGCGTTCAAGTATCTGACACCTAAGCACACCATGACATCCGTTGGTCTCTTGCTTGGATTATCGGCTTCCTTCCTCGGCACGATGGATACCTTGATTACAAGGCTTCTCTCAGTACATGTCACCAGACTATTGCCACCAGGCGCTGCTGAGCTGAATTTGTCGCCATTAACACAGACTACTGGTATCTTGGGAATCGGACTCCTCTATCACAACTCCCAACACCGGCGGATGTCAGAGGTTATGCTTTCTGAAATCGAAAACAACGACCCTGAGGAAGGCTTCGGGACTGATTCAGTCCTTCGTGACGAGGGATATCGCCTTGCTGCCGGTTTCTCTCTTGGTCTCATCAACCTCGGACAAGGCGCAAATCTGCACAGTCTTCACGATATGGGCGTTATGGAACGACTCTTTGCCATTGCGGTGGGGACAAAGAATGTGGATATGGTTCACGTTCTTGACCGAGCAACTGCAGGTGCTGTTATCGCCATAGCTTTCATCTTCTTGAAGACGAACGACGAAGCAGTCGCGCAAAAGGTCGACGTCCCAGATACGCTGCATCAGTTCGACTATGTGCGCCCGGATATTTTCCTTCTCCGAACACTTGCCCGTCACCTTATCATGTGGGATGAAGTAAAGCCCACCCTTGACTTCATCAGGCATTCGCTCCCTGCTCCATATCGTTTACGAGCCGACCTTAAATTGACCAAAGTGCTCAGCACTGAAGACATGCCATTTTTCAATATCCTCGGGGGAATCTGCTTTGCGATAGGCTTGCGCTATGCAGGATCTCAGCGTCTCGACGCACGCGATATTCTGGTCTATTATCTGGACCACTTCCTTCGTATATCTCGTTTGCCGGCACGCAACTATGACGCTCGTGTCACACTGAACAGCATCCGCAATTGTCTGGACACGATAGCACTTGCAACCGCCTCTGTGATGGCAGGCTCGGGTGATTTAGTTGTCATGCGCCGCCTACGTGCCCTGCACGGAAGAACAGACAAGGATACTCCGTTTGGTAGTCACCTTGCTGCTCACATGGCTTTGGGAACATTGTTTCTCGCTGGTGGCACGCGAACATTCAGCACCTCTGATCTTGCCGTTGCTAGTCTTTGCATGGCATTCTATCCCGTATTTCCTAGTGATGTTCTGGACAACCGGGGTCATCTACAAGCGCTACGTCATTTATGGGTTCTTGCGGTGGAAGGAAGATGTTTGGTGGCTCGCGATCGCAATGGAGGAGGAGCAGTTGTGGGTGGTGTGACGGGTATAATTCACCTTCGAACCGGAGAGGTTCAACATCTGCGCCTCCCTGCACTCATCCCGGAATTGCACACCATATCATCAATTGAAATCAAAGGCGACGGCTTCTGGGATGCCAAACTCGATCTTGGTAGTGATCAAGCCAGGACAGCTCTACAGAGCCGCATCAAGAAAGAAAAGGCCATCAATATTATGCTCTCGCGCCGAACGGCATACGATCAACCTGTCCAAAACTTGTTTGCAGCGGAATTCCAAGCGAGAAGTGACCGATCTGGATTTCCGAGCGCAGATCCATATGCAACATCTGCAGGGGCCGTGTACAACGCTGCACACCTCGGTGGGTCGAAGACGGGTTCACCCTTTGAATGGCTGTTTGAGCTCGAGTCATTGTCTGGTTTCGACCATGCGGAACGTGCACTCGTCCTTGGTCCAGGTGCCGTCGGCGACAGAGATCCTTTGGCGTGCACAGTCGTGGACACTAGGCTGAACTTGGAGCAAGGAATTCTGTTCACTCTAGACAACAGGGCCAGACACACGGCTGTTCGACGCATGCACAAAGTAAAATTGTGGCAACTGCGCCTGCTGTTTGCCTGGCTCGACCGATGGGAGCGTGAGGACGAAGACATCGATCAGGAATTGGATGTACAGCGGCAAACACTCGGGTCCTCGAAAGAAGATACCGAACCCCAAGGCCGGGAAAAGTGGTTCAACGATGTCGGTGGGACTTGGTTGAGGCGGGAGGTAATTGAGAGAATGAGATACCGCGTCTGGCACATGGCGGCAGCTGGCGAGGGATCCGCAAGCCCATGACGGTGGTGACATTCAAGACATATAATCTTGCGACACGAGACTAGATAGAAGGACAGAGGGCATGCAGACGCTTTGCCTGTGACAATGACTGATAACTGGGCCTTGTATAAACTGCAAAGGTGGGAATCGACTTCCCAGACGATAGAAACTAGTGGCAGTTAGAGATATGATTCAGTTCATTGGCCTCCTCCGTCGGAAAAAGGGCGTCGCGTGGAGGACAATGGTGGCGTCAATAGGTACAGAAATGGAAACAGGGCTCATCATGAGCTTCACAAGTGGAACGACTTGTGCCCAGGTTGCAAATGACCGCATCCTAGTCTCGTCCATTATGAAGATGCCATGAACATACATACTTGATGTGCGTCTCACGAAAGCTGTTGCCGCTGCATCTGACGAGACTGCTCAACAAGGGTGAGTTACAAGTGAGCAGCGTAGCATGCGGGAATCGGCGCATGATCATATCAGCGAAAGTGGAACGATATATCAATAGATCAGACGATGATGACAATATTGTTGCTTTTATCGTTTGGCAATCCCTTGGTCGGCGAGGCAAATTAGTCTTGAGACCCTTTCGGCGACAGGCCCTTCCACCACCTCCCGCATGTTTCGACAGCCCCTCGGCCGTCTCCATACCCAAAGAGTGGAATTTGTGGACCCAAGAATAGCCATATGGCTGAGGCTGGAAGAGAGGCCTATTCACCGATTGGCCCAGTGCTGGCTGACGTGAACATTATCAAACAATGGCTGATGTGTACTTTTATGCGAATGGCGATCAACACACCCACGCTTCCACAGTAGGACTGAGGACCATGAATCCGCGTCCATGCGTCCATGAATGCCTAGCAACGTCATATTGTCAATGGCGAAGGGTTTTGAGTACTCAAGATCCCGTGGAATTGGAGGGTCTTGGCGATTCCATTGCCGACTTCTTGCTGTGACACTGCAAGTCATTGCTAAAGGGGGAAAGAAAAACCCAGGTCGAAGGGGCTGGTGCTTTTAGGAAGATCGACGTGATGGCCGAGGAATAGCCTTCTGGGCAAGATCAACGACACTTCCTAGCATCATCTGAGTAGCAGCTGGAACACGCGTGAGACCTTCTGACTCGGTGCATAATGAACACAGGGTCTCGTCGTAAATGGCCGGATGATTATTAAAGGCATTTCCAAAACCGGTCCACGCCTCCACACAAAAGGTCAACCAGGGCATAGTGGCTCCTATTTTTGACAGCTGCAGCCAGTCGTGATACAATACCCATAGTAGTCATGATTGTCGAGTCGGAAGTTGACAAACCCTTTCGTATTCCCCCGACATATGTCTTTGTCACTTGCATGAAATTCTCTGAATCACAAGAGATCTTGAACAAATTGTCCTTTTGGGAAGATGCTTGTATTGATAGCGCAGAAATTGAATTGACATCAAACGGAAGGTGCCACCCAAACCTCGGCCTTTCAAACCGCGTATTATACGAGAAGGATAAGGAAGGAAATCATCAAGGCGTGCGCAGGAAATGAAGTCTCTCATCCTTTCTTACCTTGAAAAGGAAACTTGTTCAGGTGCTTAGACAGCACATCAATTGCGCCGCAGCTTTTCCAGAGTCAGAAGGTCGGTTCCGATGCTTGTTGATGTACCAGCAATGCTCGCTCTGTGTATTTGTGTGTACATCAGCCATAACGCTATCGTCATTTCTGCCAACGGTGTCCTCGTCGACCATTCGGTACAAGATTCAGAGAAAACTTCTCGCTTACTGATAGCGTCTGGAAAACTGCTAGAAGGTGGAACAGGTGTGAACACGGTCCGCCCAACAGACAAGTTTAGCCAAAATGCACAATCATTGTGTACATTACTCGTGTGGACATGATCGGGAAACCTTCCTATACAATGCTTTGTGCCAGTATTATGCCCCCGCTGCGCCGTTATGGTCACTACGGCCGACCAAGAACTTGCAACGGCCAAAAGTCACGTTGCTGGGAGGCTCCTTACGCCGTATCGTATTGAATTCCATTTTCGGCTTTGTATAGTGTCTTCCGTCTTCGTCGACGATACGCTTATGCACACGGCCCAGGTTTCGACGGAATCATTCCGGTGTAATAGGCTTGACTCTCGTCATGATGGCTAAGGTGAACTAGAAGTTGAAGGCTTCATAGTATAGTGGATAGGCTCCGTAGTGTCCCCCTGATTTCCGCCTTTGTTTGGAACGAGGCTGATTTTGCATTCCGCTGTCGCTGTCCCAACTTGGAATCGACTGGACTCATCGTTTAACGCCAAATTCAAGTGAGTCATCTGTGGGGTTCAGCTCATTGCAGGTAGCTCGGTTTCCATAATCCACGAGCGAGCAAAAGAGACACAGTTCATGGGCAGCTTGAGGTAGACATCTGCGGGACTAACGCGCTTAGTATGTTCGACGTGGGGTGGAGAAGTTTCTGACGCCGTGTAGAGATCGTGCGTTGGCCGAAAGAGGATAGAGGACGGACAAAGCAGAGGTGGTGTACAAGTCGATGTTACGCGGTAGACATACGAGATCTTCGGATTCTCCGTTGCAGACGATGGGTAGACTAGTTAGTTGCGAAGCGGCGGCTGCAAGAGGCCAGCCATGGGTGCAGCAAGATGGGTCGAGATTTCGAGGGTCCAAGGACTTGGGTTGAGCTAGAAAGAAGCAATAGCAAGGAGCAATTGGAGCCTTTCTGCAGACGAGATCGGCGTTGATGACTCAGGTAACAGACACTTGAACTCCTCTTGGTCCTCTCGGGCGAAGGCAACACCCATCATGGGAATCCCTAAGAGGATATGTTCGACTTCCCTCTCAGGAAGTCGTTTTCAGATCTCATGGTGGACCGTTTTGGAGGGCACGACTCCACATGACCAGAATATGGCAGCAGTCTAGATGATGACAATCCGCAGATCGGGAGCAAGCGTGTGCAATGATCTGTGGGGCGGGCTTTGGTTGAAGCGATTCTGAATGTTGACAAAGCCTGGTGAGCTCGAGCTAGATTCCTGACATGGATTTGGTGAGCAGCCTGAGTCAGCTGCAGGAGGCCAATCAGATGTGGTTGGAAATAGACCACGACGGTGAAGGAATGCTGTTGTGCTGAAGATGAACAAGGTACCTGGACTGACGCGCGTGCGAGATGGAGATTTGACTTTGCCAGTCTATTTATCTATCATCTGTCTAGGGCCGAGAGACGTAGGCTAATTAATGGTGATTCTCGATCGCTGGGGGCAAGCTCTCATTCTAAGCAGAAGTTGCTCTCTTACAGAGTTACTTTTGTGGTGAGGCAGGCCCAAAAAAGCCAAAACTTGAGCAGTGGGAGGTTAGTGAATGGTTCACACCGCCCACCGAAAATATCCAAGACCAACTGGAGGAATACAATTGCGGTCAGGTCGAAGCTGGAATATGATCCTGAGAGGAAGTTTGTTGTTGAGAGGTCGTTGGGTTCGTGATCATGAATGGGTCGAGGCTCTTAGTAATAACTGCCAGCGAGATTGGCGGCTCTAAGTAAGTAAGATCAGGAGCCAACGAGGTGGAGAGGTACCCAACTTTAGGTACCTACTTCAGGGAGGTGCCCTTCTCTTCCGTAGACCGTCAGGAAAACGTGAAACGGTATTTGTAATGTCAGTTATACTGGACCGTTACAATACACGAATTGCACAACTTGAAACCTGGCTGTAATAATGGCTGGACACGGCTAACTTGATTTAGAAGTATGCTGCGAATTGTGCACATTCCTTCCATGGCTGGTTGTCGGAGCGCTTCTCCTGTGGTTACTCACCTTTGACCCACTACAATAACAAGTATGTATTAAAGATTCTGACTGTGCAGGCTGACTTTTCAAACTTGATTTTGGACCACACACAAATCGAAATTTGAGTCAAGATGCCAATAGTCTCTGGAGATCTGTGCGCTGCTCATCTCCTGATATTGCAATGCTGTACTGGAAACATGTGAGAAGTCGAGCTTTGGCTCTTGGCAATTCTTTGCCCAGCGCCGCTCTGAGGGGGGAGCGTCTTGATTGTCGAATTTGTCGTATTCGGCGAGGAGCCACGGCCCAGCAAGCTCAGTGGAGTGTTTGTAGATCGGGGTTTACTTAGAACAGCAATGGATGCGAGACGTAACGGCGACGCTTATTCTTTGAAGCGGGGAAAAGGTGCTGCAGTCGCCTCGAATTGGTAGTTCTACCGAATACGTAGTGAACTTCTTGACACGAGCGAACAAAACCCTGAAAAGAAGGCCTTGGGCATCAGCCTCGTTTAGTTTCCCTGAGGGATGCAGGCACGTATGCGTATGCGAAGGGAAACTTGGTGGAGCTGACTGCCCCTCATATGAGCGACCTTCAACACGACTATACGCGCACCAAGTGTCTTTGTAGTCTACGCTAGACATGATGATTTGAATTGAGTGGAGGTACCTACCTATCTATCGTCGTTGAAACCTAAAGGATACGAGGCTTCCCCCACGAGTAAACGACCGCACCCTTGGCTTCGTGTCAAAGGTGCCCGGGCCCAATTACCAAGCAATTCTGACCCTGGGATTGACTAAATTTGGAGATGATGATTCCACCACAGGCGATGGTGGCCTAGCACGTCCTGGAACGTTTCTCATTGATGAACCAACACGAAGGATTCTGCAGAATTGGATTTTTAGCAACGAGGATACGATCTTGAACAGCTTCTGCCGCTCCAAGTCTTTGGTTGGTCCTGCCGCCCTGCTCCCCTCAGGCCAACCATGAGACTTTGGACCGCCTGAAGCCTGCGTCAGCAGTTGCCTGAAGAAGGAGACCTTAGAAGAAGGGCAAGAGAAATTCCGAATTTGAGATTCGGAAGTGGAACATTAATGACTCCGGCATGGGGATGCGGTGCCCTGAGATAGTATACGTACCTAGGTAATTCTGGTTAAGAACTACCACCTTGGTAGGGAGGTAGCTAGACTTTGGTATGCCTAGTGTGCGTAAAATACCTTCGGTACCAGACATTTCAGGTATCCAGTCATCCCCATCTACGATCGTAAATGTGCAAATACGCGGAACCCGGGGTGAGATACCTTGGACGCTCCCTAATCTGTGGTGACGTTCACCAACCGTGGAGTGACAAGAAAGACAAGTCATTACATGTAGCATCAAGGCTCAATGTATGGAAATGTTCGAGGAGAACTCATCCTCTGAGTCAGATACTCAAGAGATCTACGGAGTATAGAGAAAGTCAACACCATAAATTTGGGGATAATTGCATAACTTGTGCACATGGATGGTGATAGTTTGATGTCACGTGGAGATGATGTCCACACCCCGTCCTCTCGGCCCACATGGTGGACCTTTACAACACATATAGCACGCCGACGGATAGGCGACGGCAACCCCTTAAGAAAACCCAACCCAACCCCCGGCGAGAAGTTCGGTCGAAGTAAAGTCAAATTGAGCAAACAAAAATGTGTCGAACTTGTGGAGTGGACCAGGGCATATCTCTGTGACTACGGAGTAAATTTGTGATTGCAAATAAGGGGAATGTGACCATCTTGGATATGTTCCGAGGGACGGCCGATCACAATCATGCGCTCGTGCCCCCCCGGAATTAAGAGCGGCCTTTCGGTCGATATGAGTACTAATAAGAATCAAGACTAAAATTGACTCCCACGACTCCTAGAAATCCTAGTGCTCCTGTCGCCCGCGTCAGACGGGAGACGCTGATCGAGGCCGGAATTATCAGATCGATCGACATGACACGCTGTGGGTGATACAGTTGGTGATATGGCTCGGCGCTGGGTAGGGGCCGAGGACATGGGTTTTTGTCCGCCGTTGCCATCGGTGGGGCCGGGACAGAAGGCCTCACGAGGCATTTATTTTTCATCAATACATATCATTATTCTCTTGATGTGCGGCACCTCCCTCTCGGGGATGGCTTCCAGGACCCTGCCGAGTCACAAGACTTTCTAGAAACTTGCTGTGTGGGTCTAGTCGTGACTGGTAGCCTTTGATCCTCATTGTGTCAACGACTGATGACTCTAGTCAGAAAATTGGAAATCCAATTCCGCTCGCTCCAAGGGCTCGAATTTTCGGGTGTGATATCCCGCAGTCGGCGTAGGAAACTATTAAACGAGCATGATTTCGAAGATAATCAAATGCAATTCAGAGCCTCGGCTGAGCAATTCACTTGACATGGTTTGGATCAACGTCATGTCATCGTGTTACACCTGTGCCTCCGCCATACTTCAGGCCAGGGCTGACAGGCTATGTAGATTCTACGGATCCTGCATAGTTACGCCTGGAGATAAAAGCGCGTGACTCGGAGATGCACGACATGCGTCGATGTCGCCGAAGCGAGTCGACAAACGAGAGTACCCTCCCTTCCAGAGTTGCCCGAAAGGTCCCCGCGCGGCTAGGCTTTCCATGCCTTGTAGACAGTTCGTGCACCCCATGTCGCGCCTTTCTTGAGGACGACCTGATTCCTCCACTCGGGGACATTGACCGCATTGATGAAACGACTGGGCTCGATGCAGAAACCGGCTCGTGGTCCACGAGCTGGCGTTTCCGCGTCCGCTTTGGCGTTGATGTGCTCGCCCGTGTAGAACTGGAACGCTGGCTCGGTGCTGAAAAAGTCAATGTGCAAAGCCGTGCCAGCATGCGAGAACCCGGCCAGTTTCCGGAGTGGGCCCTTTCTTGTATCAAGCGGAATGTTGGATGTGTCTGTGTCAACGACAAAAGCGTGATCAAAGACAGGGCTAATCTCTCCCAACTTGATGGCCGTGTCTGCCTCAACACCGGGAAAGTCCTCGATGGTACCGGTAGGAATCAGGCCCTCGTCCACCACGGCCAAGTACTTGGACGTAGATAATCGGACTTCTGTGCCATTGATGGTAGGTCCATTGGCAATGTTGAAGTAGCTGTGGTTGGTCACATTGATGACAGTCTCGTCGGCGTCATCACCGACTAACTGAACCTCATACTCTGTCTCGAGCACAAACTTGGAAACCCCGTCCTCTGCCTCGATCGACGCCGTGTACCACACCTTGAGCTCGACCGTGCCTGGGTAGCCCTCTTCACCATCAGGCGAGACATAGGTGAACAAGACGGCTTCCTTGCCATTGCGATTTTCTGGTTTTGGCCCGGAGAATTTCTTCTTTCCCCAGCCTTCAAGTCCTCCATGTAGGTGGTTTGGTCGATTGTTTGCAGCTAATTTGTAGGATTTGCCGTTCAGCAAGTCGATTTGGGCATCCTTTGTTCGATTTGCCACTCGCCCAATTGTCTCTCCAAAAAAGGGGGCATCCACGTAGGGTTCGACGCTGGGGTAGCCAAGGACAATATTGTGCCCGGCGATGTTCAGTTCTTGGATGATGGCGCCGGTGGGCAGGAACTTGACGCTAGAGTCTTCTGATGTCATGGTGATAACACGGTTCCACGTAGAAAGGTGGTGGTTGATCGAGGGATAAGAATGCAGACGTCTAGAAGTTGTCGAGGATCGAGTTGTCGCGGATTGCTATTGTCAAGAGTCGTGGGCAATGTTTTCATGGTATTGGAACTTGGAGTTCTTGATGCTGTTGACCACCGGAGAGATTTACCCGGATCATCTTGGAAACAGTCTTATTACAGGCTGAATTCTGGGGTCTAGAATTCAAGGACGTTGAAGACCTCCACAGCAATATTCTCTACATGTCGCGAGGCTTGGATCTTTGCAGCTATGCTAGGAATCTAGGCCGAGTTAAATGGCATGTATCTCAACGAACGCCTTTGACACATCACCAGAGACTGGGAGCCATAGAGCCACAGAGCCGCAGAGCCGCAGAGCCGCCCAGATACTCTTCCTTCAGGTTAGTTGGTTAGGGTTGATAAGGCGCGCAGGGGCCAAGATGCCTTAGATAAGCAAGCCAAGGCACCCAGAATGGGGTATTTATTAGGGGTCCTTAGGCGCTGGCACTGCCCAACCTGCTACCCCTACTTGTCTAAGGTAGTAAATAAGTTTAGGTACCTACCTAGGTAATCTGCAAGTGCCCGCAAGTGTCCTTTGGGGGCCTGTGCCTGTACAACCCAACTTCGACTTCATCAATATCGTCAGCGTAATGCTCTCATCAATGTGCTACAATCTTTTGTGCCTACTCATAGAACAACATCAGGTTAGAGATGTCGTCGTACATGACGTCGTGAACCAGGAGACCTGCAGTCCACGAGATTAATAAACACCGACGTGATGTTCGAACCGGCGAACGTTGTCCCGGTCAAGTCATGTTGTGAAGCTCGCGTCTTCGATGGACCGATGAGCGAACCTATCAAGTAGTTACCAAGGTACTTAGCAGTTGAATATCGAGGTCGGTGCTCGAGTACTTCGGCAAGGGTGGCGTGGTTGTCCCGCAACTTTGACAACTTTGTTTCTTGCCTTGCCGGAAGCAGAAGTCTCCGACTCCGTTCGAGGATGCTATGTGCGCCCTCTATGGAGCAATACATGATCTTTGAGCGCATTTTCGCACCTTCGCAAACCTTACGTTACCGAGTTTCTAGCCTTTTTTCGTACATTGTAGTTGTCGATATGCATGTCGTTGCTAAACACTGTCGTCCACAATGACATCAGCTTCAAAACCATCTGGAACGGCGAGTCTGCAACAGATTCGATCTACCAGCTAGTTGACGCAGATGCAAAGTTCACCAAGGTGTTGGCTGTAGGCACTACGGAGTACTGAGCCCACGATAGACTCCACAACTATCATGCCTCAAAAAGCTTGAACCAATTGTAAACCCTTTGAGGTATTGCCTCATGTGGCATGATGGAGAAACCTAAGGTGAATGCTTGGCCAAGGGCCTCCCAAAATTGGGATGCTAGACTTGATCGATGTGATTTAGTCAAATCGTGTTTGCACTCCCACGCCCCCCTGCGGGATGCTGCTGGGCCTTACTGGTTCTGGGATGAGAGGTGGCAGGGTTTGGCCTGCGCTCGGAATGAGCGCCACGTCAAACCTTGGTCGAACCCAAGCTATCAGAGTTTAACGATGGATGACAAAGAAGAGCATGAGATAGCCGTCGAGCCATTATTGTCGGTGCCTGGCTTGTGCACCCTCACATCCCACCCCGCCCTACGAAAGGACAATCGTCCTCTGTACCTTGCAACGAGAATGAATCGAGAAAGCATAATGAGGCCACCCATTCTCTTGCTTGTCAGAACGTCATCAATGACCATTTTGCGACACAATCCCGGTATTAGTCGATGCCCAAATAATGCTGAGTCAGAATGTGGCTGGATACAGGTTTGCCATTGCATGCTCAGACGAGATGCGAGGCCAGAACATCATTATTGCATTACTTGTGTGACCAGGCAGAGACTGCCCGGTACAGACCTTTGCGGACACTATAGACAAGTCCACTGCAGACGCCTTGGCCCAGGTATGCCAGCCTTGCTTCCAAACACGTAATCCCTCCTGAAGCACATGTGGTAAAAGTAGGCCGACCTCGTAATCAGATGGTGTTCGACCAGGCCCTGGGAAACAGTCCCCAAGGCAACACAAATCATCAAATTGACGTAAACCGACCACCATGGTCTGTCAAAAACAGACTCCAACCTGTCCGTTGAAGTACTCCGTGGCCTTGTCCCAAGGTCTTTCTTCCCTCCCTGTGGAGAATATCGTCCGGCCCATGCAGACGCTCGCTTTTCATGCATACAAAATCATTCATAAAACCATGTACCCAAGTCATAACCCGTACAGTCAAATCATGCCATCGCCGAAGGGTTGAAGTAGCGGTGGAAATCTTCTTGGGCCGACCAGTCCTTGATGGTCAAACAAGGGTTGATGGCGGTGGGCACAATCTGGTCTTGAAACACGGCTTGTGGAAACGACGAAAGATCCATCGAGGAATCCATCACCGAGGGTTCGAATTTCAGAGGAGCGTCGTACTGGGTGGAAAAGTCCATGGCCTCGTCAAAGTCAGTCATGGGTGTGTTCCAGCTGAGATTCGAGTGGTTGATAGCGACGTTGGGATAGTTCTGGGACTTGAGGGAGACGGTTCGGGCGTTGGGAGGAAAGGGGCTGTGGTTGGGAGGTGTGGGAGGGTATTGGCTGATTGGGAAAGGATTGCTGAAGTTGGGTCTTTGGGCAACAGGCTCGTAGATGGGCGAAGGCGCGCTGCTGTCGGACAGGGAATGTGAGTCGTGCGAGGGAGCGCGCTGCATATATCCAGCACCGTCGGCGATGAGTCGTTGTTGCAACAGATCCAGATCCTCTTCAAATGTGTCATTTGTGGTATGGCCATCTTGTTTTAGAGCCCCTAGTCTCTCTAGAATGTCATGTGTCAATGGCTGTCCTGAGCCAGACTCTTTGAGGGCACTGCCGGTCCAGCCTTGACCTTTCTGCAGACGTCGGTACAGCTCCTGGAGACCGGTGACTAGCTGGGCTTGCTGGCTTTCGAGCATTTCCACGTAGCTGTATTGTGTCAGACGACAAGTGTCCAAGACTCTATGGTCGCCGCACCACTCACCCTTTGGGATAGACTTTGTCGTGCGACTTTTTCCTCTCACCAAACACACAAATGGCGTTATCTGCTTTACACCGACTGCACGGGCTAGCACCGTCGCACTGCCACTTGGTTAGACTCGAGTCGCCGCATCTGTCGTCAATATGAGGCCTACCTTTGACTTCTTCAAACGACACCGATCACAAGCTTTGCATACTCTCTTGCGAATGCCACCGTCAAGCGGCGACGAAGGTTCTGTGGGAGGGGTCATGATGGTGGCGCCCATATGTAGTTATGGAGGGCAAGAACGATGGAGTTGGGAAAATGGCAGTTGCGAGTGGCAGTCAGGCGTGGTTCCTTGTAGCCAGGCACCAGGCACCAGGCAGCAGAATAGTGGACAATTATAACAACAATTATAACAACAAGGTTGGATGGTATACCATTAGGCCTGAGATGTAGTGAAGTATTCACACACGGGTCAAGGCCAGTCGACAGGAATAGGTCAGCTTATTTTGAAGCAAAGACAAGAGTAAAGGGACAATACACGCTCGGGGACCAGTGGTTACGAGGGGACGAGGCCTTATATCAGTGGCACAAGCTTGGGTTAGTAAGAAAGCAGCATGATGGTCAGTGATAGTGGAGCCCGACTGAGAGCATGAGGCCGAGTTGGTAGGGATCTCTGAGAACAGTCGAACATTACCAGAGACCAGGGCGGGAAAAGTTTGATGCATCGTACTCGCGTAGGTACAAAAGAGGATGGATGCACTGACCAGGGTGGATTGATGAGTATGCGTACCTAGCCTTAGGCCGTAGTGACCTAGTGACCTAGTGACCTCCGACTAGTGACCTACGTAGCACTTGGTTAGAATCTGAAGCCCGAGGACCCCTCGGGCGTCAAGGCCCTCGACCGCTCGGCGGAAGCATGAGACGAGGCCCGTCGCCGCAATTATTGCACAGGGTCACAAAAAGCACAGAGCATACGGAGTAGTGCCATCGTGCCAGTGTGCGAGTGTGCGAGTGCCAGGTGCCAGGTGCCAGTGGCCAAGAATGGCAAGGGGGCTGATGACATGATGAGTGTTGATGACATGGCCGTAAAGATGGGCCCAGGGCCCCGCGCGCCTCGCGAGTCGCAACCTTGAACCCTGGTGTGCCTGGGCCTCACCTCACAGCGTCACACACACATACTCTGTACACTGGGGATTACAATTTGACGATTACAGATTACGGAATCCGGCAATTGTCAAAACCTTGGTAACCGGCACAGGGCCACCTACGCCTTTGTCATGACCTTATTCATGGAGATTGTGATCGGAACCTGGGACATTATTTCACCACCTCAACCAAGAGCGGCCCTAACGAGCATCCGCCCCGGACGAGCCCTCGGTCTCTCGGCACCATGACTGCGATGTTCTGGGCTCTGGGCTTTGGCTGGCACTATTACCCACTACCAGAAACTATGGACCGTTTATGCCCAAGTCGCAGGTGTCGAGCACACTGTTCACACTGTTTTAAATCCCTGGCTTTCACTTTGATGGCCAAATAATCAATTCTATCGCAATGAATGGCTCAGCCGGGTATCGGGGTCCCATGTCATGAAAATAGCGAGTTAAGGGTAATGGCCAAATGATTACCAGCCCTAGTTTGATGCGACTGGGCTTGAGCCTGCGTAACATCCAACCTCCAAAGGCGTCTTGGGTACATTACCTCATTCCCGGGGATAAGGTAGGTAGGCGATCCCTACGAGCAGCCAAAAATATCAAGTCGCATTCTCGGGCATGGATGTAGACCCTGATCCCACCGTCCCTTGCGCTGTCTAGTACACGAATAACCCGGTCGAAGGCATCGAGTCGAATTCCTAGGTATCTTTACCTGAAGTGATGATGCTGATACCATCTACCGTACGGCTCCACCACCAAGGTGGCAATGACTTGGGCCCCTTGGGCCTAGCTTATGCATCTTTATGCATATCTTGGCAGTAATCCATCATTATTACACCCCAGAAAAGCGTATCAAGGATCTCAATGACGCTTTGTCATTTCATCATAAAACAAATTCCTCAAGAAACGAAGGATTCTAACAGGAGCGTGCTTAATGGTAACTAGGTACCTAATTGGAAAGTGCCAAGTTGCGGCGCCCTACAGTTTTGCTTAGAGCCCGGAGGCCTCCCCCATCCTATGGGCCCTGAGGCTACGGCATACAGTACCTAGAGGTAAGTGGTACAGGCTACATTCCCTTTTGGCAAGTCCTTTGTCAAGCTTCCCTAAGGGAAGGTAGAGCCTGTAACATCTTCGGGGACCATTCGGCGTCGTCCGTGGATAAATCTTATCGTCATCCAAACCATCATCGGCAAAACAATAATTGAGATCTGATCAATAATCTAATGCAGCTCTTCAGCCAGCTGCCGAGTCCACCATTTTGATACCGTTCGCCTATTCGGGATCTCCCAGAGCGAGTACTGTTGCACATGACCGACAGTGCCTTTCATCCTACCTCTCATTTCGTCCTCGACGGTAAATCCCCGAATCATGGTCGGCTTACCAACCGGCGGAGGACTTCTCCCGCTAGAAGCAACGCTCAAACTTCCTGCATAATCCATTTTCAATACCCAGGGCCTCAACCATGAATCTTTTCGGCCGATCGTTCTCCGCCAGATCGCCTAACCACCACCTGCGTCATCCTCTGCATGACAATCTGAATTGTACTCCTACTCGGCCCTAGTGCCACTCCCAGCTCCCAGCTCCCAGCTCCCAGCTCCTGGCTCCTGGCTCCTGGCTCTTGACAGATCGTGCCTGAGCCATGGTGTCTGCAACCGATTGAGGAAAATGCAGAGGTCTGTTTATAGCAGGTGCTCTCGAGCAAGCGATGGCGTCACGATTGCCCTATCAATACGTGTCGTTCCGTCGTCAATGCAGTGTCACGTTGCATCAGACGCCTTGAATCAACACCAACCTGATGAATCTGGTCTGCCGCACAGTATTGACATCACTTTCCATTCTCACGCAAGAACACATAGCGATGCAGTCTTCATTGCTTCCAACGCACCTTCCTTGCATTTACCCTGTTTGTGCGACACGTAATCCTCCCTTCACCACGGCCTGTCATTCAATCGATGTCGACAATTCATCATGATACTGAAAATATCCACTGATGACAACCTCGAGTGTTTACTGTGAACGTTCGGAGTCCACGTCAACTTCGCTTTCAACCAAAGATTGCCGAGACATGTGCGAGTGTTGATGAGTGTTGATCAGCTTTCTTTCGCCCCAGGTTTAAAGCTTCCTCTCCCAACGGGTCTGCATAGCCCAGACCCTGTTTCCCAGGCCTCCAGCCACTCTGATGGCTAGTTAGGCAGGAATATAGTATCGCCAAGAAGATAACAAAGGGGCCGGCAATATCTTCATACGCGGGTGTTGACTTATCTGGATGCTGCCAGCGTGCTCTAGCCTCGTGATGGGTAACAGTGATAGAACTACAAGGTATCCTCGTAATCTGAAACAGGTCGCCATAAGCTTGGGGCTGACAGAAGCCGGGCTTTGTGAGCCTCTGGAATTTGACTGACACCAGAAACTTCAAAGTTGGGGGTAAAATATTGGTGGGTGCTGATCCTGATCACGCCCCTACATACCAGACCTCGACGCCCACAATGTCAAACTTTCGGCCCTCTTCACTCAAGGGTTCGTTCCCAAATGTCGGACATGATTCACTGATTCCATGGTCAAGATCGTCGTCTAACCAGAGCCCGTAGTGACCATCCCCACCGCCAACAGACAGATAAGTCGCTTGGCAATAGATGAGGAAATCGTTGATGCCACTGTATGGGAATGCCTTGAATCTGATTCGATCTGGTGTGCTAATGCCTGGCACTTCGGCCGTGGGCTGTAGCCGCGACGAGAGATCCTTGACTTTGCTCGAAGGGGAGGTGGGTGAAGATGCCGAGGAGCTGCGTCGCTCCGCTCGAATCGTTGTGACTCGCTGCAAATGCGTGGTGTCGGCACTTGGTGGAGGTGGCAGTCCAGCTAGTTCCAAGAGGTCCTCAGAAACTCCAGTTGCCCCATCCTTGAACTGTGCAGAGAAATCACGGATTGTGGGCAGAATGCTGGCTCGCCATAAGAAGCATTCGCCTGTGCCAAAGTAGTGTAGCCCAGGCTTAGGAACATCCGAAAGGTATGCGCCAAACACTGATCCGTTTTCAGCAGCGTTCGATCCATCGCGAACAATAAGAATGTAGCCCGAGCGTTGTGAGAGAACGGATGCATTGGCGCAGTGCTCATAAAGCGTGGCCAACGATGAGCCATGAATCTCTAATGAATATGCCAACTTCCAGTGGTCTAGCAATTGTAATCTTGGGGGAAGAAGTAACCGAATCTCCTCGGCGAGAGATCGTGTCAGGAGGAGGGCATCTGCCGCCCGGGGGGTGAGGTTGTGTCTCAATTCGAGAGGTGTGAGGGGAGGAGGTTGGAATGGGGACTGCGTCCGGAGAGGCGGAGTGTAGAAGCCTGACCGGGACGACACAGTAGGAGCATCGAGGAGTTTGCCAACGGGGTTATCGGGTGGCTCGGTCATGCGTCTGTAGAGACTGGAAACGACATGTTTGACGGGGTAGGCCAAGTATGCCGCAGAGTTAGGATTATACGGGTTGTCTGCAAGAGTTGGGCCTTTCGCAGGTAATGGTTTGGGAGACCCTCGCGAGGGGGGATCAGGCCTAGATTCCGTCATGGTTAGTGCACATGTCCCTGGAGGATAAATAATTGCAAGAGGCTTTGGAGGGCGTGTCTGCGCTCAAGAATCTTGTGGGTGGAGTGAGCGAAGAAGAACAGGCAGTCGGCGGATGTCAGGATGTCAGTGTCTATTATGGGTTTCAGCCTTGTCGCGTGACGAGGCTGCACTAGCGGGCCCTTAGTAAGGCATGTGACGAGCTACTCGCCTTATCGGCCATCCTCAACGGATCCGGCCAATTATCACACTTTATTTTTCCAATCTAGTCACTAGTGACCAAAGTCTATTTTGAAGGCCAAACTGTCGCTAAGTTGCGTCATTGCGACTTGTTGATCAAGCCTTGCTGTAGCCTTCTTCTATCTGGTTTTCTTCGACTAAACATACAAACATCCACAAAAACCTCCCCCATTGACGCTTCCCGAGTGACCACCACGATCATCCGCTGCCCAACCCGACGGCCTTCTGCCTGTCGACTCACTCTTACCCTCTGATGAACGTCACGACGCCTCGACACAAGTAACAACACTAGACTCCTCTTCCCTCATTTGTTTCCTTCACCCCGCCACCATGTTTATGATCAAGAATGGTAAGCGTTGCAACATCTTTGCATTACTCTCAGTTTATTCGATGATATCCAGCTAACAAAACGCTCTCTAGTCAGCAAATATCTCTTTGGTGATTCATCCAAGCAGGTCATCACCGAGATCCCCCAGGGTCAACTCTACATCGTCCGCCCACTTTCCCCAAAAGGTTACTCCGAACTTATCTACAAAGATGCAATTGCCACAATCCGGAGGACTGGTCAAGAGTTTCACTACCAACTAGTCATTCAACGTGCCTATGAAGAAGGCGAAGACGAACTTGCAGAAGACGATGATGAGCAAGGAGTTGATGGCTTGGACAAGGACGAAAAAACATTTCTTCTTGACGAAAGCCTCCACTTTAGGTCGGGAGAGAGAGAGGGTGGCGAATCTGTGCTTGCATGGCGCGACTTGAGTGGTGATCCTGGCGACCTTTACGAATTTGTCTGCGACCCTTCCGTTCCCGGCGACAAGATTCAAACTTTCGTTATAGGTGCGGTTGACGCTCAATTCGAACGCAAGTACCGCAAGTCCGCCCACACTGCCACCGAGGCTCAACTTGAAGCTTTCAAATTCGACTCCGATGACAGTATTCCTCTCGCCAGCTCTGTCCCAGACCTTTCGGAGTCTAAGCCAAGTTCGAAAGAGACTGCCGAGCGCATGGCAAAAGATGTCAAGTCTCCAAAAAAGACACATGATACTTCGCATCACGCTGCCTCTTCAGCACCTACGGAAGCCCCACAATCGCGCGCTGCCCCTCAAGCGGTGTCTGAGGTCTTGACAAGACAATCCGGAGAGCTGCACTTGTTCGACTTCGCCAGTGGGTCATTCATAATGCAAGCACCTTCCGTGACAGCGGTCGTGAGCGATCTAGGCAACTGGAAGTATTGGTTACAAATTACCAGTTCTGATGGTAGAGAGTGGCTCGGGCAGGAAATCGTTGCAGACATCAATCCCGTCTTCAACTTTGAGTACTTGTCAGCCATCTTCAATCACTATACTGAAGACGGGTCTGCATACTCCTGGCTTCTACGGTTCCGCGACCAGGCTACACTCGAAGAATTCCAAGAAGGTATCATGCAAGCCTTGTGGGAACAGCTAAACGAAACCAAATGGGCAAAGGTGAAGGACCAAGACCGGGACTATGTGATCGAAGCCTTCAATGACCTGACCATGGATGACGCACCTCAAGTCGAAGAAGAGGACGAGGAGGAAGACGAGGAAGACGAAGCCCAGTCTCAAGGCGGCCAACAAAGTGAGCACTATGATTCTGATGAATCTGAAGACGATGTTGAATTGGGCAACGGCGACGGCAACGTCAACTCTCAGCTTGCTGTTGGTACCAAACATGACCGATCATTCGTCGTTCGCGGGTCCAAAATCGGGGTCTTTAAGCACAATCCGAATAGGCATCTCGAGTTTACGACAAACATCTCCAAGATCGAAACACCCAAAGGACGTGCACTCAAGCCTGGCAAAGTCATGCTTCATGCCGAAGATCAAAACATGATTCTCCAAGATGACGCGAACCCCAATTCATTGTTCCATATGGATCTTGAATATGGTAAAGTCGTGGATGAATGGAAAGTCGACGATGACATTCCCATCACCAACTTTGTACCAAATTCCAAGTTCTCGCAGCAGACGGCCGAACAGGTGTTCCTTGGTCACTCTAAGAATGCCATGTTCCGTATCGATCCTCGCGTGACGGGGAACAAATTGGTGAGGGACAATCTCAAGCAGTATGCATCTAACAATGGATTCTCCGCCGCTGCCACCACCGACAAAGGCTACATTGCAATGGCTTCCAACAAGGGAGACGTTAGACTATTCGACAAGCTTGGCTTGAATGCGAAAACTCATCTTCCCGCCCTGGGCGAAGCCATTATTGGACTGGATGTCAGTGCCGACGGACGCTGGATTCTGGCTACCTGTCGCACATACCTCCTCCTTGTTGATGCTCTACAGCAAGATGGCAAAAATGAGGGCAAACTCGGGTTTGAAAAGGCATTTGCGAAAGACAGTAAGCCGCGCCCACGTCGATTGGGTCTGACCCCCAGTCATGTCGCTCAATTCCAACACGAGACGGGAGTACCGTTATCATTTACCCCAGCCAGATTCAACGCCGGGCCAGACACGCAAGAGACAAGCATCATCACATCGACAGGTCCATTCCTCGTGACCTGGAATCTTAAGAAGGTGCTTGGTGGCAACAAAGATCCTTACCATATTAAACGTTACAGCGCCGAAGTCATGGCAGACAATTTCGAGTTTGGTTCTGACAAGAACGTGATTTTGGCACTGCCCAACGAAGTGGACATGGTTAGTCGGAAGAGCTTCAAGAAACCAACGCGGGAGAGCATCGCCGGCCCTGCTATAAGACTGAGCGGAGGTGCTCTCGCTACACCTAGGCGGGGGACTAGACAGTCACATCTTCGAGAGGAGATTGTGAATAGTCCATACTAAGCCCGGAAGGGCTTCGAGGCTACGACTTAGGTGTTGTTGCCCGATGGCGAATCTTGTTTCATTGACCGAGTGCATCATGCAGAGGCGTTCAGTCTACAGTACAGGAAATGATCTATTATGAACGTGGAAGGCGACACTGCTCACCGTTTGCTTGTGTCGAAGAATGATACCCCTGATTGGATGAATTGGTCAAAGGATCACGCTAAGGGAGACGAGAATACGGACTGCCTGCAACACTGGTACAGCACTGAATTTTGATTGTCTTCTTTGATACCATGATTTTGTCTTTGTACGCGTATGGCTGGGATCGATTCTTGACTTGTCAGTTGATGGCGCCTTATCTGGACTGGGCGGTCCATTACGGCACACGCACCAATGTCCATATAAGGTGATAGGTAGATTTTTAGATAGTCAATACCAATGGCCATTCCTACCAAACTATATTGATATTCGTCGCATGATCTCAAATGGTTATGAGGCTGCTTCTCTGATTTTGTAGTCCGCCGTCATTTCCAACTAGACTTGCCGAGTCGTTACGCTGTCTGGCCAGTGCGGACATTCGAGCGGTCGACAGCGTGGATAGTTGGTGCTAAGGGCTAGTCAGGCTTGTGGGCGAAAGAATCAGCGTTTCCTTGAGATCATGATTGATGCCCAACCAGACCAGCGGTACAGTCCTCGGCGTGGTCATATAGAAGCCAGAGTCCCTTTTGTGGCTCAATCCCTCGCGACACTAGCCATGGTGAGCCGGCTGCAGGTCGATGGGTTCGAAAGTTCTTCCTATCATCGGACGTGCATGTCGCGAGGACGTCGGCAGCTTAGAGGTGTGGTCACCGACCAAAGACATTGAGGGGGCGCGACCAGGACAGCACTGGTTCAATCCTGTGGATGCAAACTTTGCTCTGCAGCGTCTTGTTCCTGACTTGTTGCGTCCTTCTCACTCTCCTGCATGACTTTAGCACACTTGACCTTGACCTCGTCCACTCCTCGGACACCATCCCATTCGTTGACGATGTCGAGGACCTGGCGATACTCGGATTTGGCTTCTTCCAAACGGTCGTTCGCTACCAGGTCCGATAACCGCTCCGGGGCGGCCAACACCCATTTAACCGTCTCAATCTTGTTTTGTCTTGTCCGGAGGTCGCGGTGGTTTGAAGCTTCCTGATCATTAGACTCTTGCGCTGTAGCCGGGGCGAGGCTAGTAACTACCGAGACCAGAGCATCGATTTTGTCTTTCAATACCTGAACACCTTCCAGACCTGGCTTGGTCTGTTCGCTCTTCAAGCCCAGTCCCAGTCCCTTTGCCTGGTATCCGGATCCAATGCCAGTGGTGGATCCGCCTTTTCCAGCCCCATCACCAACACCGATGTGCATCCCCTTTTGCATTTCGGCAATAGTGCCCACGGCGGCGATCAATTTGCTGTAGTTATCATATACCAGGGCTTTCCGCTCGCCGTCCAGGTTGCGGATCTCACTGACCAGTGCCGACTCTGTGCGCAGGATGTCTCGTAGAGAAGCGGTTGTCAACAAGTCGGCGACAAAGTCCGAGGCGGAGAAGCTCGGGGCGTCTAATTGGGATGGGAGGGTAGTGTTGGAGATCTGGTCATTGGGCGACGGGAGAGGTCGGCCAGCCGAGTCCGAGGCTGTGGAACCAATGCTTGCGCTTCGAGTCAGAGTTTGAGTTCCTCCTGGTGTGCCTGCCCCGTTGGAGGACTGAGGTTGGGGTTTGGATTTCAGATTGTAGTAGTCTCTGAGAGCGGCGCGATTGCGGCGTTGGGGATTGCTCGCAGCCAGGCCATTGTTATTGTGAGCATTGCCGCCGCCGAGTGGTGTTGGGCCAGGTGAGGAAGAGCCTGTACGATGGGGAAGGTCAAAGGACGGGCGAACGGACGATGTGGGAGTTCCGCCTAGGCTCGGAGATTGAGGGATGGGAGGTGAGGTCAGGCGTGGAAGTCGGTGGTGGCTTGCGGGCGAGTCACTACGTGGTGAAGTGATGGTGGCCATTGTGGCGAGGAAGGGGGGAAATGATGAAGGGCGATTATTTGGTTATCTTATCGACGTTCATGATGAGGGACCAAGTCATCTAAGGAACGATGACTGACATGTAAGCAGTTATACAACAAGACCGCGTAAGAAGAATGAAAGTTGTAGGATTGAGTAGTAGATGGACTGAGATGGACGGCATGTCAGCCTTGTCAATTGGAGATTAACCAATTACGACACTTTGTCAACCTTCCTGGACTGGCTCAGCCTTGGTCAACATCATTTCTGATCTGAACACCTCCTTCTACAGAGCCTTCAAGTTCAAGGCACTATCTCTAGAATTGACTGGCTGACAGGGCTATTTTATTATAGGTTATAAATGATTTTGAGGGTACTAGGTATTTCACCGAGGTATCTTGGGTTTCATGCCAAGTCTTACAACAGTTTTCTCGAGAATATAAAAATAATCACATGTAGTCTTCATTACGAACCCTGTGGGACCAGACTGTGAGATTGACACAAGTAGAATATATTCTCATCGTCGACACCCTTACTCGATGTGAATACTAGTTTTGTCGAAACAATCTTTACATTTCAGTGTAAGTGTGTCACCTCGAGCGTATACAACAGAGCGAGCCATATAACCACGAGAATTCTCATGTCGATTATGCTATCATAAAACACTATCATGGCCCCGCAATGCAATTGTCATTCCAATTACGAGCTCAAGATCCAGTGCCCAGTGGAATCAATGACATTTACATCGCCATATTGCCTCCGCACCAAGAACGCTATCAACGCCCCTCAATCTATTTCCGTTGAATCCACGAAGCCTTCCCACCCGATACCTCGTATATGTTCGTGTGACGCATAAGCCAAAAGCACAGGAGGCGGAAGAAGAGTTCGGAGGGTCGAGCCGCCCCAGTGTCCTCCCACCTTGAACGAAATCCCGTTCTTTTGTCTGTTGCTGTACAGATCCCCCATGTGTATGTACAATAATGAAAACATCAGATCAAGTACAACTCATTGGAAAGCAAGTTGCGAATGTAATGTGAAAAAGTGTTGCCTGTTGCTCCGTGGCTTTTCTCCCACATCAGTCCAAATTGGCAAACAGACCATACATGGCGGACATGGCCCACGATGACGCAGCGACGTGATTGAAGCTGTCGTATCGAGAAACTTGACCGTATGTTAAGAAGGCGCGACGACTCGACAAATCTGTCGGTCAGCCAACCCATGTCCAAGGTTTAGATGCCGTCCGGAACAGTTTGTCCTTCATGAGCGTTGCATCGCAGCTTGCATCTGCGGTCCGCCAGGCATAGGCATTCCGTACGGGTTCACGTGCTGGGCCGGATAGCCGTTGGGATCTTGCATGCCGTTGAGGAACTGGCCTATACCCTGGGCATGTCCAACAGGGCAATCTTTGTGACCCATGAGAAGTGTGCGAAGATTTCGAATCTCATCGTGAAGCTGAGCAACCTGAGTATTGAGATTGTCGTTCTCTGCTGAATACATCTCGACCTTGGCCTGAAGATTCGCCAGCCACTGCTTCTTCCTCTGCCGGCATTTCAAAGCGGCAACCCTGTGAGCTGTTCAGTGACCTGCATCGGGGGTTTATAATGTATGTGATGTTGGACTTACCGATTTCGCTCGAGGAAATTTCTCCGCTTTTCTTCATCAGTCATCTTCTTGCCGTTGGCGCCGATGTTGTTCTCTTCGTCATCTTCTGCTTCACTGTCCTCGTCGTCCTCGTCATGAGGACCAAGAGCGGGATCGACATTTGCCGATCCTGAGTTGCCTTTGGCACGTTTATTACTGCCTTTTTGAGATGCCTCGGATTTCCTCGAATTCTTGGCCGGGGCTTCAGCTTTGACACCCTTCTTCCCACGTCCGCGAGGGTTGGCGCGGTTGCTGTCATCAAGGCTGTTGACGCTGTCTCCATCACCGCCAGATGTGTTGCCATTAGCCCGTTTTTGGTCTTGGCCAGCACGAGAAGGCTGAGAAGGGTTGGGGGCGGCGAATTGGTTATTCTGTCCACCCTTGGCGAGCATGAAAAGACCGTTGGCAGCGTCAGTAGCATCGTGTTGAGCGTCCATGTTGGTGTTATTAGAGGTGGGAGCTGGGTCTTGTGGATTGGAAGTGATACCAAATTGATTACTTTTATTCCTCGCGGCCGCATTCATTGCAGTGCGGTGAAACTCAAGTGTACCAGGTGTGGCGCCACCACTTGCGAGTGAGTTGAATAGTGCTTGGGAGTTAGGACTGGGGGCAGGGAACATAGACCCTCCACCGCCTGGAGTCAGACCAGTACGCAGTGAAGATTCGTTGGGCGTGGGGAATCCGCGACCAATGCTATCAAAATAGTCACCTTGTTGGGGACCAGTCAACATGGCAGGGCTCAAAGGCCCGGAGCGAAGTGAACTCTGCCAGTTGTAACCACCGCTCGAGGCGGCGCCAGGAATAGCGGGCGACGTCAGAGAAGCGACAGGTGGCAACAAATTCTTCCCAGGGGTTTCTGTCGAAGGCACTCCGAACGACTGTTCGAAGGGATTAAACTCTTGACCAATGGTGCCGGTATTGGTGTGTAGAGATGAAAAATAGTCAGGAGTCTCGGCCGCGTTTGTGGGCGCAGGGCGAGGTGGCGGAGCAAGAGGCTCGGTGACTTGAACGACAGGCTTAGAATCTTCGTCTAGCGAAGCGGCGGCTTTGGGGTCTACAATTGCGAGGGTCAGTCAGGGTATGGGAATTTTGGAGGTTGGTGGATGCATACCGGGTAACGACGACTTGGTTTGCGACGGTGAGGATTTGGCTGACGAGTCTGCATCTCAATGTATCAGTAATATTTCATGACATAAGTGATGCAAGGCATCGCGGTTGAAACGAGCATGCGCCAAGGTGATGATGGTGATGGTGATGGTGATGATGATGAAAGAGGGAGCGAATGCAGTGATTGGGATGAGTAAGGACTGAGATGAAAAATCAAACGCAAAGGGGCGACAGTGATGACTTACCTTGTTGATGCGAAAGAGATTTTTTATTGTCCATAGGCGACGATGTCCGCGAAGTAGGGCCAGCCCCAAGGTGTTGTTGTGATGGTTGTGATGCAACTGCGGCGCTCGCCATATTGACGGGATGTATGATGAAGCAACAAGTGGTGGTGTATGAACAACGTCAGCCGTTGCAGAAGTGACGTCGACAGAGCTGGGACGGCGCGAGCGCCTCATATACTCTGGTGCAGGTAGGGGCAGGGCAGGGGCCGGCAGACTTTGGCTTGGGCCAGTCGTGCCAGTTCTTGGGGGGAACGCGAGGTCGCAAGGTTTGGGGAGTCCAAGCGGGCGGGCGAAGTGGGCGACAAGCCAATTGTCCTGCGAATCAAGATGCGGTCAGCAAGGAAATCGGCAGTGGAATGGCGATCGCGAAATCAAGGAGCCAGTCAAAGCCGACACAAGTTCAATCGAGGTCGCCACTACATCCACCCACCACCCCCAAAATCGTTCAAGCTGGCCGGAAATTGTGGCCGGAAAGCCAAATCAGAACTTGAGTGAGCGAATGTCCTGTTGTCTGAACCGAAGCAGTAGTAGGCAGTCGTACGGGGGGGGGGGGGTTTCTCACCTACCTAAGGTACCTAGAGCTTACCTAGGGATATTGCCCAAGATTTTCGGGAGGAATCGTTTGTTTGCAAACACCCCGAGAGAAAGAATACTTTAATGTGAGTCAAACGCGTTAATGGCGGTACAGGCCCCTAGAAGGTTGCGATTAGAGGTCGAGGTAGGCGGACCACTGTACTTGGAGGCCAGACAAGGCCGATGATGCGCGTTCAGGACTGGGCAAGTCTCAGAGGATGATGACGTCTGTGGGTATTGCAGCCGTCGAAATGTCCCGAGTGCAGAATTTCAAACAGACAGTACGGAGTAGGGATGCTCAACTGTCAAAAGATTCAGCCAGTAGCCTAGATTTTTGGAGCAACGACAGGCCTGAGACTTTGTCTAGCACCTTGATTGAGTAACGGGGTTATGCTTTGTCTACACGAAGTATGTTTCAATGCTTACAGTAAAGACAAAGATGGGGAAAATAAACAGAAATTCATCAGCGTGTCAATGACCTCAGTGCCATGAGGGCTTGGGTGGGCGTCTGCAATGTGGAATGGGTGAATGGACAGAGGCGGCCTACCGAGTCGCTACGGTGGTGCTACGCAGTCCTGCCACTGGACCACTTTGATCAGCCAGCCGCGTGCTGTTGTGAGATTCTGACGCCACCTCCTCCTATGTCTTGCGCTAATCCGTATTTTGCCTAGCGGACCTATCTGCAAGCCTTGGGAAATTCAGATCCCCCAAGCCAACAAAGATCCCCATGCCACAATCAGGACTGCAACTACTCTCCAACATATTTGGCGTGCTTGATAATGCCTGCTCACCCGAATATAGCAAGGGTGCCCTAGATACTGTACTATAGATCAAGGGATTCTATACCAGGTCCACACGTGTCAAAGAACGATAAGATAGTCTAGTGTCTTAACGCCTCTGAGTCTAGCAATTCTTCACATCAATAATTTATATGTATACAAATAGCGTGATTGTCCTCTGAGCTCGGGGCAAATCGAAGCCCCAAGACCTGCCACCTCATCGTAGTATGTTGTCAGGGGCCACTATGCATAACAAAGATGCCCCGTAAGCTTTCTCCTCTCCCTTCCAGTGTGGATCGACGCAACAGAATCAGTCCTCAATGTTGCATTTTGTAGTATTGTGTATTATTAATCCAGCCAAACAGTGACACCAGAATCTGCCTGCACCGAGAATCGCTCCCCACACCACCGTGACGCAATCTCGACATGCTAGTGTTTTTAGTGGGGAGTATACCGCCCAGCTCCTGGTGAACATCTCCCCAGATGCTGCATCCAGGAGTACATGGGCTGTCTCAGCCTGTTTGGGACAGCCAGCTTACACTAGACCAGATATTGAATAACGTGTTGCTGTGTAGGATTTGCGGAAGGTGGACCTCTTTGCTCCAGCTACCGGGTAGACAGAGCCTTATCATTACATTGACCATTGGTTATTGCCCAAACAACTACAAACCGCACCCATCAACATCAACATCATCTCACGAGTGCAGCGCATGCTTCAGGAATGTACTTTCGTCGTCGGCAGGCTCTCGCTCAAGTGCCACGCCAGAGAAATCCTCGAATACTCAGTGTTGCTACAACCTCCTTTGGCCTTGATCATTGCTACCAAGGCCTCTAAACCTTTCGGAAACTCATGGGCTGTGCAGTTTTCCAGAGAACAATGACAACAAGTCTCAGTTGCCCAAGGTCACCAGCCAATCCATGTCCCATAGTGTACATTTTCTATCTGTAAAAGTCAAACTTGTCGGCTTCTTGTGCACCCTTGACCTGGCTTGAATATGCATCTTCTAGATCGGCTTGAATGATGTTGTACCGATTCTTTCGCACAGCTCGAAGTCCCGCTTCTTGCATGATGGCCGCGATAATGGCACCAGACAAGGGGTCGTTCCGCACAATCAGTGAGTCCAGGTCCACTTCTGGGGACAGGGACATTTTGCTGGCAATCGTCGAAAAGATCAATCGTCTCTCGCGTCGGTCCCGGAGCGACGGGAATTCAATCTTTCTGTCAAGACGACCGGGTCGCAGAAGCGCGGGATCCAGAGTGTCGGCTCGGTTGGTGGCCATAATGACCTTGACGTTGCTTGTCTGATCAAATCCATCCATCTGGTTGAGCAATTCGAGTAGGATACGCTGAACCTCTCGATCTGCACCCGTCTGCGCATCAAATCGCTTAGTCGCAATCGCATCGATCTCATCGATGAAGATGATCGCTGGGGAATTCTCGCGAGCCATGCGAAATACATCCCGAACCATCCGTGGACCTTCACCCAAGTATTTCTGCACAAACTCAGAGCCCACCACCCGGATAAAGCTGGCCGTTGTACTATTTGCGACGGCCTTGACCAACATCGTCTTTCCGGTGCCAGGTGGTCCATACAGAAGAACGCCGCGGGGAGGATCAATGCCGATCTGCTTGTAGAGATCAAAATGAGTCAAGGGCAATTCCACCGCTTCCCGAATCTCCTGCTTTTGCATATCCAGCCCTCCAACATCAGCATATGTCACATCAGGCTTTTCATCTGCTCCAAGCATGGCAATAGAGGAATCGGCTTCGGGGGGGAGGATGTCGACTAGTGAATTAGAATGGCGGTGCAGCGCGACCGAAGAGGAAGGCTTCAGCTTTTCTCGATCGAGTGTTGAGAGAATTCGAACGACATAATTTGACCCGGTAGAAGACTGGACAATACCCGTGCTGATATAACGGTCAGTCGTCGTGGACAAGGTCTGAGTGGAATAGCTTACTTTTGGTCGATGGCCTCCATGAACTGGCCAATGACCAAGGGAACACTTTGTATCCGCTTGATCTCTTCCTGTGCTCGGACGAGCTCGCGCTTGAGTGATCTTGTGCCAATGTTAGAATTTGTCTTTTGGCCACTGAACACCGTAGACAGACCTCTGTTCATCTTTGATATATTCTTCTTGCAACTTGATGTACCTGTCTAGGGTCAACTTCGGTGTCACTCTCGAGGCTAATAGACCACGAACTCTAGATGTCTTTGCAATCTCTTCAAGGTTGAGTATTCATCTCCATTGTCTGCGCCGGCCCCTTCTAATGAGTCGATGTCCGGGATGGAATCTGAGATGGGCTGTTTTTTGTGAGGCGGAAAGGTGTTATTCGGGGTTTCAACAAGGACGTCACCCATCTTGTCAACGGACAGAGTTTATCAGGATTAGAAGGATTGAAGAGAGATGTTGAGGCGAATGAGTCGACAGAGGGACGTTGAACACTTTGGAGTTCCAGGACAAAGGCGAGATGTCAACATGCAAACTGCCGCAAGGCGGACGTTGGAGTACGCGATCGCCAAGACTCTTGCGCCTGGCCTAATTCATCACTACTTCCACTACGAGGCTGCTACGATACTAACTCCTTACCTGCATGCCTGCCTTAGGTACATAAGTGAACTGGTGTGCACAACCTTCCCATAGTCCATACATCAATAATGACGCCTAATAGATTAGAATGTCATAGACACACCCCAGACGTAGGTCCTTTTTTTGAACGGTGCCTGGGACTGTGACTCAAGTAATGACCAGCGTACGGTTTCTCTCCTATTTTCAAGTGCTCCTTCTAGACCAGCTAGACTACCACCACTCATCTATTCCTTTGTGACCACCTTGACCAATCGGAACCGAGTCTCCGATCCTGTTGGATGTTTCACAATGCCACCATTCTAGGAGTAATGACTTTTGAATCATCCGCGACGGCCACATCTCCTGTGTTCAACACTTGTAGGACGGAACATCATGGCATACAGTGTACAGGGCATGTATCTGGGTGCAAAAACATTGCTTTGACTCGGCGCCATTACCCTTGAGCTACAGATTCAGAGGCATGATGGGAATTGAGTTGCCGCTCAGTCAAGCCCCGGGGCCCCTGGGTTTGGGACAGTCCCAAATTGCCCAAAGGTATCGTCGGTGACGATCTAAAAGTAGTGAATTGTTCTCGAGCTAGCAAGCTCGATGAAATAAATCAAGGAGTCGCAAATGTCTACCAGGCACGGATCAGGCTTTCGTATGCCTTTACATCATGAACCCGCTATCCGCACGTCACCATAAGCAAGAATTGATCGCAAGGTAGACCTGGTAAGAAAGGATGTCACGTTTCAGCAGGATCTTGAGTCGTTGTAGATCCTGTGCTGTAAACAGGACCAGCAGCTTCGGTCCAGGGTATTGGGCGTGTGACACAACAAAAGCAATTCGAGGTTTGATGTTCCCATAGTGGCCCCAGCCGCGGAAGGAGGGTCTACAAAAGCCTGGGACATTGTCCAATCACAAGCGGCATCGAAACATGCATGAGCATGAACTGTTGGAAGAACACAACGAAACAAACTATGTAAGCCCTGATAGCCTGCCTGTCCAGCAATATTTCACTTCTCTTCTTTCATTCAATCCATTACATTCTTTGTTCGGCGTATCTCTTGCCTAATATGCCTCTCTCGAGAAAAGCAACATGGAACACGCCTCCTCACTCCAGCGGTTTGGAGATAACCTTTCAAACGCAGTTCTCTATCTCGGGTCACTCTTTAGACTTATGGGCGAAAGCAATCGGGCGAGGATGATTCCAGAAACTGTCAGCAATATGGTCATCATGCCCTCATGGTCGGCAGTCCGCAGGAAGACGCTAAGGCTCCAGTCGAGACGTTCATCGTTACTACCACTATCATCGATGCCTTGATATGATGACGACTTTGGTAGCCGACTTTAGTGGTCAAGGTAGTGTATCACGAACAACGAAATCGACAACGACATAGCTGATCTATGTCCTTGCCTGCTCGACGATCTAAATTGACAAACGTTCAACCCTGGAACAAATCCAATGGTTTGTTGCCAGAAAAATGCATTAAATCGGCCGCCCTGGGAATCGAGTTCTGATCGAAGTTGATTATTGCAGCTGTGATGTCTCAATCAGACTCTCTATGATCAGGTTGAAGGAAAGTTGGCCATTGAAGTCATCACTCTTATCTTTCTCTTTGACCCACGAATGACCATGTTTGAGCGAGGTTGACTCTGATGGTTTATCCAGTATGCTGGTTTCATGTGCAGTCCCAGGTGTTGTACAGGGTTGGGGGTTGTGATGCTGACCAAATTGATAGTCCGAAGTCTACAGTTTCTTGCCAGCCACCCTAAATTCAAAAAGGTCTAGCGCGAAACACGGACCATTTAGCCAAGACTAAACCCACCCACTCTGAGACTCTGACTGGCCAAAGTCGCAGATGGCCGCGTCCTTCGGCCAATTGGCAATCCACTGGCACATGAGCCCCTAGCAAGCATCTTGGCATTTCAATGCAACCTGACTTTTGCCTGGCAGCTTGAGGCCCAACGAGCTTCACAGCCTTCAGGCCTGTCTGCCTCTCTCTTTCTGCCTGTGTCCCTTTCCCTGCCATGGCGCCACAGGTCCTTTCCTTGGACTCATGACCTTTGATTTTCCCAAGTCACAACCCGTTCACCGTCCCAGCACAATTCCCGCTGCCCGTTGTCCTTCTCCTCTAGGCTCCTCTTTCTACGATTACGGGCCTGTTTCTCATCCAGGATTTGGATACTGCTTGACCTGTGCATTCAATTCTCGTTTCCGGCTCCCATTCTTATGTGTCCTACAGCACTAAGCCCTTTCGCTTCCCTCCTCACTCTCCCCGGCCTGGCGATTTCTGTTCCTCCCGTTCAGTGGCTGTTCGGCACGAAGCACAAACACGTATCAAAGAGCAATCAACTCTCCGTCTAACCATCATCCTCGTCGGTAAGCCTTATCCGTTCCAATCCATCACCATCATAACCTTCTTTTTGCCCCTCCTTTGCCTGTAATGACCCCTTGTACGATTCCCACTTGTCGGCTTGTCTCCTCTCAGCCGCCGCACTGCAGCACTCAAGTCACCACCTCACATGCGCCCGTTGCCTCTTGTCACCGACTGTCCACAAATCCATCACTAGCGTCTTGCAACCATTTCAGCATTCAATTCTGATTTCTGTTGCACGGCCCAATGGCCTGCAAGTGGAACCCATGATCCATCTCGCCGCCATTCTTTCGCCATAGTCAAGTTCTGGCTCGCTGGCTAACATCCTCCTCCAGTCATCACACCAGCCCCAGCTAAACCCTTTTGGGAATTTTCCATCCCAACTTCGACAGCAAGTGGCCGATTCGGATCTCGCATACCTACTGCGCTCTGACGATTCCACCACGAAAAGTACCGACTAGGTAAGTAGTCTTCACTCGCCTCATGCTATTCTCATGCTCTTTACCTTTGCTCTCGATTTATCCTCCCTTCGCGTACCCATCGATTGATGATTGAGTTGGAGCGACGCGTCTTTCTTTCGCCCTGGCGCATTCTCCTCCCCATCTCAACTCCCACATCCTTCAACAGGCTTCAGCAAGGATGTGTACTTGTCGCGTCGTGACGACCTCACTGTTTTCAAACCCTTCACTACGCGGTGTGATATTTGCGCGTCGTGTTGAGTCGATGCTGATGATTTTTCCACAGCCAATGGATGACCGAACCTCACCAAAGCCATGAACCCTTGGCTCAACACCGATTCCCCAACTCCAAATAACCATGCTGGCTTTGGAGGTCCAATGGATGCTGGCATGTCTTTCCTACAGCCTCCCCAAACGATAAATCCCGCCCAATTTCAGAATCCCGCCTTCCTCAATGGCGCCGCACGTCCAGCCTCTTCCACCTTCCACAACCCAGTTTACCAAACCAACCAGGTGATTCCTTCCAAAAGAGCAAGAGAAGATAGCTTGGCCACGTCGCCACGACAGGCTTCGGGAGGACTCCCAGGATCGCGATCACAAACTCCTGGCCAGAACCCCTTTCCTGTCTACAACCCTCAGGCCAATGGAGCCCCATCCATGTCCAGCGCGCCTGCTCCTTTCCAGCATCTCCAGCCTACTTCCAATGCCACCCCGTCTCCGACCGTACAACAAATGAGCCAATTCGGTCAGCACCCCGGTAATCAACGCGTCGCCACCGCTTCACCTAGTCCATTCTCACCACAACATGCGCCTCCTCCACACGCATCCCCGGCTCCATCTGACCACGCCAGTCGAGTTGGCACCCCTCATGACAATCCCCAGCATTTCATGCCCAACGGTGGCTTCCCTCAAGCGTTCAATCAGCCTCAATTTGCTCAAAATCTCAATAGTGGCATGCCGCAAATGGGCATGAACCCTCAAGGAAACATGCCTCATCCCCAGGCCATGTCTCAAGCCCAAAGAAGTTACCAGGCTCAGCTACAGGCTCAAGCGCGTCAAATGCAAGCCCAGGCCCAGGCTCGCATGAATGGAATACCCAACAACCTACCTCCAGCGGGCCAACATCCGCAGATGCCTCCGACCCATCAAGGCCCTCCAGGCTCCTATCCTCAACCTCGGCCGAACAATCCTGATGAATTCCTTCGCGGCTTGCAACAATTCATGACTGCCAGAGGACGTGCCGTAGATCCTAACCCCATAATTTGCGGTAGGCATCTGCCACTTGTCCGCATGTGGGCTCTCGTCGTCAAAGCCGGAGGCTCTCAGAAATTGACCAAGATGGGACAATGGGGTGCTCTTGTTCAACAGATTGGCTTCCAGGGCCCGCAAATTATGCAGGCCGCCCAAGAGCTACAGCTATTTTGGGCTAACAACCTCGCTGCCTATGAAACCGCGTTGCAAGTTTCGCAACACAAACAAAGGATGGCACAAGCATCTATGCAACAACAGCAAGGCCCTCTACAGATGTCGCCGACGAAAGATATGCACCCGCCACAAGACTCTCTTCATCATAGAGCTCCTTCCATGAACGAACATGCTACACCACATATGCAATCTTCAGCACCAAATGGTTTTACCCAGCAGCAACACCCACAGCCCACACAAGAAGCCCCGATCACACCCCAACAACGCCGCCCAAGTATGTCCCGACAGCTTGACCCTCAACAGCCTGAAGGCATCCCAGCACAGTCGCAGGCACAAACACCACTCAAGAGACCTCAAACAAGCAACAAAGTGGTTGAGCAGGAGCCGGACTATAGCAAGCGCCTCTCGATGCCGATACAAGACCCTTTCAAGCCTGACATCTTCCCACCAAGTCGATCGCATGGTCCCATCAACGTCGAAGAAATTTATAGCATTGCTCAACATATCGCAGATCTGAAGCCGACTGTGCCGACTGTTCGAGAGATGGGAGTGATTGATATCCACGCTCTGACCATGGCAATTAAATCTGGAATGCATGCCGAGACACGAGTGGCCCTTGATACCCTAGTCATGTTGTCAACTGAGTCGGCTCTGCAACTATCGCTCGTCGACTGCGACGATCTCATGGACACACTACTAGACTGCGCAGAAGACCAGGTAGCCTTCCTCAGCGAACATGCCACCGAAGTCTCTGAGGAGATGTCACTTTCTTCCTACGAAGATCTCGTTCGGTCGTGCCGAAGTGAAAATGACTCGGTGCAAGATACACCCGACTTTGGTACCGTACAATATGATCTGGAGAAAGCCGCCGATCGACTTATATGCATCACTACCCTGATCCGCAACTTTTCATTCTATGAAGCAAACTTTGGAATACTCGGACAAGCCAATGTGATCAAACTGCTCAGCGCAATCATTCGCTACCTGGGGACAACAGAAATGTTTCTCAGGTCGAACAGAAACACATTGGACTTCATGAAGGACGTGGTGATTTATCTCAGCAATCTCTCAATCAAGTTGCAGCTTCCGGGCAAGGCCGAAGGTCTTTGCATTCTCCACTTTCTACTCGCCTTTGCGCCTGTCCCTGCACCGATCTCCGCGTCCTCGACCAAAGCGTCTTTCACAATGTATACGCCAGCACTCCACAAATACATGCCATCGGCAGTCGATAGTTTGGCCAAACTTTTGGCCATGGACGAACCAAACAGGACATATTTTAAGGCCATCTTTGCGGCTGACGCACATTCGTCTCCGCCGTACGAGCTACTCACTCGGGCATTCGGGCTCGCAATATCCTGCGTTCCTGCAAGTTCAAATCATACTCGAACGATTATTGAAGCTCGCAAACCCTTCCTCCTACAAGGAATGCTGGCCGCTGAAATCTTGGCGGGTTTTGCTCCAGGATCCGACCATTCCCTGGCGAGGATGTGGCTCGAATCTGATGACGGCTTTGCTGGCAATCTCCTTCGGTTGGTTGGTCTATTAAGTGCCGATCGAACGACGCAGACCGTCCCCAGGCATGTTCAAGCCCCCAACAATCGCAATCACCCTGAACAAGACATCAACGGGTATGGCGCAATTACGAACCGTGCGATGACGGTTCTCAAGACTCTTGTACAGAAGGCCAAGACTGTCGATGAAGACGGTTCCACTATCATCCCGCTGGGGGTGATGCCAAAGAAGGAAAGCTTGCTAGGCGCAATGATACAAAAGGACATCGACCCTGGAATTCTGCGACAGTTGTGTGTATATGCAGGGTTGGAAGAATGATGACGAGTCGACGTGGCTACCCTACAATCCAGCTTCAGGCACACTGTATTGTTATAGCAACAAAGACCTTCAAGATGGGTTGCGACGATTTGGAAAGTCACCCACAAAGTTCGACTTGAGGAGTTTGTATACCAAAAATGTAATAGTTTACCTAACAGCGCGTCATATCCTCACCATCTACTTTGACCATGTCATATACTATCCTCGAGCAACGTCGACACAGTTTGAAAGCTGAAATTCATCTCTTGATGTGAGAAGGATGAGTAGGAAGCAGGGACAAAATTCGGTTACAGTTTTGTGGACGAGGTAGAGGATAACTGATGTATACAGACATAGACATATATTAAGCTTTTAGTCATACTGTTACAATTCGGTCTGAGAGAAGTTCAAGCGAGTCCTTAACCCCCGGAAAATACACCGACACGCAAATCCGTTCGAGTCTCAAGCCTATGCTTGCGAATATGGCGGCGATCATGTCGACGGTAATTGCATGTCCACGATTGCAAATGTATTGATTCAAGTCGAATGAGCCCGCCCTGCGTCGGTGATATTGAGCTCTTTGGTGGACGGCAATAAAGCAGCTGTTGATACCCGTGGTGCCTGGAGGTGTCTCGTCTAGGGTCAATATGCTCTTCCCTCTCTTATATATGGCTGATAGAGTTCCACCGAGTAAAGTGCAGCGGTCCCACGTTGGCACTCGAAGGCCCCATGATGTAATATTCCAGTAATGAGGCTAACGGCTGACCTGAATCGTCGTACCTACTGATCGAGGGTTGATTTGTTTTCAGAAACCCGACAATTCAGCCCATTTTTTCACCTCGGATCCTCTCCACCCACGAATTATGACTTGTCTGGACACTGGGTTGACAGAGACAGTCTCTTTCTTACGACCTTTTGGGTCGACAATATATTGCTGCAGGCCCAAGGCCATACGGACTGCCGAAGCAAGTTCTGACAGATCTCCGGTAATCTTCCGGATGCAAGTTATGTGTTTGGAGCCGCCGGCTTTGGCCGTCTCGTAGATGGGCAGATTATTGGATGGGGTTCGCGAGATGAGGAAGGGAAGATGAGACGAGGGCGATTCTGACGACGATAGAGAGTCCAAATTCAACGTCGAGGATGGTGGTGGGGCTTTTTTCTGCGATGGAGGTAATTCTGTCATGTTCTGAGCTCGTAGTTCTGCGGCCAAGCCTAGATGGGGAGCATGTGAGCGAGGAATCAAGCCATGATTTTAGGAAGTCACCGTCGCATCCGATGATTCTTAGAAGACATACGTTTCTCTCGGAATTCGGCCTTTTGCTTCCGGTGCAGCTTATCAAGCGATGAGATCTTTGCGTACTTCTCACGCGGCATCCAATCTGATTTGCATCGGATCTGGTGACAGATGGGTTGTGGAGGATGCATCATCGCCCGGAGCAATGATGCTGATGGAACTCTCATTGCGATTGTAACTATGGCGTGAGGTCTGCGTGAAGGAGAGGAGAACGAGATGTGCGAAGAAACTGGCAATGGATGAATATGGCCGCCCTTTGGATATCTGGGAAGCAATCAGAACAGCATCTGCAAATTGGATAGTGCCAAGCATAGCTTTTCGCAAGGCTGAATCTAGCTACTTTTAGGTTAGTTCATTTTACGTCTGGCAAAATAATGAAGAAACAAGGACTGTAGGCTCGAGAATCATGCTCACCCTGAAGACCTCAATATGACAGAAGCTATGAGCTACACATACTCACACTTTCCCTCAGCGTTGCGTAGCTCGTGGTCACCCTATCGTTTAAGAATTATCATCTAGAGTGAATAGAAGGCTTGAAAGCGGCACCATCATACTAGCCTTATTAGGACTAGCTCGCCTTGCGACTGCCTTCCTTATGCCAAGATCTTGAATTCGAAATTCTGCTCCACCACCACAAACTGCGGGTTAACAAGTTGTGGTGGCACCAGAGTAAAACAAGGCCACACCTCTACGTCTCGCAGCCTCCTACGACCAATTCCCTATTCACCGTCATCATGAGCACCGTCGAAGATGCCACGGGCGAGTATGCCTTCCTGGCGAAACTCGTCCAGCGAATGGACCGCCATCTCGTATTTCCCCTCCTCGAACATCAACTCGGCGACGAAAATATCTCCCAACAACGTTACGACGACATCAAGCTGGCCATATTCAATCTCCTGAAAAACACAAACATGATTGACTTTGTCGGAAATCTTTACAATGAGATCAACAAGACAGACAACATTCCCGCAGAATACGCAAAGAAAAGAGAGGATGTGCTGAGCACGCTGGCCAAATTCGAGGCAGAGTCTGCCCACCTAACCAACCTCCTCAATGACGAGGCTGTCACAGGCCAACTGCGAAGCGACAAGGTTGCCAACTTGAAATTCCTCGAAGAGCAGCACGGAGTCACCCAGGAGATGGTCGACAATCTGTACGACTTTGGCCGATTCAGATATGAGTGCGGTCTCTACCCAGAAGCCGCCGATCTCCTCTATCGATTTCGAGTCCTGTCTACCGACAATGACAAGGTTGTAAAAGCTACTTGGGGAAAGCTTGTCTGTGAGATTCTCGGAGAAGAGTGGGAGTCTGCCCTGGAAGAGGTGGAAAAAGTCAAGGAACATATCGAAACTCGATTATTCAATAACCCTCGTGCCCAGCTGACCGCACGGGAGGCCTTGGTTCACTACGCCCTATTCCCATTTTTCAATTACGAACCTGCCCGCGAGAAACTCACCGACCTCTACTTCTCCCCAGCCTACATCTCCTCCATTCAGACCGCTTGCCCGTGGATTCTCCGATATCTTTCTGCAGCCGTCATTACCAATCGAGCCCGTCTTAACAACTCCCACAACTACCAGAAACAGCTCAAAGACCTCGTCCGTGTTGTTAAACAGGAGGTCTATGAGTACCAAGATCCCGTGACAGAGTTCGTCAAGGCTCTCTATGTCGACTTCGACTTTGAGGGCGCCCAGAAGAAACTCTCCGAGGCCGAAACAATTCTTCGTGGCGATTTCTTCTTGGGGTCAAGCACTGATGCTTTCATGGAATCAGCACGACACCTGATCTCTGAATCATACTGCAAAATCCACCAGAGAATTGATATTAAGTAAGTCTTGCATGCTCAAGTTTGCCCCTTCCAGTCTTTTCTCGAACACGAAGCTGCATGAAACCTGGATTTCCTTACTAAAGACGGTTTGTTCTACCAGGGATCTCTCTTCTCGCCTTGGTCTCTCTGACGCCGAAGGAGAGAAATGGATCGTCAACCTGATCCGCGACACGAAGGTCGACGCCAAAATCGACTACCAAGCGGGCACTGTTGTGATGAACCACCCTCCTCAATCAGTGTACCAACAAGTGATTGAGAAAACGAAGGGAGCATTTTTCCGCACTCAGGTCCTCAGTGCCGCGGTTGCGAAATCTTGATTGCCCTAGGTTGGTGCCACCAAATGACTTGACGAAGCTCTCCTCACCCTGAGCACCTCGTGGTGTGCTGGCCAGAAAATGACTGCAATCCATGATTGGGGAGCCGTGCGCTGATTGAGCCATTCAGCACAGTTATGTGTTATGCCCAAGAGCTGCAGGGCTCCCATGTGATGCGACGTTCATGGCACCGTCAAATTCAATAACTACCAGCAAGATGTGATGACGCATGACACAACGAAGATATTTATGGACGGATGGGTGGATGTGTAGATGTCTGCAGCCTTGACGAGCCACGCGCGTGGGGTGGAGGACGTTGTTCAAATATGAGTGCGCCGTGGACGAATGAAGGCCAAAGAACTCGAGGCAGAGCCTCAACTCTTTGGCAAGCCAAGAAGAAAGGCGACAAGGCTAGACGGAGCTTGGAATCGTTGCGCTGCTTTGCGGAAAGTCGGGTTTCTCGAAGTAGGACGAATTCTGGCCACGAGAATGTCATAGCGATGGCAGCTGAAGATCCAAGCCGGGTCCGTCATTCGCCCACAGACATATGGTCGGCTGCCCTTTGTAGCTGGAGCATTTCGGTCTTATCGGGACAGTAGGCTGAACGTCGTCCAGTGTAGATTGGAGTTGAAAGGGGCTAGAGTATAGCTCAGACGAGCAAGGCAAATCCGATCAAGAACTCCTCATGACAAGTTTGATGTTTGAGCTCGTGTTCCTTGCTCGCTTTACTCATCCACAAATTTTAACCTCATCATGGACTCTGGTCGGTGGACGCAGGAAGCAAGGGATACATTCTATTGGAACGAAGACCCAAGGGAAGGTTCATGAAAAGAGGTACTCAGTGGTTGGCTGTACAATGTTGTTGTCGTCATGTGTTGATTGTATTCATACAATCCACAGCTACCCACGCATTGTGTCTCTTTGCGTGCCGTGATATTCTGCCACCCTCTATTTACTGCCGTCTGTCGTGGCCTTCTTCTTCTTGGCCTCCTCTTCAGCAATCATTCCTCGAATCTCATTTTCACCCATCCACTCACGGACCGAGTCCATGATATCTTCGAGCGCTTGACCTCCAGCGAGAACGTCATCTAATGCTAAGGTCTCCTTGCCACTTCGATGGTCCGTAACTCTGTTCTGAGAGTAATTGTAGGTGCGAATCTTGTCCTCTCGACCCATCTTCCCCACGCCACCCATGGCGGCTCGTCGGACCGCGATCACTTCGGCTTCTCGTTCTTCGCGCTTCTTCTGTGCCAGTTTGGCGCGAAGAATCTGCCAAGCTTTTGCGCGATTCTTGTGTTGGGACCGTGAGTCTTGCATGGCAACGACAATTCCAGTAGGAATGTGGGTGAGGCGGATGGCGGAGTCAGTTTTGTTGACATGTTGACCTCCGGCGCCACGGGCTCGCATTGTTTCGGATCGTACGTCGCTAGGAGAAATGTAGTAGTCGGAATTGGGGTCTTCATAGTTCAATTCGTTCTCGGCTCCAGTCTCTGGCAAAATGGGGAGGACGAGTATTGAAACAGCCGAGGTATGAGTGCGCCCTTTCTTCTCAGTTGCCGGGACCCGCTGGACACGATGAACACCTGCTTCGGCTCGCAGAACGTCGTAGCTCCCTGAGTGGTTGACTTCGAGAAGAGCGTCTGACAGGGCTCTTTCGCCGGCTGAGTCATCTGCGCTGTATGACTCAAGGACATTGGGCCAGCCTTTGCGAGCACAAAATGCTCTGTACATCTCCAAGAGGTTGTTTGCAAAAATGGCGGCCTCACTGCCTCCGGCGCCCGGATGGAATTCAATCATAGCGGGCATGTTGGCAAAAGGATGAGGAGGGACGAGTGAGTTTTTCAGCTGTGATTCCAGCGAAGGTATAATGGCCTTTGTGGAGTTGATCTCGTCTTGTGCTAAGGTGCGGATTTCAGCATCGGAGGCGGGATCTCTGAGAAGAGTTGCCAATTCTTCGAGTGACTGTTCCGCATAAAGAATGTCAGCTTAGGTAGTATGTGGTGGCAGGAGAGCAGAGAGTCTCACGTTGGTTGCATCTTCCCAATCTTTGAGGGCGGATGCAACAGGTCCGAGTTCGCCAATCTTTCTTGCGACAGTAACATTGTAGTTCAGAGCGTTTTCCTGGGTGAGTCGCTTTTGTTCGGCAGCTATAGAGCGAGCACGTTGTAGTAGGAGAGGAGAGATTGTAGAATCTTCAGGGCCTGAATAATTCGTCAATTAGCTTTGCTACAGGAGAGGAGGCTTGAACAGGTCCAACAGAGGACGTAGATTGCGGCTCACCCGAACTTTGAAAGCGGACCAAGGGCAGATGCCTAGCTGCCGTGGGCTGTTTGCGTCCAAGGCATCTTGAGGATAGCCGCCAACTGCTACGGCTACCACTCAACATGCCTTGTAAAGGTAAAAGGGACTCAGAAAGGAGGGAAATGAGAGAAGCCGCGAGAGTCTGGTCCCTGCTTCAAGAGCCGAACTTTCAAAGCCGTTGTAATAAATTGTCACTGGCGTATGACGAGGCTGAAGGGTTCGTGGGGAAGGTGGGCCGAATCCTGACTAGTCCCTGCTTGGTCATTGCGGGCATGACTCTCCCTGTCTCAGCCTTGTGTCTTGGTTCAGCCTCGCGACTTGATGCACCAGATGAGGTGCGGAGCAATTCTAGGATTGAATGGAAACTCAGATACTTGGTTCTGATCATTAGGCAATTCGACATTTAAGCTCTAGGCCAAATCTAGACTTCAAACTCGCAGGGCGCCTTGCTGAAAAGATTCAGGTTCTGTTGATGATGGCCTGCAGCCGCTTCTTTTCCAGGAACCCTACCAAGTTTTGGTCATGAGAAGATCAACGCCGCCCGCCCAGTATAGCATGCAGTTTTCACATGACCACTCGTTATGAATATGTGTCGCGTCTCTGTACAAGTTTCCAGGGCTCACCGCCTTGGTGCCTCCTCCGTGTCGTGTCTTTTGCTGTGCGTGATGTATCGTGTTCCTCAGGTTGGGTACATGCCTTAGCCTCGAAAACTCCACATGGACCTCTCTTCTCCTGAGAGTGCGTCTCTTTTGCTTCTCTGCAGTTCTCCGTTGGCCCTCTCGCGCAGTGGTGTCAGTCGTGGGGAATGACCGGACCAATTTGTTTCGTCCATGGGGAAGAATGCACCTTCAACTTCCTCTTCAATCTTTTGCGACGTGAGACCAGGGCTGGAAATGCCTCGATCGAACCTAGCGACCGGGGCAGAGGAATGTCTCAAACCGCTGATCAATTGGCTTTTGTTTCCATTGTTTCCATTGGACTCGGTTGAATCTGTTCGGCCCAGCTGCATTCGTGCCATGGCCTGAGAAATGCCCGAGACCTGCGTATTGGCGGTGGTGGGTTCATTTGGCATCCAGGAACCACGGAGCGGTGAGCCTACATGACCGAGGCTGGTAGAGGTCTGTGGATCGCCTGACTTCCTTTCCCTTTGTTCTGCCCATAGGGCGCTGAAGCGAGAGGGACTGCCGGTTGGAGGGGAGCCGACCTTGCTCGAGGTACCGCTGGGAATAGCCAATCCTCCAGTCTGATCCCTGGCGTTGTACTCTTGCTCCGGTCGCGAGAGTCGTCTGTTCTTCTCTTGTGGGGTCAGCACCTCATCATGCAAACTGTTGGGCAGCAAGTCCGTCTCGACGCTGAGGCCCTCTTCCCATTCATGTCCAGCAATGTGGGAGCGGGGAACGCTGGCGGACAGGCCCCTGGCCTTGATTGCGCGCTGTGAATGCATGATCCTCTGGCCGATGGATTCTTCTGCGTTGGCGGGAGACAGCCCGAGCGGAGAAGGGGCGTTACGGAGTGTGGAGCCGAGATTGGCATTGCGAACGTTGACGATGCCCTCGGGTGGAGTTCCGAGTTGCCTTGAAAGGGAAGAGGAGGCGGGAGAACGCAGGCCAAACTTGTCGGGGACAGATTGACCGAGAGGGCCATACTGGGCAATGTGAGAGATGCCATTGGCGTCAAAGGAATGAGGGAGAGGGGCATTGAGGGCTGTGCGAATGTTTTCCACTGGGGACTTTGGGAATTGGAGGTCGCTCGGTGGAGAGCCGTAGTGGGAGTTTGGAGGAGAATTGACGCCCGAGTCTAGGGCAGAATGGCTGTGATATTGGTTGTAACGGTCTTGAAAGGCATCAGGCTCATCGACATCGAGGGGGAAGGATTGGTTTGGGAAGAATTCGGGGCCATAGGAAGGCTGATTGAGTAGAGGATCGACGAGATTGGAGTCTTGAGGGTGAAAGTTATGCTGGTCTGGTCGAGTCGAGTAATTGTAGTTGCGGCCGTTTGCCCCTGTGATGGCGAGACCGACGTCCAGATCGGCGCGATTGACTCTTCGTCCGTCGGGTAGGTAGTGGGCGAGTGCACATTTGGCCCCGAATTTGCAGTTTCCCTGGGGAGGCAATGGGTTAGTTGTAATGAGGCGAGCGTGATTGAGGGGTCAGACGCACTCTCATGAAGTACTTGCAGGGGGCCTGCTGGTTGATGGGGTCGAGGGAGTGGGAGAAAGGACAGGCATTGCCTGCCTGGCAGGCATTTTGTCTGAAGAATTTGCAGGGGACGTGTTTGGTATCTAGGTCAATGGTTAGGTCAAGTTCGGCTTCGAGGTAAAGCGACAGGATGAATTGAAGAGGGACTGACTCTTGCCAGAAGCGTTGGCGGTGGGTGCAGGGGGGCTGCGTGCCAGGTCAAACAACGGAGGAGGGCCTCCAAGGGGATTCTTGCGGTCTGCACCGTTGGTATACATGTTGGCAGCGCCAGGAACAGGGACTGCGCGGTCACCGTTGGAAGCAGACTCGGTTCGAGGACGTGATCGCGAGGAGAATCCTGGGGCAGGCATGGGGTTGGCAATGGTGGACTCTGGACGCAGTCTGTTCATGTCGGGCGCCGCAGCCGCAGCTTGAGAAGGATATAATGAGACCGAGTCAGAGGCGAGAGGAGAGATGTGAGAGACGTGTGTATGGGTGCGAGTGCGAGTGTGGATGTGGATGTGGTTGTGGATATGGACGATATGGCACGAAGGTGGGGGAAGGGGTCATGGACAGACTCCCCACGCGCGACCTAGGCGACCTAGGCTATCTCGATTGCGTTGGTTGGCGTTTGGCGACGTGGGATGGACTGTCGAGTGCCGCCTGTTGAGGAGGGAGGGGCGGTGACTTGGGCAGGCGGGCAGGGTCGGAGACGGTCGAGAAGGAGGTGAGAGGCAGATGAGAGGGTTTACAATGATGGCCACGGGATCGGAGGTCTCAAGAGGCTCTGAGATAATGGAGGAAATGGTGCTATGTTGTTTATCAATGAGACCATCAGTGGACGGAGTAAGTAGAGAGCCCGAGGGGCCCAACGTGGCCGACTAAGTTAGTAAGTTATGGCTATCAGTAACTAAGTATTTGGTGATATCTACAGTAGTTTACCACCTACCAGATCCATAAGCTAAGGGTCTTAGTATCTACGGAGTACACATCAGAAAGCAGCGTCGCTCTACCACTAATCCAGTCTAAGAAGGATAGAATTGCCTAGGCAGTCACGCACAGGGCGATCCGAGTCTGATAGGTACCTAAGGTTTGGTATGTACATAGGTATGTACATGGGCCTGATGGGTCACATGGGCGACTTATCACCGGGGCGGTAATGGGTGAAATGGGAATGATTCGGGGGATCTCCAGGCCCCCCAGGAACTAAGTACAGTACTTGGCAAATAGGTATACAGTCACATGATACCTATAAACGCCTGGAAGGGGTGCTCAATCCCTGTAGGGGGCGCCCCTCGGCTCCGGCTCTTAATCATGCTCTATAAGAACATCTATGCCTAGGAAGTACCCGAGATAAGTCGCCTCGACATACTCCGTACGCAGCACCTTAGAGTTCCCGGGAAGATACCTAGATAGAACCTAGCGTCACACCTCTTTGTTCCCAAGTTACATCATTGTTGTCGATGTGCTATGTGCTGTGTCTTGTGTCACTGTGCTCCGTAGATTTGCCCACCAGTCGTAAAAGCCTGTACTGTCGATCCCCGAATCATTCCCACGTACATCTGCCTCCAGGAGAAGCTCTATGTACAAAGTTTCGCATACGATGATTCAATTATCAAGGGGTTCACCGACCTATCTATTCCCTGCGCCTAGGGCAGAAGATGCCATCTTTCTCGCAAACTGTTTATGACCTGTATAGACACCACCCGCCCCCAGGAACCCCGCCCACTCGGCCTTGACACGGGGCTTGTGCATCCTGATCCTCGAATCGAGCGACTGATTTCCTAAGCATCTCGTCTGGTAGGAAGGGTCGACGTCGAAGGACTTTAGGAGCGGCCCGCCTGACATGTCAATCTGCGAATAACAGAAGAACATCAAACAGTGAGCAGGATCCACGATCCACAGAGAACAAATACCTTGGTTTTCTTCATTCAGGTTGCTTCAAGCTGATCTTCCCATGGTATTCCGTCCAGAGAGCCAATCGACTTTGCCTTGAAGGCCGCTGCGCTGGCCGCCCAATTCACTGCTCGAGCAAGGTCAAATCCTCCTCCTTGTGAGAATTTCTGCCGGATGTACTGGACCGCATACGCCCCGATAAAGACACCACCACAGCCCGTTGTATCGACAACCTCTTCGACCTCTGCCGCCTCATAATCAAATATGCGCAGTTGGTTGTCGTATCCTCTTGACCCCGCCACTCCTCCATGGCTACCCATGGTGACAACGGCGAACTTCATGCCAAATTTAGAAAGCAACGACCTGCGCAATTCCGTCCCACTGCCTATTTCCGCATCTCTGTCGTCCTCTCGCGCTGGTCGTTGCCATGACGTATTGCTGGCTGGTTGGTATCGCTCTAGTAGCCTTTCGGCCTCGACCTTGTTGACGATGAGGTGCTCCACAGAGCGAAGAATATCTCGGGGAAAATCGTCCATGACTGGTGCCGCATTCAGCAAAATCGGGATCCCCTCCTTAGCCGCCCTCGCGATAAGGTCTTCCACCGTTTGAACAGGGATTTCCATCTGCAAAATGAGGAGATGTGGCCAACCTTTGCGAAGACTCACGCCAATTTTGTCAAAGGTAAGCCTGTAATTGGCACCAGGACAGACCAGCACATTGTTCTCGCCATTTCCCCATATAGCAATGCTCGCTCTCCCAGTCGCCTCACCCTGGCATTGGAGGATATATTCTGTATCCACATTGTTCGCTTGCAGAGCTTCCACCATCTCGTCTGCCGCATGATCCGTCCCCACGGCCCCAATCATACTGACTTTGATGAATTTTTTCACTTCCTGGCTGCCGGAGCTTCGTCGACGAAAGGCATTGTTGTTTACACTCCGACCCCGTGAGAGCCTTGCGCAGGCTACAGCTTGAGTGGCGCCCTTCCCGCCTGGAGCCGCCCTATGCTCGGCAATCACGGTCTCAGATGGTTGCACCAGACGAGGCAGAACCCAAATATGGTCAAAGTTCAAAGAACCTATGACCATTATCCTGAATGTGGTTGTATGCCGCCAGAATTCCTGGTTCGAGGAGCCAACCTCGCCCGGACTGAACTCTGCACTAGAGCGGCTGAATTCTGCGCTCGAACGAGGCAGGGTGGCTATGGATGGACGACGTACGCTCTCCGAAATTGAGCCATGCATACTTGGGCTCGCATGGGTCGGACTAGCATCCTTGACAAGGGGGAAGCCAAATGACTGTGGCGAGCCCGGTGCCATTGGAATATCTTCAGGGCTTCCTTTTTTATAGGTGATGAAAAAGGTGTTAATTGCTAGACCGTGGCTCTTTGAATCGAGAAATTTGACTGACTCTCCATCAGGAAAGTCAACCAACGACCACCTCCCATTCTTGTTTCCAAAAGACAGTGGCTAGCTCCCAGCTGACAGAGCAGATCGACCTTGAGCACGTAGGATTGATTCGACTCACACTCCTCGCTTAATTTCACCTAGATGGCTAGCAAGAGGAGTCTTCTCGTGGGCTTCTCGGATGCAGGGCGCTGAAAATCCTTGATTTCGCGTGAAGAACATCGAGCATGTGCCATTGCACTGGCCTTGACCTGAGATTATCTTGCAAAATATCCCCTTTAGGCCCTATTGCATGCGACTAAGTATGCTGTGCAACCTGGAGGGCTCAAGTGGTTGGTTGACAGGTCACCAGTCAATGCACCTGAGGGACACGCCCCATTTCCCCCTCAAAGCCATCCCTACCAGGCACCTCCTTCATTTAAACTGGCGCGAGCAGGACGTTCGTTTGTCCTGGGAACATCTGTCCGTCCTTCCTGGTGCCGTAGTATCCATTTAGTGCCTGGCCACAAGCAGAGATACCTCTTCGAGCTTTGGGATTGACGAGATGAGCAAACCCTCCGCTGGCAAGTTTACTCGGTCGGGCTTCGCTGATTTGGAAGACTTTCATGAACACACACGAGAACAGGCATCACCCAACCGTTTTACAAGCCCATCTTCGCCGAGAGCAAGGCAGAATGATCTTGACGTAAGAATGGAAGTGCTGATGCAGAGCTCGACAAACGATCCCGAACAGCTCTCTATCATTGAACGCTGGCTAAATGAAGGCTTGGATGCGCGTCGGAGATATGGTCATGCCCCTTCTCAATCCGGTGATCGACTTTTCTATGACCTCTCAATCCCTTCACCTGTTTCAGAAAACCCCGAAATTTGGGAGCGCTTAGGAAATAACGCCCCAGAGACGGTGCGAAGGGCTCGTGTCGAAGTTAGACACCCGATAAGACGTTCTGGCTCAGAAGGCGCAGGCTCTTTGTTGTCTCGGCAAATCGATGAACTCGTCGAGAGTTTGAACAACACCGAGCGACTCAATGACTCTCTGACACGTAACGGGCGCTATTCCAAGGTGTCGGTGCTGCCTATCATGTTTGAGGATGTTGAACCCGGTTTTGAACTTGAAGAAGAGCTGAATGGGCTCGAGAAATGTTTCGTTCAACACTTCAACTTTCATGTTTACGAAATTTTCAAGATCCCAACAACCAACGCTCAGGGCGCGGTTGAACGGACGATTCGAGAACTTATAGGCAGGCATGGAAAAAAGGACGAGCTTGTTATCGTCGTCTATGCTGGACATGGCATCGACACAAGAGGGGATTCAAAAATACAAAGCGGTCGTGGCCCAGCAATGTGGGCAGCGTATGTTTGCGATATGATGTCGTTACAACAACGAAGGCTAACCGTGTTCTTCAGTCGTGCAGCCTACGATCCCACGAATCTCGTGGACTGGTCTTCCATACAGCCATCACTCCACATAGCGCCGTGCGATACTCTGATCATCTTGAACTGTTGTTTTGCGGGAAATGCTGCTTTGGGCGGCATGAAAGGCACTAACGAGATCCTCGCAGCTTCAGACCGCCAGAGTCTTGCGTACATACATGAACGCTCATTTATGAGAGCCGTGATTAAAGTCCTGACTGAATTAAAGAGTTCCAGATCGAGCTTGACAATCAACATGATACGAGATCGACTCGACAGCTACAACAGAAACGACAGAAACGAGTGGGAGTGGATCGCTTCGCCGTACCACAAAAGATACCCAAACCTGGATCATCCGAGCATCAAACTCCAGGCTTTACCGAACCCAAACACCGCGATCGATCGTCCGACAACCTCGACGCAGACTCCCCTTACCCCTTCTTCATTCTATGTGAAAGTATCTCTCGACTCTCACAGCAACGTGTCGTTGGCCGAATGGAGTTCCTGTTTTGGGAGCGCAAGTTACCCCAGTGACATCGAGTTACAATTTGTTACCGAGGAATCCCTGCGTAAGAGCTTGGAGATAGACACTGGTAAATGAGACCAAGTGGGCACCTTAGCAAGAACATCGCTTTCTCAAAGCTAGTAGCCACATATGTATAAACACCCAGCATCAAGTGTCTGCTACCCGTCATGAAGATGCATTGACCAGTGCCTGTGAATTATTTTCTACATCTGTTCATTCACTTCCATTATCCTGCTCCTTGACCCAGCATTATCAATAAAATGATCATGAGGGGGATGGGTCTGTCGTGTTGTGTCACATGCTCCAGAGGAGTAGTACTACTCTGGAGCATTACGACGCCAAGCCCAATTTCAATATCAAGTCACGTGAAGTATCAAGTTTCTCGCTTCTCATTCTCCTCAAGACAATCTTCATTTATTCCATCAACGTCGATCAAGCGAGAGCATGGCTCGAAAACCCCCTCTCTCATTCCTATATCAAACTAGGACCATATTAAGGTCATCCAACTGTTCGAACGTACCTCACTTCTTCCGACAGCAATTTTCCACCCACCAACATCTCTATTCAGGAAACCATCCCCCTTCTCACCAAAAGTCACCTGTGGCCACCAATGACCGCTCTCGTAGTTGGCGCCCTGGCAAACATAGTCGTCACACGCAACTAAGCGGCGACGATCTTTCCGATACCCCGATTTCTCCTCGTTCTAATCCTGCCACTCCTTCAACTATCACACCCGCTGAGCGCAGAGCTTTTGATGCGATTTTGAGTTCTACCCCGAATAAAAAGTCCTCTAGCCCACCCGTTGCAAACAAGAAAGCCTCTCGGCCCAACTCACACGACATTGAGATCAACCGAATCCTCGATATTTTCAGTAACTCGGTCAAAACCGGTCTCATTGGCAGACAGTCGTCACCTGCTTATGAAGCCGACACCACCCCCGAGTTGACTGAATTGCCAAGCCATCTGATCGAGTCGCTTAGTCTAATTCTGGACCATACCAACCCCCCGGAGGATCTGAGAGATGCAGTTTTTCAACGGCTATATCATATCATCAGTGCACTAGAACAAGCTTGGAACTCGGGCGAGCGCCGTGGCGATATTGCGTTGTGGGAGGCCTGTGAGCAACATGTTTTCTCCTTGGCCTCGTCGCTAAGCCCTCCTTCCAAAGCCGCCAGTATTGACAGCCCGGCCGAGCTCGCCTCATCAATCCCTCAAGACTCTCTGGCTACCTCACCCCTAGACCAGAATGGCATTTTACCCGAGTCCAAAACCCAGCCTCCTGTCGATAAGGAGGAGCCTGGTCAAGTTTCCCAAGATGGACTCGACATCTTCGGCCAGGTGCGAGAGGTCTCTGATGATGTACCTGTCCTCCGCCACGTCTATCCTACTGTCCTCCTATATGTTTTACACATCTTCACTGACAAGTTTCCCTCTTCTCATCTCGTGTTCAACCTTCTCCCCCGGATCCGCCAACTTGGCCACACCAGCTACGTCCTGGGCGCGACCACTCATTTTTACAACCACCTGATAGAGTTCCAATGGCAGGCTCATTCTTCGCTTCGACGAATCCATCACCTTCTTGTCGAAATGGATAGATCTGGCGTCGAACACGACCTTGAAACCTGCCAGCTTCTCCGAAACATCCAGATGGATCGAACGTGGGATCTGAGCCACGGCCAAAACCTCTCTGCACCTACTGCACATTCTCGCGGGGCAGATTGGTGGAACAAATATGAGCAGGTTGCCTGGTACCCTCAAATCGTCTCCTGGCAAGAATATGTGAGCAAAAGTCTGAATCTGGATGAGGCGTCGCCCGAACCGCCTAAACCATATTACCAACGACCCCATCGAGCAATCTCAAGTGCGAAAAATTGAATCACTCAGATACTTGGTTTCGCAAGATCTTAATCGCTCCCATCATGCTGCCTGACAAAGTCCGAGCCTGATCAATTCCGTGCTGTGGTCATCACATTTCAGCAACATCAACCATCCTTGTTGTTGGCATGGTGGCCAGCTAAATTTGATACTCCATTGCACCATATCCATGTACTACTAGACCTATATAATAAGCGAATATCACGTCACGTCTAGTGAATGAGAAGAAGTTCCAATTTTGCATTCTTCATTGTAGTCATCGATGACTCCTTTGACTTGGCTTCCGTGTGAGACCGACGTCCGAACGCCAGTCCGTATATTCGCGTTGATACGCCATGGGTGGAGCGATTGACTGGTCATCGTGAAATGCACATGTTCTCTATTCACTTCTGGCGTGGAGTTCTTTGAGCCGTACAACTCTAGCGCATAGAGGGATTTAGGTTCAATGGTCTGGCTGGGCGGTTCGCTGCTCAGTCCTTGGTATCAATTCCCCGACTTCTTGTTGGGTCTAATTATAGAGAGTCATCGCCAAATCCTAGATCTTCATCGATTTTTTCAACAAGATCATCCCATGCTTCTCACATCACACCTCCTATGGCTCAACCCGTCTTCCTCTCCTACGTCGGCCCGAGACATTGGATTGGAGTCAAGGAGGTTCATCATTACGGCTTCGTGAAGTCATCAACTATTGCCCGTCATCCTCTGCATGATTTCGCTCCCCTCCTTTGCCTTTCCTGCGCCCAGACGAGCCCATCAGATCGAAAAGTCGATTTTTGCTCGGACCATCCCTGCTGCTTGGCAGTGGCCTTGCTCTGGCATCCTCCGCGGCATCCAGTGACAATGTCGATGAGTTGGTCGAATTCGTCATCGCACGTGCCTCTGGGCCACGCTGGGGGAAGGGGATCTTTCTGTCCCACGCTGCTGAAGCTGAGCTCGATGGAGTTGTGTCACCCTCACCGACAACAGGTGACGCCTCGGAAGCTTTATAAGCCATCTCCGCAAGTGTGTCCATCGTCTGTGGTAGTGCCGTAATCTCATTGTCGGCGCTGGGTCGGACGAGTGAATCCTCGAATGGACTGTTCACCATGTTCCTGGGTTGCTCCCCGAGACCTCGCTGCCAGGTGGGGTCCGCCGGGTCGGCGGGTCGCTCTGCTTGCTCCGCGGCCCTTAGACAAGCCCGGCTCTTTTGGCTCAGCTTTGCACAGGTCGTGTGAAAGGCCACCATGATCTCGTCGGTGACAATCTCACTCGTATTTTCTGGAGCATGTGAGACCCAGAAGTCGACAAGCTGCGCCAAAAGCTTGGCGCGATCCAAAAGAAAGGGTAAGCTGGGTAGTCCTTCTCTCGACAAAGGAGGGAGACGGCTTCGTATTTGGTTCGGTGCAGCAAACTGGGGCTCAAGCTGGGTTGCGACCATTTGAGAAGAGCTGACGGCGCAAATCTCGTCAATAAAGGCCTTGAAATCCAGTGACGAAGTGCTCAGAAATTTATTCATGGGCGCCATCCAGGGTTCCTTTGTACCAAATTTGGCCATGTTGGCTAGAACATTGAGGCTCTTCGCAATCAATGTGAATGTCCGTTTCGTCCGCTCTGGAGGAAAGTCTGCGATCGATTAGCATGTATAAGGCACCGCCGCGTTCAGCACGCCCAGATGACTCACCGTGTATAAGGCCAAACAATTTAGGGTTGAGGATGGCAGGACAGAAGAAGCGGAGAAACAAAAACCCAGAGACACTGGTGTATTTGACAGTCCGGATAAAAGATCCATACCGGTCTTCGGCGCACGATCGGATATGGCGGAAGATGAGACGAAGCTCGACAGGACAAAGAGACGCTGAGACGGCTATCGCCTTCCACACAGTGCTGGTCAGGTAGTTGAGATTAGCCCAATTCTTGTCCAACTGCTCCTGTGAGCGGACACGGTTCGGATCCACTTCACAATCAGGATCGCGCTCCATTATCGTCCTTAGTTTCTCGCCCAGAACGTCTTCAAGGTACGACTTGCCCAGCCGACGCATATGGGCATCAAGTGCTTTTGTAACCAGCGAATTGCCCCTGAAAAGGAGATTGGCCTCCATCGTAGCCGAACGACTGAGGTCTCGCACAAACATCTCACGCTGCTCAGCTGACTCGTAGGAATCATTTGACTGGATTCGATTGCTGAACCTCATCCTCGTTGTTGGGACCTCTTTATAGGTGCCGTCAATCTCCTCTTCCACTAGATGACTTAGCCATTCGAGAACCGTGCCTGAAGCCTGAAAGATATCCAACAAAATATCCGAGACTTGGCGCAAATCCATGGCCAAGAATCCTGTAATCTGCGTGGTCAAGCCATTGGAGAAATTTTGGAGCATGCTAGATAAGTTTCGGTACTCGTGCTCCATCAAGATCACAGACTCGTGAAGGGTGAAGCGGATCAAGATCTGTCCGACATGGTGTTCGTTGTTGTCGAGTAACACGAACCACTTGTCAAGAGTACCTTGACTCTCTAGCTCATCCACAGAAAGGTCGACGCGGCCAAAGATCGGGTCATGCGACGATATCTCGAGTCCGCCTAGACCAGAGAGATAGCCTGTATCCGTGGAGATGTCGTAGAGGCCGTCAGCAACCATGGTCCACTCTTTCTCCGCAGGATTGGCGACCTTGACTGCGATGCAGATATTGGAAAGGGTTGTGGAAATATCTTCGAGGACAAATTCTTCAGCCCAAAACGCTTTGTCGACGCTCAGTTGAGGCGATGTACGAGCGCGCAAATCCTTGCCCAGCATGACTTCGGCGTAGACGCTCTCCTTGCCGCGTTCCTGTTTGGACACGCGACCTTTTGATTTTGTCTGCTCCGAGAGTTCTCTGGAAGAAATTTTCTGTCCGAATTTCGCCTCTGTGATTTTGAGGCTCAGAGTACGCTCCATTCGAAACAGCTCGGAAGCCCAGGGTTGAGAGTCCGGGGCGGGTCCGTCGTCACGACCGGCTTGTTCAGTGTCAGCCAATTGATGCTGCGAACCATATAGTTCCGGTTGGGTGAAGGCCCGAAGAAGCACAAACCATGCTTGAAAAGCAATGCTGGTCTCCAGACAAAGCACCACAGGTCGTGAGAATGGAAGGGTCTGTGAGTGAATGGTATGATGGGGATAAATCGCAATACAATGAGGCATCTGCAAGACGCTCTGGTCAAGCCTCTGCACAGCACACCGGGAGAGGTGTGACAACTGTATAGAAAAAATGACGCGGGCATCGAGCTGGTCCAACAAGCGAAAGAGTCCATTGTCGTGCAAGGTGCAGCTAGCTTTGCGCCAGAGGAGAAGTTCAGGCCGTGTAGAGCGGAAGACACCGCGAGAGTATGTGCCCAGCTGCGAGCCGGAAGGAAGTGGGCCATCCCATAGCATCAACTTGCCGACCTTGATGATGGCAGCAGACTTGACATTGGAGATATCGGAGACGCGTCTTTGAGAGACTGCCTTTTTGTCATAGGCAGGTACAGGATGTGGCATGGAGACTGGTTGAGGCTTGGCGGACTTGATGTGAACTCCCTTGGGGCGGAGGGGTTGCCAGCACAGAAGGGCTGCCAGCCATGAGTCAAATGTTTCGGGAACGGGAGGTCGGAGTTGATAGCCGCTTCCAGAAGATGCTATCAAGACACTCAGATACGTGCTCTGAGAATCGTGGTCGTAATGTGTTCGGACTGTGCAACCACGAAGGTCGGAAATCAATGTCTTGGACTGTGATACCTCACCCTTGGTTTGACAAACCAAACTACCAGGGGCTACATTGATAGCACAATAACCGGATTCCCATGCAGTGGTGTGTAGCTGTCTGAAAAATAGGATGCCATGCATGCGGCCACAAGTGGTTTTCATCAGATGTAGAATTTTGGCAGAGTCAATGTCCAAGAGTCTGGGGGATCGGATGCTGCTGGTGGGGGCAGCAATTCCATTCTCGGGAGAAAAAGGGCGGCGGGGGGTCCGAGGAGGGTCTCGAGGATCGCGCTGGTCCTGAAGATCGGGACTTTGAACGACCGAGGGAAAGCCAATTGAGCCGTGGGAGTCAGGGTCCCGTTGTAATAGATTCCCAGTGGTGGTAATAGAGCCTAGGCGTTTGCGAGTCTTTGTGATGAAGGATCCAGGAGAGGTGTCGAGGGGTAGGTCGTCGGATGTGTTTGCCCTTGACTGAGTCCTCCTTCTCCTCCTTTCAATGGTGCCCTCCTCATCAGTATTGGAGACGGAGGTCGACTTCTCCCTCCTCCGTTGAGATCCGTTCTTGCGCGAGGACTGAGAAGCAGGTGAGTGAAGTAGTGTAGAGTCGACGGAGTCGGCGAAGGAGCCTGACATTATGAAGGACTGAGATTCCGGGGTGACAGCGCGAATTGTGGAATGGGAGGCCAGGTCAAAGACCATGCCATGTCGGTCATGTGGAGAAGCATGGTGACTAGTTCTCCGCTGTATGTTCTGAGCGCGCGAGCGGGAGGCCGTAGCATTTCTGGTCTCTTCTCGCTCAGATTGATTCATTGTTGTGAGACGGGTAAGCAATGCCGTTCAAGAATCCGGAAGGGGAAAGAAGAGGCCCGTCACAGGCAGGAGGATTGAGTATTATGTGAAGGATGCGCAGTAAATGGATGTGCCAATGTCCTTGGACGGAGGCGAGCCAGTATGATGTTCAAGCATGTATGCATTTGCGCGTCGGCATGAAGGGGATGATTGTAGTGGGGATGGAGGCTAGGAGGGCACCGATATGGAATTGGCACTGTGTAAACAAAAGGTGATCTGATGTCGGGCAGAGGTGAACCGTCGTCCTCTCTGTAAGCGGAGTGAATTGTTGAATATGAGGTAGTAGATATGTATTACTGAATGGCGACAACGGCGAAAAGGTGTGCTGTCGTAAGGTCAGCAAAGATGGAGTGATTCCTGCTGAGATGGAGGATGTCGGCACGAGCGGCGGGGACAGAAAAGGTCACAGGAAGGAAGGTCTGATTTAGTGTCTTTGATCGTAGCACGCGTCATGCAGGTATGGCTGAATTCATGTTGTGAGAGAGGTCGGAGACGTTAGACCTGATGGTATGTCAATGGGAGGAGCGTCGAAGCTCGCTGACGAGTGTTTGTCATGGGTTGACTCGGAACAAACTTCAAAGGTGATGGAAGGATGGGAAAACGTGGATGTGGGTGGGTGTGTGGGTGCGGGTGCGGGTGCGGGTGAGAGTGAGGGTGTGGCGATGGTGAAGTGAGTGAGTGTATCCATACTGTAGCTGCGTGGCCCTGAACAGAGCGTGCGGAGGCGTGAAAAAGAATGCTATGCATCGCGTCGTCTTAACTAACTTGCTTAGTGCCAGGGCAAGGAAGGCCATGAGTGGGTTACCTTAGATACCAACCTATGCCTAACCTTGCCACTCGTGCCACTACCGTCTACTACTACCTCACTTACCGCTTCCCACCTCCAACGGTCTAACGTCCAAGCCTCGGGAGGCCGGAGGCGGGAGGCGCCTGGGAGCAGAAGCCAGAGGGTCTTGGGGGGTTTGCCATCAGTTCAATTGCCCCTCGTCTCCTGAAACCTCACAATACTCAATCATACCCTTACCACCGAGATTTTCGGTTAGTGGTAAACTGGTCACATGGCCCGTTGATTGATTCCTTACCAGGTTTTTATTGCTTCAAGTCTTGTGAAGCCTCTCCTACTACAAGTTAGAGCGTCGACGAAGGAGTTACCTAGGGCAGAAAAGTACCCACATATTCATGATATCTGTCCAAGGGTGCGAAGTCCGTTATCCTATAGTTGCAGTTGACCAGTCACCCAGAGTCCATAGTTCTCGACCTACGGAGTACTGAGATTGTCAGATGGTGGGGCCGAGATTCAAGACTTCTTGAGTTGAGCACCTCAGAATTACAGTTGCTTGATAATAAGAGATACCTCCTACAGTTAGTAAGGTAGATAGGCACTGAACAGAGGTACCTTAGAACCCTCATACTGATTCATGACTACGTCGGTTGTACGTCTAGGCTCCAGCCTGTTGAGTCAGGTAACAACCCAATCTTGCTCGCACCTTCCGTTGTCACTGATTCCCGTCCTGTATAATAATAATGATGGAGAGAGCCCAAAGACTGCGCCTGCCAGCTCCATCAGTCACGTGACATACAGCAGAGCATAGCTTCTCAAAAGGCAAAAGTCTCTATCAAACTCCATATTTGCCTGCGTTCATTATTCCTCATTCTCTTCTTCGCTTCCTCATCCATATCAAATCGTGCGCATTTCCCACAAAGTCAGGCGCTGCGATAGACAGAGGCCATGTCGGACGGTGAGATTACCTATCATTCATGCGCAGATCCCAAACTAACTTCGTCTCCAGCCGACTTTGACACCATTCGCCGGCTGCAGGCAGAGCGCAACGCTCAGTCCGCCGCCAACAAAGGTTCAAAGACCTTTGATCCATCAACTCAACGCACTGACTCATCCACCAAGGTCTCTTTGACTGAATCCTCCGACACCGATCTCTACGACCGATCCTCCACAGACAGATTTGCCGGTTACCATACCTCTCTACCAGCCGATGGCGAGGATGACGACTTGCCAGATTCCAGCGAGAGCAGGCGGCTTGTCGGCCAATACACTGCCACAAAGGATCAGATTAACGAGTTCGCACGCGGCAACGGCGTTGAAGAAGAAGACATCTTGCTTGGCCGCGAGAAGTCGGCAAGAATTGCTGATCGAGAATCTGACTACCAAAAGCGAAGATTCGACCGTGGACCTCTGACCCCGACGCGAGCCGATCCTTTTGCTGCCAACAAACATGCTGCCATCACCGATGGCGCTACATACCGAGAAGTCATGCAACTCCAAGACATTGAGCGGGAAGAAGCTCGTGTGAATAAACTGATTGCCGACAAGCAGGCCAACGGTGACACCACCGTCGTCTCCCATCAACCCTCTCTCAAGGAAGAGGCAGACAAAGAGAATGCCGAGGCCGGATCAACGCTCGAAGCAACTGGTCGGAAACGCAAAAAGAGATGGGATGTTGCTAGTGACGCTGCCCCTACTAGTGAAGCTCCTGATACTAAGAAACGATCACGATGGGATCAAGCTCCTGCTCCCGACGCCGCCCCCTCCACCTCCAAACGCTCACGATGGGATCAGACTCCTGCCTTGGGCTCAGCAACCCCCCTCGGCAATGCTGGTCTTGCAACTCCAATGCATCCCTCCCAGCTAGGGTTTGGGACCGACATCGCCAGGGGCAGCTCTTCCTGGTCAGATGAGGAGCTAGACCTCTTACTTCCCACTGAAGGTTACACCATCCTTGAACCACCTCCCGGCTATGAACCTGTCCGTGCCATTGCCAGAAAGGCCATTGCCAATCAAACTGCTGCGAGCGCCTCGTCTGCCATTGGTGGCTTCATGATGCAGGAGCCTGAAAACCCAAGAATGATGGGCAAACAGCTCCCTACTGACATTCCGGGGGTTGGAGATCTTCAATTCTTCAAAGCCGAAGACATGGCATACTTTGGCAAACTCGTTGACGGTTCTGACGAGAACACAATGTCGGTCGACGACCTGAAGGAGCGGAAAATCATGCGCCTCCTTCTCAAAGTTAAGAATGGAACTCCGCCAATGCGCAAAACTGCACTCCGACAGCTGACTGATAATGCTCGACAATTTGGTGCTGGCCCGTTATTCAATCAGATTCTACCGCTCCTCATGGAGAAAACCCTCGAGGATCAAGAGAGACATTTACTCGTCAAAGTTATTGATCGAGTACTCTACAAACTCGACGACTTGATCCGGCCATATGTGCATAAGATTCTCGTTGTCATCGAACCTTTACTCATTGACCAGGACTACTATGCGCGAGTCGAAGGACGTGAAATCATTTCGAATCTGGCCAAAGCCGCTGGCCTCGCCCACATGATTAGCACAATGAGACCCGATATCGACCATGTCGACGAGTATGTACGCAACACCACCGCGAGAGCTTTTGCGGTTGTGGCATCAGCTCTAGGCATTCCTGCCCTTTTACCCTTTCTCCGCGCAGTCTGTAGGAGCAAAAAGTCCTGGCAGGCGCGACATACTGGCGTCAAGATTGTCCAACAGATCCCCATCTTGATGGGTTGTGCTGTCCTTCCACATCTGAAAGGCTTGGTCGATTGTATTGCAGACAATTTGAGCGACGAGCAGGCTAAGGTGAGAACCGTGACATCATTGGCCATTGCTGCTCTCGCAGAAGCCGCGAACCCTTACGGCATCGAGAGCTTCGATGACATCCTCAACCCACTGTGGACCGGTGCACGCAAGCAGCGAGGCAAAGGTCTGGCCGGCTTTCTCAAGGCCGTCGGGTACATCATCCCACTCATGGACGAAGAATATGCAAATTATTACACCAGTCAAATTATGGAGATTCTATTGCGGGAATTCGCTTCGCCAGATGAAGAGATGAAGAAGGTGGTTCTGAAAGTCGTCTCTCAGTGTGCCAGTACCGACGGAGTGACAGCCGGATATCTGAAAGAGCATGTCCTCAACGACTTCTTCAAGAGCTTCTGGGTTCGACGTATGGCTCTCGATAAGAGAAATTACCGACAGGTCGTCGAGACCACGGTTGACCTAGGGCAGAAAGTGGGTGTCAGCGAGATTGTCGAGCGAATTGTCAACAACCTCAAAGATGAAAGCGAGGCTTACCGGAAGATGACAGTCGAGACCATTGAAAAGGTGGTTGCCTCGCTTGGAGCAGCCGACATTGGTGAGCGACTTGAAGAGCGTCTCGTGGATGGCATCCTGCATGCGTTCCAGGAACAGAGCATTGAGGATATTGTCATGCTCAATGGCTTTGGCACAGTGGTCAATGCTCTCGGCACTCGCTGCAAACCTTACCTCCCACAAATTGTCAGCACCATTCTTTGGCGGCTCAACAACAAATCTGCAACCGTTCGTCAACAAGCGGCCGACCTGATCTCGCGAATTGCCATGATTATGAAGCAGTGTGGCGAGGACGCACTGATGGGTAAGCTCGGTGTAGTGCTCTATGAATACTTGGGTGAAGAGTACCCCGAAGTCCTGGGCTCTATTCTGGGGGCATTGAGGTCAATTGTGACGGTGGTGGGAATCAATCAGATGCAGCCGCCAATCAAGGACCTTCTGCCTAGGCTGACCCCAATTCTTCGCAATCGACATGAAAAGGTTCAGGAGAACACCATCGATCTAGTCGGTCGTATCGCCGATCGCGGTCCCGAGTCAGTCAATGCTCGCGAATGGATGCGCATCTGTTTTGAACTGCTTGACATGTTGAAGGCGCATAAGAAGGGTATCAGGCGAGCGGCCAACAACACATTTGGTTTCATCGCCAAGGCGATCGGACCTCAGGACGTCCTGGCGACTCTCCTCAACAATCTCCGAGTGCAGGAAAGACAGTCTCGAGTATGTACCGCCGTTGCGATTGGAATTGTTGCCGAGACTTGCGCGCCTTTCACAGTCCTGCCGGCTTTGATGAACGAGTATCGCGTTCCTGAGCTCAATGTACAGAATGGAGTACTCAAATCGCTCTCATTCCTTTTCGAGTACATTGGGGAGATGGCCAAAGACTACGTCTACGCGGTGACACCTCTCCTGGAAGATGCGCTCATTGACCGAGACCAAGTCCATCGACAAACCGCCGCCAGTGTTGTCAAGCACGTAGCCCTGGGTGTCGTTGGCCTGGGCTGTGAGGACGCAATGGTACATCTACTCAACCTGCTGTACCCCAATCTCTTCGAAACGAGTCCTCACGTCATTGACCGAATCATCGAGGCGATTGAGGCGATCCGAATGGCTGTGGGAACGGGCATCGTGATGAATTACGTGTGGGCTGGTCTTTTCCATCCAGCAAGGAAAGTCAGGACCCCGTATTGGAGATTGTACAATGATGCCTACGTCCATTCAGCTGACAGCATGGTGCCTTACTATCCGAACATGAAGGAGGAGGGGCTACCCCGAGACGAACTGTTCATCATGTTGTAATTTATATCCAAGGAAGCGCGAGGGCACGACTATGGGCTAAGTACGGCTAGGTTCGGGTGGCTATAGGCTTTGTAGGAGTAGAGCACTGAAAAGCAGCAAGCTTAAGGAAAGACTTTGGAAGATTCTGCCGCGACTAACGAGTGATCATACCTTGTGGTCAAACAATCATCGATTGATGAAGATTATGTGCCCCGTGTAACATCACAGCCTTGCCAAACTGTTTGGGTTTCAGATATTTGACACGTGACTTGAAGCAGCCCCTCATCACGTGTTGCCATATCCACTCACAAGGCTGCCACATTACTCTTATTGACCGCCCACCCGCCCCAGTTTCATCTTGTGTTCCATTATTTTCCCTCATCCGCGTCCATTCAGACCGGACAGGCATTGAAGTTTGTCTCTTTAGATCAGCAAGTCAGCTAGTGAGTCTGAACCTCTATTGATCTTCGGGTACGCTTTGAGGCGGCCTCCCTGGACCCTGTTGGACACTCTCGGACAAGCACTATCATGGGGAATCCTGACGCCTTTCCTCCCTGTCCTAGCCCATTACTCGACCTGCCCAGTGAAATCCGCAATCAGATCTGGAGTCTTACCTTTGCAGAACAGGCGTTAGTACCTTCCAAGAGCCACCAGAATTTACAACAGGATGGGTGTGTGGGTTGTCTTAAACACGACCAAGTGAATCCTTTGCCTTGGGCGGAGGTCTTTGAACCTCTCCTGACATGTCGTCAGATCTATGCGGAAGCATTCCAAATCTTCATCTCATCCTTCACCTTGCACCTCAATGAATGTTTCTTCACCACAGATAGTCTCTGCCCGCCGTTCCCGGCTGTCAATCGCCAGTTAAGGTCACTCGTGCTCTGGGTCCATGTCGACGAAGAGAACCGTTCGGCGTGGGCCGAGCGGCTCAAATCAATCACCGCCGCCTTTCCAAATCTTCAGAGTCTAACGTTACTTGCGCACATGCGACCGCCGGACGAATACGACAAGCTTATCGATGCAATTGCTCTGGCGGTCCCCATCGCCCGCTTCACCCATCTGAGACCAGACATGGAATTGAGCCTCGTCTTTGAGTACACCTACCACGGTGTCATGTTCGACAGTCCTTACCTCGGCGAGATCACTACAGGCGATGCTATTGATGAGCACGAACTGATTGTGCGTGATTTGGTCGAGGATGACGCATTCGTTGAAGCGGCTCTCGGCCTTGACGACGAGGAGAATCACCAAGCCATGGTGGCTGCGTTACTGAGGATTGCCAGAGCACATGAACAGTCTTGGTTCCAGAAGCTACAGCGCAAAATGGCTGCCAGAGTCATGCAGCTTGCAGAGCTTGCCACTTCCCTCGAACAGACGGGGCTGGAGGAATGATCAATCCAGCATGAACTATGCGGTCTCATATCTACCACCGTTCATGGCCCCTTGAATGACCTGCAGACAGGCGTTATAAAGAGGAAGTGTGAACCAGTCGCAATTTCCAGTTGGGTACCGATATTATTGGTCTCAAAAGATAAATATATCCAATGATTTAAATCTAGAAAGTGGGTTCCCTGCATATTTGCGCGCCCAACCTTAGCCGCCTCGGCCTTTACTCTCCTGCACTGACAACAATTTGTCTCCCCGTTCGCAATCGTGGCAACTTGACGGGAAAGACAAGAATCACCACAATGATGGATGCCACCAATGAGCATAAGAATGTTATACGAAGAGATGTGGCATAAGCATCAATCACTATGAAAATTAGCAACCGGCCGAGGTCAGCTGTGGGGAGGAAAGGATCGACTCACCTTGTCTTTGCAGTGGTTGGTCAAGGAATCGAATTGCTTGGACAGAAGACCTCACTTTCTGAATGACTTGTGGGTCAGCCACCGTATCTCGAAGCCTGATCACCAATGTGTTTTGAAACACTAGACTGGAAATTGCAACACCCAGGACAACACCAAGATTCCGCCACAGCCCGATCGTTGTCGTTACAACAGCCTGGTCTGCTTGTTCAGCGACTGCCAGTGCACTCATCATCGTGTTTGGAAAGACAAAACCCTGGCCCAAGGGAACGCCAGTGATGAGAATCATGCTCACGACCTCGGATACTCCCTTGGTCAAGAAGCAGATTGCCACTGACCCAACGAGGTAGAGCACAGCTCCAAAGACCAGTGTAGGCTTCAGACGCCTGGTATAAGTGATAATAAAGCCGGTAGAGATACCTGCAAACGATCCGATAAGACTAGGGATGGCCAGGCGAAATCCAGAGCTTGAAGCTGATGTCAAAAGGACTGCCTGGAAAAACAAAGGTGCATTGAACAAGACCGTGTTGGATGCAATGGCCCCTGACAGATTTGCAAATACCATATTTGAAATGGGCGGCTTGCACAACAATTCAAGAGGCATCAAAGGCTGTATAGCCCGTGTCTCGACGTACAAGAACATCAGAGTGGCCAACACAAATAAAACGAAACATGTTGTCACGATCGGAGATGACCATGGAAAGATGTTTCCTCCAAGATTGAGAACGAGAATGAGCGAAGTGACCGCAGTGATCAAAGACAATGATCCGAGCCAGTCGAACTTCTTGAGTGCGATCCACGCGCCACCCCCTTGAGCATTGATCAACATTGGCCCCAGCCCGGAGGGAGTAAAGAGGAGTCCCAGGACAAGACCAATGGTAATAAATGGGACCTGAATACCAAACGCCCATCTCCATCCCAGCGAGTCACAGAGCCAACCACCGAGAGCTGCACCCGAGGCAGACCCGAGGCCAAATGCAAGGTTGATGTGTGATTGGAAGATCCCGCGATGCTCAATGCGGACGAGATCACTCACAATAATCAAACTCATTGACATTGTGCCGCCAGCACCAAGACCACATACAGCACGCGCAGCTATGAAGCTTTCAATGCTGTCTGCTAGGGCACACCACAAAGTTGTGAGGCCGAAGATGGCAAATGAAAGCATGAAAACCGGCTTGCGGCCTATGGTGTCGGAAAGGCGCCCGAAAAGTGGTTGGAACGCTGTGCTGGTAATGAGGAAGACGGTGCTGAGCCAAGACGCAGCTTGAGAGGCGCCAAAATATGAAGTAATGACTGGGTGGCTTGAGGCCATCAATGTCGAGTCGAAGCAGGCAATAAAATAGCCCAGCATAATGACGATGAACACAAGCCAGAAACGATAGGGACTGATGCCAATGAAAGTTGACTCGTCAACATCATCAATTTGATGATCGTCTCCGGTCTCGACGACATCATCTGAAAAGGTACCATATACTGAGTTCTCAGCAAATGCAGGAGATTGTTTCTGAATAGATTTTGGTCTTTGCTCTTGAACAGCGGAGTAGGCGTGGGCGAAATCGAGAGGCGTTCCCGGCGTGAAGGAAGCGAACTGAGCAAGGCTCAACTGTAGGTGATTTATATCAACATCGTCCGAATGTGATGAGGTCGAAGATCTTCGGCTCAAGAGGCCATGTCGACCCAGTGAACTTGGGAAGGAGAAACTAGGAGTGTGAGGGAAATTTTGCAGCCATGACTGGCCGGCAGACTGCTGTGTCGTTTGATTTTCGGAGTTGTCTAGTTCAGCATCAAGATCAGACCAGGTTTGGTCCGGTCGGGACATGGTGATCTAGGGACTGTCAAGTTGCACGGACAAGTTGATGCGGCATCGGCTAAGAACCTATTCATGTTGACAGGCAGGCCATTCATATACTCAACTGAATCAGAGCGCATACCTACATGTTTCTTTTGTGACAGGAGCCATCGTCATCTTTCAGATTTTTCATTGAGAATAATTGATGTCATTGTCGCTGCTGGCCGGCACGGGGTAAAGACAAGGCGAGACGAAGAAACGGCCGCGGCGGCTTTGAGGCGGGCGGCCAAGGGAGGGCGGCCTACTTGGAACGCTCAAAGTTGCAGGGGTTCGACGCCCGAGGTGTCCTTGGAGGGAAGTGCGAGAGCCTATAAGGACGAGAATGATGACTTGATGACACCGGTGTGTCCGGCTACGGGGGAGGGCGAAGTGTTAAAATGGCAGGTCACAGGTACGCACCGCTTAAGATGGTCGTGGTCGACGTACGAGGGGTAGCTGTGACGGCTGGAATGGAACAAGGCATATGGGTCGAGGCGGGCCTCCATAGCCAACAGAGGCACCCCCTTTACTTTTGACCTACCTTAGGTACTTCCCAGGTAGTCATTGCGCTGATACTCAGGCGGTACTAGGCTTAGGTTCAACGCCCGAGGACAGATGGCACTGCTCCCGCTGCCCCCCACCCCCAAAAGGAAGCCTAGAGGGGGCCGAGGTGGCTTAACTCTCACCTATATTCTACACCGCCCGAACGTGAGCGATCTGGATTACAGGGCTTCCACGTGGGCCGAGGGGCCGTTAGTGGGCGGTGTCCAAGCCCAGCTGCTCTGTCCGGTTTTCTCGTATGCGTCCTTTTCTAAGAGTGTCTTTTGATCGCCCCCTTCTCCCTCTTCACCACCGTTAGACTACCGTTACTATCGGACTGCCCGTCTTTCATAGGAGTATGCCTAAATGAATAGTGTCCTTGCCCTTCTCCCCGCTTTATCCCTTCTATCAGAGGCCACTATAGCAACCGGTATGTTAGAATGTGATAGCTTACGGACTCTGGTGATGATTTTTTTGAGAAGGGAGCGGTCTTTAGTGCTGGCCACATTCCGAAGGTGTTTGTAGTGACTGATATAATGGTTGACCATTTTCACAGTATCAGGTAAATCCGATAATATGGTAACTTTTCTCGGCTGAAGTGCTTTCGGGTATCTCTTGATCGTCCGATCAGCTAAGCCTAAGGCATGTATCATAGCGAGCATATAAGCTCTTATTTTGGTCTTGATGTTATTTACCACAAGGCCACGGCGTGAGTAGCTATGTTTCTGCTCTTGGCTAGGGATTCGATCGTTTCGGATAGTACCCTTCGATAGGCACTCGGCTTGCTGTACGACGCCTATACCGGCGCCCCGTAGGGCTATATAGTCCACGGCGGTATGTATGACTAGGTTAAGCTGTATAGGTAAATAGGGCCCCTCGGGCGTCCTGCCCCCTTAGGTCCTTCACATGTCCGGCCGACTTAGTCAAGCCTAGCCTAGCAAGGGAGTCACCTATAACCGCCTCCCCCCCTTTAAACTACCTTACTTTCTTCCTATTACACCGGCTCCTACCTAGAGATGGTTAGGGAATAGGTACCATTTTAAGCCTCTTTAGCCCCCTTGGGTTATTCCCATACCCCTATAAAGCGTTAGGGAAATAATGGATAGACGAGATGTTGGTCTCTGATATGTGGTCAAAAGCCGATGGACAAAGTCTGAAGTGAGCGGCCAACGAAAATTCAGCCGCGGGCGGCGGCAACGGCAACGGCAATGGGTCGCTCCTTCTCCCCAATTAGCCCCTCGGCCATTGCCCCCTTAGCCGCTCAGCCTTGTCTTGGCCCACGCGCAAGGCTGCAACGGCTGCGCTCGCTCTTCTTCCACCCCTTGGACTGCGACATGGCCGCCGCTCATCTCCACGGACATCCGCCACCATGGACCGGCCAGCAAAAGTCTAAAGCCAAAAGGCAAAAGCCAAAAGCGCTACAACAAGAGCTGATCTGTAAGGTATAAGATACGATGATGAGCCCTCAAGTTCTAGAGCTATCAACAACATCCTTCGCACAACTCCTCACTTCGATAGAAACAAGAACCTCCACCTCCACATCTCCCTGCTCGATCTACCGTGCTTCACTGTTCAGCAGCTCACGAGATGTCTTCCGAAGATCCCAGATCCCAGTTGTCCCCAGTCGACAGCACCAAGGATTTCAAAGTCCTCCAAGACAATGAGGCCAATATCTCTAACAATCTCACGCCAACAATTTCGGCGAGTGTTGCCATCGACCCTGAGGCAGAACGACGGCTAGTCTGGAAATTCGATCTCCGTATTCTCCCTACCTTGGCTGTCATGTACCTGTTCAACTCCCTCGACAAGAGCAACCTAGGCAATGCCAAAACCGCGGGCCTTGAGGAGACACTTGGGCTGACCGGCAACCAATACAGCACCGTTCTCTCCATCTTCTTCATTCCTTACGTCCTCACCGCTCCCGTCTTAGGCATTGCCGGCAAAAAATACGGCCCGAGCAGGGTTCTCCCCTTGATGATGGTGTCATTTGGCTTTGTCACCCTCATGGTGGTCGCCGTCCAGACTTTCGCCGGATTACTAGCCATTCGTTGGTTCCTAGGCATGGCTGAAAGTGCTTTCTTTCCATTGGTCATCTACTACCAGACTACCTTTTACCGGAGAGGAGAGCTCGCCCGCCGACTGGCCATCTTCTATGCCGCCTCGTCCATCGCTTCTGCTTTTGGTGGCCTCTTATCTTACGGCGTGTTTCAGATCCATTCCGGCTCAATTGCAAACTGGCGTTATCTCTTCGTCATCGAGGGCAGTGCCACCATGCTCTTCGCCGTCTTTGCCTTCTGGTATCTCCCATATGACGCTCAGAGTGCCAAGTTCCTCACCCCTGAGGAAAAGCAATTGGCGTTCTACCGGATGCAAGTTGACTCGTCATCCGTTGTCGGCGAGAAGTTCGACTTCCGTTCCGCCATGCGCATCTTCAAGCACCCGACCAGCTGGATTATTCTCGCCATCGAAATCTGCCTTGGCGTACCTTTGCAATCGGTCTCGCTATTCCTACCCGTCATCGTGAAGCGACTTGGCTACTCCACCGTCAAGACCAATCTCTATACTGTGGCACCCAACATTTCTGGCGCCGTCATGCTTCTCGTCCTCGCCTTTGCTTCCGACTACTCTCGTTTGAGATTCCCATTCGTTGCCTTGGGATTCGCTTTCACATGTATCGGCTTCATCATCTACGCCACGGTCGATATCCACACTCAACTTAATGTAGCTTACTTCGCCTGTTTTATGCTCACCTGGGGCACCAGCGCTCCAAGCGTCATCCTGGACGTGTGGTACAATAACAACATCGCTGACGAAAACAAGCGCATGATGCTGACAAGTGTCGGTGTCCCGATGGCCAACCTGATGGGTGTGGTCTCTAGCAACATTTTCCGAGCCCAGGACGCCCCTAAATACATGCCTGCTTTAGTCACCACGGCGATATTCGGTGGTGTAGGCTGCATCCTCACTTGTGTCCTCGGAGCCTGGATGATCATCGACAACAAAAGACGAGACGCTCGTGATGGCCGGAAGATCAAAGCCATCGACATCCCATCCGAGCTCCTTGCGGACGGTCCGAACAGTCCACAATACCGGTGGTTCTTGTAGGGGGATCTTGTGGGTGTGGCGTGGGCAGCAGGGTTTGGAGTGGGTGCTTTCGTCTGGGATTGGCTACGAGCAAGGGGTCTGCCATCAAAGGCACGAATTGTTGGTTCCTTGTGTAGACATGATTATGTGAAACGATCTCATGAATGGCCACGGGAAAAGGAAAACATGACTAGATAACTTATCGCGAAATACCTGAAAATTTCATGTTCACCTTAAGCCACATTACGTGAAGACGGAAGTTTTCAAAGCTGCTTGTGACCGCCCTTGCTTCGGTCCATGTTGTATACTAATTTCCCAGACACAACACTAGATTCGTAGGTAGTAAGGATTGACTGGCGTATCAATTGGCTCAAAACCTCCTTCACTTTTGATATTGAATCTCATCTAGCAATAGTTTTCCAATTCTGAGACATGAGAAGAAAAAAGCTTTGGACCTCAAGTAAGAATAAACACATTCATTCTTTAGCATTCCGCAACTACAACATATACCTAGATGGAGATCCTGTTGACGCCGCAACAAATTCCAACTGCCTGGTGGACCAAAGTGCTCAGAGAAGGCCAGTGCTGATCTCCAGTGAACAAAGCGCCACTGTCGCAGTTTTGGGGGCTACAGCACTCCAAAGACGTTGGCCGACGACAGACACACCCCCCTCCCTCGTCTTCTTGGTGTGCAATCCGAGGCTCGAGGAGGAGGGTGCCTTGAGGTGGCGAGTCACCGAACCCTCCATTGGGGCCTTGAAGATCAAAGACTCTCTGTCCGCGGACCCATGTTTCCAACACTCTTCCCCGGAGGCTACGACCTTGGTACGGGCTCATCTTGTGTTTGAACTTCATGTCGGCTCCCTCGACGGTCCAGTAGCGGTGCGGATCCAAGACCAGCACGTCGCCATCAAACCCAACCTGCAGACGACCTTTCTGGTGCTCCAGGCCAACCAACCGTGCGGGATTTGCCGACATCCAATGTGATAGCTGCAATAAAATTGATTCATCTAGGCTGGGAGGTGGGTCTGTAACACCCGCATCCCGTTCCCGCTGAGGCACACGCCCGCTTTGTTTGTGTAACTCCGTCAATATTACCGAGAGGCCCAATCCAAGTGATGATATACCTCCCCAAGCATGAAAGAAATCTCCATTGGCCGCTTTGATCACGTCGTCGTGGTATGCCGGTGGCTCGCTGTGCGGCGGGATATAAGAAGGGAGGAGTTTGTCGCTGGGGGCGCAGGGAGAGTGGTCTGAAACGATCATGGAGATAGGCTGCCGCCGGAGTGGCGATGGTAGCGAGAGTGTTGAACTAGCATGAGGATATACCATCGATTTCTCTGGATCGGTAGGTTTGAGGAGGCTCGACCATAGCTTGGCCTTGTTTGTTGCCTCTCGAATGGGAGGTTCTGCTTTGTATCTCGTGTCTCGGACTGGCACCTCTTCAGCTGACAATGACAGGTAGTGGAAGCATGTCTCGGCCGATATATTAACGCCCTGGTCCTGGGCAGCCTTGATGATGGGGATCACTTCTGCAGTAGAGACGTGAGCAACATGGATCGGAACCAATGGATGGGTTTTGGCTAGTGAAATCAGTTCCCCCACTGCTCTGGTCTCAAAGCTTGGAGGTCGACTGTGCAGGAATTCCGAGTATACATAGCTCTGGTCTCGTGCAGATATTGGATAGAGATATGGAGAGTCTGACGTTTTCTCGGACAGCTGCCCTTCGCTGTTCGGTTTTGGTAGCATCTCGGCGTGGAACATGAGCATGGTAGGTTCGGAGGAGATTTCTTCCAATGCGTTTGAGATATCGCTTGGAAGAACTTGAGGAAACTCTGGTACCTGTTTTCATTACGTTAGCAATATGCTACTTCGACTAATGAAGGTGCAAAACGTACGCCGCTGTCGATGAGAAAGCCCTTAAACCCTCGAATGCCGGCGCGGATCATAGGTTTCATTTCAGCTGTATTGCCAGGGACAATGCCGCCTAAAAACCCGACGTCGACCCAACATTTGCCTTGGGCTGCTTGGACCTTTGTTCCAAGGGCTTTCAGACTTGTTGTGGCGGGGATTGAGTTCAAGGGCATGTCGACGACGGTGGTTATTCCACCTGAAGCCGCCGCTTGGGTTCCTGTGTAGAAGCCTTCAGAAGATGTGCGGCCGGGTTCGTTGAGATGGACATGCGTGTCGACTAGCCCGGGCATCAGGACAAGGTCATGATAATCGATATAGGTGGTGTCTTTGGGGAAAAAGGACTGTGGCACGATACTTCTATAAATGGCTGCGATCCTGCCACGAGGCTGACATATCACGATCGTTGCAGGGTGGACTTCGTCAGGAAGCACCACATGGGTTGATACGAGCACAAGTGTCGAATGGGATGCCGTTATTCCCTCGCTGAGGTGTTGGAAGATCGACGGAGCCATAAGGGGTGGGTTTGAATGGTGAAGCAAGAATCAAGCAGGGCAGTGAGCTGTCAACCATGGAGAAGAACATTACTTGAGGAGTATATATCATAAAGCATCATTGGTTTCTGCTAAGCATCATGAAAAAAATTGATCAGTCACTCCTGTAGCATAGGATACTAATCGTCAGAGGTCTCTACCACGTTCGCGTCAACTGGCATATCGCCCCCTGTGGCAAGAGGCGAAGATCCGTTCGATGGGTGAAGATTACATGGCCGCTGGCCGACTTTCCACTTTTTGGCCGAAGGTCACGTAAGGGGAGAAGGGCGAGAGTCGTTGGAATCACCTGTCGCTCATTGAATACTTGAGAAGGCACATTGTATTTCCAGAGTGCTACAGGGCAGTGGCCGTCTTCTCAGTGCGGTCAACCCAATAACCAAGAACCCCTTGGCCATTGAATATTCTATAGGTTCCTAATACTCAAATGCCGACGGGCCAATCATATAAGGCGCGACAGATTCTCCTAGACCCACCGGCCTGGGATTGGGAGAAAACTGGAGCGAGCGGCCAAGGGTTGCCCGTCGGCCAACATGACACCGCTTGGTGAGGATGTTTGGCCGCGTAGCGTCATTCTCACATTCAGGACATATCTCCTCTGGCCAGCCTTACAGCGGCCTAATACAAACGGCAAAGCTTAGCAGGGCGGCTGAGCACCAGCGTATATTCCAACAGAACTTCCCTGTCTTCCTTCACTCAGCAATATTGAGCGAGACAGGTTGCTGCCACTGAAACCCATCACCGATCCACCAGTCGGTAAATATGTCAGGTTCATTGAGGTTGCTGAGATTGTGAGGGAAGAAGTCATACGACACTCCCGACCAAGTCGTGGAGGGCGTCGTGAAGGCGTCCAAACTATCACTGACATCTTCTCGGGGCTGTGAACCGCCAGCCTTGGTCAGATTTTTGGCCATCAGGTCGAGTGCGGTTGCCGCGAATTTCGCTGGCCAGAAGCCCGCACCGTGCGCCGCCAACAATTTGCGATAGTGCCTTAATCGACTGTCCCAATAACTCGCGCGTGCAGGCTCAGTCGAAAGGCGTTTGAGACTGGCCATGAAGGTGCCAACGACCGCGAGGTTGAACCCCGAGCCTATTTGTTGGGACGATTAGTTTCTTGTTCCGTCGGGTGTTGGTAAGTGGACTCACAAGACCACCAAAACGCACTGAGGCGGTTGATTTGCAGAGTTTCGACTAGCGTTATCACCTGAGACGTGGCTGCAACCGCACTTTCAATATGACGGTCAAGGTTGACACGTCGCCGATAAAGTTTGGGGAAAATTCCTCGCAGCAGCATCACTCGAACGGTGATGTAGGCTAGCTCAAGACTCCCTGCAACCAGATCAGAGGAGTGGACTCGCAAAGGTCCGGATTGGTGCAAACATACCTGTTACATCAGGGAAGAATCGTTGTGTGAGGATTTGGTCCAAGTAGGTTGCACGCCACATTTCCAACTGCTGCTCGATCCGATCGTGGATGTCGGTGATGTGATCACCACTGACTTCTCGGAGGCTAACTACAGAACTGATGGTGAAGAAGACGGAAAGGATTTCGTTGAGGATGACGGTAAGCTCGGCAAATGCGACAAAACAATGGATGCCAGTAGTCAACTCGGGACGTTTGGTCAACTGCTCGGGGTCTTTGTCGTCGGCATCTTCAAAATCGGCCGGAGTGAGCATGGCGGTGGTTGTGTTGGCAGCGCTGATGAAGGACGGTCGTCCGAGAGCCATTGCGAACCTGATGGGTCAGCTAAGATCAGAAAGGAGGGCCGCCACAGTCCACGTACCACTTGTCCTGCATGTAGGCGCCCCACCAAATTCGTTTCCTTCGGCGACGGACCGACTCTGGGATGTTCCATGTTGAACAGTCAACATTCAAGCCAAGATCGTGACACATTCCCACAAAGGCGCCAATGACAGCCCACATGCCTGGAGCACTTGTACTCATCTTTCCTCGCAAGGCACGCTGAGTAAACAAGATTGCAGCCTCGACGGTCTCAAGGGTAGGAGACCGCGCCTCAAGAAGCAAAGAAGAAGTCAGCTCCTCAATCAGGACATTGTTGTGAAGGCCCTCCAGCTCTGGCGATGTATACTTGGAGATAATGGCAATGGCATTGGTCAACATTCTTGACTGCTTAGGGTCACGAACACGAGACTCATCGAGCAGGGGAAACGCGGGATGAGAACGCTCGAAGAAGATGGTTTGAACCACGGAAGCGTCAGGTTCAATAGATCTCGCGCGATGAGTCGAGTTTGTCGAAGCAGCAGAGGCTGATGAAGATGCCCTCTCCTAAAGCAAAGTAATTAGATATTGAGGATGAATCGACTCGTAGAAGAGGCATACACGAAAATAGGCCTCGCGGGCAGGGTCGTTGCCGATGCCTTGATCTCTTTCCACAACAAAGTAAACGTCGTCGGTGCCAGTCAAGCCGATGTATTTTGCTTCACCACCCGATTTCCTTTTGGCATCGTCGGTGGACTTGGAAGCGGGAGTCACGTGACCTGATGCGCCATTCTGCATCGGACCTGCTTCTTGCTGAGCTGGAGATTTTGACGGGGGAAGAAGATCAAGGCGAGGTCTCCGTTTGCGAGGTGATGGTTCTGAACTGAAAGTACATGGGATGGATCGTCGACTGCACAAGGCGCAATCGCCCTCGGCATCGCGAACGCAGCATACCCGGCGGCGGCGACAATTGTCACAAGGCTTTTGTTTCCGAGATCGATATTTGCGCGCGGGAGCAATTTCTGCTGGGGCCATGATGGTAGGATGTTGTTGAGGGTATCTTCTGAGCGCTCTCCTAAGTGAAAATAGAACACGCGTTGGCAGGGGTGGACGAAGCCTTGTGAAATGCGCTGTTTCTAGATGATAGGCATGTTCCGAACAGGGGGTTCGTACTATCTTACCATCCTGATTGAAAACAACGGACACACTGACTGGCTTCCAGAACGAATTGGCCTAGAGCCTTTGAGTCCAACGAGGGTAGCAGAAAGAAAATGCTGAGAATGGATGTTGCTTGGAAGAGATAAGATACGTGCGGGTTCGAGATAAGAAACAGAGTTTATGCAGTGGAGCATTTTTACGGCGGAACATTGATGCGAAAGCTCACATCGGCAACGGTGGAATACATAGTATATATGGCAGTTCGATTTATGCTAATTCTCCCATTTCAATCATTCAAGATGCAATCTTATACACAAGCTTTTCGGCCCTGACTCTGCCTTCCTGCTGTTCTTGGAATCCCTTCATGATGTCATCAATCGTCCCCATCTCGCGAACTCGGTTGGCCTTGAGTTTGCCGGCCCTGAGGAGGTCCGGGATCAGGGCCAGGTACTTCTCCCAAAAGGCCCGGTCCTTGGGAGTCAATCCACCATGATTGTCAAAGGCACCATACTGCAGCGCTCTCTCGAAGACTGTGTACACAATTGTACTTTCAAGTTTGATTTTCTTGTTAATCTTGTCAATCTCCCCAGAATCATTGATATGCTTTACCGGCAGTATGGTCAGAATGTGGCCACCGTTGGTAGATGAGATTGCCCTGGCGCTGGCTTGAGGAGTACCATTCTCGGAGATACAATCAAAAACATGCTCGAGCTTGTCGTTGGTGAGCTTTTTCACTTGCTCGGGCCAGTCTGCATCGTTGTAGTCGACGACAGCGTCAGCGCCCAGTGACAAAAGAAACTCATGGTTTCTCTTGGATCCGGTGGCGACAACGAATAGGCCAGCTAGTTTGGCAAGCTGAACAGCATATACGCCCACACTGGAAGTGGCGCCATTGATCAGGATGGGAAGAGCATCTTTGGATGGCTTGGTTGGCTCGGGTAAGGCGAGACGCTGAAACATGGCCTGAACGGCGGTTGAAAAAGCAAGCGGAATTGTGGCGGCCTCTTGGAAGGAGGTGCCCTCAGGAATAGGGTAGACTAGACTGCTCTCAATGACGGCATATTCAGCAAACACTCCTCGGGTGGGATTGATGGCTGTTCCCTGGACGAAGCCGGCGACTCGCTGACCCTTGCTCCAGTGACTTCCATTAGGATCCTCGACCTCGCCAGCAAAATCACATCCAATGATGCGACCAGGCGGGACGCCCATCATGGCCTTCCAGTCGGTGGGATTTTGACCGACATAGTGGATCTTGACAAGAATCTCGCCAGCTTCTGGTGAAGGTCGGTCGATGGTTTGTACAGCGGCGGTTTTGCCCTCGACAGTGACAAGAGCTTTCATGGTAGGCATGGTCGTATTTGGTTGATTTGGTGTAGATTTTGGTGTGTGCGGTGAGTAGAACTGGAGAAGTCTGAGGATCTCTAAAACCTTGTTGGGAACTTCAACAACGGCGAGCAGAGATATGACTTTTATATAGACTTTGTGTGACGACACTCACGTGCTACGAGTTTACGAACTCAAATGCTTACCTAGGTAGTTACGCATACCTACTCCGTAGGTAGACTACAGTCTTGGAGCCTTAGGACGGATCCGGATCGGGTTAACCTCACATCCGGTCTGTCTGCTTGAGACGGAGTACATTAAATATCAAAGATTAGTCACATAAAACAGATAGTCACGACAGGTTAGGAACCAGAAATGAAAGCACTGAGGCCATGGCGCCAGTATTGTTCGTATGTGAAGTGCTGTTTTCATTCCCGAGGCACGAGGATGTAGCCTTGGAGAGGCCCCTCGGCCCAGGTAGGCAGTTAAGATGCAGGTACGGCACTCTCTGTCAGCCTTTCGAGAATGACAGACGATCATGATGAATAATTGGGCGCACGGGACAGTCAAGGGCTTAGGGAGGACGGGCGACAACGGGCCGAGGGGCCCTGGGGCAAGCAAGCCTTTGAATGCGTTGGCCACCAATAAAACAGCCAAGGTACTCTCCCTCTTGTCAGGTATGCTTGGAATGATTTCTAAGCATAGAGGTGAACTCAGGAGTCCATACCATATGCAGGTCGGCACCCACTGTTGTCAGCAACTTTCAATAAAATAAACGTTCATCAGTGGGCTGGATGCCATCATGGTCGATGTTGGATCTGAGAAAATTTGTCAGTCGACTTGGTATATGTACCACGTGATATACACGTGACCAAGTCAGGACTTGGCATACGACAGGTGTGCGTCTCTGAGGCAGGTACGAACCCTATTATCAGCACCCTCTGCCCCTTCTTCCTTTTCGAAACAAAGATAGGAATGTACCAGGGTAGGCAGGCAGGCTTCCATCTGTAAAAAATGTCAATCTGTCAATCTGTCCATTTCTCTACCTCTTCATCAGTCCATCTACGCCGTTTTTCATCGCTATCAAATACTCCATCTTGATGCCCTTCATGCTCTCTCAACAACATCACTACTGCTTCTCAAATCTACTCCCAACCAAGGGTGTATGTTCAACCCAAAGTAGGCCTGGGAGACCATGACGCGTTCTTCATGGTTGTAGGTAAGTCGTGGAGCCCGTGATGGAATTCGAATCTCGTGCATTCTCTCTCATTGCCGCGGCACATTCCTTTCCTTGCTCATTCCAGGTCTTCCCCTAACAGAGCATCAATGGCTTCAATCCCTCCCATATCGGGCCTCAACTTTGCGTCCTGCCCTCACTGTAAGTTCGAATGTTGTCCTTGGTGCTGTTCACTTCTCTGCAATGAGATCACTCATTCTGTCGAGTCTTTGGCTCGCTTCTCAACTTGTCGGCTCAGCCTGTGCCTTTGGCACCACCGTCTTCATTGCTGTCGACTATTGCCCAGCGACAACCTCGACAACACCCATCGACTCGACAACGACTTCGACTTCGTTATCTACTCCTAGGTTTATACGTCTGTTTCCTCCTGCTCAGCGTGTAGGCTAATTTCAATAGTGTTGAGCCCGGCGAGCCTTTTTACCTTTCCTTCTCCCTCAACATTGACCTCCGCCGTGATTTGGTCCGGCAATACTTGACCCCAAATGGGTCCACCACAACCAATCCTGAAGATGCTGTTGCTTTCATAATCACCCCAGGCGGGCAGCTCATGAGTGGAAGAGGCTACCTATCCACCTCCCCAGGCGTGACCTCGCAGCGATTTCAAGTGCTCAGTAATCTGTTACCCATCTCGACACTGTTTACGACTAGCGAGACTGGCGCATTACAATGGGAGAACTCTCTTTTTGCTGATGAGAAAGCTAGCTTTTGTTCTGGCGACGGCGTCTTTATGGTTTTCGATGGCAACCTCCCACCGGGATGCCTCGAAATCTCTCTGGATCCAATTCCCGCGACGGATATCGGTATTTCCTCTTCGACAACTTTGAGTGCTACCTTTAGCTCCGCCACCTCCTCACGTCCGTCCACGGCTGCTTCATCCTCCACTGCGGCAACTGTTTCCTTCAGCGTCACAGCAAGCACAGCCCCGACCACAGCTAATCCATCAGCCACAATTTCTAGCGATACATCCATCAGAACATCCACCGACCCTCCGTCAACAACCACCCCGACGTATGTCTCCTCGACCACAGACAGTACTGGCACGTCGCCAAATCCCACAGCTTCCTACCCGCCAGGCACCGTGTTTGGCAGTCTGGCTTACGGAGTTCCAAATGGCTGTTATATTTCCTCCATTGACAGTCCTGCGGTTTTTGGACCATACACAACGATATTTACTCTGGCCCAATGCGCTGACTTTTGCGCTGACTTCAAATTTTTCGGGGTCCAGGCCGGTACGTTAACGCATCCAACAATATTCCAGCAACTTCACTAAGAACTTTATTTAGGCTCTATCTGTGCCTGTGGTCCTGCAGTTCTGGGCTTCCTTCCAGGTGTTTGTGATGTACCCTGTCAGGGTGATCCAAGCACAACATGCGGTGGTCTTTCTGCCGCAGCCGTGTATGAGATTGTATTCAGAGCTGGGCAACAATCTTCGAGTTCAACTAACCAGCCAGTCTCTTCGACCTTTCTTTCGACCTCTGTCCAATCATCCCCATCTTCTACTACACTCTTCAGTACTGTTGAGTCAACTTCAACCACCGTGGCTTCTCATTCCACCCCCGGCCACGTCACATCGACACCGTCCCCGAGTCCCTCATCCTCGTCACTCACCTCGATTGAAGCATCTACGAGCTCCCCACAAAGCCCGACTCTGGCTCCAACATCACCCGGAACATCTTCCCAAACCAATCCTCCCGCCACTAGTACAGTTGTTGGAGGGACGTGCTCTACCATCGCACCTTCTGCAGCATTGTGCCCAAATTATGACCATCAAGCAATCAATGTGAACCGAGACGGATATTGTTACGAGGTCTATTGCCAGGAAGGACTTGCTGGCTTAGAGTTGGAGGAGGATTCAACATATGCGGCGTCACTCAAGGATTGTATCTCCTTCTGCACACTTTACAACGTCGCCATTCCCTTTGGCTGCCTCGGTGTCGACTATGAAGAAGCGTCTCTTGGTCAGAACTGTCGTCTACTCTCTGATGTTTCGGGCACAATCCCATCGGTGACACGCAAGGCTGCCCGCCTGATCTATGCGGGCTATCCTGCAGTCACGGACACTTCTTCGAATCCTAGCAGCCTCACTACAAGTTCTACCTCAGGCGATACCGTGCCAAATCAATCGACATCCTTCAACTCCGAGACCAAGACTTCTTCATCAGGTTCTACAACGGCATCTTCGACCTCCAATTTGGGCTCTCAGTCGTCTCCATCAACACCTACCACAACCAACAATTCTAATAGTTCTTCTGCAGCATCTAGTGTGGCTTCAGTGTCGATCACTTCAAGATCAACGACATTCGGCAGCACAACCTCTGCTACTACGGGTACCGCTAATCAACCTACCACTACAAGTCCGGGTGCCACTAGTGTCGCATCTACCATCACAACCGCGACCAGCTTGACATCTCCAGGGGCCACCACCAGCACCACAACCACGAGAATCGTTACGACGGGCACCACGACATCCACGACCACGACAACCACCAGGTTCACGAATGTCATTGCGCCTGTGGCGCCTTCCAGGTACCCTCTTTCACCTCTTTGCGAGAATGGGTTTGAATCAAGGTTTCAAGGTATGAATATGATCTTGGGTCAAACTCGACGCAACTTTCTGATTGTTTCAAGGTGGACAACTCCTACGCGCCGTTGAACGGTCTCGATACTATGACATTGAGTGCTCGGTAATGTTAGCAGCTCTACGCCATGCGCACAACTTTTTAACGGGTCGTAGATTGACTACAATGAACCTCCAAATGCGCGCTTCCCATTTGATCTGACCACTACTTCATATGTTGAATGTGCTGATGCATGTGACTTTGGCGCCCTCCAGCTGGGCGGAGATGAGCGTAATTGCAAGGCGTTTTCTTGGGTCGCTAACACTGGCGAGTGCTGGCTGTTCAATGAACTCACAACCCACACTCTGGGCTCGACTGTTGGCATTGCAAGACGACCAGGTGTACATTCTGGCCGTTATCTGTACGACGAGTATGATGGTCTTACCGGACCCCAACCCGGTCCAAATCTGCAGACATACCTGAGGGATCCCATCCCCTTTCCTGTAGGTCCAACTGTGAGTCCATTTACGGTACCAAATTACCCTGGAGGAACCAACACGTTTTTCAATGGATATAGTAGCGATTCTCATGCCACAGTCTTGGACCTGTCGACTAACTACGGAATCGAGTTCAAAATATTTGGCCAACGAAGCAGTTCTCTTGTTGTGACTGCAAACTTTTGGTTCACCACCACCAGCCTCACCCTGAATCCAGACACGCAAAACTCTTGGTCGGCTCTTAGTCGCAATAATGAGCAGAATCCTTTACAGTTTCCTACCACCTCTCTCCCCGCTAATACACTGGCGCCTTTCTGGATCGATGGGTATGCTCTGCCAGCGGGTCAACAGGGGATCTCCTATCGGGTTGATCAAATTTCCCCTGGACGTTACGGCGTCAGCGTTGAGTGGTATCTTTCCCATCGCAGTGGAAACAAGCTTGCAGTGCACGCCATCACCACGTACGACACCTTGTACGAAGGCGTCTGGACCACATACTTTTTCAATGCAGGCGACGAAAACGACCAGGGAAAAAGCCAAAGCGTCGGGGGCCAAGGCGCGTCCGCCAGCATAGAATCTTTCACTTTCTGTCGTGGTGAGGCAGGTTGTGTAGCACCCGGTAGCAAGCTTGTCTTTGACACAAACAAATCTAACATGGAAGAAGTCGTTACATATACGGCTGACTTCTTTGACCCATCGACATACCCGGTCGGGGCATGGACCTTCAACACAAGACCGAACGAGCGACCGATTTAACAAGATGAATAGAGATAGCGACAGGGGAAGCTTTGAGAATCTGCCAGATATGTGAAAATGCTAGGAGTCTCGGCTCCGATACTTATGGACTTATGTTTTGGCCAAGTCACAACAGTCGACGCTGATCCGTCGGTAGTCTTGGGATAGTCATGACTTCTGACGATGAAGACTATTAGAATGGGTTTTCAATTCCTTAAAAAGTCAGAGCGTTGTGAAATGATTGCAGAATTTTTTTCTCGGGACGATGTTCTATCCTGTCCTAATGGTCGATGACCTTTGAGTTTACTTTGAATACAGATATTAATAATTGTGACGAATGGTCTCGAGGAGATTTAATGAGGATCTTTCTAGGATTCATTTGTGCTTTGTGACCCATCTAGCGTATTAGCACGGATGAATCCCAAGCGCGGCTAAATGACACAAGGACCAGAGGATCATCAGGAAATCCAGGAACTGGAGAGATCATGATGTGGAGGATGACCGCCCGTCCCAGCTGGGAAAAGGAGTGCGCTTTGACAAGGCTGATATCCCCTAGCACGTGACCTGACGTGACCTGGCCCTACCATCTAGTGTTGGGAAACTCGCTCATGCTATGCTCTCCGCTGATAAACGAGGCTGGGAACAGGAAGCTTTTTTAATGGGCCAGGATCCAGGTTGGCTTTGAGAGGGGATTCAAGGACGGCCGAGGGCCAGGCCAAGAGCCAATGCCATTGCTGGGGAAGGATACTTTTTATGCCGATGATCTCTCTTTCGGGGATGCCTTGGAACCACCAAAAATCGTCCTCGATGTGTCTGACCAGAGCCATGTAATGAGCTAGAATGACCATAGCACGAGGCGTCTGTAAGGAGAGCAACTCGATGTATCTGCGCGGCACCAGGGGTCCAAAGCCAGAAATCCTGGAACAAATCACATGCGGCGGATCGTTGTTGACAACACTGGCGTAAGTGCTTCCTATCAATTCCAGAGTCCTGACATAGGCGTCTTTAACCTCGACGTCGTCCTCGAGGCGAGGATCGTGTTCAGCGGATGCACCGGCGCTGGGACCAGCGATACGCGGGTGAAATTCCAATATGTGCTTGAACGGCTTGGTGTGGACAGGGTCAAAGATGTAATCGCTATCGGTCATGTCTGGAACGCGTTTGCGGCTGACATAGTTCAACAAGAGTGAGCCTTCCTCGAGATGAACAAAACATGCTTCAAACACGGTTTTGCTCGAGTTGGAGAGCTTGAGCCATTCAAGGGGAAGTCGATAGCCTGGATCCCGGCGTGGCTTGACCATCTGTTCGGCGTCAGGCGAGATGCATATGGCCATGAGCGTCATCAAGGCCGACGTCAACCCCAAAGCATCGGCATTGGTCGGGCCCAGGCATTCAAAGGCAGTTCGTTGCTGCTGGATAGACTCGTGCAGATACAGTCGATGCAGGTGTGCAAAATCGACGTGGCGAAACACGTCAGGGATCCCCTTTGGTTCGTTGGGAGCAGTGGCCGCCGTAGCAGATCCCATGGTCTTGCACAGGTAAAGGGCGGTAATGGCAAAGATGGCCTGGAACAAAAAGGCATGGTCACAGGCCAGATTGGGCACGTGCCACGGAAACATGTCCTTGGAGACCTCACATCGAGAAGATGGAAACGAGGCCACGACGTCGGCAGTAAATCGATGCATAAGAAATAGTTCAATCGCGTGGCGTCGCTCCTTCGGATCAGGTTGGCTGCTCGAATACTGGGAGCACGTCAAGTCCCCCAGCATTGGGGACATACTATTTCCCAAACCCGAATCGGGCGTCTGTCCAGCCGAGTCTGCATTTGTCGCGTCATGGTTCAACCTCTGACTGGTCTTCGTCTCAGACGGTGTTGTTGGCCCACGGCGGACGCCAGTAGCTGAATGGTGAGCCCGGCGCCGAACTGGCTGAAGGACTGGGATATATTCGCAAGCGACGCCATGTCGTGCGCAAGCTGTACATGCCGGTCGACCTTCGTTGCATTTGACCTTGCGCTCCTTACACCGTGTACATCCTTGGCGAGATTTCCGATGTGCTAGGCGCGGAGGCATAGCATGTCATGTCATTGAACAGTCGTGGATACACCCGTCCACTCTGATTATAGTTGGAAGGTCGTGCCTGGACAGTCGATTGCTTACTTGCTCGCTTGGCTTGCCCGCGCAGCTCGCTTGCCGCATCCGATTCCGAATTTGACGATATTTACTGAAGGTAGACAAGGCTGGGGGGCTCGAAACGAAGCGATCTGGGATCTTGTGGTCGGTTGACTTTAGGCGTCCAAGGCCTCCAACGTTGATGAGTCACGTGACGATATTGGCTTTTGTTTCGACAGTCGACGAGGCTGCGACAGCTGGTCCCTTGTATATTACTCTCCTTTTCAAACTCGGTGGCGCAGATGCTTGTAAAATAGAGAGGGACCCGGATGGGCTCGATGAGGTAATTCAGAGCGCTCAATCGCAATAAACGTGTGCTCTGGTTAGAGGCTTGGGATGATTATCAAATACTGTAATTACTACGTCTATAGATCCATATATATAACCGCATGCATAATGGGTGTCTTGCTAGTCTTCTGACATCCAAGCCAATGCTCCTGAAAGTCTATTTCCTCACCACCAGAGCCATGCAATAATGAGAAAAACCACCACTAACGTTACGCAACTGGGGCAAATGCACTCCTTTTCCGGATATGCGGACCATATCTATGCAGAACCCAAGGGACTGGAAGCAGTGCCACAGTGATAAAGCCCAGCATGCTTGTGGCCCATCCAACACCCATGGCCCGATACCTAGATCATAAAATAAAACATGTCAGCTCGAACCAGAGACTGTGGAATCAAGGTTGCTTACATTTGGATCGTAAAGAGTGGGAACACCGCTCCTGCGGTGTATCGTAAGAGGCCATTGGCGGCTGCTGCACTCGCACCGGCAAGCGGACCATATGTGTCGATGGAATAAAGAATGCAAGAACAAAAGACCAATAAATTTCCTACACCAAAGAGGACCGTGGCCATGACGGGCACAATCCAGTGGATATCAGATCGAGCAGTCCAGCCGAACCAAAAGAGTGATATAGGCAGTAAGACACTCCCGAGCATCGCAGGCTGGAGACGAGCTTCTGGGGGAAGAGGAGTGAAGTCGCCTGTGGCTCGTTTTCTCAGTGTTTGTGGCCGGTAGGTGTAGAGGTCGAAGACGATGAATGTCATGGTGCTGATGACGACTCCGAGACCGATGGCCAGGAATACGAGGCCGGATTCGCCCGTGTTGAAGTGATAGATTTGGATCTCAGGGTAGGGCGATGAGAAGACCACGGGAAATGCAGCGAAAAAGGCAAACAGAACGCTAAAGTTGAAGGCGGTGTAGATAGAGAAGAAGGCGACAATGGACTCGGTGATGAGCATGCGGAGGGGTCGGAGGATGGTGACGACGAAAACGAAACGCATCATGGACATCCCAGGAGGCAGGAGTGACGGCGGCCCCTGGATATTAAGACGACGAGCCCGTTTCGAGAGGATGATGCGCTTGTAAGTTTCTTTCTGCGGGACGGTCAACGCATAGGTCAAGGCGCCCCAGAACAGGATCAACCACTGTGTCCAACGCCAGTCTTTTTTCATGCTCACGTAGCCACCAAGAGCTGGGCCCAGGGCAGGACCAAGAAAGGGAGCCATGAGGAAGATTGAGCTCGACATGGCGCGATTGATGGGAGCATATAGATCTGAGTTGGATCCAGCCCCTACAGCTAGGGTGCCTGACCCTGTGAGGCCTGCCAAAAAGCGACAGATGACGAGTCCGGCGAATGTGTTTGAAAATCCGGCTCCCATGGTGAGGAGGAGGGATGGTGGGAAGAACCACAGGTAGACTGAGCGTCGGCCCCAGGTTTCCGAGATGGGAGCACTCAGCATAGGTCCGGCGCCTAGGCCCAGGACATATACGGTCAATGGAAGGATCGCAGTGGTGCTTCCAATGTCAAAGTGACGAGCGACCTGAGGTATACCTATAAAGAGAGTCAGATTTCTCGAGATCAAAGACCAAGAGGGGTTGGATCGATGTACTTGGACTGTAGACAGAAGAGCCAAAGGTGATGGTGAATGCCTGTAGGGCAGGTACCAGCGTATGGTATGCTTTCTTTTTCGTTGACCAATTGAGAGGATTGTCTGGATCGTCCGGACCATCCCAGTCCTGGGCGGTCCTGACAACTCTGTTGGAATTTCGACTTTGGTTAGTTCTGCAGGTTCCTGTACTAGTCGTCTTCTCTAGATCAAGGTTTGTCTGCTGAATAGGTACTGAGATTGATGGAGAGGAGGAGGAAGTTGTGTCGGACGAAGTCTCCATCTTGTCCGAGTCGATCGGTATGCTCAGAGAATGGTCTGTCATGATGTAGATGATGAGTTTTTGAGACAGAAGTCTTGATGCTTTTCCAAGAGACCAGAGGAGGAAGAGCCGTTTGGTGTCAAGAGGCAAAAGGTGAGAGACACTATCAGGGAGGAGACTCACATGTGCGAGTGGACAGGTTCTTACTGGTATCATAGGACCAAGTTGACCAGAGAGCTTGTCCACACCAGCAATTATATCACGACATATATCTTGGATTTGTCAGAAACCAGTGCCATAAAGCAGCGAAAGGAAGGATCCAGGATGCGGGCTAATGAGAAAGGGAAAGGAATCATGAATGAAGAGCAGTTGGAGGAAAGTGTGGTTAGTGAACATGAATCAATCGATCAAGAAGATGAACCTCGGACATCTCGTCACGAGGAGAAAACAAGACAACGTCAATCCAGACAAGTAGAAGCATCCCCTGAGACGAAGCCAAGTAACCGTCCGATGTGCCATGACCTACATGACTAGATTGGGTGGCATATGTGCTGCTAGAGTGGCATTGTTCGAGAGAAGTCCAACGTGTCCGCCATCGTCATTCACCAGTGGCCGAGAGTTTGGTCGAGATCAGTAATCATTCAAACCAGTGCGGGGCGTCGAAAACAGGGGTTTTGGGTCTGCTTGCCGCGGCAACATGTCCGACGAATGGCTCAGTCGAAGGGAGACGTGGCAGAAAGAATCCATGGACAACATAGGATATTTGGTCTCGACAATAATGAGGGAGAATGAAGACGAAAAGAAGATGTGGAAGATCAAGGTGGTGTCTTTAATGATAGGGTCTAAGTGATTGAGGCTCGAGGCAGCCCCTCGGCCGCCGTCTTACCTCCCTGAATTGGGGGTTAATGGGCGAAATATTAAGTGGAGAGGGGGCCGAGGGGCGTTTCCCCTAAACACCAGGCCGAGGGGCCCGAGGGCCCGCGGGCCACTTTGGCTATAAGGAACGGGCAATGTGCCTAATAAGTACCTTATTAGAGAGACAGCCCGAGGCGCCCGCCATCCAACATACTGTAAATGTAACAGACAGCGGCCGACAGATGGCAAGTCATGTGACCTTCACCAATACATCATGTGCGTTTAATCCATTCAGACCATCGATGCATCCATCTTCATCCTACACTCACTCTTCTCTACACAAGCGACCCAGCCATAACTGCACCATAGAGTAAAGTGACTCTTGTCATTGAATCTTGGTAAGACACTATGCACGTTCAACTGACTTGCGGTCCACCCCCCTGAAAATTTGGGAGGGCGTTACGACCTACAGGAATGCTCATGTCCTTTCATGGCAGTCCTGGGCTCGTCCATGCCCAGTCAGTAGCAAGCAATCAATTCCACGAATCCACCACCTGTTGAACTCCTCCGAGAGAAAACAGGATGAAACAAAATCAGCGGTTGCAATCAATCTTTCATATCTCTGGTATCACTTTGCCTTGGTCCTCGTTCCATTCCTGTGCCCTCATTGCCCTCATTGCCCTCATGCCTGCCCAAGGCCATGGCATCACGCCGGTGCTGTACCGACCTTTCATCCTGTCATGAAGCGTCCACCATACCTTACGTCACCGTCTTCTGCTGGCTCAAAGGGTCGAGCTCTGCCCCTTCATATTCTTCGCGTCTCATGATGCCTTCCACCGGTCCTAGAAGGCGCTTGAATCCATCTCGTCCTAGCTTGGCTACCTTGACCGTCGTTTTAGCCACCACACTGGCTGCACGAGGCTTGTCGTCCAAAAGTGCCAACTCGCCAAAGAAATCGCCCCGATGGTACTCCTTGACTGACTTGTCCACTCCGTGTTTGTATGCAGAGGCTTCGCCGTCCTCCAGCAAGTAGAATGCATCTCCGGGTTCTCCTTCGGTGATGATGTTGGCACCTTGCTCAAACTTGACCGTTTCCAATGCGTCGGCAATCTTGGCGCGCTCATAGGGCTTCAAGCTTGACAGCAAGGGAACTTCTTCCAAGAATCCTTCGTACATCTTTCTCTTTTGTGAAGCATTGTCCATGAGAATTCGGCGAAACGTCACTCGATCGAGCGCCCACAAGAGGCTTCCCTTGTTGGCACTGACGACGGTGGCAGCACGAGGTGCGTTGTACATCAACGCAAGCTCCCCAAAGCTGCCACCAGGTCCAATCGTGGCCACCTTGTTGCCGAGGCCGTCGGGGCCAGGCTCCACGGTGCCACTAGGGTTGATGTAGATATCAAAGTCACCCGACTCAATGACGTAGAAAAAGTCGCCTTCGTCTCCTTGGGTGATGACCTTGATGTTGGCGGCGGGAATGGATTTCTCCACCAAGGCATCAAGTACCAACCGGAAAGACTCTTCGTCCAAGCTCGAAAAGAGAAAGTTGCCGGCCACAGCACTTCTCAGTCGTTGCAGTTGGTCGGGAGTCTTTTGGTGCTTAGGTGGTTTCCAATTGCCCGAGTCGGCGTCTGGCTGCATTGACTCGGCAGACACCGAGGTTCTGCGTCCGGCTGTGAAGTTGGCCGGGGCCTGTTGTGTAGATTGGTCTGTCTCTTCACCGGCAGAGCTGCCTAGCCAGTTGCCAAAGAGGCCACCACCGGCAGCTGCACCACCTGCGGTGGCTGCAGCCCCAAAGGGAGATGCACTGAAGCCACCAAAGCCGCCATCGCCGCCGCGAGACTTGAAGGTGGCATTGGTGGGAGAGCCAAAGGAATCACGTTCTTCGTCCTCCTCTTCAATGCTGGTGGGATTCTTGCTGGCCCCAAAAGGACTGCGTTTGTCAAAGGGCCCCGCGGTGTCTGCCATACCGCCGTTAGACTGGGACTCGGATGCCTGGGCGAGGGATTGGCGGGAGGATCGCTCCGAGGCAAGCTGCTGATTGAAAAAGTTGGCAGCGTGCTGCAAAGGGTCGTTGGTGTTGGCCTTTTGCAGTTCGTGGGTCAGAGCATCAATGATGGCTTGGTGGGAAGCAGAGAGGGACATTGGTGATGATGAGGTTGGAGATGTGGGGGTTCTGGAACTCGGGAAACCGGTGCTTCTTGGTATGGAAGGTTGCTAGAAGGCGGTGGTAACAACAACCTGGTCACCTGGGGGGCGATCTTAGGTAGGACTAGAAGCCTAGAGGAGCAGTGAGGGGTGGTCTGTGGTTCGTGATGATGAAGCGTCGGCTGACTGACTGAGCGGATTGGTGCACCCACGCTTGACCAGTGCCAGGTCCGAACGAGGCGTGAGTGGAGACAAGAGAACAAAGGCCTGTGGGTGGGGCAGGGGTCGGGGCGGAGGTCGAGGGGACAGGACCAGAGCTGTCCCGAGGACAAGCTGATGACGGAATGGAGGAGAAACACACAGCTTCAGGCTGATTAGCGGATGGTGGTTTTGTAGTCGCAGATATCGGGAAATCAGAGATAGAGGAGAGGATTGCTGGTGATGGCGGTGATGATGACAGTAGAGGTAGATTTGTGCGAGCAGTCGAGCTGCAGGAGCGAGCACACAATTGATCCTCAGCCCAAGGCAGGCACGGCAGTCTGGGAAGATGTACTGAGGGAGCAACAGCGAAGTGAATAGAAAAGTGAAACAGGAAAAGGTCGAGAATAGGCAAAAGCAAGAGGTAGGTAGCTAGTATGCAAAGACAGGACTCCTTGCAGTGGCAGGAATGAAAATAAGTTAGAAGACTGACCAGGAGCTCAATGCCTGATTCTTCTGGTCTTGAGGACCTGATGCTGGGCCTGAGCCTGGAAATAACGGGGGCTCAAAAAAGCTGAGGGACACAGTCACAAATCTCCTACAGGCGATAGCAAAGATCAAAGTCAAAGGAAGCGATCGGAAGACCATGTGCAAGGAACAAGACAGCTCTTGAGATTACCTATTTGGTGGTTTATGACTGATCTGCACCTTTTTCTGTTGTCACCACTCACTCACTCACTCCACCACTGTTGGAAATCTGGGGGCGGTCTGGGGGTTGGGAAGTATTCTGGCACGTCTGATCAGTATTGTTGCTGTCCATAATGCTCCCATCATCCTTGTTCTGGCGTATCGCTCGCTGTGAAGACAAGGCAGCAAATACCTCTTCCAGCCCGTGTAGCCCTGTATCTTGTGCTGATTGTTACCCCTCACATACTGCAAGCCGTGCCAGGCTATTTAGTCAAACGTAACCAGTAACCTTGTTTTCTGGCGCTATGAGGGGCTCAATCGATGTCATCTCAACGCAATCTACGCGCTAAATAATCAGTAGAGCGGGCAGAGAACCAGTCTTTAATGATTATTGGTTTAGCAAGCACTAGCAGTCCTGCATCAAAGCACCTGCCAACCCCCCTAGCTTCGCACCCAAGGTAGCTACCTCCAGCACCTACGGAGTAGGCATTGGCTCACTCGGCTTGCACAATCGACGTTCGAGGTGAACCTTATCCAGCGGGCACCCCCAGAGCCCCAGAATCCCGGTGTGTTCCATGCACCAAAGCCTTGGGCAACGCCTAGAGATTGCCTAAATACCCTTGTCGTCTCGGCACCACATAAACTCTCAGGAAAGGTCCCCAACATCAAGCCCACTAGATCGGAGAATCAACCACATTATCATTCCACCATAGCTAACTTAAACGTTCTTGTTCACGATTGACGGAATTCGATGTAGTGGTCAATTTCCAGCTTATGAAAGCATTCTTATGACTTCTCCGCTCCCGAAAGCTATCGAAGCTCGAGCAAAGGTATCACTCCGCATATGCAGCGGAGCCTTCAACTGGGATGACTGGTTCCCCCCAGCCTGGCCTACAGCCTTTGCTCCGCCACAGCCAGCTTCGAGAACATTGAGAACATCGAGAAGGCTTCTGGAAAGCATGATTCATCATGCTGCTTCGCTTCCGGGCTGGTGACGAACAAATCATCGTCAATCTCATGCATGCCAGGCATTAACTCGGCTTTCTCAAAACACATCCATTAAAATTAGGATCCTATCCACTAAAGCACTCGTCCTCTCCTAACTGAACACAACTGAAGGGGATATCTACAAATGGACAACCAAAACCCATGCCCAAGAGATTCGCTGTCCAATAACCTGGCAATGCGCCCATCCTGATCGCAAATGCACAGCCTCCGCCCTCACCAACCCCTAACCTCTGCATGGTCTGCATGCGTCTCGTGACCTGTCCAATCTACAGTCTTCCCACCAGCACCCACTTGACTCGCTCGTTGCGCTTCTAGTCGAAAATCTTCTTGAAGAGCGAACTGATTCGGTGCTTCTTTTTCTTTTCTTTGCTGGCCGACGCAGGGCTCGAGGTGGAAGTTGGTGTCATGGCCGGCTTTTTGCTCGTGGATGTGGGTGTGGCCGGGGTAGCGCTGGCAGCAGGCTCCGTCTTTTTGGAAGGCGTACCAGGTGTTGGCTCAGCTTTGGCAGCTTCCTTGGGAGCTTCGGTTGCCTGGCTCTCCGCTGGCGCCTCTGCCGCAGGGGTCGCCTCGGTGGCGGGAGTGTCTGCCGCCCCGTCGTTTTGCTTCAGATATTGTACCGCAGGTTCATCGGCAAGACTGGGATCCTCTGCACCGTCCGAAAGCGCAGCCCCTGCTGCTGGAGACACGCCTGGGGCAGAAGTGGTTCCCAGAGCCGCAGCTGGCGCGGTCGACGAGGTAGTCGCAGTGGCCACGGGAGCCGGTTCACCCACTTCCTCTGAACTCGGTACCTTTTTCAACAGCTCTTGCTCCACTTCGGCCTTTTCCTTGACCGCCTCGGCCGAGGTGGTAGCCTCAGGAGAAGTGTGGGCCTCTGCGATAGACTCTTTGACCACTTCGGGCACTGTGTCTGTTGTCTCGCGGTTACCATGCACAATAGCTGCCTCTTTTCGTTCTTCCAAGGGCACCTTGCCAGCCAGTTCAGCAGTGGTAGACACAGGCGCAGCCGAACTGATCGTTGGACCGGCATCAAGAGTGTTGCCGGCGTCTGCTCCGAGTGGCAGGGAAGACTCTGGAATCAAGTTCTCTTTCTTGTCCGAGGATGCGAATGCAGCTGCACCGAGCCCCGCAGCACCAACACCTGCAATGGCGCCACCAATGAAAGGAACGCTCGAGCCTGCCTTTTCGTAATCTTCTTTGGAAGTGGTCACGGTAGACTGGACGCTGTTGGCACTGACTTCACCCGACGCTGGAACTGGTTCTCCGGCGGGGAGATCAACGGGGTTGCCGGGACCGGCAGACGCTGGAATGGGTTTGACTGAGAAGGACTCGGGCTCCTCCTGGCCCGCCTTTTCGTAATCCTCCTTGGATGTGGTGACCTTCGAGTCGATGGCACTGGCAGTGATGTCCGACGCTGGAGGGAGTTGCTCACCGGCGGGAATGGTGATTGGATTACCATCGCCGCTTGTGGCAGGAAGTGGGTTGACGCTGACGGTTTGGGGCTCTTGTTGAGGAGTTTCAGGGAAGGTGCCTGGCAAGTCGCCTTATGAAATGATGGGTCAGTTAAGAAAGCAAGGAAGAGTAGAGGCTCTCTTACCTGGGGCGGCTTCTTTGGCCGGCTCCAAGGGAACAGCACCAGCGAGAGCAGCGGTAGTGCTGTCAGGGGCGGCGCTAGACGTTGTGACGGTCTCGGGAGCACCAGAAGACTTTTTGATAATCTGGTCTGGATACAGGACGTTGTTTAGGTTGCCATGACCGTCATCTTCTTGAGGCGCGTTCGGGTCAATAACCCAATTGTCATTGACAACGAATTTGTAAAGAATCTTTTTCTCGGCATCGGCGAGCTGGACATCCTTCTCCCATATCTCACCAACCTTGAGCAGCTGCTCGCTCTTGGACCAGTCGTCGAAAGTGCCAGTGACGTGGACGTCATTTGCGTCAGGGTGTGGCCTGTGTGAATGACTGTCAGCTCGCGGGACAAACCAAGATGTAATACAGAACTTGTTCCAGACAAGCGCGTAGAGAGATGTGCAGGGGGGAGGTGTGCAGTGAAAAACGGCACAAACAAAGGGTATCACTGACCATCTGAAGACAAAGGAACCCATACTGGAATGTTTGATCGTCGTGGAATTTGGTGTCAGTGTCGGGAATTTGATGAGAAGGGTTGGTGAGGGACAAAGAGGTTGCAGTGAGGGAGGCGGTGGATGGCGTAATTTAATGCGCAGGCGACAGCTTTCACAAGAAGCTTGGGGCAGGGTGAGGTTTGGGGGGATCACGGGGATTCAAGCCTCAAGATGTGGGCTTTGGTGGTGCTTTAGACAGGAGATGTGCAAAAGAGCGTGAGGGCTTTTGTGAAATGGAAACGCGCAACGAGCAATGAGCAATATGGCAATATGATGGGTAATGAGGCAAAGTGTTGGTTTGACTTTGAGCAAGGAATAAGTCAGGTGGCGGGCGAGTTGTTGGATGCAAAACCAAGCAGGCACAGCAGGGGGACACCAAGAGGATGGGGATGGAGATGGAGACCTCAAGATGCATTGAAAATCTAGTGTGGGTCTGCTTAAGTCAGGTTAAAAGTCGCCATAGCGCCAAAGTGAAAGTGAAGGACGACAATGCGGTGGCTGGTGGTTTTATTTAGTGGGGCCATGTGCCTGTGTGCCTACGTAGTAGCTACAATAGTTACGTCGAGCAGCGCCCATAGTAGGTAATGGGCGGCACATGCAAAGTTACGTGGGCGCCACAGGTGCCTGGATGACCTAAGAAGTATCACCAATAGGCTACCAACTAATGACTCCATCGCCTATAGCCAAGCGGTAAGTCTCACAAGTCAATCACGAGGTACATTGCACTCAAGACTCTATGCACGATACAGTCTCTACAATAATCTCTAGCGAAGTAGGTACATAGCATCTATCGACAAAGCAGAATGATTGACGGTGATAATGTCAACCATGCATCCGTCTCACCCACTCTCTCGAAGCGCGCTGTCAAATTAGGGATCGCCCAGGTTATCTCGCCTACATGGTAGGATACGGAGTCGAATTCTCCATTCCCGAGTGTCTGGGCCTAGCCCGAATTACTTATTGGAGGCGCCGAATGCCCGAAGATCCGTGTTCCTTCAATCTTTGCACCCACGTAAAATCACCCCGCCTCCGGTCCAAGTCAGGGCATCAACTTTCAATAATCAATCTCGACGACATACCAATTCCAACTCGAGACATTTATTTGATATTCTTCTGTAGTGACATGTCGGGAAAATGCATCAAAAGTATTCCAATCGAGCACATACCTTATTTCTTTCCTTCTTATGTTATACACCACAAGCTTTGAGGCTTGAAACATGCCTAGCTTCCCTACCTAGGTAACCTAGCCACTCACGCCACTCTAGCGTAATCGGGAGTTGTGAAGCAAGTAGCACGTGCAGGCGATCGTCATAAATCAAAATCAGCCATGGCCACGTCAGGCTATTCAACCCAGAATCACAGACCTTAAAGCAGACTTGTTGATCGTGTGCATAACTCCTCTTAGGTTTACTGCCTAAAGTACATAGTTAGCTGCCTCCAAGACATTATACGGTGTGAGCTGGCTGACAAGCTCGTGGCTCTTTCATACCCCAAATCATCCACTAAAAATGGGTCTTTTGTTACCTACCTACGAATTGACACGTTCGTCACTGTTATAGGTGGACTAAGTACGTAGTAGTGGCGGTAATATTTAGTACAGCCTACCTTAGGACATATGACACTACGTCTGTGACGATTTAATAGCACCTGCTTGAGATTCACGGTAACAACTCGTGCCTCTTCGATAAACATTTGAACCGTGATGCATTGTCTGAGTGATTCCTTTCATCGACATCTGGCGCTGACTCCCTTCAGCTCTTGAGGACCCCAGCTGGTTGTCGATTGCTCCCCTCTGACGATTGACGACTGACACTAGACGATATTTCGAAATGCGTCTGGTCAAGAGTCAAATAGAGAACGATGGCAGTGGCAAGGTCACTCTATGCCCTGAAGAGCCAGAGGATATGGTACGTCGACCTCTTCTTCATGATTGAGCACAGTTCATTCTAAAAGTTCTAGTGGCACCCCTATAACCTGATTCGGCCTCTCGACCTTTTGACCGCATCTGCAATCCGCCGTGTAACCACTGAGTCTGCGTCAACTGGCTCAACAGCTTCGCAGAGAGTGCACACAAATCTGACAATTCGAGTCAAATCGCTTGACTTTGATCCCCAGGCTGGTCAGCTGCATGTATCTGGGCAGATTGCGCGTGAGAATCGCTTCACCAAAATCGGCCAGTTTCATACACTCGACCTCGAGTTACAACGAAACTTCACTCTTGAGAAGGAAATCCAGGACAGTGATGGCAGCGAAGGATGGGATAGTGTGGCTCGCGCCCAGCTAGCTGAGGCTGTCGACCCCACCAGGGGCACCGAGGCTGTAGCTGTGGTCATGCAGGAAGGACTCGCCAACATTTGCTTTCTCACCCAGTTTCAAACCGTGTTGAGGCAGAGGGTGGAGACATCTGTGCCTCGGAAACGTACTGGTGCTGGTCGATCTGCGGATCACGATAAAGGGCTTACCAAGTTCTTCAATACTGTGTGGGACACACTGTCCCGGCAGCTCCAAGGCCTCGTCGAAGGCAAGGATGAAAGCACGAATTTCCCTATCCTCCTCGCAAGCCCTGGCTTCACGGCAACTGGCTTTCTCAAACACATCACCGAAGTCGCAGCTACGAAAGGCGATAGACTTCTACAGGATCTCATCCGACGCAAGGCTTTCATTGTCGTTCACAGCAGCTCTGGCCACCTTCACAGTCTTAACGAGGTTTTGAAGAGTCCAGAGGTCCTGGTCAGACTAAAAGACACAAAGTATGCCCGAGAGACAAGCTTGATGGATGACTTCTTCACCTTGTTACGCAAGGATGACGGTAGGGCCTGGTATGGTCCTAAAGAAGTCGAGACAGCAGTGGGAAAAGGTGCAGTGGGCAGAGGGGGTGGCGTGCTTCTGATTAGCAATGCCCTATTCCGCAGCCAGGATATTGCAACTAGAAGGCGGTGGGTGCGACTCGTCGATCAAGTCCGAGATGCGGATGGCGGGGAGGTCAGGGTCCTTAGCAGTGACCATGAGAGCGGCAGGAGGCTTGAAGGCTTGGGTGGCATTGCAGCGATCCTCACATTCCCCATAGAGGACATGGATTCTGAAGACGACGAATCTAGTGAGTAGTATGTTGGTCAGTACGTGTCCAACCAAGTAGATACAGAATCGACATCCCTACTTGACCTTTCAACGTCACAGTGATGCCTCCAGTCAAAAGTTGCATTGATGTCATATTCACCATATCGTGCACCTTCAATGGTCACTTAGTAACCTAGTCATTGCCGACTGACTGGTTGAGTGAAGAATGGTGAATCGCGTCACCCACGCGATAGCACCGCCACACTTTTCAGCCACGGATGCCGCCACAGATGACATTGAACATGCACGACAAGTCAACAACATTCATGGGACAACCATCCCTCAACATTCCTGACGCCACTTGCATACATGCGCTTCCATCATGCCACGGCCCGCAAAACCTCCCATGACCCTCAAGGAGGTGAAGCGGGCAGGGAAGAAGGAAACCGGGGCATTCAAATTTACGGCATCCCAACACGCTCGCGCCGATCGTCAAGATGCTCAGGAGGAGAAGCGTAGGAAGGCTCTCGGCAAGGAACGACAGAGGGAGGAGAACAAACGTAAGAGAGATATCAAGGCTGAACGAGATCGTATAGTCAAACAGCGAATGCTGGACGAAGGCCGCATCACCATCGAGGACACTTGGGGCAAAGTTACCTCGAGCCAGCCACGTCTGAATCGGTTTTTTGTGCAGCGAATCCAGCCACCGTTGAAGGCCAGTCGATTGAGCGAACAGACCGCCATTGACGATTCAGAGGATAGCCACAGCAGCTCACACGTTGGAAATGTATCAGAGCAGCCTATTAAATCTCAGGACTCGACCACAATAGAACCACATGTTCTGAAAAAGGCTGTGTCTGGCCAAGCTCCCCGGGACGAACCTTCTGCCTCACTTCCTGCAGTCACAACGACGTTGATGCCCCGATCTCCCAATCGTATATCGAACACTGGGCAATCGCTAGCCTCACATTGCAGCCAACCGTCAACATTGAAAGAAAGGAAGAAGCCGAAAACTAGTATCCCCTTGTCCGAGCATCTCCACGGAGGCAGATCCCATCAACTTCGTGGTGAGGATTGCAAGGAGAACGATGCAGCAAGCCTGGAAGAAGCCAAGGATATTGTAGGACCACATTCTCGAGCACACCAAGAACAGTGCCATCTCGACAACGACTATGACACCGGGGAAGACTTTACCGACGAGATAGACGACGAGACACTCCTCATTTTGTGTTCGACTCAAAATTCAAGGGACTCGCCGTCCCAGGATGGCGTCAATACGAAAACGGAGCCAGTCTTGTTTAACAAGAGCAGACAGATGCGCCGTACCGATGTAGACACTGAAAGAACGTCCTGTCAGTCGATCGACAATCAGCACAAGGTCTCAGGATTGGCTCAACCGAGTGAAAGTTTCAGCGCAATCTTCAATGAGATTGACGATCACGACTTCCTCGCCCTTGCCGATAAGGTCGAGGCTAGCCTAGTGCCTTCTTCGAACTGCAATCCGGGTTCGGCACCAAACACAGAGAAGACAGCCACCCCTGAGCGACAAGAACAGGTTGATGTCCGGATCCTCAAACAGGTGTCAGGTTCCCACCCACAGATGGACTCAAGTGGGGCGACAAAGGGTTCTATTCCTAGACAGAGAAATACAAGGCCTCTCCCTAGGCATTCGGAAAGACCATTGACAACGACCATGCCTCCGTTGACAACGACCATGCCTCCACCAAGAAAGAAGAAAAAGGGCCGGATACTGCCCTGGGATTTAAGGGCTGATGAATTTGACACCCCGGGCCCTTCCACTCAGGCGGTGATGCTCGAACTTGTGGAGCAAGCTGAGGCAAACATTCACACCCGCAGGCACAAATCCTGAAGTCTCAGGTTGGCCCCATCGTTCTCAACACTCATGAACCCACGAATTGAGAACTTGAACGACCAGCAGGCTTTGGAAACTGCGACCTTTGATTTTGGAATATTGCATAGCGAATCTGGGGCGGGGCATGCGGACCATTGCCGCTCAGGGGCATTTTGGATGAGAAAATCAGCACAAGGCAAAGGTTAAATGGGCTCATGGGATTCATGTGTAGGCATAAAATGAGCGTCTTCGGTCAGTACAGCATTCGGAGCATTGGTATGAACCTGGGCATTCTTAAGGTTGGATCAAATGAATACAAACTCAGCTTCACCGCCTCCTCAGGCAAGAAGTGGCAGGTACGTAGACAGATAGTCGTCCTTGCCAGTTTTGCTGTACCTAGGTACTTACAAGGGAAGGTGCAAGCTGCGAATGAAGCATATTGTTCCATCTTCAGCCACGAATCTGTTCGTGTGACCATCTCGGCATCAGAACTCCAGAATTCCCACCTTGTATTTTGTGCTCAGCACCTCCCATACGCAGAAGGGCTCTCCACATGCCTCCCGTCGTCTATGCTAATGCTTGACAAATCAGATATTGGTCTTCTGACTGGGACCATCGCCATGTTCCTCATCTTGCTAGCCATCATCATTCGGTGTTGTTAGAAACCATACCGCATCAACATCATCCGCGACCGAGACCCATTTGAAACTGGTGGGAGTATGTGCCTTGCCTCCTCCATTCGTGTCTGTTACTGACAGCCTTAGTTGGACTATACAGGATTCTTCGACGATGTTTCAAGTTCATTTGGAGATCTGATTGAATACATTACGAAAATCCAGCTCAGCCTCCTCCTCTTCGCATGAGCATTTGGGCTTCCCCCATTGGCCAAAATAGACCTGTCCAAACCGGACCATGGTCGGAAAGTCCTGTTGATCAACAATGAACTTCTCAGATGCTTCAGAGGCACCAAGCGGCGGTTGAGGGTCTGTGGGATTGTCGGGTTGAAACGAGACCTCAAAATACCATCGCTGTAGGGCCGAGAACCATCTTTCTTGCGGTAGATGGAATGATGTTATCTCACTGCTTGCTCGAGCAGAGACTCGAGTGTCCTTCGCTTCAGGGCCATCGATAAGTCAGCCATACCTACGATGGCTACGCGGATACTTGGCTTGACCCATTGCCAGCCATTGCACGCGGCGGTCTATCTGAAATCAAACTCTCACTGTGTCGTGCAGTATTGTTCCAGTACCTCTTGGGCATAGTGGCATAGTGGTCGGAACATGCCTGTCCTTGGCTTAGCCAGTGGAAGGTGGGCAACTGCAGGATGATACCAGTGTGATGGCACGAAACACTATTCCACTTCACCCGTGGCGAGTCAGCAAGATACACCACGAATGTCACCGCAGTCATGGCCCACCATCCGAAATGTTGTCAATACTCAGCCTGCCCAGAGACTGTGCTAGTGAGTGAGCGGAGACCAAAAGCGAACAGCGAGCCTCGCTTTGGTACAGATGAGAAAGGTTAGGGCCATGGCACAGTCTACGTCAATGCTTGCTTTAGACGGTGACTGATGAGGACACTGGTTTGCATAGAAGACAACGCAGAGGTTGAAGCAAAGCCGGCACTGCAAGGTCATAACATGTCGACTGTCAGGGAATTGGAATGCCAACGGTTCGCCTTGTGTTCTCTTGGTCATACTGAGCCATCCAAGTCATGGCTAAATCAACAAGTGCTATTGAGTAGTGGAAATCGTCAAGGCCTTACTGGCACCAGCCAACTATGAATCGCACAAAGTACCAGTCAGCTGCGAGTGTCTCTTGGAGTGATCATATCCCAAGCACTTGGCCGCATCATGATTTCTTTTTGCCTCCTGTCCTGCCTTTGAAACTGCCTTCGAAACCGGGCCGCTTCAGCTTCTTGCCCTTGCCAGCCTGTTTGTCGTCCTTGCGTTTGGCAAGATTCTCGGTGCGTTTCTTCTGTCTGGCAAACTGGGCCTTCTGGATCCCTTCGGTCCTCTCGGCCCACTCCTTTTCACTCTTCTTCTTTTGGCCTTGCTGTCTCTTGAGTGCCTTTTTCAACAAGCTGGTGTCGTCTCGTACGTGCTCGCCATGCGCCTTTCGCTTGGCGTTGAGCCACATATCCTTCTCTTGGATCTCCTTGCGCTTGGCCTCGTCTAGCCCCGCCAGCTTGCTTTTCTTGGCCTGCGCATTTTTCAGTGCAGCAGTGGTATCGGTCGGTCCCTTTTTCCTGTGATCCGAGAGGAAGTTGGACAAGGATGGGTCAAGCTGGCTGCCGTCGTCAAACGCAACCCGGCCAAAGCTGAAGTTGTGATTGGATGTATGGTCGACGACAGGAGACCGAGGTGAGGCCAGTAACGATCCTGATCCACCAGGAGAGAAGCGTCGTGCAATCTCCTCGTCTTGTCGGCGAGCTTCTTCTTCCCTTTCCCTCCGCTTTTGCTCCTTCTTGGTAGCTTTTCGTTCCTCTTCTTTGCGGCGACGTTGCTCAAGAAGCTCTTGACGAGACTTGGGCCCTCGCGCACCAGGACCGTCTGCCTTGCGATCGGCTCGCAACTGTGAAATTGCAGCTTGCAGACGCTCACGTGGAGTCTGGCCGTCGTCGTTGCTATTTGTGATTGCCGAACTTGAGGGCTTTGTTTCTTCAGTGGCAGGAGGAAGTAACGAGGAAGTGGAGGAAGAAGAAGTCCCGGACTCATGTGGTGGTGAGAAGACTGCAGGCGGCTCGGCGTCAGAGTTGGAAGTTACAGACCCAGCATCTTGCTGTCCTGTGGAGGTGTCCTCAGAGGGCAGTTGCAAGTCGACAGGGGCAGTCAAATTGATATCCGGTTTCTGTTTAGATGGCTCTGATTGATTATCAGGGCTCTGTTGATCTTGAGCCTTCTTTCTTGCCTGCTGTCGCTCCAATTTAGCCGATGCTTTGGCTTTCTTTTCCTGTCGTCTCAACTTTTTGGCTGCTGCATGCTCCTTTTTCCGTTGTATCCGCTGCTCTTCAGTTTCAATAGGTTGAGCAGAATTCTGGTCTTGATTCCTTTCTGTTGCTTCGATCTTCCGCCGTTTGGACTTTTGATTTTCGGCGTCTTGAATTGCCTTGGGTAGTTCTGTCTCCGAGGCGGCTTCATCATCCGAGTCAAGAGACTGTTCGTCTTCCTCATCCTGGCGTTTCCGTTTCAAGTCGGCTGCAGCTCTTTCGTCCATGACATCTTTGGCACTCTTCCAATTATCAGGATCTAACTTTGCAAGTTTTGCAGCCTTCCTCTGTTCAGGCGTCTGCTTCTTGCGTTGCCACTGATCCTAGGGCGGAAGTGAGCAACGAGGTTGGCGAGAATTAAGATGTGATACATACGCTGACATCTTCACCGTAGTATAGCTTCGCAGGGATGAGTGAGAGGAGGCTATCGAAAGAGCGGGAATGGTTTTTGAGGCGTTCCTGCGATGGGTCAGTAAATGCATGTCTGTGAACTGCGGACAACGGGGACTTTGGAATTACCTCAAGGTCGTCCGGCATCTTGAAAGCCTTTGCTATCCAGAAGATTTAAAAGCTGCTTTTCCTTCAATTGTTCAAATGGCCATCTTCAGTCATGTAGACTGAATTGGTTGCCTTGGACATGCGAAAAAAGTCACTCAATGATGCAGCCATTCACCGACTCCAAGTGGAGAACCATCAAACGACACTCGACGAAATCTTGGCATGAATTTTTGTCTTTGTGGCGGGCGGTTACGGAGGAGTAAAGATGAGGATGCGTCCTGAAGCTGTACGGTGAGACATATCTTGCTTCGATGCAATGGTCCAGTCACAAGAGGTGGGATTGACCACAGATGGAGTCTGATATGAACCACCACACCACCCCATCTCACTGGGCAGACAAAGGTTAGGTATTGACAAGCAGAATTGGTAACAAGACTGTGTGGCGGCAAATCACATCGTTTGGAAAGAGAAGCGGTCATAAGCCTATTATTATTCTTTCTGGGGCGCATGACCATCTTACCAAGGTGTCCGACTCATTACTTGGAATCTATCAATACAGTTTTTATTTGTGCCCCTTATGCATTTGTTCCTGCGACTTATCATCCCAAGCATCTCCTGCTCGTTACTAGAGTTGTGTTCTTCATGGAGGTCGTTGGGCAGCGACCTCCCTTAAGCCGATGTGACAGCGTAGCATTTTCTTCTTTGCTGCCACACTTGCACCATCAGCAGGATGAAGACCCAGTTGTTGTAAGACAGTATTCATTTGACGTCCGGTCATTTGCTCAAGTGCCATAGAAGTAGTAGGGAATTCTGGAATAGCGGCACCGGTAGAGGGGTCGAGGAAGAGGGAAAGAGGTTCCGATTGGCTGGTAAGATAGGTATTCTGAACTTGAGCTGTGTTATTATGATTGCTATAGAATTAGTAGAGTGTGATAAACAATATGAAGGAGAGTACGTACGATACATTGATGAGTCGAGTAAACTTCTGATCAAGATGAGTGATGTCTTGACGAACGTTCACGACGTCTTGACGAACGTTCACGACGTCTTGACGAACGTTCACGACGTCTTGACGAACGTACGCGACGTCTTGACGAACGATTGCGATTTCTCGACGAATAGCGCGGAGCTCCTCCAGAATTAGTTGACCGTTGGCAATTGCGGGTAGATTTTGTGCTTTCTTGAGCTCATCACTAATGATATTGAAATCTGGCTGAGGACCGAGAGGGTTTCCGTCAGCCATCGTCGCGGTGGCGGTGGTGTTTGTTTTTGTTGACAAAATAGAAACTGTGTTGGCGAGGGAAGATGGGAGTACCTCCAAAAGCGGTGGTACCTTCCGCCAAATTTGGCGGAAGATTCCTGCAGCCTGCGTTGCTGTTGTAAAAAGATACGTCTAGAAAGGTAATATAAGAGACAAAGACAAGTCACACCAGATGCGGTTTAGGTCTAACGGTGAACCTTATCGCAGTTGGCCGCAATTGGCCACAGTTGGCCGCTGGAATGACTGGAATGACTGGAACGACTGGGAGTTTGGCCGCCTGGGTCCAGGGGCGACTGCAACCCTCGGGCTGTCACTTGTCAATTTGATGTTCCCTTCTAGGCGTTATCCTCACTATTTGGTGGGCAACTTGCCCCCCCAACGATAACAAACCTCCGAACCTGCGCGTCCCCACCCCCTTCTGGCCGCCCTATGACAGCCAACCATACCGGTCCCTGCTCAGCCTGAACTTTATGCCACACGGTCGCCCACTGTCAGGGTGCGACTTCTTATCTCTGTTCGATATTGATCGAGTAACAGATACACCCTGCGCCCAACTCGACATCACCATTAACGTCCATGATCCAATCGTAAGTCCTGCAAAGACCATGTCCACCCCATCCTACCCACGGAGTCCTCCGACGACCTCACTCCACAATGGCCTCCCCCCAATGCCCCAGCCAATTTGTCTCAGGACGCACTCTAGACTCGAATGCACCCGAGTGCCTCGTTGATGGCGTCCGATCCCAGGCGAATTTAGACCTGATTGACTGTCAGGTAGGAGACATGTCTGCTTCTCTCACTCTTTATGAATCAATCTTTCTTTGTGTACTTGTGTCAACCCTGTTTTGTTTGCGTAAATTCCTACAATTTGGTGCAGCCTGTCCTGCTTATCTCTGCGACGATAAGAACATATACGGCCTTCACATGCTTCGACTTGGTCAGGCATTTACCCCTCTGTATGCCCTGCTCGACATCACTCTCTGTCCTAAGAAGCTTTCCCCGTTGATACCATACCGCTCTTAACCATGAGCAGCCCAACGACAGCCTTGCACCCCTATCCGACACCACCCAGATCTCCACCCAATGCCTTATCGGACTCTTCTGGAGACTCCCCAATAAGGGTGGTTGCTTCCTCTCGATCGGTTGGTCCTAACGGTCTTTGTGCCACTACCATTGTCATATCCAACGCGACTGGCAAGATCACGGCGACGTTTGATTCGGTCGTTCCCCAATCGGAATTCCCCCAGGGTACCTCATACATCGATTACTCGCCTCACATCTTACTTCCTGGCCTGGTCGACGCCCATGTTCACCTGAACGAACCAGGTCGGACAGAATGGGAGGGTTTTTATACTGGTACCCAGGCGGCGGCATTTGGGGGAGTCACCACTGTGGTGGATATGCCGCTGAATGCCATTCCTCCCACGACCACAGTGGCCAATCTTCATGAAAAGATCAAGGCTGCTCAAGGCCAGTGTTGGGTCGATGTCGGCTTCTATGGAGGCATTATTCCCGGTAACGCGGGGGAACTGAAGGCGCTTGTCAGCGAAGGAGTTCGGGGATTTAAGGGATTCTTGATCGACAGTGGAGTGGCAGAGTTCCCGGCCGTGTCCTCGACGGACATTGAAAAGGTATTTGTTGAATTGGCTGACGAGCCGACTACCGTGATGTTCCACGCCGAGATGATCCCACCTATCGCCGACTCGGTGGGTGACGATGTTCAGACGTCACTGCCACCGCTCCAGCCTCATGGTCCTCTTAATGCCTATGCCACTTTCCTAGCCTCGAGACCTCCGGCGTTCGAAACTTATGCGATCGAGGAGATCCTCTCCATGGCTCACTTGGCGCCCAATCTGGCTCTTCACGTTGTCCACCTGTCCGCAATGGAAGCCATTCCTTTGCTCAGGAAGGCCCGAACGCAGGGGATCAACATCACGGCTGAGACCTGTCCTCACTATCTCTCCCTAGCAGCTGAGAAAATCGCTCTAGGAGACACCAGACACAAGTGCTGCCCGCCTATTCGGACACAGTCAAACCAGGATCAACTGTGGGACGAGCTTCGCCAGCATCTTCTGGACGGTGTGATCAAGACGGTGGTGTCAGATCATTCGCCCTGCACGCCGGATCTCAAACGACTGCCGTCGCACGTCCCAGGCCATGTACCACCCGCAAAGGGGGTGGAGAAAGCTTTGCAACTCGACGATGAGAGTGGAGATTTCTTCTCGGCATGGGGAGGCATTTCATCGGTGGGCATGGGTCTGCCCATCCTATGGACCGAGATGACACGGCGGGGGTTGGTGTCGAGTGACTCTGCCATCACCGACGTGGTTCAGTGGTGCTGTGTCAACACGGCGGCGCAAGTGGGCTTGGAGAAACAAAAGGGACAGTTGGCCGTGGGGTTCGACGCCGACATTTGCGTCTTTGATGATTCGGCCGAGTGGGTGGTCGAACCGAGCACGATGTTGTTCCGGAATAAGTGCTCACCGTACCAAGGAAAGACGATGAAGGGACAAGTTCAGGCGACCATCTTACGGGGCCAGGACGTTTTTGTTAGAAATGGGCCCAACGATGGATTTGTTGGCAAGGATTGCGTTGGACAGCTCTTGTTGGAGCCACGGACCAAGGAACTCAAGAGAGTCAAGAGCTGGTTCAAAAGATGGATTTATGATTTCGGGGGCGACTGAACCTACTTGGTGAACCGACTGAACGAGGCATATACTGACGAGTGATAATGTTTCAAAAATTGGACTGAGCGCGGGCGTTGACAGTGGAGATGGCAGTGGACTTTGGGATTGATTAATGGATTATTGACCCATCTGGGGACGATGGTCTCGAAAGAGGACCTGCTCCATTCTTCAGCTAGTTTTATCATCTTGACCCTTTTCCCATTTCTCTCTGATTCTTCTCCTCATGCCGCCATTGACTCCGCGGCCCCAGATTTCCTCCTTGTGGGCGGGCATATGGCTCAAGGGAACTGGCGGTGCCTCGCCGGTATATTCGCCAATAAAGACCTTTTTCTCACGCTTCTTTCTCTCCTTGTCTTTGCTCTCCTTGACCTTCCTCAAATAGGCGGCGTACACGGTCACCTCGGCAATTCCAACTATGAGACCTGTGCCCAACGACATCAATACCCGAACTCCATCATTGTGCCACCAGCGAGTGAGATAAAACATTGTCAATGCGCACATGACGACGCTGAGGAGGATGTTGAGCACAAGTGACGGACTCAGGTCGTCCGATCCTTGGTCTTGCTCCTCGCTGTCCAATCCAGCGGCAATACCCGGGCCTTGCTTTGACAATAGGGCGGCATATTCTCGTTGCTCTTGTTCCTTGCGGAGACGGCTCATGAGAGCGACATATTCGGGGGTGGGCGGAGGTTTTGAGGGTGCCGGAGGTTGGTAGACTTGTGTGCCACGGAGAAGGGTGTTGAGTGTGTTTTCTCTGGTGAGGCGCGAGAGGCTGATGACGGTGTTGTGGTCGATCGGGGATGAGACAGTGTTTGGGAGATCGGGGAGGGTCGACCTTTCTCTAGAGGAGAGAGTGGAGATGGCAGACAGAATTCGAGGGGTTGTGGTTAGGAGGACCATGGCGAAGGTTGAGATGGGAACCCTGTCCAAGGGTATCTAGTCTCATGGACAAGGCGAATGGAGGTTGAGTTGAGGAAATAAGCCTGCCTGGCTAATAAGACATAGCTATCGTCACAGCCTCGCCTACCATTCCATCATGACACTCTTAGAGCTATCTCCTGTTGTATGGTAAGGGAGAGAAGGTGATTAATAGATGAGAGCGTGGACGTGAGCTGCGGATCTTCTCTTCCCGAACCTGCAGATTACGATGGCGCCTGAACGTCATTCTGCGCATGCACGTGTAGTACAGATTACTCCGTACTGTATAATAAATCCACTGGACTAAAGGACAGACACGTGCTACACGAAAATACGGAGTACTACGAGTGTCTAAGATATTTAATCGTGCTAATGAACCATCTAACCTTAACTAAACCCTTTTTAGAAATATCCAACTAACTACCGTACTAAAACATCACAAGTACTAATAAAAATTACCTTTAGTAGGTACTACGAAGTTATACTCCGTACTTATACCTGTTGTAATAATACTCCAGGAGGCTGTTGCGCCAACAGTCAGTCGTAACTGCCTCATGCTGCACACTGCGCCTACAATTCAACATCTTGGATCTACTTTTTACATGCGCTCTCTTCTCAGGAACCTCACTTTACCAACTCTCTCCTGCTCAATCCTATCTTCATGCCCCGGAAAATGCTCGCGTTGATCATCCCCGCACGCGACTTTTCAACATGGGCTCCGAACAGAGCACGCTGAAGGCAAATCCCGACCACGAAGACGACGACGTTGACGCCGTCGCCATCGCATACAGTCCTTCCAACAGAAATTCACACGACTCGGATCGAGACCGTCAGTCTGCTCCTATGATGCACTCTGCCGTTACTTGTGCTTGCTGACAACAGACCAGTTACCGACCCCTCTGATCTCTCCGACGATCGCGAGTCACCCACATTCAATCTCTCCCAAGCTCACAAAGAGCAACCAGTCATGAGCAAGTCAAGAAAATCAAAACAGCGCAAGCCTAGGAATGATAACGATACCAAGCGCAATATCAAGGGCAACACCGAGCGTTCCCACAATTCTCGCAGTCCCTCCTCCAAAGACCATCTTGAACTCCCAAGCCTCAGAGATCGTGAACCAGAGACGTTCCATATCTATGCTACTTCGGATTCCAGCGACGATGAGACCCAAGTCCAACGCTCTGGCGTGTTAGCGCAACGTCGTCTGGCCTCTCAAGCATCCAAGTCTGCACAGGACGCGATCGCTTCCAACCGTGAAAATGACAAGTCAACGTCTGAGCGAGATTCTTCACCTGATGAAGGTACAACTCAGAAGTCCATCTCCCCATCTCCCCACGTCACGAGGCCCAAGAAACGAAAGCACGGTGATCCATCCAGTCACTCAAGATCGCAAGATCCGGAACTAGTTTTCACAGCGGTGAACTCGGACCGCCCAGCGGAGACCTCAATGCATGGCCAAGAGAGCGCACAGCAAGAAATCACCATGCTTGCGAATGGCCGCTGGCCATGTCCGCATAATGAATGCAACGCCACATTCGCGAGTAGAAAAGGCTCTATCAGTCACTCCAAAACTCACCTAGAGAGCCACACTTGTGGAGTTTGCGGGAAGATATTCGGTCGTTTAGATACGCTTCAGAGGCATTTGAGCAAGCAGCACCCCGAGGAACAGATCGAAACCACCGACGGAGCTGGTAGCACGATCGCCGTTCCAGAGAATAATCACAGTAGTCTAGATGACGCAAGAATCTCAGAAGATGACCATACTTCTTACGACGGAATCACTACCCATCGACTTGAGAGCCCAGTTGTGGATAATCGTCAGAAACGCAAGCGCGACTTCTCAAACTCACCTCAGCCTGCCTCGTCCAGACCATCTAAGCGGAGGCGAAATTCTTCCCACAGTAATCTCTCCTCGGTCCAATCTGGAGACGGTGAAAACGCGCCCGATGCACAGAAAGCCCTCAAACGGTCGCAGAAACGTCGGCAGAGTGGTATCGATGAATGGGCACAGAGGCCGACACCAACTGCCACCCAAAACATCTCACTTGTTGTTCCCCGCTTGACACATGGACAATCGTCCAAACATGACTCCTCTCGCAAAGACATTTCCGTCAAAGGAAAACAGACACGTCTTGACACTGGTAGGTCCCATAACTCTACTTACACTTCTACGAATGGTAAAGGTAGAGCTAAACCGGGTGTGAATTATACATCGCCGGCCAAGTCGAAAATATCACACTCGGGCATGGCCACTTCTGTCGCAACCCGAACATTCTCAAGAACGTCCTCCAGCATTCCCACGGAGGATGAGGATGAGAACGAGGAGCCCGGTTCAGAATCTGACCATGGTCATTCAAGCGAAGAAGGTGCCGACATGGTGCAAAGTCACAAGGCGCCCGGCATTAGAAGCCACGTATGTGATGTATGCCTCAAGTCATTTGCAAGTACGAAGACCTTGAAACGCCACCTTCGAAGTCCTGGCGTGCACATGACAAAATACTCTTGTCCCCGTTGTAGCGCCGCATTCGTATCCAAGGCAAAGCTCCATGGCCATATGGAGGAAGAAGGGCACGCACAGGCCGGGGCCTTGCGAAAGTCCAAAGGGGGTTTCAGTGAAGCCGAGGTCGAGAAACTAAACAGGTGGAAGTCCAGGTTCTGTGAGGACCACCACATTACTGCCGCCCAGTTCAATGACATGATGACCGACACTTTGCAACGGGTTCCGAGCAACAATTGGAAATGGCCTTTTATCGCGGCCAAGGATTTCTTGAAGCAGTACATGGCCGTCCTACCATACCGCGATAACAGATCAATGCTAAGATACCGAGAGCGCAACTTTCAAAACCTTGCAGGGTCAGGGAATTGGACTGAAGAAGACGACCAGGACCTAGTTCGACTGGTCAAGCAGTACGGAACTTCTTGGGCCAAAATTGGGAAGATGTTGACGAGGACAGCTGATGCCGTGAGTCAAAGATGGAGGCATAAGCTACAGCACGCAGAGGCTGCGCTAGGGGAGTGGACACCGGATGAACTTGAAAAGCTTGAGGCGTCAATTGAACAGGTCAGAAGAGCCTCTGGTCCGTCTGCTACCAATGGAGAGTGGCATATACCGTGGACCCAAGTCAGTGCAATTATGAAGACAAGAACTCCACAACAATGTTCGAACCGTTGGCGAAGCCTTCATGGCGTCAAAAGGGACGGAATATGGGTCCATGTCCCGGGGCTGAAAAAGACTCCAGGGTCGAGTCAAGTCACGGGTCCTTCGAAACTAGGCACTTCTTGGAATCTAAGCACTCCTTCGAAGATGGAAAGACGTTTGCAGGGTTCGACTCGCGAGAAACATGCGCCATTATCGGAGATGTACGTTCGGGATGAGGATAGCGACGGTGAAGGTGAGGGTGAAGATGAGGGTGAAGGTGAAAGTGAAGTCGAAGAGGCTGCCAAAATTACTACACCAGAGCGAGATGATGACGGTGTCCAGAATGACAAAACTCCCGGCGCAGGCGAGTCGCGAAATCCTTTGACAAACAAGACCCCTGGCAAAACGCTGGGCTCCAGTCAATTGTTCCATCAGACCCAAATAGATACGTCCGCTTGGAAACCTCCACCGTCAAGATCGCGAAGGTCGAAAACGCCATCTCAGACACAAGATCGTCCTTCTCCAAACATCGCCATACAACGGCGTCCAGCCTCGGTCTCCCCGCTACAAGAGATCACACTTCACCGTGAGACTGGCGCAGATGAAAGTGAGCGCCAGAGCACCACCGACGAAGAGCAATCGGACGCAGAGAGTGAAAAGACAGCTTCTGAAGACGGCAGCCAGAGCAAAGACGAAAGCCAAAAACCGGGTCCATCAGCCGTCAAAATTACCGCTCAAGACCAGAGCAGTGAGTCTGATACTTCTGCCGATGACGATGAAGAGTCCGAGGGGGAGGAGGAGGTTGGCAAGGACATGATTACAGAGCACTCATTGTTCCGTGAGGAAGCAGATGGAATGTCACCAGAATCTTCATCTTCAGGGGAAGAAGACCAAGATGGAGCGGATAGCCAGTCAACTACTACTGGCACAAGCGAAGATGAGAATCAAGTTGGGGAAAATGACGACGATGACGATGACGACTACAGCGAAAACGGCAGCGAAGACGACTCGAGAGCCCAGTTCATGAATAGCATCGCAAAAAGTGCCGTCAGGAGCTCCAGAAGTGCTCTGAATGGCGGTAAGCTGCTTTCAAGTGGCAAGAAACAAAGTGGTACAAGCAGCAGTGAAGACGATAGTGATTGACCGTGTCATATATGGTCTGGACAAGTCAGCGATATGTCATGGACAGACCACATGCGCACTGCTGACTCCTCGAGTGCAACGATGTAATCAAGTCAGGAGGTACCCCTTGGGGAGGTCTAGTCATTAACTATATCTGAGGCATTGATTGAAGTGGATTCCAATGATTTTATTTCCATCTCCAAGTGAAATGACATGCTCATATCAGTGAAACATACAAAGGTGTTTCCAGTGGAACAATTAATTCAACTTGGTTAAGTAACCCAAAGGGGCGCTTGGGTCGAAACCCGACACTCGCTAGGAATCTGCTCACACAACCCACAATATGCAATACATAATGTACATAGGTCGAAGGGGAAGGGAGGAGCCAGTGATTTGGTACAGAATCAGCAATCGTCAATCCGTCTTCGCCACCAGGAGCTGCGGAATACGTTCGGAGAAATCTGATTGTTTGAACCAGCAGCCTCCTTTGGTCACAAATGAAACCGCAGCAACTGTTCGATGCCATTGTCCACGCAGTAGACCAGGGCGTTGATGTTGACGGAGTTCCTGTTGCTATGTCAGACGTCATGATCCATAATCCGGTCGGTTTGCATTGTTGGGCCTGAAGCACAGGAGCTCTTCATGCTTGAGATCTGACGGGCAGTTCCTCACTCGGCACATCTTGGCTGGCATGATATCCAGAACACGACGACGCCGGTTGCGGATGACAGTGACCTGGTAACGCAGTGTGACACTAGGAAGGGCCAACAAAGATAAGTTTCTCCATTGTGGATTTGATATATCTCAATGAGGCGTCAATCTGCGACGAGGGTCTCTCAAGGATCCGCCGACCTAGCGATAAAGTCCAAGAGAAAGAGTTGCGAGGGATCCAGTCTGGTGAAATCATGGTCTAAAAGCCGAGTGGCATATGCGTCAAGGCTAGCAGCCATTTGTGTGCGCATAGCCTCCGTGGGAGGTAACTCAGCAAATTTGAAAAAGGGTCCATGTCCAACGAAGAGACAGTAATCGACAATCTCATCTGCACTGAGCTTCCCAAAGCCACCCTCCCTCATGATCAAGATCGTGTCGAGGACAATACGGAAATGGCGAGCGTCGTTATATGGACGGAAAAGCCTTGACCTATCGAGAGCAGGGATCCACCTCTTTGGAAAGTAAGGAATCAAGAAGGAGAATGGAGATGAGCGAACGGCATAACCCCAGAGGACTTCCTGCGCAGCTGAGTGCCTTAACAAACGTGGATCCGACGGGTTTGAGGCTGCAACTTGAGGCGGGGCTGGCGGGAATAATCTCATCTGATCTCGAGCGAAACGAAGGCGTTTGGTGTACTTTCTGTTCACAGCCAATCTATCCTGTTGACGGCGACAGGTTCCTGGGAGGATGGCTGTTGGCAGAAATGGAAGAACTAATGGAGTGAATTCTCCACAGACAACGAAGACAAGGCTGAAGGGAATCAATTTATAAAAGTCGCTGGGGCCCCGGTACAAAAGTTGAAATTGACGGCGAGTGATGGTAGTTGGGGATTGATAGAGCACACTGTGAGCAACGACAGCACCAAAGCTAGGGGTGGCAGTTTGGCCCTGAAAGGAGGATAGATGGGTTTTGAACCGTTGATACTCCTTGAAATTGGAGAAGATCTTTTTCAGCCCAGCCCAATAGAACTTGCCCACTGATTTCCCAAGACGCAGGTAGTATTGAAACCGATCAGGAGTGCCGACAGGTTTTCCATCCTTGGGTTGTGGGGGCTCGACAACTTCTAAATCTGGTGGCGCAAATTGTTGCATACTCTCGGGGGATGACTTTTCCGCCAATACAAGAGGTGGAAAGACTGGCTCCGGATGGTAGAGCGCTGCCACGGCTTGACTCAGCGTGGATGTTGTGCCTTGATTGACAGGTTTGGTGGCGAGGAAGCGACAAGGCCTGGCCGTCCGAGGGGTGGAGAAAAGTACATGGCGGACATGGCGGCAGGCCGAAGGAGGACGGAGCTGCAACGACGAGGGTGGCATGAGATGCGTGGGAGGGAGGAGAGGAGGGAAGAGAGGAGGGGGAGATTAGGGAGAGAGGGTTGGTGAGGACGAGAAGTTTTGGTCGAGCTGTCGAGTCTTTGGTGTCGTCGTGGGATAAATATTCAAATATCCAAATATCCAAATGTAAGCTGAGAAACAGAGGAAGGAGCAGGAACAAGGATAATAAAAATGGTAGAACCCCCGAGAGCGTGACTTGATTGGCGGAACGGACCATCTCTCCGCAAAGGGAAACCACGTAGGGATTATACGCGGATTGCGTCCAACGCGCCTTCCTTTGCTGCCATGCTGTCATTTCAAATTCCGGGGAAGGAACGAAACTACGAAACTGCGACAGGTGGACAGGCACAAGAGACACATCAACAACATCCACAACGTCCACAACCTCCACGACATCCAACAACTCGACCACATCTATTCATCTATCTTTCTATCTTCTACCGTTCACCTCAACCCCGTCAATTTCAGCAACTTGACTTCTATCTTTCCGTCCTCTTCTTCATCGTCGACGCCTACAAGCCACCATTCAAAATACCCAAATCTACCTCTTACTTGAGCCTCTACAATCTCCATGCAGTGACTTTTCCCAGGCCATGTGATTGAGAGCAAGCGCTCCTCATCATGTCTTCCCACTCCCGTACACCCCAATGGAGCCTTGCGCTTCTTGGTCCCCTTATTCTGAGCATTTTCTCGACCGTGGCCCAATCGTCTGCGGCTGTCAATGTGGCTCTGAAGACCTCCTTCGATGCTGCCCCTTATTTGGTTGAACTACTGTATGTTAATATGTACACACAGCCCAGCATCAGAAAATACTAACCCAGCCATCCCAGGGAGACGGCTGCCCTCGAGAACTCGTCGTCATATTTCCCCCTCCTCGATCGCATCGCCGATGGCGCCTTTGCCGACCTTGAGTCAGACCAAGATTTATACAACCACTTCATAGAGATTGTCCAGAAGGATGGCCACTTATCCGCTCCCGACTCCCTCTCCTCCTTCAAGTTTGCCCTGTCTCTTCACGCCGCCGCCCCGAGAGTCCAGGCCCATTTCCAATACTACAACACCTCGGTCCAGTCTCTTCTTCCTGCCGCCCAGGATGCTGCTTGCCCTGTTTGGGTTTACTTAGACGGACAGCAGTATTGCTCCCCTTCACTTGACCGTGCTCAGCAGCCTGTCCAGCTACCAGATGTCGACACTCCTTTGCCCTTCGACCGTATCCTTGGCGAATCTTCTGATGGTCCGCCTTCTATTCTCTACGCCGACATTACACATCCCCTCTTCGCTCAATTTCATCATGTGGTTAGCAAAACCGCCCGCGATGGTGCCTCCTCATATCGACTACGCTACAGACCCCCCGTCTCTACCAGCTCAAATCCTCTGTATGTCAGTGGCTATGGAGTCGAGCTCGTCCTCAAACGCACCGACTACATTGTCATTGACGATCGAGATGCCACAACACCAGATCGCAAATCCCCCGAACAGCTCTCCCTTGAGAAGGCCGAGGAAGAGGAGCTGAGTGATCTCAAACCGTTGACATCTTCCGAAGTAGCTCCTTTGGCTTTGAATGCCGCCAGCTTCATTGCCTCTAGCTCCAACCCTCTTGACACTCTCCTCCAGATATCCTCTGACTTTCCTCGATACTCGTCCCTCCTGGCCTCCGCAAATGTCTCAGATGATTTCTTGAGAGAACATCGGTACAATCGAGAACGTTTCCTACCTTCTGGGTACAATGTCTTGTTGATCAATGGCATGCAGATTGAGCCGCGACAGATTAATGCCTACTCTCTGATAGACCATCTCCGACGAGAACGACGAATCATTGACAATCTGAAAACCATTGGTTTGACTTCGTCTGAGGCCATCGATCTCTTGTCCAGCCAAGTCATTGCCGAATCTCAAGCCAACGAGTCTCCTCAACGTTTTGATTGGCGCGACAACCTCGAAGATGGAAAGGCCTTGATGTGGCTGAATGATTTGGAAACTGACAAGAGGTATGCAGGATGGCCGTCCAGTCTTCAAGCCTTGTTCCAAAGAGTCTACCCAGGCCAACTCCCCCAAGTTGCTCGTGACATTCACAACCTTGTTGTTCCCATTGACATGAATAACATCAAAGATGTGGAACTGGTTGTGACGGCACTGCAAAGTCTGGTCAGGAGAAAGGTACCTCTTCGCATCGCGCTTGTGCCTATTGGTGATGGCGAAACTGCCGACACATATGCAAAGGTCTCTTACCATATTCTTGACACCTATGGTTTAACAACCTTGATGGCCTTTTACAACGACATTGTCTCCGGGAAGAAGCTTTTGTCAACCCCAGAACAGAGCTTTGCCGCAGTCATCAAGGGACGCACTCCTCGAGAGGGGAAATATGTCCTTACCTATGACCAGGCTCTCGCCGCTGATTCCGTTGAACAGCATCTTGCTGCTCGAAACACCTACATTGATCGACTCGCTCTTCAAGGCGCCAGCATTCCCTTCCTCATCAATGGTGTCGTCATGACACGCACAGACAGCTGGTTTGAGACCATGAGCGCTCGCTTGTATGCCGACTTGCAGATCCTACAACAGGCTGTCTACGGAGATCTCATTCTTGAGGAAAGTTGGATTCCGGAATTTTTCATCGGTCAAGCGCCGTCGCGACGTAATCAGCTGGTGTTCCCCCACGACCCTAAGGATGTCAGGATCCTCGATGTCATTGCTCTTGCCACAGCTCATGGTGGAGATTTGGCTGCTTTACCACGTGTCGCTGGTTGGGATGCAGACCTTCTAGGAGATCGTGCGCACGTGCTCCTCGTAGCCGATCTGGACTCTGCTGCTGGCCGAGCTCTGTTGGAAGAGACTATCGCTGTCCAACATCAGAGACCCCACACCGATATATTGATTCTTCACAATCCCGCAGTCGAGGACGCCTCCCCGGGAATCGCCTGCAGTTTGTATGCCATGGTCGAGGACGGACGACGGGATGTTTACATTGAGAAACTATGGGACCTTCTCGAACGTAAAGAAGACTTCGCTGTCCTGGATGGGGCTGCTGTCTCGGCCTGCAGAACCTTTTGGGCAACCAAGCAGCCTGCGGCAAGGGCTATCGGATTTATGGCTGGTGAAACTGGCCTATGGGTGAATGGTAGAACAATTGGGCCGCTCGTGGCCCCTTTTTCTACCACTGACCTCGAATCCCTGCTCGACTCTGAGCGCGAACAGAGGATCAGTCCGGTCACCACGGCTATTACGGGTCTCGGTCTTGAGAAGCGTTTCGAGGATGCATTTGACCTGGCCAAAGTCACGTCCCTGGTCGCCCGGTCTCTCAAGTCAGATTTGCCTGAAGGACTCCGTGAAAGCGCGCCACTGATCCGGATGGATCTATTCAAGGTCTGGAACGAAACTTACACAGCGATCAACTTGGCCAATCATGAAGATGCGACTGTACAAGTCGTTGCCGTCATGGACCCGGCGTCTGAGGTCACTCAGCAATGGGTGCCGATCATCCAGACTTTGTCTCAACTCCATGGTATCAACGTCAAAATCTTCCTGAATCCCAAAGATCGATTGACGGAATTGCCTGTCAAACGATTCCTGCGGCACGTTGTGAGCTCCGAGCCTTCATTCGACGACAAGGGTTCTCTGCAACGGCCAATGGCTTCATTCAAGGGGATCCCCAAAGACACTCTGTTCAATCTCGGCATGATTGTTCCTCCCTCATGGCTGGTAGCCCCCGAGAAATCAGTTCATGACCTTGACAACATCAAACTCAGCAGCCTTGCCGAAGGGGAAAACGTCGACGCCGAATATGAACTAGAACATATCTTGATCGAGGGCCACGCACGCGATGTGACTACTTCACCTGCGCCGAGAGGAGTTCAACTCCTCTTGGGCACGGAACAGGAACCTCATTTTACAGACACTATCGTCATGGCCAACTTGGGATACTTTCAGTTCAAAGCGAATCCGGGATATTGGCAGATTGGATTGAAGCCCGGGCGGTCGTCCAAGATCTTCAACATCGACAGTGTCGGGCCGAGCGGCTACGAAGCGGCACCGGGGGATGAAACCACGTCGGTTGCACTTCTTTCATTCCAGGGCTTGACGCTTTTCCCACGGCTCTCTCGCAAAGCTGGCATGGAAGAGGAGGATGTCTTGGAGTCGCCAACTGGAGCGTTGGACTATCTGAGCAAAGGCGCGTCATTTGCTTCTTCGGCTCTGTCATCGTTGGGCTTTGGAAAGAGCACCGATTCTAATGCCGACATCAACATTTTCTCGGTGGCGTCGGGACATCTCTACGAACGCATGCTGAATATCATGATGGTGTCGGTCATGAAGCACACCAAACACACGGTCAAGTTTTGGTTTATTGAACAGTTCTTGTCGCCTGATTTCAAATCGACGCTGCCATATTTGGCTGAGCACTATGGGTTCAAGTACGAGATGGTGACGTACAAGTGGCCGCACTGGCTACGAGGCCAGACGGAGAAACAGCGTGAGATCTGGGGATACAAGATATTGTTCTTGGATGTGCTCTTTCCCCTTGATTTGGACAAGGTGATTTTTGTCGACGCAGATCAAATTGTGCGGACGGATATGATGGAGCTGAATCGAGTAGACCTCAAAGGGGCGCCGTATGGATTCACCCCCATGTGTGATTCGCGGACTGAAATGGAAGGGTTCCGGTTCTGGAAGCAGGGCTACTGGGAAACGTACCTGCGAGGCAAACCGTATCACATCTCAGCATTGTATGTGGTGGACTTGAAGCGATTTCGACAAGTTGCAGCAGGGGATCGATTGAGGCAACAGTACCAAGCTCTTTCGGCTGATCCTAACAGCTTGAGCAATCTCGACCAGGATCTGCCCAACCATATGCAACACAGTCTCCCTATCCACAGCCTGTCACAAGAATGGCTGTGGTGCGAGACGTGGTGTAGCGACGAAAGTCTGGCGCAGGCCAAGACGATTGATTTGTGCAACAACCCGCAGACCAAGGAGCCCAAGCTGGACCGAGCTCGGCGCCAGGTTCCGGAATGGACAGAGTACGATGACGAGATTGCACGGGTGATTGAGGCCGCCAAAGGAGTGGGCAGCGACGGTGAGGCCATGGATGGCAAGCGGACACGAGATGAATTATGAAGACAATGTGGGGTCTAGATGAAATCAGGCTATATAGACTGTACAAATATGACAAGAAGCACTTTGTTGGAGACGATGAGATTACAGGATAAATAGAGTATGAGAAGAGAAGAGATAAAGACAGATTGAGAACACCATTTGTGATGATCTCGGTGGAATATTATTATTATTATCTCAACTCACAGGGTTGATTGATTTTATTCACACCAAGGCTCAACGTCGTCTCCACTTGTTGACGTATGCAATCAGGCCCCAGCCTCCAGACCCAAGTCGGACGATAATGGATGTTGGTCTTGGACCTAATCTCACTTTTGGACACCGACACGCCAACATCTTGACCTTCTGTTGAATCCAAAATGGGATCAGCTCGAACAATATCAGCTGCTATCGCACTTGAGATGACGACGAGATGATGCTCAATCATAGTGGATCAAGGACAGTAGATGAGGTCTATCCCACCCAGAGGATACATATATAACCAGGTTCTGAACAACAGTCAACGTCAACGCCACAAACCATGGATGATACTGGCAACCCGGCACTGGTCACACACCAGGCGACCGTTAACAAGCTGTCGAGGCAAATCGGCCATTTCTACCAAACACAAACACCTTACCGTGTCTTTCATGGCAATACTAATTCAACCCGGCCGAGTCTGCGTACACTCGACAATACAGTCGACATTACCTCGTTGAACAATGTCATCTCCGTCGACACAGTGGCTCAGACATGTCTTGTCGAACCCAACGTACCCATGGACTTGCTCGTCGCCTCAACGTTGGGTCCCCATGGCCTGGTATGTCCGGTGGTGCCCGAGTTCCCTGGCATCACCGTTGGGGGCGGGTTTGCCGGAACGGCAGGAGAGAGCACTTCGTTCCGCCATGGCTTCTTCGATCGTTGTGTCGAGTCGATTGAGATCATCCTTGGCGACGGCGAGGTGCTCCGAGTCAGCCGCGACGACCCACACGGACGTGCAGATCTCTTCCAGGGCGCCGCGGGAACCTTTGGCACGTTGGGGCTCGTCACGCTGTTTGAAATCAGACTGGTCCAGGCAAAACCATACGTCAAGTTGACATACCTGCCAGTCGCCTCCATCGTTGACGCCCAAGACGTGTTGCGTGAACAAGCAGAAGACCAGACAGTCGAGTTCCTGGACGGCATTATGTTTGGGCCCGACCGAGGCGTTTTAATGGCGGGAAGATTTGCTGATCGCGGGCGACGAGACCAGCCCAACGGCCATGTCGATGATGAAGACGATGAAAGTGACAACAGTCATCTCCCTATTGTCACCTTCTCCAAGGCCTGGGATCAATGGTTCTATCTTCATGCCGAGGAGAGGATGGTGAGCAGCCTCAAGGCCAAGGTCAGCGCCGACGCCGGATCACAGGTTCAGTCCGACATGATCCCATTAACAGACTATCTGTTCCGGTACGACCGAGGGGCATTCTGGACAGGATCACTGGCATACAAGTACTTTGTAACGCCATTCAACCGGGTGACGCGATACCTGCTGGACGGGTTCATGCACACTCGAGTCATGTACCACGCGCTGCATCGATCTGGACTGATGCAGCGGTTCATCATCCAAGACATGGCGGTGCCCAACAAGAACATGGCCGAGTTTTCCTCCTGGTTGGACCAGAACCTGCCTCACATCTACCCACGCTGGCTGTGTCCGCTCAAGCTAGACGAGGCAGTGAGTCTCAACCCGCACAACGCCGTCCCAGCCCGCGTCCAGGAAGACGTCCTGCTCAACATTGGCGTCTGGGGAATGACTCCCTCGGACCAGACCCAGATCGGGGCTAATCGCCGTATCGAGAAGAAACTCAAGGATGTCGGTGGCATGAAGTGGTTGTACGCTCAGACCTTCTACACCGAGGACGAGTTCTGGAACATCTACGACCGTCCTTGGTACGAATCGCTGCGCCTCAAATACAAGGCCCAAGCACTGCCCAATGTCTATGAAAAGGTCCGGACAAAGGTCGAGCCTGAAGATCTGAAGAACGGTTCTCCCTTGTTCGGCGTCGAGAAGGGCTTCTGGAGCATTTGGCCTTTGGCCGGTTTGTACGGTGTGGCCAGTGTGCTCAAGGGTGGCACTGACTACCTGAGAAAGGGCTAAGATGGGTAGAGTTCGTCAGAGAACATTCTCTGTATCAAAACACCATGTATATAGATCAGAGTTTGGTCCAGGGACAACAGGAAAGGAGAGTCTCAGGTATCTTTGCCCTCCTAGAGATACGTCCGTAAATATCTCAACCATTCATACTTGTCATGTAGCTAGAATTTACCCACAATGGATATGCAAAAGAGCACCTAAAGCCCCATCACCACCAGACAAGTACTTATTATCCAAACCAAAACTATGCAAATTATTCAGTGTCGGGTGCAAATGCTCACCGACAAAAGACTGGTAATCCTGCTAGGAATCCATTGTGTATGCGAGCCTCTGTAGTCATCAATCGTGGAACCCGGTCCATATGGCAACGAAAGTGATAAAGGACCACCTCCCCTCTCCAGTCCAGCCCAGCCCATCTCTACCCAGCTCTGAGAAACGCCATGCTGGCCCCATGATTTTATCTACCTCCAGGGCCCATCTCAAACGGGCCAGACGCGGACGTCTCTTGGTGATTCGACATCAACCTAAAGCGCCACTGGTCAGTCAAATGTGGTCGAAAGGGGTATGCCTATGGCTATGGCTGGCAAAGTCACTCACGGTTGAGTTTGTTGGGCGTGCATTTCATTCTGCGGCGGCGGGCTCATCCTCGACTGTCTTTGCAAAAAGCCCTGAATGCCACCAGCGGCCGCTGGGGTGGGTGCGTGGGCCGAACCCGGGCTACTGGCGCGTTGTGAACTCAACTCAGCTCCTGCAGCTCCTGCAGCGAACTGCGACTGGTCCTGACTAGGGGCCACACTTCCTTGCCCAAAGATGTCATTGTTTGGCACCGGAGATCCAGGCCAGCCCGGCGCTGTGTGAGGCGTGCCCATGGGATACCCGGCCTGTGGAGGGAAGCCGGCGGGATACCCCGGCTGCGAGTATTGACCCGTAGGATTACCAAAAGCGTCTGTAAGTGGAACTGGTCCAGTTGACATGGTCGACATATGCTTGTTCATGGTCGGCGTCATGCCGCCTGGTTGCATCGAGTTGTGATAGTCGAACCCTCCTCCTGGTGGTACATAAGCTGGAGGTGCCGATGCCATCGGAGGTTGAGCGCCCGCCGCACCCCGGTTTCGACGTGACTTGCGTCCACAGTAGAACAAAAACGCCGCCAGTGCCACTGCGACTGCAGCACCGCCTGTCACGAGGGATGAAGGTCAGTACGAATGCCTGAGTCGACCAATCTAGTCGTGGGAGTTTCCAAATTAACATACCAATGGCGATGCCTGCGATTGCACCACTCGACAGACCGCTGCTGGAGCTGGTCGCGGCTGGAGGGCTGGAGGTCTCAGATGCCCCCGATGAGGAGCCCGTTGAGGAGGCAGTTTCAGAAGAGGTAGACGAAGACGTTGGGAAAGGGGTGTCGGCCTCGTTGGGAAAGGGCTCTCCTGGCAACAACATGAAGGAGGAGTTGGCGGCAAACTGTTTCTGGATTTCGAGCGAAACACTGGCGTTGGGGTTGATGACGCCAACCATCTGCCAGTCGATGCATGACCCGGGAGCACCACAATAGTAGAAGATGGGATCGGAGTCGTTGATCAGGAGCCGAAAGGTGTCGGGCTCTGGCAGGATGGCATCAGTAACCCGAAATCCCGAGTCGAAGCCGACTTTGTCAATGCCTGTAGAACGACTTAGTAGAGCGACGCTGCAATATCCATCACATAGGGCGTGACTCACCCGTCAACTCGTATGGGATGCAAGGGAATTTATATTCTGCTCGAATGACCGAGTGATTGGTCGGGTAGAAGGCAAACTCGACAACATTGCCGGGACTCAGTTGGACGACAGCAGGATTGAAGGTATGGCCCGTACCCCCGACCGAGACGGTGCGAGTGATCTGTTGTGACGTGGTCGAGGTCGAGGGTTCGGTGCTTGCGGCATCGGGTGCTGAACCTGTCGTGGCCGCAGCAGTTCCATCTTCAGATGAGGTAGCCGGATTAGGATTCTGGGCGACGACGAGGTGTGTAACGGCCAACGATAAGATGGTAAAGAGCCTCATGACTGGTATCGCAGACATGAGGAAGCGCAGCCCAGGACGACGGATGAGATTTTGAGGAATAGTCCTAAAGGTGCAATCGTAGGAGCAGAGGTGGGCGCTCTGTGGAGGGACTGGACCAGTATGTAGTACTTAGTGGGCCGGAGACGAGACCTTACCGTGTGCTGCTTGGTGTTAAAATCAAGCGATAGGATGCTCAGCTAATCTCCTGCTTCCGGGCTTCCATGTACCTCGTTTTTCGTTTTGAAGAACGATAGAAGGATGGCCACGATAAACCGGGTCAAGAAAGGAGGGGATGCCGCGTCCAAAATAGGCTGGAACACGACTCAGCAAGACTTTTTCCCACCGACTGGGACGACGAGGGTACGGGCGAGAATCCTTGGGCACAGGGTGCAATCGGTGAATGGCACTCTGCGCTTCTCGAGAGCTCTTGGGTTGCATGTCACCCACGCCTAGGGGCCTGTTGGACCCTCGAGTTGTCCATTGCCTTTAGGCCGCTCGCAATTCTGGTCGTGGTCCAGTCACGATCATGCCAGTGCATAACCGAGCGGTGCGCCGTGGCTTGCAAGGGAAACGACTCGAACGAGGGCAAGAAGCGAAAATCAGGATGGGTTGTGACTGGTGGCGGCGAGGCTCTGAATCCTTTGGGCTTGGAATGGTGGGCCAATAACACCAGGGTTAATGAGTATCGTCGGTCGATGCTAACCCAGACGGTTGAAGTGAAACCAATCACACCGCTGGAGATCAAAGGGGGCACCATCGTGGCGGGTCGCGTTCGAGGCTGACCAGGATCAATAGCCCCAGGCAGTACCCAGTCGAGGCAGGGCTGAGGGACGGATACGACTGGGTTAAAGGCATATTCAGGTACTCCATGTCAGCCCTAAAACCCTAGCGAGGGTTTTAATAAGATCATGGCACGATGGTCAGAAATTATACTTCGCCACGGGTCCTCCATGTAGAGTCTGGGGCCAAACACAGACCCCATGCGTCTCAGTACTCCGTAGAGAAGCATCTCCCGACATGGTCGTTCGAGGGCGCAATATTTCTAGCCTTGGCTTTGATGGGCAACAGAGTACGATGTTGCAGCTGAAGACAAAGTTAAAATTCTAATTGCTGCACAGGCTGGTCGTGACCATGTCGAGCGGCGAATCAATATGGTCCGCCAAGGAGCATGATCGCCTGTGAATGATCTGATTGACGTTCAATACGAGCTCTGAAGAACCCGGGGAAGGGATCTGTGACCTTTGCTCGACCATCCTTAGTTGACGAGGATGAGTCTCCTGAAGGGCTGATGCTCGACCCAGCTCGGAGTTTTCCAAAGGGCGCTGTCCCTACCAAGGTTGATGTCGAAGCCTAAACACCGTACACGTATTTCGCATATTGTCGAAGCCTAAGACCCACGAAACATGGATGACTTTTGGTACTATTCAGGTGCATCAATCGCATGCTAGACGTGTGACTGGACATGTGACTGGCTTACGGCCGTGCCGGCTGACAGCACCCTCAAAATACATTCCATGGACGTGTATCAGGGCGAAGACGAGACCCCAACTTTTGAGTTCGGCCTCCGCCACAAGAATGAAGTAAAAGAAGCCATCGTTAAGGCCGTACCCGTACTTGACGCTACTGTTCCGCTATTTGTGTCAGAGAAGCGGGTGTGATAACTCAAGCCTTGGGAGAAGCATCGGTGCATTGCTACAAGTCGATTTGGTTCAAGGCTCCAGGCTATTTGCTTTCGATGTTGTTATCTCGACATTTTACTTTCACTCGAGTCGTCACTGAAAGGGCCACCCTGCAATTGTTACCGTCAAGAGAGATGGATCCTTGATGATTTCGTCTTTTCGGGCCATCATTTCATCCACATCCCAGTTAGCCCACACATATCGGCCTCGAAGGAACTCTGATTCCGGACTGGCCAACCAGACGCTGAAGTGAGCGGGCAATGCAATTGTATCAAGGGCATTGCTTGCCGGAAGCTCGCCTCCATGGCTAGCGAGTACCTTTTTTAGCATTGGGGTGTCGATGATGCCAGGGTGCATGGTGAAAACCCGAAGTGCTGGGTGTTCGACGGCAAGATATTCGCTCAGTTTGGCAGCGGCGACTTTGGAAGCGGCGTAGGCGGAATTCTTGGGCATCAAGGCGGCCTGGACGTGGGCTGCTCCTGCATTGCAAGAGATGAATGTGGCCTTGGGTGAGGCCTTGGGCATAAAGTGTTTGGTAAAATGGAAGAAAGATTTTGTGTTGATCTCAAAGGTATGCCACCATTCATCCTCGTCTGCACCAAGGATGGTGGTTGGGGTGGGGAGAACCGCGGCGTAGTGAGCAAAGACATCCCAGGCACCCAGGGTTGAACGGCACTCATGGGCTGCTCGACCGACACTTTGAGCCTGGGATAGGTCGGTGACGATGACGGCGACAGTAACTTGAGGAAACGATTCTATGATCTGGTCCTTTGTCTGCTGCAGAGTGGTTTCTGTTCGTCCGAGAAGACCTATCTTGATTGCACCGGCCTTCGCAAAAGACCAGGCTACTTGGCTACCAATGCCACCCCAGCCTGCACCAGCGACAATGACAGTCTTACCCTGGGCTGACAACTCGGGCCTGTTCGGGTCAATGGCAGGGTATGTGTCCTTGCGATAAGTCTTTGTGAAGCTGGCAAGGCCCATTTTGTTCTTGTTCTGGTTGATCCTTGTGTGGGAATGACAGCCGTGTCGAGAGAGGAGCAGTGGAGAGAGAGGCTAGATGTTAGTACGAGGTCAAATCTGGGGTGGAGAACATCTGGGATCGACAAATGGAAGAGAACCACCTTTGACCTTGTGACGAGTCGATATGCATTATTTTTGAGACTGGCTCGAGATTGTTTCTCTCTGATTGATCAGGAGTGCACAACACATGAAGTTAGGAGGGATGTATGGATGAATGGATTGATGGAAGAGGAAATCAAAGGCAGGCAGCAAGGAACTCCAGATCAACACGTGACTAGCCTTTCCACGTGACACTGATGCGGGCGATTGTGTGGAAGTGTGAGGGAAGGAGTGAAGGGCGTGGAGGGGCACGCACCTGCCTGCGCTTACCATCGGTAATATAACTTTATGTACTTCTTCGTACATGTGATGTTTCGACATTCTCGATATTCTGGCGCCACTGATCCTTCGCCATCACCATCGTCCACTACATTGCCTGTACCTGCGGCATCTCTCCATTCTATGGCTTGAAGACGCATTTCATATTCTCTTTGACATTTCCGGCTCATCATCTTGGTTATTTCTTTGCCGCTGAGCTATCCCAAACCTCATCTCAAGCCATTCCCCCCCAGCCAACCCTTCCATCGACATTTTCACCATGGCCGCTTCTGCTACACCTTCCTCCACCTCTAATACTTCCCTCAACCGCTTCCATGCTCAAGGCACTCATTCTACCGTCACCCAACTCATTGGCCAAACCCCCCTAGTTCAACTCCAGAAGATTCCCCAATCCCTCGGCATACCCGCCACAGTCTACGCAAAATGCGAGTTCTTCAATGCCGGAGGCAGCGTCAAAGACCGCATCGCCCTCCGCATGATCGAAGAGGCCGAGAAAAGTGGTCGTATCAAGCCTGGTGATACCCTGATAGAGCCCACTTCTGGAAATACGGGCATTGGTTTGGCCCTCGTTGCTGCCGTCAAGGGATACAAGACCATCATTACTCTACCGGAAAAAATGTCGGCCGAAAAAGTCGCCGTCCTCAAGGCCCTTAACGCCACCATTATCAGAACCCCTACTCAAGCCGCTTTCGATAGTCCTGAATCTCACATTGGCGTTGCCAAACGCCTGGAAAAGGAGATCCCCAATGCACATATTCTTGACCAGTATGCCAACCCCGACAACCCCTTGGCTCATGAATTGGGCACTGCCGAAGAAATCTGGGCGCAGACTGGTGGTTCCATTACTGCAATTATCGCCGGCGCTGGTACTGGAGGCACAATCACTGGGCTCGCTCGAGGTCTCCACAAACACAACAAAGACATCAAGGTCATCGCTGCCGACCCCCAAGGCTCCATCCTTGCCCTCCCGTCTCAACTCAACGACGAATTCAAGGACACACCCTACAAGGTCGAAGGCATCGGTTATGATTTCATTCCAGATGTCCTGGACCAGAAGGCTGTCAATACTTGGTACAAGACCAACGATCGTGACTCTTTTCACTACGCTCGACGATTGATCGCCGAGGAGGGCCTCCTGGCCGGTGGCAGTTCCGGTTCTGCCATGGCCGCCTTGGTCGCCGCCCATCGTGCCCAACCTTTCACCAGCTCAGATGTCGTTGTGGTTGTACTACCTGACAGCATCCGCTCCTACCTATCCAAATTTATCGACGATGACTGGCTCGCCGCTAACGACCTCTTGCCCTCAACCCCACCTGAAGTCGATGAATCTTCACAAGTCCAGAATCCTCTGTCTCGCACCCGCTCCACCTCTTTCAAAGACTCCAACGATCAGTTCCGAGGCGCCACAGTTCGCTCTCTCCGCCTCAAGCCCGTTCAAACCGTCCCCGCAGACTCCTCCTGCAGCTCCGCCATCGAAGTGATGCGCGAAAAGGGCTTTGATCAACTGCCCGTTCTTTCAGCCAAGACCCGCCGCCTCGTCGGCCTCGTCACACTGGGCAACTTGCTCAGTCGCATCTCACATGGTCGTGCCACCGCCAAATCTCCTGTCTCCGATGTCATGTTCGACTTCACCACCATCAATGAAGTCATCACTGATCCTCGCGACTTTGGAGACATTGCTGCCGCTAGTTCCAGCACCAAATCCACCAATCAGCCCAACGGCTCCGGCGGTTCGAGCGACAAGGCTCCTGCTCGTTCCTCACATCACCACAAGAAGAGACCTTTTGTCGAAATTACCATGGACACTCCATTGAGTGCCTTGAATCGCTTCTTTGAATGGCAGAGTGCTGCCGTTGTCACCGAGCGAGACCCGGATGATCCCAAGAATGGTGCTCTAAAACCTCTGGCCGTTGTCACAAAGGTCGACCTTTTGACCTGGCTGCTCAGCGAGCACAAATTACGTTGACCCTCAACGCGTTCGGTCATGTCTATGGTCCAGAATTCATGACAGCACTGCGACGGCGTTCCGGGCCTAGTCCAATCGATGATTTGATTTCATCGACTGCATTTACTAGTTTGGTCGGGTTTTACGGTCCAAGACGACACCTTGCTTGCGCAGGGTTCATTCAACATGCCCCGTCGGATGCTTTGATGATCCATCGAATCCTCACGTCTCATGACCTGGCTTAGTACATGTACAATGTTTTAGAATATATAGTCCCTGTAATTCCAGATCTACTCACTCTGCTGCCTCATGTGCAAGGCAGGGGGTCACCATCTCGACTTTCACAAAAACCCACCGTACCTAATTTCACTTGTCACAACCTGATGCCTGAGACGTCTGTAGGCGCTCGACCAACATTAGGTCTTGCAACTGTTCAGCCATCATAGCGCCAGTTTCAAGTACCACCATCAGAGGTAGGAACGAAAGGAAAAGGAAGTACCCTTGCACACGCCGTGGGCTTGGGTGACCGATCACCAGCACAGGACACGACACTTTGCATCTCATGGGGGACATTGTTCTTACACATGCAACGTAAAATGATGGGAAAGGTCGACGCTGATATTGTCAATATGGTCAGTCTCGACGACTTCGAAGTGTTTGGGACGACTCGAGCGCGGGAATATCGGTATCGACACGCAGGCGGTAGGGGCTGGGCGACGGCAAAACGACGAAGGGGAACGAAAAGGCGCTGTCTGGAAGGCAAAGGAGCGTCGGAGAGGGACGAGGCAGGGACGAAGGGAGGTGGAGCTGACATAAAGGTGGATAAAATCGTTCGAATACCGCATCGAGGAGGCGATCGATTAAGCTACCGAATCATGGTACATTCCTTTTGAATGTCCCCCGAAATCTGATGTCGAAACCGTCTATCGTATTCCGTTTCGATCCGTCCGCTCGAAATGTTTCGGGTCTAAACTTTGATTCAAGTCAATCATTTACCATGCGGATGTATCCAGCTTCAGCCTTCGGCACTGTACGGCGGACGTGTGCCACTTCTGGGGAGCCAATGAGCCCAGCCATGCATCAACCTCGGGCGCTGTAAGTCTGATACTGTTTCCTTATGTCGGATTAAGACAAACGGGTTAGGATTGTGAGGCCCCGCAGGTCCCTCTCTGAAGCTCGAGGACAAGCCGTCCTCTATTCAGCAGTGTCGAGCTCATCGTGGGCTGGTGGGGGAGAGTCGATGGCTGATACAGGTGTCAGCTCACATCCAATCGTGGGAGTCCATCATCTCGACATCGGGCATACCTTTGCGGTCATCTCCATTGGCTCCAACATCACGGTCATCGTCGCGGCGTTCTCGATCATCTTTTCCATCCCGATCTCGGTCACGGTCTCGGGTGTCTGGGGTTCGAGATCGTCTGCGGTCATCGTGGTCTCGGTCCCGATCACGGTCTCGGTCTCCACCACGATCACGGCGATCGTCCTTGCGAGGTGAGTAGTCTCGACGACGAGGAGAAGAGGAACGTGCACTGCGTCGCGCAGGGCTTCGGTCGCGACGATCTCGGCTGTCTCGACTATCGCGGCCGTCACGACTGTCACGACTATCACGGCCACGCCCAGCTTCGTAGCGCCAGGTAGCAGAAGGAGGAGTTCTCGCCCACTGTTTCTGGTCAATGGACTGATAAGGGTGTAGTTGGAAAGACATGTACGCACCTCAATCTTCAAGAGATCATCCCTCCCAATACGCTTGTTATGCATCTCGTGATAAGCGTCATCTGCATCACGTCGACTCTCGTACTCAACAAAGGCAAACCTAGATTGTCATGGTTAGTGATTGACAAGTTGGTGATATGGAGAACAGGACCACAACTCACAGACGACTGGAAGCAGTTCGGGGAGCAGGAATGTCACATCTGACAAGGCGACCGTAGTGCTCGAACTCATAGGCAAGATCGCGGGCGCGAGTACCGTGGCCAAAGCCTGTGACATAAAGAGTTGTTCCTGATCGAGACATGACAGAAATGACCGAGTGTCAACTGGGAAGGAATGAAGAAGGTGAGAAGGCAACCCGAAACCGTGATATCAAGGGTACAAGAGCCCAGGATATCGCGCTACACCTGAGAATTGATGTTGTGATGTAGTTTTTGATAAAAGAGTAGATTACAGGAGATGGGAACAAGATGCTCTTTGTAGGCGAATGTCCAAGATTGGAGGCAACTCACAGGAACCGCAGTTGCAGTGTCGTAGGGCAATGGTGTTGCAGCTGCGTTTAGAGAAGAAGTACTGCGCTAAGCCAAGAACAGTCATGATATCTTGGCAGTTCATTCTCAATATCACGTGCACATTAGGCTATGCCTTTGCCCGATGAGTGTGAGTGTGAGTATGAGTCACGTGTTGCTGTTTTCCATTTCTGTGGCCAGAGCCTATGGTAGTTCCCGTGATTCAGTGCCTGACAATCGTCAGCCTTCGGCAAAGGGCCTCTCAGGCCTGTATTGGATCTGGACCTGCACCTGTGAAGTCGTTTTCCAGGCGTGCTCATAACCACGTCTCGACACTGTCGTCGATCCCCGTTTCCATTCTGCAACAACATCATTATCTGGCGTCTTTTTTCACGACCTTCACCCTCTCTTACTTTTTGACTTCCGCCATTGATAGCTTGCGTCTTGTCAGCTTCTGGACGACCTCGACACACCCTGAATAACAGCTCTTCACAACCATCCTCTGTTTATCCCGTCGTCCGGTTCAACCCGTTCATGCCTCGATAAACAGTGAGCCTCATACGCCCCTCTATAGAGATTGCAGGGAGCATCCAGGCCTATACGACAGCTATTGAGGTCTACCTTGTCCTGTGAATCTGCTCATTGATTCACCACCTTCCTCGCGTCAACTGCAAGCCACCAACACTATGCTTGATACAGTCTTCACCCCTCCGTCATAAAATTTCCATGGACGGGATTCACCCTCGCCATACTTCAAATTCTCTTGGTGTAGCCCTACGACATCCATCTACCTCCGGCTTAATACCCTCATCACCTTGCACCAGTTGCTCATCACGATTTTCTGCTTGACAGCCTCGTTGCCTCATATCATGCGTCTCGGCGAAAAGGATCCCGCTACTGTGGATGGCAACATAGGACAAAGCTCCACCTCCATTACTGAACTGCCAAATATACCAGAGGTACGTTTGACTGAAAAGCAAAATGGTGGCAGGTTGCTAACAAGCACAGGACCCAACCATGGCGCTATCGAGCGAGAGCATGGTCACTCGGTTTCGCAACTTCGTGTCCACCCCTTTTACCGCCGCCTTTTGCGCTGGAGGCGTTGCTGGCGCTGTCTCCCGTACAGTGGTTTCCCCACTGGAACGCTTGAAAATTTTATACCAGGTTCAAGATGCTGGCCGGAACGAGTACAAGATGTCCATTGCCAAGGCACTGAAAAAGATGTACAAAGACGAAGGCTGGAGAGGGTTCATGAGAGGGAATGGAACCAATTGTGTTCGAATCGTACCCTACTCTGCTGTGCAGTTTGGGGCATACAACGTCTACAAACGTTTCGCGGAACCGACTCCTGGGGCCGATCTTGACCCTCTCCGTCGTCTCGTATGTGGAGGACTGGCAGGTATCACTTCAGTCACATTCACTTACCCCCTAGATATTGTACGAACACGATTGTCTATACAGTCGGCGTCATTTGCGGCCCTTGGAAAGCACGAGGGCAAGCTTCCCGGAATGTGGAAGACAATGGTCACCATGTACAAGACTGAAGGTGGAATACTTGGTCTTTATCGGGGCATCATCCCCACCGTTGCCGGCGTGGCACCGTATGTTGGATTGAACTTCATGGTTTACGAATCTGTTCGTAACTACTTCACCGAACCAGGCGAAAAGAATCCTGTCTGGTACCGCAAGCTAGCGGCCGGGGCAATCTCGGGAGCAGTTGCGCAGACATGCACATATCCATTCGACGTGCTCCGACGCAGATTTCAGATCAACTCCATGACCGGCATGGGGTATCAATACAAGTCGATATGGGACGCCATTCGGACCATCGTGAGGCAAGAGGGGATTGCTGGCATGTACAAGGGCATTGTGCCTAATCTCCTCAAGGTTGCTCCCAGCATGGCCAGCAGTTGGCTTAGCTTTGAGATGACTAGGGATTTCCTAGTCAGTCTTGCAGAGGACGAGTCGGATCCTGTGTGATCCTTGAGAGCATGGTGTGATTCGGAGATCGTGCCCAGAGTCGGTGCAATGAGCCTCAAAGGATGTGCTAAATCTTTGGGTTTCCGATAAAGTCCTACTAAAGAGGGGTTTGGGTCTACGGAGAGACATCAGATGACTGGAGATTGGCTTAGTTGAAGCAGCGTCATTACTGACCCAACGGGACCGACACAGTTTGTGATGCCGTATGGGCGTATGTACAAATGGATTTCTACGCGACACTGATTGGAAACTTGACATTTGGATGGAGTCATTGGATAGGAAAGCCATTAGATAGAGAGCATCGGATGGGCGGCATGTCTTGGAGTCCAGCCATATATAAGAATGGGGGTTCCAGAGCTCCTCCTTGTCACTTAACCTTAACACTGTGTCGGTGTTGTGGAGCATTGTTCAAGAATGCAAGCGGGAGAAGCCAAGGCGGTTTTCTCGAGAACCAACATCACGTGATACGGAGATCCACATCCAGAATTTGGCCCAAAGTGGCATAGTGGCCTCTAAATCTTGGCAACCGCACTCAACCTGCACTTTTGCCCGATTTTCAATCTTCTTGAAGAGAGAAGACGTCGTCGACAACTTTTCTCCCACCACACAACCAGGAAGATTCAGCGATCATGGGTAAGTGTAGACAGCTTGCTACAATGTGTTATCTCACCAGACATTAATTGACTCTATTTGCCCACAGGTATCGATCTCGATCGCCATCACGTCCGGAACACCCATCGCAAGGCTCCCAAGAGCGACAATGTCTACCTCAAGCTCCTGGTGAAGCTCTACCGCTTCCTTGCCCGTATGTACAACTCGAATCCACTGCTTCATGATTGCCTACGTTTTCAACGGAGGGAGAATCAAATCATCTTTGCAAGAAAAGAGAGACAAAGACAAGATTCAAGACGAGAAATTCGCTTTAATGAACCAAGACTAACCAGAGACTTTTTTCCGACCACAACAGGGCGCACCGACTCCAACTTCAACAAAGTTGTCCTCAAGCGATTGTTCCAGTCGCGCATTAACCGACCACCAGTGTCGATCTCGCGGCTTATCGCCAAGACACAAACCGAGAGCGCAAAGAAGGCATACGAAGGCAAGACAATTGCGGTCATCGGCACCATCACCGACGACAACCGACTCCTGACTGTCCCCGAACTTCACGTCGCTGCTCTTCGATTCACCGCCACTGCCCGTGCCCGGATCGAGAAGGCCGGTGGTGAGGCTCTGACTCTGGACCAACTGGCTCTGAGACACCCTACTGGCAGCAATGTCGTCCTGTTGAGAGGTCCCAAGAACGCCCGTGAGGCCGTCAAGCATTTCGGATTCGGCCCCCACAAGAACAAGAAGCCATATATCGAGAGCAAGGGTCGCAAGTTCGAAAAGGGTCGAGGCCGAAGACGGAGCAAGGGTTTCAAGGTCTAAGCTACAGGGTTGGCAGGCCTGTTGCGTGGCAGGAGAGCTCGTCGATTCTCTTTGGCGATGGGTTATCAAGATGCTTTGCTCGACGGTGCAGATGGCAATGTGTTGTCAATGGTCACCGTGTCTCGGTGTTGATCATGTTTCTCTCAGACTTCGAGGTCGTGCAAAGGGGATCTTTATCACTCCACAAGGACATGAGAGCAAAGTTGAGCTAAATGTGATGCGGTGGTGCGGTGGTCTCAATTACCACCCAGTGCAGTACGTTTGAGCAAATGATTCGTAACTAGATGGTTATGATCAGACAAGTTGAGATGAAGATGCAAAATTTTCAGAACAAACGAATCAACGTCGCCTTTTTTGACATGAAAGTAAAAGTATCAGTGACTTGTTTTCTTTGAATAAGACTCTTGATGAAGACGATGTGAAATTCACAGTGGAGCTGTGGGAATGGCAACTTGAATTTGCACAATATAATGGCCAAGTCCTCTCTCCCTTCGAAACTGTTCGCACCCATGGAATTTTAGAACAAGTAGACTGCCTATCTGACACACGACAAACTACGTTGGGTTTTTTCAATTCATTCTTCAGATGGTGACCTTCTCATGCAGGTACTTTTTCCCACCACTAGCTCCATATTCCGCGGCGGTCTGGCCATGACCTCGAATCTTGTATTTGTAGATGGTCAAGCCCTCGAGGCCGACAGGGCCTCGTGAATGGATCTTGTTGGTGCTGATGCCGACTTCTGTACCAAAGCCATATCTCATGCCATCTGCAAACCGTGTACTTGCGTTCCAGTACACGCCAGCACTGTCGACAGCCGACATGAATGTCTCAGCAGCGGAGGAGGATTGTGTGATGATGACATCAGTGTGTTTGGACGAGTGGGTGTTGATGTGTGCAATGGCTAGTGAGAGAGAAGGGTCGTTTTCGGAACTGGCACCGGTAGATCCATTCACAGTCGACTCGCCCGTTGATGAAGATGTGGAGGTAACAGGATCATTACCTATCGAGGGGACCGTCTTGATCGCTAGTACCAAATCCAGAAACTCGGTGTTGTAATCTTCCTCGGTGGCATCCTGTAACAAGATTGCCTCTTCCCTGGGCAGTGACTGCTCCAAAACCTTTTTGCTCGGCCCGTCACATCTCAAACTGACCCCCTTCTTTAACAAGGCCCGAGTTACATCCGGTAACACAGACCCTAATACATCCTCATGGACCAACAGAGTTTCGACAGCGTTGCAAGCCGCCGGGTAGTCCGTCTTGGAATCGACCACGACCTTGGCCGCGACAGCCGCGTCTGCGTCTTTGTGGATATAAATCGAACACAGGCCATCCGCGTGGCCGAGGACTGGAATTCTGGTGTGCTCCTTGACATATTTAACCAATTCATTTCCACCTCTGGGGATGACGAGGTCGATGAATCGGTCCAAAGATAATAACTGATCAATGACATCTCTGGTCTTGACCAACTGAATGGCATCTGCGGCTACTCTGGTGGCACTCAAGGCAGAGCCGATGACGGTGGCGATAGCCTCGAAGGACCAACTAGATTCCTTCCCACCCTTGAGGATTGCAGCATTGCCAGATTTGATGGCCAGACTGGCAATGTTGGCAATGACCTCGGGGCGAGCCTCGAAGATGATCAACAAGACGCCAATTGGACATGCCACCCGCTCCAGCTCCAGGCCTTGATCCAGTCTCGTGCGAAGGTCCACTCGACCAATTGGGTCTGGGAGATCACGAACATCGAGTATCCCTGACATCATGTCGTCGTATTTTCCCGGACGCGACAGATCGAGACGTTTGAGCACCGACTGGGAGAGTTCACCCGACTGTGAGGCTGACGTGGCGGCAACCATGTCGCGGGCGTTGGCCGCGAGGATCATGTCCTTGTTGGCAGCGAGAGCGGCATGAATCGCCGTCAACGCATCGTTGCGTGCGGATACTGGCAGTGTGGCGAGCGACTGTGCGGCTGCCGAGGCGGCTCGAGCAGCAGACTCGGGGGTTGAAGATGTTAGAGACATTGCAGTGGGATGTAGGTGTGGTAGAGGTGGGTTTGCGCCAGGATGACTGAACACCTCGGAGAGAATGTAGATCGAGTTCAAGGATTGTCAAAACGTAATCCGACAATCTCTAAATCGTGTGTGCAAAGGTGGAAATGTGACCAAAACTGCCACTGTCAATCGGTTGTGAGTTTCTACATGTGTGTAGATACAATATATGAGTCAAATGACAATTCCCCAGATCAATATGCAATGTGTAAAAGCAACTTAATAATCTAGATCCATCTAACAAATTCTCTCAACTTTGGTAATCGAGCATTCAAGTAATAACGTGTGGGTTTAACTGAAGCTTAAGATAATCTGGCGAATCAGCGATGCTTCTCACCACTCCACCGCCTGGCTAAAGAAATATTTTGTCAAATCTATTCGGGTGGAAAATTGTTATCTGCTCAGTGGTCACGAAGGGGAAACCCTTCGTGGACTGCGCAAAAACGTTCGCCTGTGTTCTCAAGAGGGATATCCTGCCTTACCAAGGCTCTCAGAGAGCATCTGGCCTCGTTTCCCTCTCCAATTCACGACATTCGAAGTCACACAGACGGGCAATTAATTAGAGCGGCCGCAGAAGAAATAAGTCATGCTGCTTTCAAATTTCCAGTCTAAAGGTGGTTCGTTTTGCGGTCTAACCTGATTCAGACCCAGTCAGTCTACATCGTCCTATACATGCTTTTGTTCCTATCCAAATATTTACTGCGCCACGTCTACGACGCTTTCTTAGGCGACCTTGTAATCATGGAACTCTCGATACATCGCACTGGCATTTGGCGAGCACACAGCCATTGCAACCTGGGGGTAGGGAAGGACCGACATAAAAATGAATGATCTATTACAGGATAACAGGGCATTGTCACCTGGTCAGACGGGGGCCTCATGCCTCGGCCTCAGAACCCAGCTCGCTTGCCTTTCGTCTATTTCGTATCTCATCAGCTCATGCTCCTCTCTAGTTCTACAAGCATCCATGTGTATGTCGTGGGGGGCAAGGTTCGGCAAGCAATAGCGCAGATAACAATAACACGAGCGCTTCAAAGCGAAAGACCTCGTACACAGCACAACGCAACGCGCGGCCCACTTACTTCTTGATCAAAAGGCTGGTCCCGCCCATCTCTTCGGGTTGGTCAAGGCCCATGGCTGCCAATATGGTTGGGGCCACGTCCCCGAGGACCCCATCTTGCTTCTTCAAACTCCAACCTTGGGGAGCGTTGGCCATGACAAAAGGAACCTTGTTGGTGGTGTGCGACGTCTTCGGTTTGCCCTCTTCATTCAACATCTCCTCGGCGTTGCCGTGATCGGCCGTAATGAAGAGAATATATCCTTCCTTTTTGCAAGCGTCGTAGACGGTTCCAATAGCGGCATCGGTGGCAGCGACACCCTTGATGGCAGCTTCATAGACTCCAGTGTGGCCAACCATATCCGGAGGGGCAAAGTTGTTCATCAAAAATTCGTACTTTCCGGTGGAGATTCTTTCACTCAGCTTGTCGGCGACTTTTTGAGCACTCATGGGGGGTTCGAGGTCGTAGGTGGCCACTTTGGGACTTGGGATCAACTCACGATCCTCGCCGTCGAATTGCTTCTCGACACCTCCGTTGAAGAAAAAGGTGACATGGGCGTACTTTTCGGTTTCGGCCACGTGACTCTGCTTGACATCCTTTTTGCTCAGCCATTCGGCAAGAACGTTGGTCATGACTTGAGGGGGAAAGGCGATGGGGAAAGTGTAGTCAGTCTTGTATCGTGTCATGGTGGTGATGGCAATGTCCTTGGGGTAAGGGAAGTCTGGTTTGGGAGAACGATCATAGTCGCCGAGGAGTTGGGTGACTTCTCTGACTCGGTCGGAGCGGTAGTTGAAGAAGAAAAGGGTGTCCCCGTCCTGGACTCTGCGATCGGCGCCTCCGACGATAATGGGTTTCAGGAACTCATCATTTTCGCCCTTTTCATAGCGTGCCTTGACGGTCGCCAGAGGATCATCGGAATCCTCGCCCTCGCCGCAAACGACACCTTTCATGCCCACCTCGACACGGTCCCATCTCTTGTCACGGTCCATGATGTAGTAACGGCCGACAATGGTGGCGAGCTTGCCAACACCAAGGTCATCGAGTTTAGCCAAAAGCTGTTCCAGGTAGCCCGCAGCACTCTTGGGGTCGGTGTCTCTGCCGTCGCCGAAAAAGTGAATGAAGATTTCGGGAACTTTGTACTCCTTGGCTACCTCCAAAAGAGCAAAGAGGTGTTTGATGTGACTGTGGACACCTCCATCACTGATAAGGCCGAGAAAGTGAAGTCTTCCATTTCCATCCACAGCTCTTTGCATGGTGTCGGTGATGGTCTTGACCTTGTTTAGTTCGCCATTTTTGATGGTTTGGTCGATGCGGACGACATCCTGCCATACCACGCGACCAGCGCCGATGTTCAAGTGACCAACTTCGGAATTGCCCATCAGACCCTCGGGCAGACCAACAGCCAGAGAGGAGGCTTCAAGCTCGGTGTAGCCTTGGGCGGTGTCGGAGCCGTCTTTGGCGAATCCATCCATGTATGGGGTTTCGGCGGCAGCAATAGCATCACCCTCGGGTGGGGATGTCGCAGAAGGAATTCCCCAGCCATCGATGACGACTATGAATGGGATTAGAGGAGGGGTCTTGTTACAACCGAGATGTGAATGACTTACTCAGAACGGCTTTCTGGTCGACCTTGGCCATTGTGACGATACGGGCGGAGGTGGAGGGGTAGAAATGGGAGGATGCAGGTATTTGCCAGAGGATGGGAAAAGGACTAGGAGGTCAAGGGGAAGGTAAAGACGTAGAGGAATCTAAGATGGTGGAGGGAGGTGGTGATTAGTGAGTGGGCGGTGGAACGACTTTTTTCTGTTGACTGCATTGAGGAACGAGCTGCAAGCTGCAAGTGCAGTGGTGCTTCTGTTTGGCGGGGATTGTCGGAGCAGTTTGCCATTTGGCGAGGATGGGGCATTGGGATAAGGCATGTTTTCTAGATACGTGAAATCTGATATTTTGACTTCCCAGTGATCAGAGTGCTTGGGAGAACAAGATATCATCAATGCCAGTATGATTATTAGCACTTCTATGGGCAATCATCTCTTCCAAGTTGCTGCAGTTGTGGATTAATTAGTTGTCTTGTCACGTTGTTGACTCCAGACTCTCAACCCCTCGCTGCTTCCCACTTGGACTCCATGTGATTTCAACTTTACGTCATTGTTCCCACGTGACTTTTCCACCGTCTTGGGTTGGCAGAAGCGACTTGAAAGCCAATAGTAATATGAAGAATAAGGAGCGCACCTAATTATTGTGATTAGAACAAGAACAAGAAAAGAAACAAGAAAAATGAATGATGGTTAAAATTATTTCCTTATGAGCTCTCTCCTCAATAATCTCATGAATAGGATCCTGGCCCTTCTCACCATGTGAGGATGTAATTTGCTTTGTGCTGATACTGCTAGGTACCTAGGTACTCAGTCTCAGTACATTAGGTACTTACAGTACAGCACACTTGACTGATAAGATGTTATTAAGCCCTAGACTCATTAGGTACCCCCAAGTCCTCCAATCGCCTCCCCCGTAAGTAGCTTCCCCTCGCCCCTTGATCATTCCCCCCAGCAAATCACTCCAGGTGCCGGAAATAGCACCCATTAAGCTATTGTGCCGCTGCCCCGCGTCTGTCGAGTGACGAAATTACATGGCCACCTGTTGACACCAACAATGCTTCTCTACCAAGGTCTGAAGAAGGGTCGAGAGGCCCCTGGGCCCCTCGACCACTGTCCGTCGATTGCCAGAGCCAGAACGATGTCTACAGTAGAGTCTATCCCACTGTGTAGAGTTAAAAACTTGTAGGTTCTCCAGGGCGGGCATGACCCACCAGTGCTACTCCTCGATTGCTTCCCCGTTCTAATCGAAATTCCACCAAAAAGAAGTCGTGATTATGGATGAAACGTGGAAGTATTCTCCGGACATGACAACATCTGCTTTTTGCCTTTTCGTTCTTGATTCACCTCGTCCATAGTCTTCAAATCTCATTCTTTGGCAATGCCAATCACGTCCTGACTGCGGTTTAGAAAAGTAGATCGATTTTGTCCTCTCTTAAATTGCCATGCTGGCCGTCTGCTGTTCTGTTCCCTATTACACGCCAGATTTATTCATTAATTGACTACCGGAGGACGACCATTTCCTGGCAATCGTTACCATCCTCACCGTTTAATCTACGTACAGGAATGCGCCCATGACCCAGGACGGCACATACCGTCATACTCGAACCAAAACCAGTCTTATTGGGCCATCGCCCGCCCATCGTCCATCATGACCTCCAACTCAACCCGGGCTGTCTTTCCCGTACCAGCATGGTCCAGCGCCCGTCCTCTTCAGCCGACTCTGATGAATCAGCGGACGAGGTCAGTCAAGACTCGGACCTCGCATGCCTGCGACCGATGTCGCACCATGCGCACAAAATGCTCCGGTGGAGAGCGCTGTGTCAAATGCACAAAGGATGATGCCGTCTGCGCTTATGGAGACCGTAAGAGAGAAAGAAACAGAAAGTAAGATAACTCTTCCACCAGTTTGGCCTATACCTGACCAAGAACAAAGTTTGGACAGAGACCTCGCCGACTGCCTCGAGCGCATCGACCTGTTGGAGGGAGAAAATCAAGTCTTGTTGAGCTCCTTACGCTCACTTACCGCCAGTCCTTCCTTTCAGCCTACTGAGCATGGCGACATTGTCGATTTGCTTTCCAAGGTGGGTTCAACTTCATTCAGACTCTCCCTGTATAGTCATGCCTGACCCCTGTCAATACAGTATTCGTCTCAAGAAATCTCCGACATCGCTCCCTCCTCGAGCAGTCAATCCAACGATAGAGTTAGAACAAAGTTGCATCTCAGTCAGACCGCGGACCGCGAGCCCCTGATTGATGTTGCACCTCGGGGGGAGACCAAAGCAGACTCAAGCGTGGGTTCTCCGGGTCGAAAGGGTGAGCTCTCTCGGGTGGTCGATCTCGATTTGGGCAAAGGTGCCTCTGGCTTCGTCGGCAAAATGTCCGAGATGGCTTGGATTCAGCGTGCCTGGGAACATTCCCTAGATTCTCCCCTCGAGTCACTCACCGATCTGCCTCGTGCTGAAATTGACCGCCACCTTTCCGCCGCCAAGGACTTTACCTATTTTCTCGACGACACAGACGTTCTGTCCGTCAATGAAGATCATATTGATGAGCGCTCATGGCCTCCCGTTCACACCTCATTGATTCTCACCGAGGCCTTTTTTCACGCCATGCAGGGCGCCTTCGCCTTTGCCCAGAGAGACCAGTTCCTTGACGCTCTGCTCAACTTCCCCAGGCATCGATCTGTCTGGTCCTGGGCCGAGCGTCGTTGGTTGGCCCTTGCTAATCTCGTGTGGGCAATCGGCTCCAAGTGGCTGCACATGGCCAAATTGCACCATGACACCGTCGAAGATCATCTCGTCTACTATGCGAGAGCCAGGGCGCTTGGACTTGATCACCGTGTTGTGTTTGATCATCCCGACGTCCCAACGGTCGAAGCCATAGGACTCTTGGCCTTTTACCTCGTGATAAATGGCTCCATCGCAAGGTACGAGGCTTTGGAGTCATCCTGGACATCCCAATTAGCTGACTTGCCACAGATCCTGGAACACACTTGGCCATGCCACCAGACATGCCACCGCACTGGGACTACATCTGCGCGTAACCGATCCCAGTATCAACCAAGAAGATCGGGAGCGACGTACCCGTACTTGGTATTCGCTATATAGCCTTGAAGTCTTTCTTGCAGAGATCACCGGCCGGCCCAAGTCGATTTCTCTGTTAGATGTCACCGTGGACATCAAAACACTGCAGTGGCCCGAAGACGATGCCGGTGAGCCGCCCTACCGGTTCAGTAATGTCTCGTCCCACACTGAATCTAGAAAAACCTGGATTGAGTTTTTGAACCTGGATCGAGACACGCCCCAGGGCATGACTGGTGGGATCATGCCATGGAAAAGCTTTGCCTCAGTAGGCCAGAGTGCTCCACCTTCACACTTCCCCCAAAGATTGTTACTTTGTCAACTCAGCGACAGGATAGCCTCGCAGCTGTACTCGGGCGCGGTAGATGAAACATGGTCACAGGTTCAGCGTAAAATCGGAGAATTGCAGACCGAATTGAGAAGGTGGGAGGAAAATCTACCAGAAAACCTGACGATTCAGAGCAAAGGCCCCACCGACTCGGACCCCCGAGTCAAGATTGAGCTCAACATGTACTACCACAGTCTTCAGATGATCTTACACCGGCCTTGCTTGTGCGAGGTAGTCATTGAGAATGAATCGGACCGGTCACGGGAGTTCAACCGCAGCTGTGCCCGGGCTTGCGTGCATGCAGCCATGTCGATGCTGGCCATCATGCCCAGCAATCCGAGTGCCCACGAGGCGTATCAGCTACTCCCATGGTGGACTCTGCTACATTATGTGGCACAGACGGCTAGCGTCTTACTCTTGGAGCTCAGTCTCGACTGCCAGCACTTTAAAGGGGAAGTATCTGAAGTCACCGAGTACCTGCGCAAGGCCATGGCGTATCTCTGGTGCATGACAGAAGGATCCCCATCGGCCTATCGTGCTTGGAGAATCTTTCGGAGAGTGTTGACTGATGTCTCACGGCGTTATGAGGATCTCAATGTCGCAGATATCCCAGAACAGGCACGCGTGCCGGAGAGGTGGACCGCGGCTGATGAGGCATTGCTGGATGACACTTTCTCATATAGGTGAAGGGACCCAAGTACAGAGGAACATAGTGATGCAGTTGAAGAGATAATTCTGTGCTGTGGTGATCCATGAGGCGTGAATCGTAGTGAAAAATGAGGAAATATACCTACGTATCTGGGCATTTCCTCCTCCGTAGCACATACGGCGCATTTTTCATTTCCTTTGTACAAACCACAATGTCGATTCAGTTGCGGCAACCACGATCACGACCACCATCATCAACATCAGATCTCAACTTATTTCAGCCTGCGCTCAAATCCTCAACCGACACTCGCAAAAGTCCAATTCGCTTTGGCATACAATGTGATCAACCTCTTCTTGCTCGCATTGTTGGTCCGGAATTATCACCTGTCCCTTGCTGCTGCATCACCCCCAAATGCGACTTACATTGTCATTAGTTCCCTTCGTTCCCTTCCGTCGCCAGGCTTCAAGGCCATGACAACGAACGACGCCACTCACGCATTCTCTTCAATCCTTCTCAGTCTCTCGGACCAGTCCCGGTCCTATTCTCACAATGAAAAACTCATATTCTCTCGTTAGCCTTAAAAGATGGTCTTCCAAGGTCAAAGATCTTCCCGCTATTTCCAACATCAAGACAATCCATGTCTATGATTTCGACAACACCCTATTCTCCAGCCCATTACCGAACCCACAAATATGGCATCCTCAGTCCATTGGCATGCTTCAAAGCCAAGAAGGCCTTGCGCATGGAGGCTGGTGGCATGACTCGAGTGTTCTCGAGGCTACAGGACAAGGTGTGGAAAAGGAGGAACCCCGCGCGTGGGAAGGCTGCTGGAATGAACCTGTGGTTCAGTTGGTTGAGTCAAGTGTCCAGTCCAAAGATGTGGTGACTATCCTATTGACCGGCCGAGGAGAAACAAATTTTGCCGATCTGATCAATCGCATCTGCAACTCGAGAAAGCTCGATTTTGACATGGTGGTGCTCAAGCCTGAAGTTGGCCCTTCAGGTCAGAGTTTCGAGTCAACCATGTCGTTCAAACAGGAATTCTTACGGGAATTGGCCATTACCTATAAAAGTGCAGATGAAATCCGGATCTATGAGGACCGACCAAGACATGTCAAAGGGTTCCGCGAGTATTTTGAGCGGTTCAACAAGTCCCTCTTGTCCCATCGCGCGGATGAGCCGGCTCCTCCTCGCCTGCCCATTACAGCAGAAGTTGTCCACGTCTGTGAATTGAAGGCCACACTGAACCCCGAGATGGAGGTGGAAGTGGTGCAAAGAGCCATCAATCGCCACAATCACGCGATTACCACCAACGGCCCTGGCTCCAGCAAAACCACTAATAAGCATCTCAAGATCACTGATTCGTTTCTTTACTTTGGCTACATGATCAGCCAGACTGATTCGTCTCGGTTGATATCATTGATCAATGCTCCGCCACAACAGATCGACTCGGGAGAGGTGCGTCTTTTTGCGTCATCCATCTTGATAGCCCCGTACTATCCTAAACAAGATCTGGTGACCAAAGTGGGTGGTCGGGGAAAGAAGGTCACCTGGCAGGTCACGGGTGTGGCCAAATATGAAGATCGTATTTGGGCAGCTCGAGTAGCCCCGGTTACGGAGACTCCGATTGTGACACAAGATCCTGTACCATTGGTAGTGCTTGCTATGCGAAAGGGCTCAAGACAGGTGGATGCGTCGAGAATCACTAACTGGAGTCAAGTGTCTCAGGACAAGGCATTCATGTTTGAAAGCACGGTGGCGGACAAAGTCATGCTCAAAATCGAAGATGATGATCAGATGGACAATGGCTTCGCCAACGGGCGTGGCCGACGAAATCGAGGTCTGAGGCAGACCCACGGGAGTGAGGGAACCCACAAGCGCAAGTTTGGAGATGACAGTGGCGGCCGCAATGCATATGCTCGCATCGGTGGCTCGGGGACGGAGCGCGAAGACGGCAACTGGGCTCCCAAGGACCGCGTGTACCTGGGAGGACGCAATGCACAGAGAAATGCTAAGAGCAAGGCCGAGTTCAACAATCGTCATAACCCCAACGTGGTCGGTGCGAGGGGCGGCAGCCACCAAGGAACCACGAGCAATGCTGGCCGTGGTCGCGGCGGAGGTGGAGCGGCAGGGCCCAACAGAGGAGGTGGTCGAAGCGGAGGTGGAGGTCATGTTGCAGGGCGCGGACCTGCCGGGTACAGGAGCCTGGATGACTATGGAACAGGGAATTTCGATGGTGCTAATGAATCGGTCAGTGGCGGGGGTGCCAATGGAGAAGTGGTGATGAATTACTGAGCACATGAGAACAGTGTGCGTGTATGAAAAATGGATATTGGGTGTGTTGCATGATGGCGCAGGATCGCTCCATGGGACCCCAGCGGGATGATTGTTGCCTTGACTCGATACTTCTCAGCTGTTAGCTGTGTTGAAAGGGCATGTTTTGTAACAGTATCAAACGAATATCAGAGCACAGGAGGATCAATCAGGCGGGTTGGAATGTGTCTGATTAAGGATGTTCAAGACTGAATGGACACTTAAGTGGTGAGATTAAACACTTATGTACTTATCTAGGAATCAAGATTGATTCAAGATACAATCCTTGTGGTAGCATGCTGGTGCTTAATACTGTTCAATACTGTTGAAGTGAATGTTCTGATGCTCAAAATATTCAACCAAATTACTCCGTAGATCTGTTGACGGTGATAAATGAATGACACTCAAAGAAAAAAGTCTAAACAAAGGGGGTTGCTTCACAATCTTGGGAATGTTTAGTTTCCTGTAAGCAAAACTATATCCTCATCTCACTCGGGCCTCTTCTCCCCCTGACTCTCTATCTCTTCCATGTTATATCGACGTGTCTTGGTCCTTGGATTCCCCCACTCTCACCTCTATACACCATTCTTCATCCATACTCGTCGACAGACACCCAAAGCTGTTGGATGCCGACACAGCCCTCGGCCCCCTTTTATGATTTATGAACTCAAAGCTAGTACTAACCTAGCAACGATGGCTGGATGAGTAAATCTATTGCTCAATTGCCGTATTATTGCCATCTATTTTGAAATCATATACCATGCGACTTCTAAGGCGGCCGTCGTTGACCTTGACCTTATTAATCATCATCACCATTGTTTTGATCCAACAGCTGAACCTCAATCCATTCAGCAAGAGTCCATATTATGGCCAAACAACTCAGCTGTACGACCCAAATGTATTTGAGCCAGGGGTAGCCAAACCCGCAGGATCCAACTACAGTCGGGTCCTGGTCATGGGCCATCTCCAGTCTGAAGATGTCAGCTGGGTGGCGCGTGAACTACCAGAGTTCGACACCCACATATATGTGGTCGACAAGCCTGACCCCATCACATCAGACCACGATCCATCCCGCTTGCCAGCGAACAAAGGCCACGAGGCCATGGTGTACCTGACGTACATCATTGACCACTACACGTCGTTACCAGACGTGGTTCTGTTCTTCCACCCGCACCGCATCGCATGGCACAACAACATCCTGCTGGACCTAGACACAGTCAAGACCATCAAACTGATCTCATCGCCACACGTGGTGCGGCAGGGGTACTTCAACTCGCGCTGCCACCTAGACCCTGGCTGCCCGGACTGGTTGCATGTGGACCGGCCACGCTGGAGGTGGGATCTGCATCGCAAGCCCGAGGAGCCCGTGTTGACGAGCGAGCTTTTCCGAGAGCTTCACGGCCCAAACCAACACACAGACCCGACCTGGCACCCGCCAGTCCAGCTGCCCGCTCACATCAGCCAGCCTTGTTGTGCGCAGTTTGCCGTCAGCGGCGACCGCATCCGCGCTCGGCCCCGCGACTTCTATATCCGCTACCGCGACTGGATCCTGGCCACCCCCCTCGATGACAAGACCTCTGGCCGTTTACTCGAATATTCATGGCAGTATATGTTCACCGGCAACTTTGAGTTTTGTCCCAACATGCACCATTGTTACTGCGACGGCTATGGCCTCTGCTTCGAAGGAGACGCTGGCTTGGAACATTGGCTCCGAGTATTGAGAGTCCGAGAGAAGGTTGATGAGAAAAGAGTCAAGTTGCATGACCGTGGCCAGGCTGACGGTGAAAAGTACAAGGCCTTGCTGGCCGAAAGCAACCGCCTTACGGACGAATTGGATCATCTGAGGGAGCTCGCCTTGATTCGAGGCTTTGATCCAAGAATCCGTGCTCAGGAGGTGGGAAGAGTATGGCATGAGGGTGATGGGTTTTGACCTCGATCGTCTGGTTGGTTACACAGGATTGCTATGGCGCCATGTGACAGCTGGCTGTCGTCGTCGCCTTGTGCGTGTATCTGTGCAATGGATGTATGTTTTGATGTTCATGTCGACTTTGGATCGCGAATAGACAAGGAATTGGCAATTCAAATAGGAAAAGGGAGGTTGGACAAAGGATCGAACCGGTCCTTTTTTGGGAACAAATACAAATAGTGCATAGGTATTTGATCATTTCAATGGGTTTCATTATTACATCTGTTGTACACGTAGAGGTCTGTTCTATCATGCTATCTATACAAGTGTGGAGATATTCTCTTGGATCTGAGGCGAGATTCAAGGGCCCATGCTCATGTGTGAATCTGCCAAATACTGCGGTCAACACAGAGACCGAGAACAAATTGTGTTTGTCATCGTGGTGATGGTGTGGGCGGTGGTTGACGGGGACTCTCTTTTCAATCACATCTGCCATCATCCCAGCCATCCTTCCACCGTTGCTTCCACAATGAACAATCAAACTCTTTCTTGCCCAGTTTGACATTGACCACGTTATGTGCCAGGCACATCCAGTTGCCCAACTCATCTCTTCCACCCACTTTGGGCTCATTCCCTGGCTGAACCATCCACGACCGAAAATCATCTGCGCATACCCAACAAGGGTATAATTGTGAAAATGTCGAGATGAATTGTTTCATTACCGACTGCGTTGTAGGAGGAGCTTTGGGTGGGTACTGAGCCGCCATGGTGTGGAGTAATGTCCAGGTTGAACGTCCCAATTGTTCGACATCGGCGGGACAATCGTCGGGAGTAGTATCGTTGGTCAAAGTTGAGGTCGTCGTTGACGTCGACGTCGATGTAGAAGCAGTGGCTTTGGTCTTGTTGCCGCCTCCAAAGGTTCCCATCATCGCCTTCCACTCAGCTGATGAGGTGCATGTTCGACACCTGCGGGCACAAGCTGGTCAGTCACGGTTTTGCAAGACCAAATAGACTCGAACCAAGAACTGACGGTTTTCCATCTTTGTCCAGCACGACGCCTCCATGCCCACTCTTCGTTGCTACGGGCCCATCTCGCTCTTGTTGGTTTTGGTCATCGGTGGATGAGGGTGGGAGACGCTGCCGGGTAGGAAAAGGAAAAGACATGTACGACCCTCTGACGTCTCCGTCTTCGAATCCGACTCCAAACTCGTTGCACAACTGGCTCTAGCCTTGACTGGTGTTGGTGAAAGGTCTCAAGTATTATGAAAGTGTCAACATGGATGAATGACAAATGAGGGAAGATGAAATAAATCACAAGGCTGCGCCGCAGCCTCGGGAGGGAATCCAATTGCTTCGGAAGAGTTGCCATGTCTGTCTATAAGGCTGTCTATGATTTCAGTATCAAAAGAAGACACTGATCTTGATTAATCGGCTCTGACCAAACCCTTTCAAAGTCTTTGGTCTCATACACTATCTATTTGCTTGCGGTTCCCCCATGGTGTCCTGAAATGGACCCAGGGAAGATACCATACGGACCAATCCAGAGTGCTCACACGATCATTCGTCTGCAATCTCTGCCTCTTTCTTCATGTCAACGACGTTGTCTGGAGGTAGAGATTTAAAGTGCAAAAGCTACCGCCACATGGCCAGGCTTCATAGAATGCTGAGGTCCATATGTTCCAACCTGGGCCAGGAATTCCTGACTCGGCCATGCTCCTGCGCATGAGCACCGACTCACACACCAACTATGGGTTCTTCAATGGCCACAACCCCTTCCTAGCCCGAGCAAGGGCTCTGCCATGGAGTGGTGAACCCAATTCGATGGAGATCAGTCAAGCTGAAATGTTCCCGATCTCTGTTTCCCCATGCCATTTACCATCTGTGACTTAAAGCAGAAGGAATGTTCATTTTTGGGACGATGGTAGGGTCACCCATCTTTTGTCGGGAAATGTCGTGAAATGTCGTGCTTCACGTCTTGAAACTCGATGCCTGTGTGTGGCTGTGGCCCGTGGGTTGACTCACCATGGGCCGTGGTCCTCGTTTCCTCTTATTGACTGGACATAGGTATGCCAACAACGTGGTAGGATGGAAATCCGTGATGGATTGTTCATGATGGGACCGGGTTTCTTCAATCCTACCCCCTCATTGTCGACCGTGTCTGATTTCTCGGTATAAGGCCAGTTTGCTGAAATGCCTGATTTGTAAGAGTACAGCGTTCGCCCTAGAGTTTTGAGGGCGAGTGTGACACACTGGACACAATTTGGGTTGGAGCCTGAGTCGAAGCCTGAGTCGAAGCCGGAAGTATGGTTTCATTGTACATCACAACCGTCTGCAGATACCCTTTTGGCGGAGGCCGAGCATCTGGCAGAAACAGTTGGTCGGGGATGTTTTGTCCCTTGAATTGAGGCTGAACACTATTCAATCCCTGGACTAGCCTTGGGATGTTCATGATGGTACTGTATACTAGATCCTTGGTGTATTCCTCGTGTATGAGATCAGGTTCTTCCGCAATGGAGATGTCAGAATCCCGGGAGGTAGGGCCGGCGAACCGATGGGTTGAGAACAGAGGCGGGAAGGCCCCATAGCAAACAAACGGGTCCAAAAACTTGTGGCGACATATTGCGCTCACACTAACGTCGAACGGTTGGTTGCGAGGCTGTAACGATATAGCAGCGAGCATCTTGCGTGCACCGTCATATGTAACCGCATAGGCCTGAACACACATTCCTGCGTTCGCATGAAAGAAGATTCGAGTGTTGTTGCGTCTGGTGATTTCAGGCGAATGCCTGTTTCGGAAAAATGAAGTTCGATTGACGGTGGGAGCCACAGTAACGTCGTCGTCCACAACCCAGAACTCTTGCTCGTCATCGGTTGAACCCACTCGGCAATGGCCCAACCAAAGCATATCCCACGCCGGCCCGTATGGAGACCTGGTTGACCTGGGTGCTTGCTGAAGTGCTCTTAAGCCGTAGGCCATTTCCGACATTTGTGACTTGAGATGAACGTCCCAATCCGCATCATCCTCAATGATTAGCGTTGTCTGAATGTTTTCCCTCACAATTCTATGGATGAAGTCAGAGAGAACAGATTGAGAGATTCTGAGGAAGAGCTTGTACCTTTGAAGTACATTCATATGTGCTCTCCAGGATCCGAGAGCGCCCGTGGTTTGCGCCTCAAAGTCCCATGTCTGGACGGAGTTAGAGATACCAAGGAGGGGCTAAACAAGATTCTCACTTACAAATGGAGCAGCGTTGACTGGGACCTCCTCGAACGAGACACCAGCTTCCCATTCGACTTCCATCTTGGTGAAAGACGCACCGAGAATGACTGCATCGCGCCGATCCGTGCGAGATGGGAAGCCGATAGCAATGATCTTTTCAAACTATAACAATTAGCATGGGGGGTTTTGAGGATAGAGGCAGGATACTCACCCCTAAAGTCGAGTTGTAGACATCTTCATGGCTATTCCGCAACAATTTATTGGGAAGGCTCTGCACATGATCGACAATTTCTCGATGTTGCGTTGACAGGAGAGCCACCAGAAGCAGGCAAATGAAGATTGAAATCAAGGCTCTTTTCTTCAACACAAGCGGGACAGTCTTGTAACATGAGAAAGGACTGGGAGACGAGGAAGGCGAATTCAACCATTCAGGCAACCTACCAGGCTCCATGCTTGAGAAATCTGTCGAAAATTGTCCATAAAATGGAAAGGCATCTTGAAGTGAAAAGAGATGGGAAGGTCTTTTGAAGTAGATGAGCGTGATGAGCTAAGTCAGGGGCACACTGATGCTGCACTGTGATTGTTTGAGAACTGTCATTGCAAAGTGACAGGTAGGACGTCAGCCACGTTGGTTTGTGCACCATCACCACCGAATGCCTGGAGCGGTCCTTGAAGAAGCCCCATGTTATCTTCCACAAAGAAGAATGAGCTTTCAGCGGATTGTTCAATGCCATATCTGAACGAGTACAGATTGTCTATATCGACTTATCGAGATCCATAGGATGGCGCTAGTCCGACACTTCAAGTCGGTAGCAGTTGCAACTTACCAACATTGTGGCTTCACCAGTCGGGTTGAAATATGACCAAGAATATACTATTGAGGAGTCATTGAGCGGTTATCAAGTCACTGCTCTGGTCTCCTTTTTGTTTTCGAGAGGCTACACGAATTTGAATCAAAGCCCTGGCAGTGAGGACCAAAAAGGAGAAGCACGTGAAGGGTCGAGGCGCCAAGGCCATTAGATGGAGTTTACCCAAATCAAGTTAGTTCATTCTGTCACGTCCAGACTTCAATGCTGCGGGGAAGGCGCGATCTTCTCTTGCCTCGCCTGCAGCCCGCAACTGCCTCTTATGCTTTGCTTTGTCCATACTAAGTAGGAAGGCACACATGACTTACGAATACTCCATGTTTTCGACTTGATAAACAAAGATTTGGCATCCTCAACTTGTGCGCTCGCACACGCAAAGATGTCACACTAGATGCCCTTGCTCAAATTCTGACAACTTCAACTCTTCCTATGTGATCTTCACACTTCTGATCCGATCGTTGACCAACGCGTCGTCGCACCTCATTGTTCTCGATGGTGACCCTGTTCTAAAACCCTCCAATCCTCGTTCCAACGCCATGTCCGACTCGGATTCTTCCCACGCGCCTGAAAAAGGTTCCCTTTCAGACTCGTCGCTAGAAAAGTCCTTGCGCCAGCAAGTCATCAAGGCGCAAAAAGCTGGACAGGACATCATAGTCAATGCGATTCGTGCCGCCTCGGAAAACGCTCTAGGCCTTGAGCTCGGCTTCTTCAAGAATCACGATACATGGAGTAGTAGAAGCAAGCAGATCATCCGCGACCAAAATGTAAGTCTTGATGTCGGCTCTTCCATGGCCACAACTGACACATGTTTCGCTTGCGCAGGATATTGAACCACCACAAAGCCCTAGTCCTTTACCTGCCGCTCCCTCGACCAAAGCCACCCAAAAGCGAACCTCGGAGGAAAGAGATGCATGGCCTCGCAAGAGAAAGAAAACACTCGCGAAGCCAGCTGAGGAGTCCACCTTCGATGAATTGTCTTCACCACCGAGCGACGATGACAGTGAGAGCTATGATGAGAGGCCCCCAAAAATGCAAAAGCAGAAGCAGAAGCAGAAGCAGAAGCAAAAACCACAGCCCAAGAGTCCTGCAAAACCCACGACCCTCAATAAACGCAAAAAATCGCGGGCCGCCAAATCACCAAGCGACGATGAACTGGATTCGTCTTCACCTTCGAGTGAGGTCGATCACTCCGAGAGTGTGACTGTGAAGGCGCGGAAGGTAACCAAGTCGGATTCGACATCGATAAAGACCAAATCAAAGTCTGAACCTGTCAAGCAGTCACGATTGGTGGTGGATGTCAGAGACAACAACGATCAGACTACTCCAAAGACGTTGGAGCTAGACGATGGCTCTGATAGTGACCTTTCTTCCCTGATAGACGAGGCGCCTGTTGCTCAGAAGAAACAAAAGGTGCAAAAGTCTTCTCACCAGTCCAATCAGAACAAGAAACAATCAAGGCCCAGATCTCAGGCTAAAACTGACGCTGATCTCGACCCTGATCAAGCGGAGATCAAACGATTACAAGGGTGGCTGACCAAGTGCGGCATCCGCAAGATGTGGTACAAAGAACTCCAACCATACGACACATCGCGGGCCAAAATCAAGCATCTGAAAGATATGCTCAGCGAAGCTGGGATGACAGGCCGCTACTCGATTGAGAAGGCCAATCAGATCCGAGATGCGAGAGAGCTAGCAGCCGATATCGAAGACGTCCAGGCAGGGGCTGAGCGATGGGGGAAAGATGGAGAAACAGGTCAAGATCGAGGTCGCAACGGACCTGGAGAAGAGGCGAAATCGGGCCGACGCTTGGTGCGCGGATCTAGAAATTATGACTTTCTGAGTAGTGGCGGGGAGGAGACCGATTGAGTGCTTAGACGAGCTCAGGTGCAGGCACCATGTATTGAACAGTGGTCGTTGAGGGCGAACAGATATGCCCAATCTCTCGTGGCATGGTGAATAAATATGTGTTGAGAATAAGTTATGATTCACTTCAGTGTCTTGGTGCCACTCATGCGTTGAGCCACGAGGCTGAAGACAGCTACCGATGAAATAAAGAGTACTAGATTGTAAAACTAACAATTGACCATTGAGTACGAGGGATAAGAAAGAAAGGGGCCCAGGGTTGTTGGGCCAAAGGGGCGAAGCACTTACGGCATTGCGGGAGTATTCATTCTCTTCGGCTTCAGTGCGAGCCTCGACAAAGAGTCGACGTAGATTAGGGAGGGCCATGGTGTTTGACAATACTTGACCATTGGTAGCCCTGGTAGCCCTGGTAGCCCTGGTTGTCCTGTGTCACAAGAGAAGAAGAGTTGATCGAGTGAAATGTGATGCCCAAAGATGAACAAATGCGTCAGGATCCTCAAGTGGGACACTCCGCCGTATTAGGTCAAGCAAGTCGACATCAAGCGCAATATGACTACGGAGGTGTACAAACACGATCGGCGCACTTCCAACTTCATTGCATCCACATTTGAATGCATCGTCATCAACAAAGGATGATTATTAATGAGGTCCAGCATGACTTGATAAGTTCTCTAGAGTGGTTGATACGTTATCGGTGAGCATCGACACTGACACTTCTGGCTACTGACGAGCTCGCATTCCATTGCCAACCTAATCAACTTCGATGTTTTAACAAGCTGAATCACCTCGACGTGGTCACTTGGATGCCACCATGTCTGAAGACATCAAGACTACACAGACCCCAGCCAAAACCACATCGTTCTTCTCCTGGACAAACCCTCAATCCAAGTCACAGTCATCCAAAACTTACCCACCACATCATGCCAACAACTCGGCCAATTCATTCACCAATCCATGGCCATCTGCTCAGCTGCCGACATGGGGCGAGATGCTGTCACGACCATTCCCCTTCAGCCTCTACAAATTCCACCACCACTCCCAGGCAAAAACTCATTCGATCAAAGTGGTTCAGCCAGATTGGGGAGCCTCAATCTTAAACAGGCGTCAACTGGAAAAATCCGACTGTGTCATTGGCACGTGGCTCGGACATGCCAGCGCTCTTGTAGAATTTCCTGTCGAGAAGACATCACCCTCGGGTTCGGAAAACCTATCTCACGCCCATGCAAGACTATCTAGAAACACATATTTTCTCTTCGACCCCATCTTCTCCCACCGTGCCGGTCCAACCGCCTATAGCGGACCTAGTAGAATCAATCCTCCTCCATGTCATATCTCTGACCTTCCAGGGTGTGATATGGTCTTGATTTCTCACAACCACTACGACCACTTGGACACGGCATCAATCACGGCTGTGCTGAAGAAGTTCCCTCATGCTTGGTATTTCGTCCCTTTGGGGATCAAGGCCTGGCTCATTTCGACGGGCGTTTCGCCAGACCGTGTGACGGAGTTGGACTGGTGGGATGATCGGGACATGATATGGTCTGGGGCTACTACTTCGGGTCTTGATGCTTCAAGCACTGGCAAAGAGGCCCAAGACACACCTACGCTGGAGGTTGTGGCGGACGCAGATGCTGTTGCTTCTGCCACTACAACCACTCGGTTCAGGATCTCCTGTGTCCCTGCTCAACACAACTCCGGTCGGACCCCGGCAGATCAGGCTGGCACATTATGGTGTGGCTGGATTATCGAACGTTTCGAACACCACGCGGACCGAGAGCAAACTCAAAGCGCCCACGCGGTTGGCCCGAAACCACGCAAAACCACCGTCTATCACGCTGGTGATACAGGATACCGTGCGCTTCCACATCTCGCAGAGACATGTCCAGCGTTCCAAGCTATAGGCTCCAAATTTGGACCTATAGACTTGTCGTTCATACCCATTTGGCGTGGTGGTACTCTCGGATTCATCTCTGCCTTGGGCCTACGCCTCTCCCATCATGATGTCCCGGCCACGTTGCACGCAAGTCCTGCCGACGCGGTCGACATTCATTGCGATGTCGGCTCGAGATGGTCACTAGGCATTCACTTTGGGACCTTCGTTGGCGCCCAAGTGGAAACTTGGGAGGCCATCAGCGAGTTTCAAGAGAAATGTACCGAGAAGGGGGTTCAATGGAGGCAGAGGGATCAGGAAGAGAGTGGACAAGATTTGGAAGGAGAAAGTGCAGACAAGAATTCGGGAAAAGGCCTAGCGGCTACACCAGGCGACTCAACACGGGGTACCGCAGGGGTTGTCAACATCGGTGAGAGCTTGGTTGTGGAGTTGATATAGAATTCCCCGGATCTGATGACGACAACGATTATACGGCCCCGAGGCATCATGGATGCATACAAGTTGATGTCTTGCATTTTATGTCTTGTCAAGCGATTTACAAGGTAGCTGGACGCGTTGAGCGGGTTTGGATTCATAAAGTCTTGATTTTGATTTGATTTGTATATGATTACTGTATGGTATGCGAATTTACTATTTATGGGGGCGGGTATCCGAGCGCAAAAAGGTCTCGGATAGAATCGACGTCGAAGCCGGCCTGGAGGGCCAACTGCAACAAAATGCGTGCCTTTTGCGGGTTGAGGAAACTGTTGGAAGGATTGTGTCAGCAAACATGAACCTCTCAAACGGTTCAGGACAGGGCAGTAAGTGGTCGGATCAAACTTACCCACTGGCGATGATGAATTCATCGGGGCTCGCTGGGACAAAGCCATCGGGAGATCGATGACTTGAAACGATGGGAATACCAGTTTCATTATATACCGCTTCGGCGGCGATGTATGCCACGCCGGATAAGCTCCCAGCGCCAGACCCTGCCACGACCAATCCCTCAGCCCCGTCCTCCACGCTCGAGTTAAATAGCTGGGGATCCATATCTTGGTGTGAGTAGAGTATATTAATTAACGGTAGAGATTCAGCTCCAGTCAGGTCAAAATGGACCTTGCCGATCGGAACGGCAGGCTCATAGTAGAAATATGGCACTTGATTGATGAAGAATCCTAGCTGGCCCATTTCTGTGCTGTAGAATGTATCTAGAGAATTGGCCGAGTTCTTGGTCGTGTAATAGGCACTGCCGATGCGGCTGGAGAAGGGACACAACTGATCAGCAACCTGGCTAAGGGGAAAAGAGGATAATGGGAGTGATAGAACTTACTCATTTAATGTGATCATGGCGCCTCGACCCACAGCATTAGGAGAAGCGGCCAAGGTAACAGCTTGTAACAAGTTTAAAGGTCCATCCGCGCTTAATGCCGTAGCTGGTCTCATGGCGCCTACCACGATAATCGGTTTAGTCGTGTTAACGGCTAGGTCGAGGAAATATGCCGTCTCTTCGAGAGTATCGGTACCATGAGTGACGACGACACCCGCAATATCGTCCCGGGCGAGCTCCTCGGTGATGGTCTGGGCCAATCTTAATAGGATAGTCTGGTTAATAGAGGGACTCCCGACATTGGCGATTTGATATCCTCGAATATTAGAGATATTGAGAATCTCTGGCACGGCGTCAACTAGCTGTTGAACACCTAGGCCTACACTGTATCCGACGGTTTGAGTATTGGATGTCCCTTGACTGGCAATAGTTCCGCCCGTAGCGAAGATAGTCACATTAGGCAACGAAGCATTGATGGGAGACTGAATGTCTTGACGAGCGACGAGCTGATTTAGGTGAGGCTCAGGAAGAGGGACAGGGGCGGGCAAAGGGGATGCCGCTACCGACAGAGCTAGGCTGGTCAAGAACAAAGTGGTAAACATGGCTTCTGCCGTTGGGAGTCGATGTTGCCGTGATCAGGTACAGTACCAACAAGTTGGTCAGTCAGAAAAAGTCGAACGTTACTTCGAGCAGAATAGGTACTTCGTCTGGGTTTTTATACCCTATCCCAACTTTCCGCAATAAGCCGGAAACGCCGTGGGATTTAGCACATCTCGACATGATCAACTCGTTTGTCAGCTCAATGACGGTTCCAAGAAGAGTTGTGGGCATCTGGCTGATCACCGGGTCGAGGTCGACACGTTATTTTCGATGGAAGCGACCGAGACGGGCGGTATTGTGCCACTCACAGGGTGCCATCAGAAGGCAGGGATTTTCAGGAACAATACCTTTCTACCAATGGGTGGGCATGGAGTCTATCGATAACGACGAACTCATTGCCTAGCCTAAGGCCTGCAGCTGTACCTGGGCTGGGTGAAGTATGGTAACATGGTGGATAGCGAGTGGTCTAAAGATTCAACGATATACAACATCTACAACATCAAGATTTCCTTATCGGCGGGTTGTTAATCACCAACTCTAACTTAAACTGATCTGACCTGACAAATTCGGTGTAGCTTACCATGATGCCCAGAAAAGGCGGGCGGTGCAATGCATGCAACGATCCACTACGGTTTAGTATGAACTGATAAGAAGTTGTGCTGGCCTTTAACTGGTTGTTTATACACTTTGAAGCAAACGAGTACAGCCCAGTATTATCTAGAGTGGCAGTTGAAAGTGCAACACAAGGCCGCTTAGGGCTACCCAAGAGGGCGAAGAGAGCGAAGAGAGCGAGACTGTTCATCAGGTCACAGACATGGCATAATGCCTGCCATCATCGTATTGATATACACCATATACTCGCGTCTGCGCCGAAATGAAGCTAGAGGTCGCCTCAACCTGTAGCCCAACCTATAGCTGGGCTACGAGGGAGGCAGGAAGCCCTTCAATGAATGCCACAAGTTGAGAGGTCCCATAAATATAACACCCCTGTGCCGTGCCATGCCTTGCACCAAGTCAAAAATTGAACGACCATATGGAAAAGCGAAAGACATGATTGTTCATCATCAAAATCATGGTATGACGCAGGTTCCAACATGGTGGAATCTCGAACAATGGCGGCTCTGGTGATTCGGTGTCGACTTAAACCATCCTCTGTTCATACAAATTGTGTGCTGGCCTCCAAAAAGAATAAGCCAATCTGGGTAAAACAAAACTCCATGAAGGGAGGCATTATGCTGTGGCGCCAGCAGCAGTGTCCGTAGTCGCGGTCACTTGTTCAATTTCGATCTTGGGCATCGACGCCGAAGCTGAGCCTAGATCTGTTGCCTTTGCCTTGGGGTTCTTGCTATAATCTGGGTCGTCGTGTCAGAAGATTTTGCTAAGCCGAATACGGGCGAAACTTACAATTTGTAATGGCAGATTTGATGGCATCCTCGGCCAACATGGAGCAATGTAGCTTGACTGGAGGCAGACATAACTCTTTGGCAATTTCTGTGTTTTTAACCTTTGCCGCCTGCTCCAAGGTCATACCTCTGACGAGTTCGGTAAGGTATGAGGACGAGGCAATGGCGGAACCACAGCCGAATGTCTTGAACTTGACATCGGCTATCGTTTGTGTGTCGGGGTCGACTTTGATCTGCAGCTTCATCACATCGCCACAGGCAGGAGCTCCAACAAGACCTACAAAAACACAGCTCAGTATTGCCACAAAGAAGATGCATCGGGTATATGATGTGAAAACGTACCAGTTCCCACGTCCAACGACTTTTTATCCATAGACCCGACATTTCGAGGATTGGAGTAGTGGTCGAGGACTTTCTCGTGGTATGATCGTCGCTGAGACGGCTGGGCGAGAGCTGGTCTCACAAAGGGAGCGACAGACCTGGAGGCTAGGGAAGGTCGGAGGGATGATTGGAAGGTGGCGTTGATAGAGCGAGGAACGCTCATAAGGGCTCTGCGAGACATTGGGATTGTTGTGCGAGACAAAGATTTTGATGAGTGATGATGTTGTGATGGAAAGGTTGTTTAAATTGTTCAAAGGGCGATGGATTGATGAAGGGTTGATTAGGTGTGAGAGTGATTGTATGTCGTGACGATGAGGGACAAACGATTGAAAATGAGGTTGGAGCGAGATGGAGGCAAAACTTTTGGAGCGGCGGAGAAGAGGGGAGCAGAGCGACGACTGATCTCACCGGTGAGTTGAGTGCCAGGGACTGATTGATAGATGATTGGATAGAGAGACGTGAGAGATGGATTGGTTGGCCTGGCCTCTCGGGGCTCGGTCGCTCCTACCGCACCTGTCTTAGTCGCAACATCGTTCTTGCTTGTACGGATAGGGTTCGCTCATCTGAACAATCCGCTAGTATGTTTTAGGAATAGCGAGGACAATTTACGAGATGACGTGAATTCAGGCAAACCTTCCTTGGCAAATTATTTCATATGAACCAATGATCAAGCGGTGTCAAAGACATGGGCAGACACGAAGGTCACTGCGTGTGTGAGTTCAGTTGCTACCTTATTCAGTTATTATTAAGATGCAGCAAGAGCAAGAGGAGCAGTAGGTTGGTTCCCTTGAGAGTGAGTTTGTGCTCGATATCACAGCCTGCGATTCATGTCTACCTACCTAGGTACCTTAACCCTCCGTGATGAACTGGGACCGGGACAAGAGTAACTCCAGGCTACCACAAGCACCTACATAATCTCCCCATGCCCAACAGACACACCACTGTCATTTGTTTGCCATGCTAACAATTTCACCGTTCAACTAATGGTTCCCAGTCTTCTGGTCAAGAACAAGCATGAAAACGTGTGACAGACAAGATGCCATTCATACGTCTCTATCAAACATCAGACCATGATGCCATGGTTCACATCGTTTGTATAACCACAGACATGCACTGTCGCCATGCTGACCCTAAGATTAGTTCAATGAAACCGCAGCCCCAGATCTGAGAGCAGGGGGCAGAGACATTCTATACTTATCATCCCACATCTGGTGTCGACCCTATTTGTTTTTGCAGCAGCAGACATGTTTTGTACTCGACGATGGTGACGGAAATCCGGTAGGCTATTTGCTCGGGGTCGTGGATACGCACGAGTTCGTTCGGAAATACAAAGAGACATATATTCCTCATCTATTGGCCAAAGGGCTCAACCCACCAGCGCCTGACGAGGACAAAGACTGGTCAACAAATCTAGCGAATGCCCTCAAATCCATCATGCACCACCCCGAGGGTCTCCTGCATAGCGAGGCTCCCGACTTGCTACTCAATTACCCTGCGCATCTACACATTGATATCTTAACCAGCCATCAAAAACAAGGCTATGGACGACAATTGATTCAGCAATTTGGTGATGTGGCCAAGAAAGAGGGGGCACGAGGAATGCATTTGCTCATGGCTGCCTCCAACGAAGATGCGAATCGATTCTATCCTAAGGTTGGATTTGTACGATTTCCACATATATTGGATGGCGGTGCCAGTGGGGAGCAAGGCCGTGACAAGATTACTATCTGGTACATCAAGGACCTGGAACTAAGTAGTAACCTAAGTACCTAGCCAGGGACCTTTCCAGATATCCCACGTGCCATAGGTAATTTGGCACTGCACTCATCAGACATATCGTGTCGACCATCATGTAACAATGCGAATATCATTTGTTGCGTGACTTCAAGGGTCTCATGGTTATTCAGCACAGTGTGGCTATAAGCGAGATCCGTAGTACTCTTATCGTTAGGGACTCGTGTGTAGGTTTTGTATACCCGTCACTGTCGTAGAGACCGAGGTTCCGGGGAAAATCTGGAGCAGAGTTACAGGTAAAAATGCGGGGGCTTAACGGCGGCCGAGGGCTTGGCTGAATACGGGGTTAAAGAAGCAAGCGACAGGGCGCCAGGGCATGTCTCTACCACGCCACGCACGCGTGGCACGCCTGGATTCTTCAGTATCTTGCGTATGCGTAAGGTCCCAGGTCGATCAATCAGGCCCGAGGACCCTCAGCCTGGCCCATCTTTTCGATTACATGGTGTAAGCCGGGCGCCAACTGCCGAACACCATCACAGGTGACCATGCGTTGCTATGGGCCTGGATGTGCCCTTATCCATTCATAAATATCACGGCTATACAACCCCTCCATGTTTCTGAGTTGATGCTCTAACCAGTCCTGGTCACCTTGTTGTCACTTTTGATCCTTGGAATTTGAACATAGACGTTGACTCAGAGTGGAACTCTCTCCCCCCCTCGTTGAGCGACAGTGTCTGACGTCCAGCATCACGACCACCCTGCCTTTACTCACGATCAAGACCTCGAGAATTCAACCATGGTCTTCTTCGCAGCAGCTCCAGCCCCAGAACTGCCCACAAAGGATATCCTATCGTGGATCTTTGACGAACCAAGCTGCGATGTGAATAAAAAGGTCAGTGTCGCGTCGTAGAGTCTATTTGGTCAGAAGCCTTGTCTGAAGATGCAGTGTCTAGATCTTTGTCGATGCCTCCAATCCATCGCGCGCCATCACTCATGCTCAAGCACGAAAAGCCATCCGCCAGATTATTGCTGGCCTGCGTTCCATGGGTGTTGGCAAAGGAGACTGCGTCATTATCCATTCATTCAACGACATATGGTACCCTATTCTCGTCCTGTCCATCATTGGCAGCGGGGGCGTCTTTGCTGGAACCAACCCGGCCTATACACCCCACGAACTTCGACACCATGTCAAAACCACCCAGGCCAAATTCTTGATCTCGGAGCCTGAGCTTCTAGATCCACTTCTTCAAGCCAGCAAGGACCTGGATATCCCTCACAGTCACATCTGCATCTTCAATACTCAGCCGCAACAGAAAGTCACGCCGGGATTTTCTAGCTGGACCGATTTGTTCCAACACGGCGAGCAGGACTGGGTTCGGTTCGACAATCTTCAAACCCAGGCGAGCACCACGGCAGTCCGATTCACCAGCTCAGGCACAACAGGCTTACCCAAGGCCACCGTGACTACTCACCGTAATCTCATCGCACAACACGAACTGGTCAGCGGGCTGGCGAGTCCACAGCGGCCATATGAAATCATCAATCTCTTCCCACTGCCAATGTTCCACGCCGCCGTGGCACCTCGAGCGCATACCTCATGTCTCAAAGCCGGCGAGCTCGCCTACATCATGCGACGCTTCGACCTCGAACAATTCCTTGCTAACGTGGAAAAGTACAAAGTCACCGAGATGACACTAGTGGCCGCCATGGCTGTGGCCATCATCATGTCTCCGCAGATCAAGAAGTATTCGCTCAAGTCCATCCGGTCTGGTGCTGCGGGGGCGGCGCCATTGAGTAAAGAAACCCAGGCAGCATTGCGAGCCTACTTCAGTCCAGGGGCGCCAATCGTTCAAGTATACGGCATGACTGAGACGACATGTATCCTGACCAATTTTGAATGGCCCGAAGACGACCTAACTGGGGCGGTTGGCCGTGTGCGACCTGGCTTGGAGGTGAAGCTTGTCGACGACGCCGGAAACGACATCAGCGCGTACGACGTCAGGGGTGAGCTGTGTGTGCGCGGACCCACGGTGATCCCCGAGTACTTCAACAACCCTGAAGCGAACCGGGAATCTTTTGACGCCGACGGGTTTTTCCGCACAGGAGACATCATGTACTGTGATGGAAAGTCAAAGTTGTGGTATGTGGTGGACCGCAAGAAGGAGCTGATCAAAGTACGCGCGTTCCAGGTGGCGCCGCCCGAGATCGAAGCCATCTTGCTCACCCATCCCGACATTGTCGACGCAGCTGTCATTGGGATTCCCGCCGGAGGGATGGACGGCGAACACCCGCGGGCATACGTTGTGAGGAGGCCAGGGGTCACTCCTGAACAGTTGACCGAGGAACAGGTGGTGGAGTGGGCGGGCAAGCAATTGGCAAGGTATAAACGGCTACAAGGCGGAGTGAAATTTGTCGACAGCATTCCCAAGAATGCCTCGGGCAAGATCCTCAAGCGCCTCTTGAGGGAGGATGCGAAGAAAGAGAGGGAGTCTCAAGGTGCCAGACTATAGAGTCGAAGGAGATAGAAAGCAAGGCATGGAATCGTGGGACCGCCAAGTGAACCCAGTCATTTATGGCTATATATATATATATATATATATATATATATATATATATATATACAAGATTGAAATCATACCCTACCCATAGCAACAATATTGCCCGGATTGATGCTGGCCCGTGCAGTTGTAGAGCAATAAAACCAGCCTACTGGACATCCTACGGATGCTGACAACATAGAATAAAGCGGAAATCTTCGACTGTCGGTCAGGAAATGGGCGGAGGAGGTCGCTGGACAGAGAGGGAGCCACAATAGCTGTGTCTGAGGACCTCTGTCCTCAGCGCCAGGACTTGTTCGTGCAATGAATGTACCAGGGAAGTCTGCAGATGCATCCTCTCTTCTTCTTTGCGGCATTTGGTCTGAAGGTTCTGGACAAATTGCTTCTGGCGATTTCGACATTTCGTTGCAGCCTTTCGGTTGAGTTCGAGTTCGCGGGCATGCTTCTCTGAGCGAGGTGTGATGCGGCTACTCACGGACTTTCGTGAGCGATTTGGAGTATCTCTTGGCCGATATTGATCGACATCAGGATCAAGGCTGGCGATGGACGAGCGACGAAGGATTTGCTGCTTGTCATGAGGAGGTAGGGTGGACGACAATTGTGGAAGGGAGCAAGGACTTTGAGGGGAGTGTAACTGCGATAATGACGAGTCGGAATATGAAGTGTGGGGATGGAGCTCCAGTGGATCAATATACTGAGTGACTTGGGAATGAAGAAGCTGGGGTGAGATGGACTGAGACAGACCTGGGTCAGAACCCAAGTCTAGAAGAGGTGAGAAGGTGTTGGTATCGTCAACGTCTTGCTGGGTGGGCAGCATATTGAAATCCCAGGATTTGAATGGATCTGGCTGAGTATAAGGACCGTCCATTATAGAGGCTGTAGTGAGGCTGTGAGGGTGGGTTGAGATTTAGAGGGCTAGTGATAGTCATCTCGCCAGTTGGGGTGGGGGGCAAATATCAGGGTTATAAGAAGAAATGGCTGGAAGCTCGACCTATGTCGTCATTAGCAAGATGAATCAATGGCTGCTCAAAGTTCATGGGACATATAGGAACGTGAGGAGTTGGTATAAGGATCCAAGGTGATGCGGAGGGGATATCCGGGTAGCATACCCGCAGAAAGGCGCTGAGGCAATCTTGAAATTTTGGAGGGGGAAGTGCCTGCAGATCCAGGACGAGGATGTCACTTTTTTGGAGAAACAACGTTGGGACAAGCCCTGTACCAGTTGCAAAGCCCAAGGATCTCTGATCTGCAAAGATGGCCAGACACAACAACCTGGTCAGCGACGCAATTCATATCCTCTGCAAGTTATTCGCTAGTGTGGAACGTCTGGCATGCAGAGAAATAGTGAGGAGATGAGACACGAAGTGCTACGGTGCCACCGACTGCTTAATTACCTACCCTAGGTAAAGTCGCTCATTTAGAGGAGATCAAAGGACCAAAAGGCTTACTGTGAGTGATGAGTCGTGACTGCCACCATGGCTGGCTACGAAGTTACAAACTATTAGGATATCGGAGCAGCACGAGCAGCACGAGCAGCACGAGCAGGTACCCATGGTGGCATGCATACTTGGTACTGGCAGGAGTGGGTGCGACCCAGAGTTCATTCTTGGTCAACACACCATTTGTCGAAGAAATCTTTAGCTACTACCTTACTTACCTCCTGTAAGTACCTGTGTACCTACGGAGTAGATACCTACTGTACTTACTTGGTTGACTGTACACAGGGACACATCCCCAGAAGACTCAGCTCTTGTTCAAGCCTGAAGACTGAAGACGACCTCTCCAGAACAGCCATCATTTTAAAACTTGAACCAGCAAACTTCAAGGTTTCTGGATGTTTCTTCCGAGCCCAGGTTGCATGTTCCTCCAAGGTTTCGTCTATGTGGGGCCAAGAGTCTGAACCTTGTAGCTAGAGCAAAAAATGCCGTAGTTGATGCTTTTGCTGCATAAAAAAAGAGTTCCCGGCAGAGGTAGACATGACCATTCCCAAGTCAACCGTTGTTCAAGGTCGGCAGGTGAGCTTTATCAGCATGCTGGCTATCTGCATCTACCCAGTAATTCCCTTCCTGCTGCCATTCCATCGTCATAGCTCCTGTCAGCATCCCCCTCAATCCTCAGCCCACGAAGTAGTATTCGTAGTATTCGCTGCCCCTTGGCCCAGGCTACCATAACCGACACCCTCGGAGCAAACACCCTCGGAGCACTGGAGTGTTAGTGTGACCGTATAGAACCCACAGAGCTTCGACTCAATTCTGGAATTACATCTCCGCCCTTGTCCATTCCAATCATTGCGAACTCGTTGGCAGTCGGACACATGGCCTTGTCCCTCGTCATGAGTCCCATCGCTCTTTCCTCTCTCTTTCCTCTCTTGCACTCTCATAGGACATGGCAGCTTCCTTCCCACCCTTGTTCGGGGCGATCTACAATCTTCCTTTCCTCCTCAGATTCATCCACGAAAGAACTCTCTTGAACAACTTCAAGTCCTTAGCCCAACGCTTCTTGTGGCACCCACTGCAAGTGCCTAAGCCACAGAGTCATTCCCGGAGATGACTTCAAGTTGATTCCTCCTTCAATCAAGACAGCCACCTCTCTGTTCAGTAGGTACTCTGTTCACAGACTAAGGTACCTAGGGCCCACCCCCCATTTCTTCTCTTTTCCTCAATCTCACACTCTTCTCTTGTTCCATTCCCTCTTTGTACCAAGGGATGAGATTTTCGCCTTCAAACCTAACCCCCAATCCAGCAACATAATATCATCTTACCATTTATTTCTCCAAGCACACTCGCCATGGCCTCCCCCGGCTACTTTTGACCCAAGCAAGAGATGTGATGTCATTCTCGTGCTGGATGCCTTGTCATATAACGTCCAACCTCAGGCAGACTTCTATCACCAGTTCTGAGGCTCTGCCCCTCTCTGTGTTTGTGCCCCACCATGACGTTCTTGTTAGCTTCCACGCATCCTCAATTGTGATACCCTTTACATGTCCAAGAACCACGCTACGCATGTCTCATCTACTTTGAGACGATATCATCTCTAACCCCGATGCTCCCTCCTCCTTGTTCAACTCCTATCTCTCACGACAAATTGAGCCTCTCCTCGTCATAGACCCTCGGATTCTTGGGTCTCCCCGTTGCCATGTCACAAGTCGCAACGAGGCACGCCTCGAAAGGGGCAACCAAGGTCAAGCGCCGGACCGCCCGAGCCTGTGATCGGTGTCGACTGAAAAAGGCAAAGGTATGCCCTTCATCGACAGATGATTCCTGCTGCACCAACTGATCCATTCAACCACCCTTAGTGCGATGGAGCTTCCAGATGCAAGACATGCGAGCAGAACGATGGTAACTGCACGTATACCGCGCGACGTAGCCGCGAAGCAAGGACTTAGTAAATATTTCTCAATCTCATTCAATCCCCTTCTAACTAGTATCTTTTCAGTTACTCTCAAATGCGAGAGGTCATGGATGAGGCTCTCCAGCGACTTTTCAACGCTTGTTATCACAACACCGGGTTTCCTGGACAACTTCCACCTCACCTCAATCACTCACCATCGACCAATGACATTTTAAAGGCATTGGGCCTGATGACGCCAGAGCTCGAGGACGAGTCCATCGACACTCCGCTGAGAACGACTACTGCACACTCCTCCTCCAACATTGCCTCCCAACGCTCAATCTCTCCTACCGGTGACCTTCGTGTCGCACAAAGTTCTCTCCATATGCTCCCCTCTTTAGACCAAGATGATTCGCCGTCATCAAGGCCATTGTCACGCCCCAATCAGCCTGCAAGCCTACCGTCTGCCCCGGCTGTTCTCCCCTCACAACTTCCAGATATCCAAGCGCAGACCTCACGAATGACCGCTCCGGGAATCGGCCAGAGAGGCCCAGACGTCCACACGACCTCGGACACGCTCCCGGACATGGAGAACTTCGTTAATCTTGCACTGTGTGAAATGCCAACGAGCAGCATGCAGCAATCGTCTTCCAGGTTCAACGACATGCCAGATTTTGCGTTCAACCCACCCTCTTCCGGTTTGATTCCTCAGCTTAACCTTGCCACGGACGACTGCTTAGCCCCATGGCCCAGCACGGTGGCTGTAACCCACCAGGGTGGTTTCCGCGTACGATGATCTTTGGTTTCAAGCCACGACCACGTTTTTCAGCCAGCTGGCGAGGAGGTGGAGGAGGCGAATTTTTATTTCTTGCACATTCAGTGTTGATGCAGGGTTATAGATACTCCAAGTTCTTTCTTGCGCTGGAGGAGACTTGCAAATTTTTTGGGTAAACCATATCCCCTATGTGGGGGTTGTATTCATCGCTGGCGTAACCACATCTGGTGGACAGGTGAATTGTTTATATGGATCTCCTAGCATAGAGAAATCCTCCCACTTTATTGGGAATGGATCTGCTGTTGGATGGGCCTCTGATTGTGTCTCTCTATGGACATGTCACCATTTGCCCGGTGCTGTAACAATTGTGCGTGAGAACGAAGCACTGGCTTGCTCCATTTTCTTCTGTCGCTCTCGCGCCGTGATGCCTGTCCGGTCAGTAACCGTCGTGGCATTTGCGATCTGGTCAAAATCATCGTAAACTTCTTCCTCAGACCCTGACTCGGCGTCGCTGTCGAGAAGGGTCTGTGGTTGTGATGCTGGGTCGGTGCTACCTAGCACTTGACCGTCAACAGAACTTTGAAGCGTAGTTCGAGAGGCTGACTCTGATTTGAGCGAATCTGCAAATGGCTTTGACGCAAGAATCTTTCGTCTGATCTCTGCCATCTCAGCTGCCTCATCGTCATCCTCTTCATCAGGAGGTAGGTCCAATGCAACCCCTTGTTGGAAAGCCTCGGCTTCGTTGGATCCGTCTTCGTCGCTGTTGTCCTCATCCTCATCTTCATCCTCCGAGTCCCCTGCTGGCTCCATCCTGTTCATGTTTCCTCCTGCCCAGACATCATCCTCGCCATCCAGGCCTTTGTTTGTTCGATTCTGGGAATATTCCTTTTCCAGCTTGGCCAGCCAAGTTTCTTCTGCTTTCTTAACCTGCTCCTCGTTTTCACAGGCCGCATAGCGTTTCAGTAGTTGCGAATTGATTTCCAGGAATGGTTTCCCATAGGAAAAATGCTGGAGGGCAATCTCGGCCCAGTCAAGATGCCCACATATTGCAAAACATGCTGCCAAAGCCTCGACACAGTTCAGTCGCCAGGGCCGACCATAGTTGACGGGGTTGGCCGCCACCAGATAAGGCAGAAGCCTTTCACATTTTCCGCCAATTCGAGACCATGGAATTTCTTGCACTCGAACCCATGAACATTCCACCACCGCAGCCCCATATTGCTCCAATAATTCGCGGTCTGCCGGAGAGACAATCGTCTTGGCGTTGGGACTGTGTTCCGGGTCAGTTTTCAAAGTGAAAAGGACGCCAAACTTCTAATCTTGCACTCACGAGATGACAACCCCAGGATGTTTCTGCCCAATGGGAAGTTCTCTCATCATACCAAAATGCATCAACCGTTTCCCACTACATCGTTTGGCGTCACAATGACCAAAGTCCCAGCACGCCGCTTTGAAGGGTGGTCTTTCTGTTGCGCCACTCGAATCTCCATCTCGGTGCGCTCGGCTAGTGTGTCTGGCGCCAGAGGCATATTTCTTGGCTTTACCGGAGGAATCTTTCTTGTGGCGTACCATGTTACTGGAACAGCTTGCTGTGCTGTGTAAATATTCTCAAATGCGTGTAGGAATGTGGATTTTATTGACGACTGGTGAAAGTGAAAAGCAAACATGTGGTGACTTCAATTATCAATGACATTTTCGGGTCCGATGCGATAACAAACCGCCAAGCGCGTTATCGCCACGTGACGACTAAAATTATCTGGGACGATGACCCTTTCCAACCATCTTCAACAGCGAACCTGCAACACTGTCACGGACCGCAACACCTCTGCTTCTGATACAATTATGGGACTCGCTGTGTTGCCCCCGGAGCCCGAGGACGACCGGGAAGCAGACCACCATCATGTCGATCTAGACAATGAAAGCGACAGCGACACATCGATGCTTGACCACGATGGCCGACCATCCAAACGTGCGAGGCTTGACTCCAATGTCGCCGGACAAATCGCGTTGCCTGGCGAGATAATCACGGAAGAGACACAGTGGATGAGGTGACACCGATCTGGTCGCTTGACCACTCCTATACGTGAATACTCGGCTAACCAAACGTAGAGGACACGGCACCTACATGACCGAATATTCGAGCACAATCACAGCAACATTGGCCGGGCCTCTGCGAAAGACGAACAAATTACTCTCCGTGGCACCGCTTCGAGCGAGATACAACCCCGAGATCGGTGACTTGGTGGTGGGGAGGATAGTCGAAGTACAAAAAAACCGTTGGAAGGTCGACGTCGCTGCCCCTCTACTGGCACAATTACCCCTCTCGTCAATCAATCTCCCCGGCGGGGTCCTCAGGCGAAGGACCACTGCAGATGAACTTCAAATGCGAAATTACTTCCAAGAGGGGGATCTCCTTGTTGCCGAGGTTCAACAAGTCGGAGGGAACGATGGCACCGCCAGTCTCCATACGCGCAGTCTCAAATACGGAAAGCTCCGCAATGGAACATTTCTAGCAGTGTCTGGGACCGGCGGTGGAGGTGGTGTGGTGCGCAGCCGCAGACAGGTCTTCACGATCAACGGTGGCATCCAAGGTGGAGGCGACGTCGACGTGATTTTAGGTGTCAATGGATACATCTGGTTGAGCAAACACGTGGAAGGAGACCAAGACACTAAAACTGCTGGTGGGGTCAGTATATCGAACCTCGACGATGTGGTCAGCAGCGTCATCTACTCAAGCCAAAACGATGATATTAGCGAGGGAACTCGCAGAGAGATTGCGCGGCTCTCAGAATGTATCAAGGTTCTGGCTGAACATGGAGTTCGTGTCGACGAGGATACGGTTAGTAAGAGTTACGAGGCTGCAGTGGATGCAGACATGGGGACCGCTGCAAAGGACCAGGATGGCGCCGGATTTACTAGCGAAGTCCGACGACGAATTGTTGATGCTGCTCTCCATTAGTGAGAATCGACTGCTTTTATCTTGGAACGTTGCGGCGTCAAACCTACGGCCACCGGACTCAACAAATTCGACAAAGCCTACATGGAGAAAGGAAATACATTGGATTTCATTCACATTGTTGGTATATGGGCCATGAGTCGAAAAGAAAATCGAGCAAAGGGGCATCTGGTACGGAGTGATCAGAACCAACCACTTATTTCCTCGGTGGGGCCCACCATAGGCTCCTCGTTTTTGACCTTGAAGCTCTTGGTGCGCCCCCAGAAGCTCTTCTTGGGTTTGGATAGAGGCGCTCTCAAGGTTCCTCTATGAAGCCACGAGCCACTCGTCGAACTGACTCGAATCGCACCAGGCAAACCACGACGGACGGGCTTTCCACCGGCATATTTCTTTTGCAAGCCTACCTTCAATGGCTGAGGTGCCAGACCCAAGTCAGTCATGTTGGTGAAGCTGGGCATTGGGTACGCATACCTAGGCGTGGCCGGGTAGGAAGGCACTGTGTATGAGCTAGCGTGCGCTAGGTTGGAGTTGAACGAGCTCATTGCACTCGACCCACGGAAGCTGGAGGGGGGGTACTCAGAATATTTGGATCTGGTGGAAGATCTGTGAAGGGTTGAACCATAGTTCGACTCGTCTTGTCTACAAGGCAGTGGCTGTTCAGTGCCTGGTGGCAAATTTGGCTTTCCCGATCCATTACTATGACGAGAAGCAATGCGATGAGATGGTGCTCGAGTGGGAACAGGCGGGGCGGTGTCAGTGGATCGCCTACTGTAGGTCGCAGAGTCTCTCGCCGTCTGACGCAGTGGGCTCGGATCGGTATCTGACGGCCAATGTGGCATACTTGGAGAAGTGAAGTGGGAAGACATGGCTAGATGATGTTTCAATGGAGAAGTGATATTGAGCCAGACGTGACGTACTAGAATGATTGAACTGGTGTGGATGTCTTTTCGCAGGACGCATAAGGAGTAAAGCGAGACAGAGTGGCGAGCCGCTCTTTTCAACAAGACACATCCATTATGCAGAGGAAGGGTTGGTTTGCTCACCATTGACGCCTGGGATTGTGCTGCATGTCTTCTTTGTCGGATGATAATGGGCTTGGTAGCCAATGACCTCGCCTGACTCGTGGGTCGGCCTAAAAGGCTTTGTGTTCATGTTGGGTTCTTTATCTCATGATAGAGTAATCGAGCTTTGAGAGAATAGGTTGAAGAAACTGGTGCAAAATTTGAGGCAAGAGACACATATGACATGTTGATAGGACGTTGTGGTTGTCGTGTCGTTCGTTGTATGGAACGCTGCGATCAGTTGGGGACTGCGTTGCCAAGCCATGCCTCGAGATAATTTCTAGATCAAAGTTGACTCAACGTCCTGCGTCCGTCCTTCATTCTGTCGCCTTCGCCCTCACACTCTCCTCAATCTCTTCGCCACATCCTTGAATCTGTACACCGGTAGAAGCGTCCTTGTCACATACTCTCACTCGGTCATTGTGATTTCCTAGCTCTCGCCCAACACGAGTCTGCCAAAGTCTCCAAAGTCTCCAACTAGCAGGACGACATGGCGCAAGGCCTGGTCAAGAAACAAGGAACCTCGAAACCGGCAACAAAATCAGCACACAATGCCGGAGTGACCAAGAAAGGGTCTCGCACAATTACACCGAAAAAGGCCAAATTGGCCAAACAAGCCAAAATGAACAAGAAATTCACATCGGGTCTCACGGCTAAAACAGAGGCCATGCTCGGAGCACGCGCAGGACATTTAGAGTTGTTGGGTCAAGGAAGAAAAAAGACGAGTACAGCGACGGGCGACAAGTCCAAAAAGCCTACTGCTGGTGGAGCTGGTAAGAAGGGTTCCAAAGCAGGATGAGTGAGAAATTCCAGTATCAACATATCAAGATCTCAAAACGCCACCATTCGAGCCAGGTTTCCTCAGCTTAACCACCCATTGACGACTTTGGGAGCAGGAACCCCATGCAAGAATATTAGTACACTGCTATCTTGCCCACCACACGGCCACTCTGGAGATACAAGAAAGACCAGGAACTATCGAGGTCTCTTGGGTCACTTTTTTGACGGCTATTGTTCCTCTCAGAGACACACTCTATGTCCCTGATCAAGGCGACAATACCGTGGAGCACCAGAATCCTGCACCACCTGTTACCTTGAATGGCCGTGGACTATGCTAGACCGTCAAATTCGCAGGTGGCAGGGTTGACATGCCTCCTTGTAGAGGATTGTGACGACACATTTATATCTATGGGCCGTTGCACTCGTCAACAACGAAGAAACTGCCTCGATGGCAATCATGATGATGGAATATACATTCATTGGTTGTCTGTCGACTCTGACAGACGTTGGTCGTGACAAGAATATCCTCTAATACTGTACACAAAGAATACAAAACGCCCCCTGGTGGCCGACTGTCTGGAGCAGAATTACCAACCAAACCTCTGATGACAAGTCATGTGCAACATGATATTTCAAACAATTACACCTTCTCTCATAGACTCGAGAGTCTTTTTGCCAACGCCTTTGAGCTTGGTCAAATCGTTCCATGAAGTCAACTGCATGGTTCTCTCCGTTTCCAGTTGTGAGTTGAGATACTCGACGATCGCTTCGGCCCGCTTGGAGCCCAATCCACTCAAAGACTTGATTGTGGTCACATCGCGTGTATTGATGACGTCGAGGAGATGTTGTGTTCGAGGTGTAACCACCCCGGGCTCCGTCTGCGTTAGCGGATCTGGCGAGGAAGGACGAGCTTTCCGTCGCGGTTTCTGTCTCTTGCCTCGTGGTCGGTAGGCTTCCTCATCATCCTCGCTGCGGTAATCGGTCTCAACGCCATCCTCGTGGTAGCTTTCATCCTCATTGGCTCCAATGCCGTCGATTGTCACCATCTTGACGTGTTTGCGTGGCGAGGCTCCCCGTTGCTGGGTCGCTGCGGCCTCGGCTGCATCTCTTCTCTTGGCCAGCTTTTCCTTCAGTCTGTCGATCTTTCCTTGCAGCTTTTCATTGTCGGGGAAATAAGGCTGGGCCAACTCATACATTTTTAAAGCACTGAATTCCTCGCCTCGGGCTTGATGTTGTTTGGCCATGAAGAGGTAGCTAAGGCCTTCGGCTCGTTCGCCATCTTGACCCTCCAGTCTCTTCTCAATGGTATCAAGTCGACGTTGTACCTCCTCAGATATGGTTTTAGTGGGAGCCGGATCTGGGCCGTTCATAGCTCGGGCGGCCAAGATTTCGGACACCTTTTGCTCCACCAAGGTTTCGATGGAAGCCTTTGTCAGCGTGTTGGGATCTGGACCTCGGCGAATGAAGCTGGGCGTCGGGCGGGCCACTTTGCTGGGACGAGTGGACTGAAGAAAGGAGGAATCTGCATGTCGTTTTGGGGAAGATTTCTGGGGGATAGGTTTGGTGGACAGGGCTGTTGATGGCTTGGTCCGATCCGAGAAGACGGAGAATGCCTTTGCCGGTTTCTCGCCTTTGGCGGCATTAGGATCGCGATTGGGCATCAAGTTGACATTGATGTGATGGGTCAGTGGCCTCAGCGGCTGTCTCTGGATGGTGGGACCACCAACGGGAGCGACTGAAACAGGTCGTTTGAAGATGGGATCATTTTCTACCTCACGCACCTCGATCTTTTTGGTACGATTGGCAAAGTTGAGGGAGCTTAAGGTGTCGAGATGATAGCCCTTGACCGGAGCGAGGTTGAGGATCATGACGGTGAAGCCATTGTTCTGACCGAGGGAAAGGATGCGGGTCATTTTGGACTCTCTGTAGGGGATTCGCGGTTGTTTCTTGGAGATGGCTTCGACACATTGAGCTAGGACAAACAAGGACTTGTTGATGCTGGCAGACTCAACCATCCTCTCCTTTCCATTGCCTGTTCTTCGATTGTCTTCAGAACCAGCGAGGTCAATGGCGCATGCGGTGCTGACACGTGTTTCAGTCGGACTGGAAACGGATACCTTGACACACAAGATGGCATGAGACCTTGAAGAATGAGCATTTAGCTTCGTGGCACCGGTACTCCGATTGTTGTTTGCCTTGTCGTACAGGACTTCGAAGTCCTTGAGGGAGCTGCATGGGAGTTCGGTCAAGCCCACCACCACGGTCTTTCCGCCTTCCGCTTCTCTGATGGGAAGACCTGTAGGAGTGCGCTTTTCGGGAGCGTCAAAAAGATCGAAAACACGATCATTATAGATTTCATAGTAACTCATGGACACCTGGACTGTTGTTTCGCCCTGGGTACTTTTCTCGATGGCTCGACTTTTTCGGTAGATGCTACTCAATAGCCGGGGGATCATGCCTCTATCTTGCAAGGACTTGCCACCGCGCATTGTGTGTGTTTTCCCAGTACCAGTGGAACCGTAGGCGAATATGGTGACATCGTAGCCGAGGAAGAGATGCTTGACAGTCGGGGTGACTACAGACGCAGGCAAGTTAGCCAAGGGCAAGGTTTCAAGAGGGGATAATTCTCACCCTCGGCATCAAATATCTCTTGCTGGGTGGAATCCTGGTCGTAGACATTGTTGAACTGGAAACTATATTCTTCGGCTAAATTTTTGGGATTGGGAATCTTGACGATGGAAGTATTGCCATCGGGGCCTGGGTGGGAAGAGAGGATCTGATCCTTTTCGATTTCCGACTGCAGTAAGGGCCGAATACGTGCGACCACCCGAACACTCATATTGGGGTGTTGTTATGAGTGGAAGTGTTCAGAGAGTCTCAGATGTATTGGATGTGATCAAGTTAGTATGGTGAGGCATATGCATGAGTTCTCAGTCTTGAATCTCTCAATTGTTCGAATGCCGCAAGCTGGATGATGGGTGGAGGAAGTTGATGCCAAGCCTATGTCCGTTGCGAGGGGCAACCATCCAGCCTTGCCTTCCCTCTTCCTTGCACGTTTCAATCACGACACTTTCAAAATGCGAGGCTTGCATTAGATCTTTTACAATTAATTCACATGGCATGCACGGATGGAGATTGGAATGAGTACAGTTAAATCAGGCGAGATGAGCGAGGAATCTTGAGAATGAATTTGATATGTCGTTGCTCAATGGTTCTTTTCACCTCACACTGTGTTCCCTCAGAAGGTGACATTAACTGACAAGAATCACAACGTGGCAGGATATTTTCAGAAGTCTAAGATACTACGGAGTAAGATACTAATGATTGCCGCGTTTGCACAATATCTCTTTTGATGTCACAAGAAGAGTTCTCTCCAGACAAGGTACAAAGAGTGGACGGAACCGCAGATTACAGAATTGATGAGTGAGTTGGTTGCGCAGGCAACGAGAAATCCAGTGACTCAGTGAGTTCCAGGGAGGCGGCCTAGAATTCAACGCCTGGAGGGGTTGCCTTTGGCGTCTTTGGGCCCCCGAGGACACTGCTGAGGCACCCCTCGGACCCCATCGTGCCCCTCTAATTAAGGTAAGCCACCCTTAGGCCCCTCAGTCCCACTTATTGCATGGCGCCGCACCCGAAACAGACCCCAATCAATGCAAAGGCCAGGCGCCTCGGGCCAACCCACATGGACCATGGGCGCGAACTCCCGCCCATCATCCACTGTGTACAATTGACATCATCTGGAAGATCCAATGTTGACACGGACCTTGTCAATTGCTCCATCCAGCTTTTTTTCCAATCAGTCGATTGTTCGATTTGATGATTTTGGTCATTCGTTGCTGACTCTCGTGCCATTCAATCTTGGGCATCATCTTCTCGTGTCTGGAGAACCCCTGGGGCCTGACCTGTTGCACTTAAACACAACACGCGCCAAGTGGTTCTGCCCAAACGGAGGCGACCAGAAGCAACAAGCGCAACCTCAACTGCAACACCAACACCAACACAAACAGCACATCCATCGCAGTCACCATCATCCACTATTTCTACCCTCATCCCTCAGCGCGCAACATGATCGCGCTCGTATCTCACTGACCTGTCAACTCTCACCCGCACGTCTCCTTTCACACCTCCTTGTCCAGGGGACCCGGGACATCCCTTCTCGCTGCAGCCTCTGAACTTAACACGCGCAGAGTCCAAACCCATACACTCTTCATTTCCCCTTCAACTCATTTCACACCTTTACCATGGCCACCGAAGTGATTGTTCGAGAGTCCAGAAGGAAATACCGATGGCCTGAAGTTCAACTGAACCTATGGATATTTATTGTCCTCGCTGGCGCCGCCACGGTATTAGGAATCAATGCTTGGTTCATCTCGGTGCAGAATCAACTTCGAATTGGAGTTCCTTGGTATGGCTGCCGACCTAATCCAAGTCACACCATTGGGCCCAGGCCTCAGCTAACTCATTTTCAGGATCTTCACCTTTGCTGTTGTGACTGGCGGCCTCACCATCCTCTTCCTCATCATCCTCCTCATACTCGCCTCCCAACGAATGCTGATACCGGGCGGCATCTTACTCGGCTCCTTCATCCTTTTCGTCTTATGGGTCACCACACTCATCGAAACCGCCATCCAACTCTACGGAAGTGGAAACGTGAACAGCAACTGTAACAACTATGTCACGGGCCAAGAGTATCGTGGTGTGTCGATAGAGACCCTAGCGTGGTTGACCCAAAACAATATTTGCTCATGTTGGAAGGCCTCGTTCGCTTGGTCCATCATTCAGGCCGTGCTGTTTCTGTGGATGATGGTCTTGTCGTGGCAAGTGCAGAATTATGATTGAAGATGACCGGGGTGATGACGACCACGATGCCATATCTGGACATATGTTTCCATCCAAGTCATCTTTTTGCATTGAAGCTTGGGTCAATTTGGATCGACTTTACGACGTACACGCATTTGGCAAGGAGTCAAGTCATGTTGGAAGGATGAGCTAACGGAACGCTTGTTGTTTTATTTTGTTTTTGGATTATATTTGTTTGACGCATGAAGCGGTTATCGTTAGCTTTCAACAGTAGCATGCTCGACGATACGAGAGCATTTGATAAAATAGCCGGGATGAATGCATTGCATGTAGGAGTTCATCCTCGTTCCAATCTTTTCATTCATAATTCTGTGAGTCCTGAGAGGATTACTGCTCCCTTAAGAACCGTTTGATGCGCTCATTCATGAATTGTGCGTCTTTCGCACTGGCCCCTCCTCCTGCAATATGTCCCCAAGAGCTCTCAATGACGTCGACCGTGGCATTTGCGAGGTATTGTGCTTCCAACTCGGAGTCCTCTGGAGGGAAATACTGGTCGCTGCGACAGGGCATGAGCAAGACACGTGCGCGGATGTTCTTCAACGCATCGTGCAAAGCCTCATCATCAGGGACAGCATATCCCAAGGTTGTGGCGGCATTAGAAGCCACCAAGCCAATGTCGCCCAACTGCCACATCCTCGCCAGAGCCAACAGATCCTGTGCATCCCAGATGACATAGCCGTCCTCGCGAGCCGACATCCAGGCGTCAAGACTGGCAAACCCAAACGACCCTCTGTTCCATTCACGATCACGGAACCAGGCAGCGCTGGTCAGCCAGGCTGCATAGGTACGAGCAAAGGCCTTGATACCCTTCTTGGGAAGCAGCTCGCGGAGATTCTGGCCAACATCCTCGCCGCGAGCCAGCTTGTCCTTCATCGCACGCCAGGCCACATAGTCGATGCTGTTGGTCAGGGCAGCGATGGGTCCTTCGAGGAAAGCGTAGTTGTGGGCTGACGTGCGTGCGCTCGAACAGATGGCCACCACGCGCTGCACGAAATCTGGATACATGGCGGCCCAGTGGTAAGCTTGCTGGCCGCCCATGCTGAACCCAATCACGGCAGCCAACGATGTTATCCCTAGATGCTCTGTCAACAGCGCGTGCTGCGCTTTCACCACATCCGTATACCGCAGCTCTCCAGGCTCTGGGAAAATGGCCTTGTTGCTCGGCGATGCGCTCTCGCCGTTGCCCAACATCGCTACCACTATCACCTCGTACTCGGCGAGAGCGTCCAGCGGCGCCTGACGAAAGTTGAGCGTGGTGTTAATGTGTCCCCCAAAACATGTCGGAATCAGCACCGTCCCAAGTGAAGATCCTGCGTTCCATCGCCGATATGCCACCTTGACATCATATAGTGTTGTTCCGTTGGAGAATGTGAATCGTGGGATGTTGTATATTTCTATCCCAGAGCCATCGTACGGCGGCGCTGCCATGGTGACTTCGCTATTTGGATTTGGGCTGACTACTCGGTCAAGTTACAAGTGTCTCAACAGTGTGACAAGACTCTCGATTCTTGACAGATATATATATTGTATGCTTTGAGTGATGAAGTCGTCCTGGATAAATGAATCTGAGAATCATGAGTAGATATATTTATTTAATATTCACCTTGTCTCTACTTCTCCGGGATGACGTATGCGCTTCAATAACATTGATTTGCATTATTTCCCTCTACTCTCATCTCACTCATCTTCTACAAGACAATTCTACAACTTGCCACCATATTACAATCCATTAGTCTCATGTGCATCAATGCATTATATTCTTCCGATCTCATCGAGACTATGATGATGATCAACATTCGTGACTTCGTTGACTTGTTCCAAGAACAATTTCGTTCTTTTTTGCGCCCCCATCAATCAAACATCGACTCTACCTAACTTCAAAGCTCAACGACTCGTGCAAACTTGGATCTTGGTCGTGTCTGTTTCGCTCGCACCAATTTCAACTCTTCCCCAAGCAGTCTGGCATCCCTCCATGACTCTTCCATATTGCTCATTCTGATCGCAGCCATCACCACGAGCACTCCAGCACGGAACTTCTGTACCGGTTTCAGTTTGCGCTCATATTTGGCCTGATCCACAGACACGCCCATCTCATTGAGGATTCGGAGGTCAACTTGGTTGCTGCAGCTTTGGTCAGTTTCAAATCCCAGTCTCGTGCATCTATCTTGACGTACCATTGAACTCTCATCACTTCACCTTGCTCTAGGAATCCTTTGCTCCAAGCCAGGTCTTTCCTCAATCGTTCCTCCCTTCTGAAACGTGCCTTAAGCCATATGATCTCCTTCACCAGTCCTTTGACCTCTCTCTCACGTATCTCCTCCTTGCTAGACTTGCCCGAGCTCAGCCGTTCTAGCATATGCTCGTACTTGCTTTGTAGAGACTCTAGTTCTATCTCGACCTCCTCCGCCTTCTTGTTAGCCACACTTCGCTCTTTTCGTAGACGTCGGAGATGATGCTTCATTTCACGAGCCTCACTATCACGCGCCGAGAGTTGTATCGACATGTTGTTAATGTCTTCGTGTTCCTCAGTGAGCTTCTTAGCCCGTGCTTTAAGCTCATTCTTCTCCGCCTTGAGTGCTTGGACTTCGGCTTGTGTATCGGCCAACTGCTGGCGTATTTGACCAAGTTCCTGAGAACTTGACGGAGGTGGCGACCTCGATGGAGATTTAGCCTTATACTGAGCGAGATTGGCTTCATGTAACTCTCTTTCCAGATCATTGACCCGCATTTTTAGATCTCGATTCATAGACTTCAAGTCAGACTCGCGCTTCGATGATGCCGTCTCGCTTTTGCGGGCTTTAGCGAGATCATGTCTCAGCTCAGAGATATCCGTGTCGGGCGACAAGGCCATGCCTGACTGGTTCTGTAACGATTCTTCTAGCTCCTTGATGCGAGCCTCCAATCGAGCCACTTTACTCCGGGTAGAGTTCAGTTCACGGTCTCTATTCTCTCCTTTAGACATCTGCTGGGTGCGAAGGGATTCAATCTCGGCTTGGAGCCGATTCTCTTCCTCAGTCGCGCGTTCCAATTCGGCATTGATCTCGTCCTCTAGAGCATCGTTGGTCTTGACTAGGTTGTCTCGTTCTGCCGTCAACTGAGCGACCTCTTTCTCTAATCTGACCTTTTGTCGCTTAAGCTCCCGCTTCTCGTGATCGACGTTGAACGTGTCGTCATTAGACTTTTGCGCATGCTGCATCTTCATCTTGGCCTCGAGATCGTCTCGCTCTTTCTCCATTGCTTCTAAGGCTAACTCGGCATTCTTGATTCCTATTTTTGCGTCCGAAAGCTGGCCTTGTAGCTGTTGCTTCTCGAGTCGGAGTTTCTGGACTAGGCTGTCGGAATTTGTCGAGCTCTTTTGTTGCTGCATTTGGGCCATTTCATGTTCTTGTTCAATGTCGGCCTGTAAGATTTCGATTTCGTCCTCGAGTTCCGCCACCTTCTCTTTCAACGTAGCTTGTTCCCGGATCGAGATTCGCAGTTCTTCCTTTGCATTACTCAGTTCAATCCGGCCTTGGTCGACCACGTTTCGCTTTGTCGCAAGATCTTGTTGCAGTTCAGAAATCTGCCTGAATAGCACTTTTTCCTCTTCGTCGTGACGGCACTTTTCGCTCTCTACGGCCTCTTGTAGTTTCAGCTCGCGGCCTGAGAGTGTTCCTTGGGCGTCTTGAAGTTTGTCCACCGTCCGCTGCAGGCCTTTAGATTTCTCCTCAGCCTTCGCAGTAGCACTCTCGAGTGCGCGTGTCTGTGCCTCCCATGCTTCGAGTTGTGCCGCATGTTCGCTTTCTTTGGCGGCCACTTCACGGTGAAGCCCGTCGATTTGCTCGTGGAGTAGGTCGAGTTCTTGCTTATGTTGGGTTCTCAAGACGTTGTCGCTTCTAACCGCCCTCTGGCGCTCATCCACAAGGGCCAATTCGGCATCCTGGACCGATTTGCGCGCTTTGGCGAGGTCTTTCTGGAGTTCGGCTGATTCTATCGTAAGAGCATCGTGTCGATTCTGAAGGAGATCCTTCTCATCGGTCTTGACTTGAAGGTCCTTCTCTATGGCCTCGAGTTGCTTAGACATGCTTGTAAGCTTGCGTTCTAGCGTTTCGCACTGCTGCTGAGAAATTTCAAGATCTTGCTGGACTCTGCGCTTATCCGACGCGCCCTCTCGTTCTAGATCCCGGAGCCGTTCTCGTAGCTGCTTCTCCGCATCGGACTTCTGTGCCAGCTCAAACTCGGATTTTTCGTACAGTTCTCGAAGTTCATGTAGCTCGTCCTCGAGCCTGCCGGCCTTTTCCTCTAGTTGGCGACTAAGTCCCTTGGTCGTAAAAGATTTATTGGCCATCTCATCTCGGAGTTCGTCCAAGTCTTCTTCGGCTCTTCTCTTCTCCTCTGATGCTTCCTCTTGCGACTCCTTTGCGTCCTGGAGTTGAGTCTCGAGTCGGGCAAGGCTGTATTTGAGTTGATCAATCTCTTCTTTGGCTGTTTGAAGTTCTTCTTCCACTTCCGCCATCTCGTTGGAATCCTTACTGGCTTTCATCTTGAGGGCATCGATCTGATCGTCTCGCTCGTCAATCATGCGGTCTTTCTCCCTCACTTCAGCCTGTAAATCCTCAATCTCATCCTTGAGCCTCCGTGAGCCGGACAAATCTTGGTCGAGAGCTTTAGTTTGTGCGTCTTCGAGCATCTCAATCTTCTTGTCTTTTGCGTCGGCCTCGTGCCGTAAGTGCTCGAGCTCGATACGGATACTCTCATCGATCTGCTTGCGTCTCATCCGCTCTTTAAACTCTTCTAGCTGGAGTCTGTACACTTCTGCATCTTTTTCGGCCTGTGCAATGTTCTTCTTGAACTTGTGTAACTCGCGTTGCATGGTGATGCGATTCACCTTCAAGTCTGTGTTTTCTTTGAGAGCAGCCTGATTGAACTCATTGCCTCGCTTAGACAGTGCTTCTTCCAAGAAATGTATCTTCATTTTCAGTCCAAAGTTCTCCTTCTCAATCTTGTCGATGATGTTCTCCTGTTCACGCAGGGTCATTAGGTTTCCATCATTCAGAAGTCCGCCCTTGTCTCGTGCCGGCAGCTGAGCCAATGGTGTGCTATGCGCGCTACTCGCTTGTTGGGGAATGGGGGTGTCGTCTATCACACGCCCAGCCGAACTGGATGTGTTTTCGCCTTCGAGTTGGGACATGTCCACGAGTCTAGGTAAGGAAGGGGTATAGGCCGAGACGGGCTTCTTGCTGGATAGGCGACGTGACATGTTGTTCTTTGTGGCGCTTTTCATGAATGGAGAGAACTCTGATTTGGGATGGTTGCCGTTGGGTAGTAGTCGCAATGGATCACGAGTGCCGGTCCGTGGTGTCTTCAGGTCGATACCATGCATTTTGGCACTTCTCATTTGGCTGATTAGGTCTCGTGGCTGTGAAGGGACCGCAAAGGATTTCTCTGGAGAGAGTCCTTCGAGGTCGAGAAGATTGGAGAGGCGCGAGGCCTCACTTAATTTGGGAGTGTCGATATAGCCTGCCATGGCTGTTGGCTGGCGAAGGGTGGTGAATCAACACTGTGACATATATGAGTCTGTCGAGAAGGACAGTTGACAACAATAGAAGCTGAGGACCTAATAAACCGTAACGACTTGTGATGTACCAATAATGATTACCGTTCAATGATGGTCCAAGTCGCCCTGGAGAACGTCAACAAACAAGGTGCCCAATGAGGGAAGGTGTGGAAACTAATCACGTGGGAGCTAGTCGCGTCGACTTGAATGTTTCACCGTACTCTGCGTGTAAAGTGTTACTACTCCAGCCTAGAATGACTGCTGTTTTCAGTGTCATTTGAAAGACGAGAATCATGAAGAGGCAAAGAACAAAGACTTCATTCTTAATCGTGACTTTAGCCTCTTCCAAAGTTCCATAATCGTTACAAGCAAGACTGTGATAGGCTCATATACTGGATCCATCAAATGTCATGCCCCCAACCGATGAAGATGTGGCTTGGTTTCAGTCCACGTTTCATCCCATTCCAAAACCTTCTCTGCCAGATGACTGCATAGAATATTCATTGTATATCATCTCTCCTTCACTGGATAGCATCAATGATTCGGAACTCCGGCTGAGGCTCCGTGATGTCCAGAAGCGTGCCGCTGACCTTCAGAAACAGTATTTGAAAGATTACATCTGGCAAAGGCAGGGGCTTTCCTTGGAACTCAATAAAGAAGATGGTGAGGTCCGTCACAGGAATAAAACGGACAGCCAGAGGTAAACTAACACGAACTGCAGGCTTGAGCTTCTTACGTGGGCGAACTGAGTATGGGGACTCGGTTGAGGATGAATGGGTCATTGTATGGGTTCTGAGGGAACTCACCAGGATGTCCAAGGACATATGGGTCAAAGTCACCGACAGCGATGGCGAATTTCTTCTCATCGAAGCGTCGGAAACACTCCCAGCATGGCTGGAGCCGGATGTTGCCGAAAATCGCGTTTGGATCAACGACGGCGATCTGAAAATCATCAAACCGGCGAGCAATGCACGAACTTCCAAGCGTACCGAAGAAAAGCTCGCGTTACGCGAGGCAAGGCAGATCCTTCTCACCCAGCCAAAGCGCTTGATGCATTCAACCATTATGCAGGAAGAGGCCTTCTACCGGCTCCGCAATTATCCTAACCAGATTGTCGACAATATGCACCATGCTATACTCTCTATTCCACGAACAGTTGCATTCTTACTCCATCAGAAGCCTGCATATATCGCCCCAGTTGTGGAAGCGTTCTATCTTCGCGACCCAATTGCGTTAAAACCTCTGCAGACGGTTGCAAATCGAGACAAAATGAATCTCAAACCTGAAGATTTTGTCACCGTAAGCGTCAAGTTCCCCAAGGTGTGCTACGCACAGCTCAAGTCCCAAGACTTCCCTCCTCCAGCAGTTTTCAACAACATCTTGCCGTCAAGAACAGACCAGAAGCTCTGGCCTCAAGCCGAGTCCGGCATGAAGGTCACATGTGGGTTTGAAATGCTTGTCACGGACTCCCAGTTCCAGGATCGGCCGGCTGTTAGGGAGATCAAGCTTCTTCTTGAAGACTTGGAATCAGGTGATGAAACACTTCCGACAGACAACGATATAGCCTCCTGGACTCTCATTGAAGATGATGAAAAATGGCTCGATGTGAATTTTGACGATCTCGACAATGAACTCAAGGGCTCGAAAGGCGCACAAGCTTCGAGCGGGAACGGAGCTGAGAAAAAGGGTGGATTTGGTGACAAGGCGGCGCAGGAGAACCTCCGGCGGATTGTCAGGCAGTTTGAAGATTTCCTTAACGACGACAAAGCTGGGTTGGATGGTGCGAACATGTTCGACGACGACAGCAGCGTCGAGACCTCAGATGAGGACGAAGATGATGAGGGCGAAGACAAAGATGCGAGCTTCAGCGAAGACGATTTTACAAAGATGATGCAGGAAATGATGGGTATGCCGCCGGAAGTGATGAAAGAAATCATGTCTGGCAAACTCGGGTCGGGCGCAACAGATCCCGGGCAGCGGTCGAATTTGCGGTCGCGCTCCAGTGGCAAGGCGCGTGTCGTTGAGACGACCGAGTCAGAGAGCGACGATGATCAAGGGGATGATGACATGCAGACTTTTATGAGACAGATGGAAGCCGAACTCCGGCCAACCGGGGTGCTGGACCTTTCATCATCGTCCACGCACGCGGCGATTGGCGATTCTGTGTCTCAAACGTCCCCACCAAGACACGACGAGGAGGACGTGGTCAACGAGCTTTCCTCAGATGATGACGGTGACAATGACATCGACATCAACCTTGCGAGGAATCTGTTGGAGAGCTTGAAGTCGCAAGGTGGAACTTCTGGACCGGGCGGCAACCTAATGGGAATGCTAGGCCTGGGCATGTTACCCAGAGACGAAGCTGACATGTATGAAGTTGAAGACGATGAGGTTCAAGCGGGACCAAGCGACTCCTCAAAACGCGGCACATGAATATTTGGCATGCGACCACTAGCACCCATTGAATCGCTCCGGCAACGCTGTGAGAAAGGAGATATCGGGGGGCTCAAGCGACAAGCAATCAAGCTGAATGTATCAAATTATTTAATCTGGTGAATCCTCATAAGCGAGCACTCAGATACCCAGATTTTCCATCAACAACACCATACGCACCACCGCCCTTCCCAAACATGGTCCTCAGATCGCCCACGATCTCGTTAGGGCGCTCCCATGCTGCGAAATGGCCGCCACTTGCATGTTCTTTTTCGAACACGCAGTTCCCCACTGTCCTAGTCCAGGTGCTGCGCAAGACAGAAATGTCGCGAGGAAAATGGCTGATGCCAACTTTAACTCCGGACTGCCACGCTCTAAGCTGCAATCGGGTCAATCGTTTGCCCCAGAAGCCACTACGGCCGGTCTCGTAGTAGATTCGCACGTTGGCGGCTGGTCCAGCGGTGCTGAACCAGTAGATACTGATCCATGTGCAAACTTCTTCGTCAGTCCAGGGGTATGCATCTGTCCAGTCATGGAGCTTCTCGTAGATCCAAGCCAACAGAGCGACAGGGCTATCAGCTAAGGCGTATCCAATAGTCTGAGGCTTGGTGGACTGGAGAAGATTGTAGCCAAAGCCCTCCTTGCGGAACCACTCGGTCCGATCAATGCCCTGCCTTTCGCGATCCGTCAGAGGTTTGACAGCATCTTCGATCGCCAACAATGGCGTGTTAAAAAAGGTTGGCTGCTGACCCACATCCATGTTGAAGTGGGTTGCCTTGGCATGCTTTGGATACATGATGGAGAGAGCGCGAGTGATGTTGTAACCCCAATCGCCTAAACATATTAGCTTGGGGCCCTTTCATGTGCAAGCAATTGGACTCACCCCCCTGTGTGACATACTGGTCGTATCCAAGACGAGTCATCAGTTTATGACAAGTCTCGGCATACTGGTCAATTGAGAAGCCACGCTTTTGAGAGCCCTCAGAAAATGCATAGTTGGGCAACGAAGGCGCAACCACGTCGAAAGCCACACCACCATCCTCAGGCTCGGTGAGTTTGTCGATGATCTTTGTGACTTCAAGGAAATTCCCGGGCCAGCCGTGGACGAAGATGAGGGGAATGGCACCCTGCACAGAGCTCTTCTTGTGCAAAAAGTGGATTTTAAGAGTTTCGTAACCCTCACATTGGATCGGAGTGACAAAGTGCGGCAGAGCGTTCAAATTTTGTTCGGTCTTGCGCCAGCTGAAGTCGTTCCGCCAGTACTGAGTCAACCGCTTGACGTGGGCAAGTGGTGCTCCAAGGTCCCAGCCAGCGGCATCAAGTTCGTCAGGGAACTGAGCATTGTCCAGGCGTGAATTGAGGTCAGCGATGCGATCTTCAGAAATAGAAATCTGGTATCTCTCAATTGCTGATGACATGGCAAGGATTGTCACGTTGAGGATAAGTAGCTATAAGAATTTGAGGAGCGTAGAGAGATAATGGTCGTGCGAATGTGTTTTATATTTTATTATAATAGAAAAGGATGTATTTGAGGAGAGGTAGCCGGTCAATACGCTTTGATTCTTAAGCACGCATCGAAGGTATGACTCGGTTTCTGGCAACAGATCAGCAGGCAGAGAAAAGTTAGAGAATGATGGGCAAAGAACGGCAACGATGGGAATGGCGCTCTCGACGGGCGGTGGTCTGGTGGTCGATGAATCTAGCAGACGTCATCTGAACCGTGGCCGAGGCGGCCATGTTGCTTTGCCAGCTTAAATAAGCAGATGTAGTGTATACGACAAGGGTCAAAGCCGAGGCTGTAGCGGGACAAATAGAGGACCCTTTGCAATAAGTACAACCTTATTTTGTTGTTTCGTGATGGCTCGCCTCGATGGTGATGGCGATGGAGATGAGTGATGAATGATGAGTGAAGGAGTCGATAGAGAGTCGAGAGTGAGTTTTGGGGACCACGAAAGAAGCAGGCACGGCAGGTGCAATATTGAATGTTTTGGCTGGGCAGGAAGGAGCGTCTCTACTCCGTAGACTCTCGTGACTGTCAACCATGCCTGGAACTTGCGGTGCAGTGCCGCTGGAGCGAGCGACCACAGGCATCACTGCCCGGCAAACTTACCTCTTCTGCAAAGTGGCAATGGGAAGGAGCGAATGGGTGACGCCTAACTTGGACATCAGTTATAGTCTCATCTCAGTATCAACATGGCGACCATGACCAAGGACACTCGATATTCCCACGTCGCCTCCGCTGCATTCAATCACCAATCATCATTCCCTCATTTACGAAGACCCAAATGAGCAGTGATGCTGAATGAACCGACCGAGATCGTATCCACCTATGCTACTGCTTCGTGACCCTCTTCGTGACCCTCTTCGTGACCCTCAGCAACCCCTCCATCCTCTCGACTTTCACATCTCCCCACCATGTCGGGTAATCTTGGAGAGATTGGCGCACTCCATAACCCGCGAAGCGTCCAGCAGATCACAAAGGCGGCCCAGGACTATGAATACGATGCTAGTATCCCGCTGCGGTATTGGCTGCGGTCTGCCCAGGCCATGTTGAAGGAGGTGAGGGACTACTCGAGGTAGACGTGCGGCTCTCTGATTATTCCCCATGTAGGCAGACATATACATTGGCGAAGGCGACGATGAGACCACTTATCTCCTTCTCTTCCGACATGCTCACCTCATCCTCTCGCAAATCCCCGCGCACCCTCAATTCAAAGACAAGGCCACGCGGGCACAACTCAAGGACGCCGAGGACGCGGTCAACCGCAACCTGAAAATATTGGATCTGCTCAAACCACGGATCAACCAACGACATGATCATTATGTCAAGATTCTCAAGGAGCGTGAGTCAAGAAGGGCTGCCAGATCACTCTCTCGATCCACGTCAACATCACAACCCCTCGCGGAGCCCTTGGACTCTCGCACCCAGAGGTTGCATGCTCACGAGAATAAAGACCTCGCGGTCAAGATTGCACAAAAGGAATTCTTAAGAAGGGCCGCCACTCGACAAGCAGTACTGTCAAATGATGGAGAGGACCTTTCGACGAGATTGCAGGAACTCCGCTCTCGCCTCGAGGGCCGTAGCAACGATTCTCTTACTTCTCACAAGTATGCATCGTCAACTGCCACGGCCTTCAACTACCCGGCTGTTCGACCAAACCATATGCAAGAGCCTCCCTGGCCACTGACCAACCTTGATCCTCCTCGGCAGGACCCCCGGAATGAAGGCACGCTGTCTCCGCCTGCCTTACCGCCGAAGTCTGCACTGTCAGCACCCGAGACCTTGCCGCCACGACCACAGAAGATCTCAGAGCACCTGGGTAGTAAAACTGGTGCTCCAGAGCCAGCCCATATTTTTGCCCCCGCTGCCTACCTCGAGAACGGAGCGCCGCTGAGAACAATTTTCCTGCCACCAACGCTGCGGACGACTTTCTTGCGAATTGCACAAAAGAATACGACGGCCAACCTGGAAACATGCGGCTTCCTGGCAGGCACCTTGATTGCCAATGCATTCTTCATCAGCCGACTCATCATCCCTTCGCAGACAGCATCTTCGGATACGTGCGAGATGACGAACGAGTCGCAGTTATTCGACTATGTGGACTCTGAAGATCTGATGATTTTGGGGTGGATTCACACGCACCCCACCCAGACATGCTTTATGAGCAGTCGAGACTTACACACTCATGCAGGATATCAAATGATGCTGGCTGAGAGCATTGCGATTGTCTGTGCGCCAAGCAAAGGCGACACATACCATGGAGGGGATTGGGGTGCTTACCGGTTGACCGACCCACCAGGAAAGAAGGCCATTCTCAACTGTGACAAACCGGGCATTTTCCATCCGCATGAAGTCGACAACATCTATACAGATGCCCTCAGACCGGGTCACGTGGTGGAAGCCAAGGGAATGGAATTCGAAGTGGTGGATTTGAGGAATCAATAACAAGAACGGGGACCATGTGGACTGAATGTGCCATCTCCTCACTGTGGAGCTTGACGCTGTCAGGTGGAAACTTGAAGGCCGATTCTTCTCCCACTCAGCAAATTGCTCCCAAAACCCCAGATAGGCTGCCGTGATCCAGGGTACTACAATCGAGGGCAGATACACGTGCGGCTTGCGATGATGATGATGATGATTATTGATGATAGAAGAATAGAATAATCAATGAATCACCTGGCGGGAAACATTGTGTCAAAGTGGCGCACTTTTCGATTTTTGGTGTTTTGGTAGGTCAGTTATGTACTTGTGATTCATTCCCTGCTACTGGCCTGCCTAAGAGTCTGTGGCATCACCATCGGTACTGGAGTTGATGGGGGAGATCTAACGTAGGAAGCACCACGTCGTGGCCGCGCAGCAATATCGCTAATGTGCCAACATCGCCAAGAACCCCTCAGCTCAACAGGTGCCCATCGGTGCCATGTTGGGTTCAAGATGCAGACCTTGGGAACTTGGGAGCACGGTTGAAATTTTTGGCGTGTCAGGATTGAGTGGATCTTGGCCTTTGATCAGTACGGAGTAGTGAACAACAAGATCGACGCGTTCCAAAGGTAGTCTGGGGACTCGGGGATTTCAACATGGTCCGCGCTTTGGATGCTTCACAGGCACAGAGTGCGTATGCAGGAGGAGGTGAACGAATAAAAGCCCTCTCGGCCCAACTCTGCCGCTCACTGTGCACTTGTGTTTGAGACCAATGCAGGAACGCGTGCCATCCAGCGTTGCACCCCATTTTTTGCCTTGGCCACTGACGCTCTTTTGATTCTTTTGAACGGATCTGCGAGGACATGTAACTGCCCCGTATAGTAGTAGTAGTTTTTACAGTGCAGCAAGTAATTGCCAAAGGAGCCTTTCTCCTGTTGCAACATTGTCACCACCAGCTGTATCCCGTGGTCCCTCACTACTCCGTATGTATTTGTATATCTTCGTGACTGTCGGTACTCCACCCTCTGTGCCTTTTCTCAAACCCTAGGTTGCCGCACTACCCCTAACACTACGCGGCAAGTCTGCAGCTACTCCTGTCCCATACCTCTCCCTCGTGCACTCACGTCTCGCCGTTGCCTGTCTGGTCATCTTGGCTAGGCAATGCCATGCCATGCCATGCCATGCCGGTCTGTTCCTATCCTAATTCCTTGCAACTCCTTGGGAATTTGAGTCAGTGACCCGACTGTTTTGGTGCCAGGCGCCCAAATTTTGCGGCATCTCTACTGCCGTTATTAGCAAGGGAATCAGAGCGGGATTAGGTCTCAGAATAGAATTGGATGATTGCACAGCTTTTTGCCTCTGAGGGAAGCAGATCCATGCAGGCATGGCACCAAGGACCAGCAAGGCCGCAATGAAGCACCGAGTGCCATCAGGTGGATGTGTGGCTGCTCTGGTGGTCAAGGGAGCCGAGGGCGTGAACAGCATGCTGCAACCAGGTGGCCGGGGGGGAAGAGGGGGCGCTTTTTGGGTTCTGGGTACCTGACTAGGGGCAGTTGGTGCGCCCAGTGGGTTTTGTTGAAGCAGCTAAGCAACCCACTAAGCGACGCCGCCCGCTCAATTTGGAAAGCCTGACAGGACATCTTACTGTGTTGGTGTCTAGATTTGATGAAACCAATTTCCGACTCTTCCTCACTCATGAGCTTGTTCATCGATGGTGAGCACTTTCGCAACGGAGACCCCCTCCGGGGTGAGGGAACCCACGTCTTGCAGACACACAGAAGATGACGGATGGAGCCACCAGCGCCATCACAAGCCGCCGCCACAACGCCTGCCCGCCTGTCCGCCTGTCTGCCTGCGAAAGGCGCGAGACTCCACACAACCATGCGTACGTCGTAAGTAGGTCGCTATGTACTCTACCTAATTTTTATGCGTATAATGTAGCGACGACAAGGGCAGCTGGCCAGTTGAGGCAGGTTTGGCAGGTAATGTACTGGTAGGCGGCTCTGCACACACCTGCAGATCTGAAAATAATGGCTCAATCTAAGGTAGTCCTTGGGCATTCGGTATGAGACGTGTCCAAGGAAGACTCGCCCAATGTCCTGTGACAACAACCATGGGTTGACTCTCTCCCCTCTCAGGATCCAGTACCTACGTACATACCTACTAACAAGAATTGCAATTACAATTGCACAGAGCGACTCATGACGGTGTGGTGTGCTTTCTGCCAAGCCCGGCCCCAGTACGAGTATGCACTCCGTATGTCTGTCTCTGATGTTTTACTGTAGTGTGATTCCAGCGTCGACGTGTCGCGGGTACAAATGTGGGAACCGCGAAAGAATTGGCGTGATTGGATATGTGCAGGGATACGTGGACAGCATCCCCCCCCCTCGATCCACTTGGATCTCTTCCTTTCACTCTGGCCTCTGGCTGCGCCCACTCCGCCCACCACGCCCATTATTGCTCTGGGCGTCTGCGTCTGCGACTGGCTCTGCGTTGATTGTTTCTCTCCACCCATCCCATCCAAGGTCGTCTGTGCTCAATTCTCACCTTCCCTCCTCTCACCTCTCATCTGTCTTTGTCTTTTGCACCTTGCCAGCTGCAACCTTTGTCCATCACCACCGTCACCACACATTCACTTTATTACACTTCACCAACCACTTTGCCATCGAGGCACGACGTGTATTTGGTCCTTTTCAACCCTTCACAATCGCTTCTTTCTATCCCGTCAACACGTCCTTGACTCGCCTCCTAGCTCTTGCACAAACCGTTTCCGTTCAGGGGCCAACCTTCGACTTTGAAACCTACCGACATTCCTGCCTGGGAACGAGCGAACTTTCTCAAACAGTCCTGATATTCAAACAAAACCATTCCAGCCTGGTTCTCAGCATAGTCTAGCACCATCCTCGCCTCTTTTGCACCAGCTTGGTCTTCGTCGCCTATCATTGGGATCGAAACAACATCGACTTCCAAAGGCAAAGCAGTGCAGGCCACTGCTTTGGACGGACAACAAAGACGCATCAAGCAATCACGCCGTTGGTCTTGCTTCACGCTCGTTCTTTCAGAAACATACGGTGGTCAGGACCTCCAGCTGTCCAGATTGTCGATCCTGCCGACCTGCCAGTGACACGGCTCCTTGGACTCGCCCAAGACACGCAGCCCTTTCCAAAGCCACTGACACAATTCCATCAATTGCTCTCTAGAACAACTATACTCAAACCATTCTACCAATCATGACATTCTCAATTCGACCCGCCGTCGCCTTCGCGTCGGCAGCCTTTCTGCTGGCTTCTTCAGTTCTCGCGCAATCCCCAACAAATGCTCCCAGAGCAATTACCACTCTGGGTTGCTACGCCTCACCGGACCCTTTGGAAGAGTTTGGAGATGCCACATATCAGTCATCAGGCTACTGTCAAGTAAACTGCACTGGCCTCTCCCAGCCGGTGATGGCCATCACAGGAGGTTCCACCTGCTTCTGCGGCGATGAGATCCCCCCAAAAGATCAGGAGGTTGACTCGAGCAACTGCGACAGTGTCTGTGGCGGCTATGGCGAGCAAACATGTGGTGGCCTGGGCTACTGGCAAGTTTACCTGACGGGCTTGACCGCCAACGTCCACACCGCGCCCAATTCCACATCAAGCACCGCATCCTCACCAACTCCAGAGTCAACATCATCTGCACCGGCAGTTGTAACAAAAGCTGGAGAAACAGTGTTTGTGACCAACCCCCCAGATGCTACCAATGCAAGCAGTTCGGGTGGTGGACCGAACAAAGTCGGAATCGCAGTGGGAGTAGTCGTTGGAGTCATCGCCCTTGCTGGCATCATAGGAGCCGTCGTCTTCATCGTCAAAAGGAAGAGAAACCGTGAGATCGAAGAGGAGCACCGCCGAAACGCTGCTGTGAGTGCATTTGTTGGTGGCAAGTCGGATAAATCGTCAACCGACCAACGCCTGGACCCTTCAATCTTCTCAAATGATTCCCTCGGCCGTCAAAGTATTGGCAGCATTGCGGATGAGCGAGACTTCTCACGGAGGATATTGCAGGTACGTATTTGATCTCTCTCGAAACGCACACCAAGCTGACGCACCCCACCAGGTTCGAAACCCAGACCGAGACTCAAGATCGTCTGCCATGGCATAAGAGGCCGCTTGTTAATTGCAACATTACGATCCTGAACAAGTCAATAGTGACGGAAGATCAATACTGTGATCTCGGCCTGGTTCTCTTCATTCACCAATTCCTTTCTCCTTCCGGTCCCGCAATGACCCTCTCGCACTGCATGCGTGCGTACGCCTCCGATTTGACGACGATGCTCCACTGGTCCCCAGTAGTCCCCATCTCTTATTGTTTTGATATAGACCCACGCTCCTTGTTGGCCGTGGCAGTCGGCATAGCTCTGGCGTTGGTGGTTCTCGTTATTGAGTGAAAGGATTTATTGACCGCGGCTTTCCGAGGTGGCGACGGCAGGGCACGAACGAGACTCGATAGAAAGCATGGGAAACCCGGGAGCAAGGAAAGGCTTCGTTGGCAGCCAACAGTGCGTGGTGGCATCACAGCCGAGAAAGAGGAGGCATCAAAGCCCACACGGGATATTTAGGCAACAAGCGAAGAGACAAGACATCATATTTCCACGATTATTATCTGGAGAAGACGGATACGGCGAAATGGGCGGTACCGGGTTCGAGTGTTGGTCTGGAACCCGGATGCCAGGGACGACGCATTGAGTCCCGGGGCCTTGGAATGCTTAGAAACACCCAGCTCGCCGTTCTGCGAATGTCTCGAATCATGGATTACGTGGTAGAAGCTCACCCGCCAGAGCCGGTGGACGCGGGGCCTTCGGCTCAAGCATGTTGGATGTCTGGCTGGAAGCAGGGGACTACACATAAGGCCACTGGCCCTTGTCGAGACTGTTCCATGCCACAATCGTAGCATGCTGACGACTTCGGCATCCCAGTCTGTCCTTGTATGCCTCATAGGTAGATATTTGTATCAATAGTTTTCTCATCAGTCTTCCAGTGCCTAGACGACGCGTGGACACCAATTGTTTGAATCCACGATTTTCTGGCCTTTTGGGGGTTGGAAAAATCGTCAATCATTCGTAGTGCTGACCAGCAAATGGACCTGGGTCTACTGAGAGTTGTACATATGGTAGATGCTGGATATGGTGAACCGATCATGAGGTGCCTAGGCCAACAGCTTTGAGGATGGTGGCGACAGTCCAGCCAGGCCCGCCAGGCACTATTTCGCGCCAAGTCTTGTCAGGGACAAGGTCAGAGCTGGGGAGAATGGACCAGTTGGGGGATGGGTCGGCTTTGATCCATTTAAAATCATCTACCTGATTCCATAAGTTGGGCAGCTCGGACGGGCTGGAGGCATTGGCCGAGGTGGAGGACGAGGCCAGGAGATCCGTCTGAGAGTCTTTGGTCAGCATACGAGTTCTCAGAGGGGTGGCAATCAACCTACGTAGAATTTGGGGAAGGGTGCGAAACGAATCCCCCGGCAATCCTCAATGATGGGCCGGCTGGACACGCGGAGATAGACATCAACGTCCTGACACTGGTGCATGCGGAATTGCTGGCAATTGATGACGAGAATCGTCTTTTTTAGGCCTGTGATGTGGGCTGGACCTGTGACGGAGCCACAAACTAGAAGGGACGAGTGGGCAGAGTTGATGGTGAGGCTCGCAAATGGCCTGGCCACGGCACTGGGGACTGAGAGATCAAGAACGACGTTGGAAAGTCGTCGAAGGGAACAGGGCGTTTGTGCGTGGGGAGCCGAGGATGGAAGGATGATATGTGTATTCGACTGGTTAGAAATGGAGACAGACGTGGCTGTGGTTGAGAGCGAAGGACGGTCCTGGCCACCCATTGACAAATGGGCCTCATCATGGTCGTCGTTGTCGTCGTTGTCTCCAGATAATCTGTTCTGGTGGGGTGACGACGTATCATTGGGGGGTGTGCCAGTATCGCCGGGGGTGTTGACAAAAGAGGAACTAGGAGAGGTTTGAGAACCGGGCGAGAGGTAACCAGGAATAGTGCGTCGTTTCTGCTCCGCCATTTCTGCAGCGTCACTTAACGACAGAGCGGAGGGACTCTTGTGGGTAGATTTGAATGAAAACTTTGGCTTTGGGGCAAATGTCTTTTTGGTTTCCTCCAGTCTTTCTTGCAGGGCTTTGATGGCCTATTCAAAGGTCGTGAGCTTGCGAATGGGAAACGAGAGGGAGTGACAGGTGGTATTGGAATACCTCAGCGTATGTTCTCTGGTCATAGGCAGGAAGATAGCCTGAGGCGTCTTTGACCTCGCTCGAGAGTCGCGTGATGCCTGCAAGGCAGTGGTCTGTGGCGTCTGATCTCTCGCCTCCGATGAGAGCGGTGTCTCCCAGACGGTCCATCTGTTCTTGTAGGGCTTGAGAGTCGTTGTGTTAGCTTGGAAAGAGGGAGATGATAGTAGCTATGGTGATGACGTGCCTGTGAGTTCTTGCTGGAAGTAGTGAAAGAAGCGTTGTTGGTGGGAGATCTCATTGACCTGCTGTGAGGGAGGGTCTTGTGATGCCATGTTGAAGCCGGTATAAGATTTTTGACCAAATGTGGTAGTAGCGATGTGAAGAAAGAGATGAGTAGGTGGCGAAGAGGAGGGGTTGTTTTCAATGATTCAAGGGTGCTTGAGTGTGCAAGTGTCTATCAGTAGTAGTGAGAAAAAGAAGGAGAGCTTCCTTGATGGTCGCGGGCGATTCGTTGGTTGGTGGTGATGTACATGTTGACGAGCCACCAAGTACGGAGTCTACAGTAAGTATTTCCAGTTTACGATAAACTGCGGGGTTCAGGTTCAGACTAACAAGGAGACAAAAAATGGACAAACAGGCGTGGATATAGAGGGAGTGGCACGGGTGGCACGAAAGAGGAATACCCCACGATGCCCCTGGAGGGCCGAGGGGGCCCGAGGACCACTTAAAACCACTGGAAACTTCCAGGCTCCCGGGCTCTGCCTTGGTCCGAGTGCTTTTCCCCCGGCAGTCCAAGGGCAGGCCGGGGCAGGCCGAGGGGGCCTCCCAGGGATCCGTCTTCCCTTTGGCTCTCGCCTACTGCAGGGCTGATCTGCATGACGCGCGCGTGCGCTCCACCACCATCCACGCATCCACGCAGCCGCAGGCGCAGTCTTACATGTTTTTTTTTCGTCTGGAAATACAATTACAACTTGAATTTACTCCTCCTGCGCCCTGGAAAATCCCCCCAAATCCCATCCCACTACCAACAGTTACCGCGCTCTTTGCATTCTAGTTGCTTCAGCACTCGGGCACTCTCCTTCCCTGAATGCTCATCAAACACTTTACTCGACCATTGTCTACCCTCTCTAGGAAGACCGGTAGAAAGGCCACCAGTGGTGCTGCTCGAGCGTCTGCATCTTCTGCATCTTCGTCACCTTCACCACCTCATCCACCACCTTTTCAAGAGCCCGTTGCTTATTCCCTCAGACGCAGCCCCAAATTCCGCCACGTCAGCTGCGAGGTTGTGAGTAGTGACCTCTGTCGTGAGTCTCTTTATCCCCATGATCGTTCATATCTGACTACAGCACAGAGTCCCTGCTTCAACGTCTACAGCCAACCCTCCCCTCTCCAAACACCTGCGACCTCATCGACATCAACCCCGGCTCTGCTGTCTGGTCCAAACAACTACATGATGTCCTTCGACCGCGTCGCCATGTCTTGGTCGAGCCTCGCCTCCAACAGTTTGGGCAAATCCTGGAGCCCCTGATAACAGCATCCAATTCTCCCTACAGACACGCCGAAACTCTCGAAGCGGCCTTGGATCCTGCCAATGGCCATTTGTCTGAATACCCCCTTCAAAATGATGAAAAGCCTCTCGCCCCAAATCCCTCCCTTCTTGTCACCGTCAACCTGTCCGGTCCTCGTTCGCAGACAAAGACCTTCGTGGGCTCTGCCGGCAAGAAGTTCATGCATGATTTGATCGCCTCCCATTGGGCGAGAGGCTCTCAACTCTACCGCTACGGATATGTTCGTGTCCTGGCCTGGATCCCCGCTCATGAAAGCAATGTCTACATTCCTCGCTCTGTCGTCACCCGCCAGAAGCTGTCCGTAATGCTCGAGGCTAGCATGAAGTTACAATTGCTATGTATCCCGAGCCTCGAACCCAGTCGACATCCCACTCGCGATCATCCAGATCCGATTTTGGAACAGCAAGACTTCGACCGCGTCGAAACGCAGGACCCCCTTTATGCTTCTCTTCCGGAACCACGACGTCTGCTGCCGTCCCGGCCTCACCTCCTCACTATCGAGCCAACCCCGACGGCCCTTCGACAGTCCACCTTCAGCACTAACGCCATCTGGGTCCTTCGCTTTCTCGAACTTGATCAAGATCTGAAGCAAAATGACCCCGAGTTCTACGAATTGACCACACAACCGGCTCTTCCTTTCGAGACCCTCCGTGCTCACGCCAAAATGGATTCGAAGCGCCGCGACTGGTTCAAGTACTTGGCCACCGCGAAAACTACCTACAAGTCGAGAATGCATGCACTTGCTCTGGTCGAACAGCATCGCAAGATCGATTCAACTCTTAGATTCCTTCCTTCCGCGGCGGGCTCTCATCTGCGTGAACCCTTGTACAAACAATTAGCTCTACTTGACCATGACATGTCAACGATGACTAGAACCAACAAACGCTGGATAGAAAAACTCATCGACGATTATCGAGTTCTCGACCTCGACCCCCCCGTCTTGGCTTGGAGTCAGCGAGATCACCAGCCATTGGCAACCCACGCCGACGAATTCCGCCCCGAGTCTCAATCCTTGGCTCTTGTCGACATCACCCCTAAGCCTGAATTTACCACACCACTCGAGTCTGAAGGCCAGAGCCTGTGCTTTGTGCACGTCATGAATCTCGCCTCGGAGATGATGCACAAATCCGTCGATCAATTCCTGTCTCAGCTTGTTCCCGGTGGGCTGGAAGAATTTCTTAAGACATTTCCCGATATTCGTGAGCCCTCCAAAGGAGGCTGGCATGACTTGACCGCCCTCCGAACCAGGACACTCCCCGCTGATATGTTTGTCAAGCTGGCCCTTGCATATCATGATTGGCCGTTCCGAGTTTCCACCAGAGAGATGCTGCTGAAGAGCGACGACTCCCTGGCCCCCACCCAAAATTCCGCTAATCACTACAGACCTCAGTAGGCGGTGCTCCTCGAGAACGACGCTTTCACGACTGTGGACCAAAGAGTTTGTCCAAGACTTGTCTTGTGTTCATCACCTGGGCAAACTCGTTGTTCAAACTGGCCAGGCTTACTCGATGCACCATGTCTGCATCGATACCGACTTTGTTGAATGCTGCCGTGGCGTCCGAAACGATGACCAACCCCCCATCGCTTACAAGCTCGATATCGCTGGCCATGCGAGCTGTTGTACTGACGCAATGATCTGTGGTGATACCCACTATGATGAGCTGTTGCACATTCTTGGAGCGGATCAGACTCTCGAGCGTTGTGCTTATGAACGCAGAGTGCTTGGTCTTGGAGAAGATCGATTCATGCGGCGACGCCATGTCTGGTCTCGCCACGGGCTGAAACTCGGAACCGCCCGGGTGAACACTGGAATTGGGGTATAATGGTGACTCGGGGTTGGAGGATTTGTGATAGACATGTGCCACAACCACTGGCACTTCGGGACTCGTCCTGTTGTACTTACGGACCTCAGTCAGCAATGAGGCGATGTTGGCCTCAAAATCTGGCGTGGACCGTTCAGTTCCGTAGAAGCCGTTGCCAACATTCAAGCCGACTTGGATATCGATCAGTAATAATGCCGTTGGACACAATGTTGCCCGTGAAAGCTGGCTGGAAGACATGGTCTTTGTTGGCGAACTGGATATATCATAAATGATTGAGAGATATCACTATAAGAAAAGTACATACATGACCATCCAACATGGGTCACTCTAGATGTGCCTATCTGCCATGTCAACCTGAGCAATATCGCACGCCCTGTGATGTTGCATCCGAACTCCTTAGGTTCGGATTTATGCAAGACTGCCATAGAGTCAATAACACTCCACGGTATCTATCATACTGTCAAGTATACATCTGCTGAGGTTTTTCTCCCACGTTGTCATCCCAATCCATAACAAACTGTTCATCTCACCAAAGTCGACGATTAGATTCTGCACGCTCGTCAAATTTGATCCCGGGACCTCCTGTGCTCACCGTCATCGTTGGGGGACTCTGCATCTTTCTCACCAACATGAGTAACGGCAGCCCCGAGCGACCGGCCAAAAGAGCAAAGCTCGAAAATGTATGTCCAGTGCTTTTGTCTACCAGCCCGTCAATGTCATGTGTCATGCTTATCAGAACTTACGTAGGACGCTTTTGGAAACGAAGTAAAAGCCACTTCGCTTAAGAGTACACAAGGCACCCGCGGAGGAGAGCGCGGTCATTCTGGCAAACATCAGGGCAAGAAAAGGGGCCGTCCTTATGTCATCTTCAGTGCCTCGGGCATTCACACCAATGATGTCGGCATCATGGTCACGAGTGACAAGGGCAAAGAAAGGCAGTGTGCTCAAGACCTAGTCGACTTGTTGGACGAGGTGAGTTCTTAGCTGCCTCTGAACCCATTGCCTCGTCGGCTGCTAACCCCCATATGCTGAAGCATATCGATGTTGCCGAAGGGGAGACCGTTATCTCAGCCGACAAGACCCAGACACAGGATTCCGAAGACCCATTAGACATCGAGGCCGATATTCACGCAGAGCTTCAGTCCCTCGCCGCACAACCCAGCAAGACCTCAAATACGACACCTAGCCAAAAACTGACTGTGGTTTCTCTGGATATACCGTGCGTTACCTTTGTCAGATTTCCCACCGCCAAATCAACAGACCATAAGCTTGACCCTGTGGAGATCGTGCGCACCCTTTGTACGTCTGCTGCAGATGTAAACTTCAAGGGACCAAGGAGCCGCTATATCAAACGATTGACCCCAATTACCCTGGTTCGCAAAACCTTGAATGACGGCCTTGAATCTTTATGCGAAGCAGTATTACCTGAACACTTCCGCATTGGAGGACATGGCTCTGATACCCAGGAGGCAGAACAGACCTCGACCCCCCCATCCACTCCAAAAGGCTACAAATTTGCCATCCGGCCATCAATTCGGAACAACAATAAACTCGACAGAGACCAAGTCATCCAGACGGTGGCACAGAAAATCGGGCTTCTTGGGCAGAACATGCATACCGTGGACCTCAAACACTATGATAAACTCGTCTTGGTCGATATCTACCGAAATATCGTTGGTATGAGTGTCGTGGGCCCCGAATTCGAAACCTTGAAACGATTCAACCTTGCAGAGCTCCACGCGAGTCATTTTGTCGAGAAAGAAAAGGACAAGGGGGACAAGTCAAGGTGATACCCTGTCTTACATGATCTGTTATTTTCTCAAGGATACCCGCCTGAGCTTTTGCACTCCAAGGAGCCGGATCCTATGTGACTAGAACAAGCAAGAATTATCCGTCATCTCTAAATCTTAAGCCCTCGATTCGGCCGGCTCCCATGATGCGCAACGTCTACATCTGATCATTGATAGCCCTCCATGAGCCACGATACCTCAGCCCAGCCCAGGACAACCCAAAGAACTCCCAGGGATGCGGCCAAAATCAGACTGGGTAAACTTCTTCCGCTCATCGCCTTGTCCTCAGCCAAGTAACCTCCCACGCAGTTGACCATACTACTATGTGTTCCCTTGGGGCAAACATCAGGTGGGACAGCTGATACTTGGTCCTTGCCAGCGCAATACTCTCGTCCTTGCGTATTGACTGGACAGCAAAATATCCCCACGAGATTGGTCAGCACTTGATCAGGTCTTGATCTCGCCTCATAGCCGTCTGGACAGCATGTGGCACCTGCCTTTGGTGTGTCAAGGATGCGCGACCAAACTGTGCCAGGTGGGCAGGTCCCTTGCTTTTCTATTGAGCGAGCACCAAGGCTTCCCGAGATCTGTGGATTTATATTGGTGTCCCCGACTGTGTGTGTGGTGTAGGGTAAAGTGTACCCTGTTGAGCGAGCGAGCATTGACAGCAGAAATGTGGCGAAGAAAAGGCGAGTTGGAAAAGTCGACCACCTTGATACTACCATGCTGTATCGCGACAAGGTCTATTAAGCTGTTAAGCTTTGTTCCCCCGGTAGATCTCTTGAGGAGTACACGAAATTGGCCCGCCGTGAGATTCATGGCACAAATCAGATTGCCGAGGAGGATGGGAGAGTGGTGGATATAGGCTAGAGGACCAACGAGCAGCCTCTGCCGCACAAACGAAGGATGATGTGACTCTGTCATCTGGGCTTAACGAATATTGCACGAGTCATCTTGTTCATCTTGTGGAGCAATCTGACTTGCTGCGAGCAATTGAACGGGAACCACCTGAAGTGGGTGCGTTATGCAAACATGACACACATGGAACAAACAATACTGCGATCTCGTTCTGCAAGCTGGTCGTCGTGTTACGAACTTGGACGCGAGACTCTTCCGCCGTGCGAAAGATCTTTGCTGGTCGTCGTCTTTCACCTTTCAACACTTGACGCCAGTATGGATGTTTGAACATCGACTTGGGCATGCCATCAAGCTTGCACAGACCTTGGTTTATTTGCATCGAGAAGACTCTCAGGTGACGTAGTACTACAAGCTGGCTCGATTCATGTTCCGCGTTCGGGAATCTAGAACGACATCAAACTAAAGACGTGAAACAAGGATAGATGAATCAATGGACGTTAGGTCTAGAAAATAATGGCATCTACTCCTATTCCAAATATGATCAATCCGCCTTTTCAAGTCGCTGTCGACGCCGACACCGAAACTATCAACAACCTGCCCATTCTTGCTCAACTTTGCTAGAACCAGGTCTTGATTTTACCGTTCCAGAAACACCGTACCACGTCCCTTGGGAATTCCAACGTCGCACTGATTGCATGTTTCGAAACACGAATACAGGCCTCGTCAAGAACAACAGGAGAAACACGGGTCACAGCTTAGTTCGGCAAGCTGACCCAGGGAACATCCTCTGGTGCGACCTTGTAAGCACGGAAGACTGCATTGCTTGGGAAGTCAAAGCCAATCTGTTGCAACTCAGGGGCCTCCAACTTGGCGTAGTCGGCCAAATGAGGGTTCACATACTCAAACACCATTTCGCCGGTCGAGGTCACCTCAAACATCCGACCGAACACGGCCTCGGTCACCAAAGTATTTCCATTTGGAAGCCGCTGCGCACCACCCATGAACGGGCTAAAGAACGCGTTAGGGAATGAGCGATCGCGATATTCCCAGACAATGCTTTTGGTGGCTCGGTCGACCTGAATAACTCGCGAATAGGTGGACGACTCGTGGTGCCGGAAGGTGCCATTGTCGAAGATCAGGATAGATCCATCCTCGAGTTCCGATGCACAATGTTGTTGTGCCACGACCGTTGAGTCCAGGTGCCAGATGATGTCGCCTGTGGCGCGAGAGATGATGACAACAGCCGACACGGATCGTAGTGACGCTAGGATGTTGCCATCCCGAAGAAGGTGAACACTGTTGATCAGCGGCCAGTGCTCGCGTGCAAATTGTGGATGCAGAGAGAAGATGGCAGGGTCGAGGTGGTCGATGGCGCGCCAGGTCCAGAGAGGGGCTTCGGGTCTTGTTGGGTCGACCATTTTGATGACATCGGCATAGATGATGCCATTGGGCGCCTCGCTTGATGGGATGCCGCCTTGGACAGTGCATGCTTGTTCCGAAGTCAATGGCTCCAGGGTGGTATAGAGCAAAGTGCCGTCATCGAGATGACGTTGGTCGTGATGGGCTAGAGGGTCGCGATACTCGGAGATGACCTTGCCTGCTGGGTCCACTTGAAGCATGACGCCGCCTCGATATTTTTGCCACATGGGAAACAATGCCGGGGCCTCTGGATGCACGCCGTTGTACGCTAGGTTACCATTGGGCAGGATTCGAGCGTGTCGCCCTGGCCGGTATGGAAGGTTCCAGCGATGGACTTCAACTCCATCATTGGAAACAAGGAAGACTGTTCCGGGACTGGTCAGATGAGCATACAATAGATATCCTGGCGCAACAAGCTTGGAGTTGACTCCACGGAATCCCAGGCCTCGTCGGGTTAAGGTGCTTTGTTCCATAGTGATCGAAGAAAAAGGACAGAGAGGTAATTCGAGTCTCGAGTCAAATATTGGTATGCCCAACGAAGAACTTCTTGACTATTTTGACATCAGCAAGTAATCTCTGCGGGCCAGGATGTGTCTATATATATGGCACGACTTTATTGCAGGTTAGGCAAGTGGGATTTTGGTATCACGGCATGCCGCGGCATGCCGCGGGATTGATACAAGGCTGGGACTCTGGGAGATGTTTCGTACGGCATGCCGCGGAAATCCCGCTCTCACCAATACCGCAGCCCAAAACCTTGGTTGTGCTGTTGCCACACCTTCAAACTCTCATCTATAATGCACGATCGTAACGAGGCATTGTTGATATCGATTTGTTTCGCCGACAGGCGACATCCGTTGCACACATGAACGGGGGCCTGCGCGCCTGGTGACAATCTAACGGTCAAGTAATGTTGAAGTAGCGCCGCCCTAGATTACCCGATATTGTTGCCAAACGGTTCCCAGTTTGGTAGCATGTTCCAATCATACGTATTGGAAGGATTGGACCCAAGGAGATCTGGAAAGAATGCCGAGAAGATAGGATCGTTCCAGGCATTGATTTCTTTTGTAGTGAGTGGAGATGGATGAGCCAGAGGCCGTAGCTTCTTATGAAAGGCAGCGACAACATCACCGAGAGTGTGCGCAGCGTGACATGGCAAACCAATTGTGTGTAGCCACGAGACTAACGTGGTAATGTTGGCATCAAGTTCTTCCAGGCTGTGAGATTGCTTGATTTGATCTTCGTACATATTGAGGATTCTGCACAGCGTCACAGCTGCGAAGACAATCATATGATAGATGTGATCGCTCAAATGTCGGGTGCGTTCATCTGTCGTATCCATGGCAAGGTTGATGATGACAAGAGCGAGACGGACCATTTCAGATATGAGGCTCTCTCGAACACGGGCGGAGCGGGATTTCAGCGACTGGTCGTAGGCCAAAAGTTGCGCAAAGTTGTACCCCATTTCCAGGAATTGCGATCTCGGCTGGTCTGTCAAAAATTAGTCAAACAGTTGCGTGTGACGACGATGAACTCACCCAAAACAAATCTCCATTCTTGTCTCCAGACGTGTAGGTGTGCCTGAATCTTGGGAAGATCTGGTTCCTGTAGGCAACAATCCTCATAAAGAATCCAATACAAGTTGCCTTCAGCCACCATGCGAATTTCATAATTTGTGGCATAATCAGACTCCAAGATAGCTCGGCACCGATCCATCTGGGAGCGTGCAATCATTGATTTCCTCCGCGTGCCGACAGAGTAGTGCAGATGAACCAATGCAATGTGACTCCATAGACAGAAAAGCTCCAAATCTTGCCTCGTTCTCGGCGGGCCTTGCCCATTGAGAATTGGATCGAAGAGATCGCTCGAAACGCAATGTTGAACAGCAAAGCCGCTCAGAAGCCAGCTGTCTATGCTTAAAGGGACTTGGCCGACGGTTGTAGACCACATGGAAAGCACGATGGCAGCTTGGAAGAAGTCTATCGTTTGGGGACTGGTCAATAGGGCGATGGACAGGAGAGCCTTGGCCTTTTCGAAAAGCGCTGGAGCGAGACGAGCCGCCAGTTCTTGATTGGTGTGGCGCACTGCGATCAAACAACATGCACATAGAAGAAGAGGAGACTGTTTGGCCTTGTCAAGAACTGCATTCGATGACATGAGGGGATCGAAGCAGACCCAGCGTCCATAATGCTCGTGAAAGATTCTAACCATGGCCACTGCATCTTGATGGGAGATGAAACCTTCGTCGATCATGTTGGCACCTGGAGTGTCATGGAGCGAATGTAAGCTCCTCACTGCACCTGGAGATTCGACACCCATTTCGGTAGCGATATCTCGAATGACCAATACAGGAGCGGCCGAGGGGTTGGTGGAAAGCCCTGGAGGCTGAAGCCGATCTGGCGAGGGATGTCGGAAGGACTCTCGAGCAGCAGGCGAGGGAGTAACTTCCTCATCCTCAGCATCGGGGTCAAGTCGTTGCAGGAGTCGCTCAACAGCCCTCTCCAAGCGCGACAGCCTCTGATCAGTACCATCGATTGCGGCATTGGGAGGAGCATGAGCCTGGCGTCGAGTTGAACGGAGTTTAGCCAAAGAGCATGAAATTTCCAGTCGCTCACATCTCAGGCATGAGGAGTCGGCAGCTCTGGATTCGTAGCATCGGGTCTTGAGCTTACGACACGAGTCGCAAGCCCTGGATGCTCTTCCCTTGTCGTAAGGCATCGGCCCACAGCTGCATATCTCGACCACAGCCGACCAGAGGACATGGATGTCGGAGTTTCACCGAAAGTGCCAGCCCGTGAGCAAGAATACAACGCAGGATAGAGCCATGTTCGAGTCGACGACGAGAATCCACAGCTTCTTTGGTGGAATGTGGTCAGGGCGTGATAACGTGATTGATAACGAGATAACGTGATAAGGCGGCAAGGTGATTTCCGATTGGCTGGGGCTCAACGACAATCCAAGTTCCAGATGCAGACCAATCTCCAACTCGCGACGTCAACAATCCGTGCCGCTACATCACTCCAATCACCTGTGTTGTATGACAGCGACCCTCAACAATCCTTCAGTGTGACCAAATCTCCCCCAATGACTATGGCCAACAAGAAGAATGCCTCAAAGGGCGATGATCTCCTTGCTCAGCTCGATGACTTGAGTACCCAAGCAACCGCTCGTTCCTCGAGAACCACTACTCGCCAGCCACGACAGGGGCAGTCGACACAAACCTCACAAAACGAACAAGACCTCCTGGCAGAGTTGGGCAGTCTTGCACGACCTACCAGCAGACCTGCAACCCCATCTCTCAAGCCACATGCCCCTTCCACGGCCGCAAGCCGCTCCCCAATGCGTACGACGACGGCAACCCCCCCTCCTGGCCGCACAAGCGAAGAAAAGTCCAGCAACGGACAGCGTAAATCCGGCGACAGCACGAGATCTTTTCACCAGAGTTTCACTCCTGCCACTACAACCACTGAAGACTCGGGCGAAACGGAGTTTCAGTCTGCCTCTACACCTGCCCCGGAGCCAGCAAAAAGCGGAGGATGGTGGGGAGGACTTCTGTCCACGGCATCAGCCGCCATGACACAGGCTCAAGCGGCGGTCAAGGAGATGCAGAAGAATGAAGAAGCACAGAAATGGGCTGAACAGGTGAGGGGCAATGTTGGTGCTCTGAGAGGATTTGGTATGTAGACCCCTGAGCCCCGACACCATCGTCAAAGCTAACCTCCACATGTAGGTGGTGACATCAGATCACTTGCCATGCCAACTTTTCAGAACATCCTCCAAACCATTGCTCCACCAATTTCGTCGCACGAACGACTCGCCATTCATATCACACATGATTTGACCAACTATCCAACCCTAGATCCTTTGATCTACCAAGTCTTTAGCCGGGTCATGGCTCAAGTCGAAGGAGGAGACCTGATTGTGATTCAAAAGGGGCGGGAAGCTGGACCTAAGCGTGGGTCCTCAGAACACAGTCGACAGCTCGGGTCCTGGCATGACGGTCCGTGGTGGAGAAGCGGCGAAAGACGCAGTATCAATGCCATCAAAGGGTTGGTAGAGGGAAGCAAGCTGGTGCGAGCATCCGCCGAAGGCTACGCAGAGGAATACTTTGGCGCCAAAGGAGGCGTCGAAGAGGCGGCCAAACGGGCTACAGAGACACTGTCCGAGACAAATCCTACCCGAGACAGTGAGATCTTTATCTCTATCCAAGCCATAACCCAACCTGTTCCCAAAGATTTGTTTGTTGGGGCTACTGCTACCGAAGTCGAACCGACCCAGATACAAGAGCCATCGGCCGAGGAAGAAATTGTCTTTGCGATCTATCTGCACGACCCCATCCACGGGATCGCATTCCAGGCGATATCACAGGCATTGCCTGGACAATGGATCGAATGGCTTGATGCACCTAGTGGTGGAGAAGGCACCCTCCCTGAGAGCATTGAGGAGATCATCGAGGGTGGTGGTATTGACCCTCGAGAATGGATCAGCGAATGGGTAGAGGAGAGCTTGAGTTTGACGATCGGTGTTATCGCGCAGAGATATGTAGCTAAGCGAATGGGGGTGGGTGAAGGGAGCACCAAGAAGGGCAAGTTGAGGGCTGATTTAAACCAGGCGGCTATCACTCAAAGTGGTGGCGGTGAGGCAGCGAGGGCCTTGGGATGAGATTGGAGCGTTGGATTCCTGTGCTGCAAAACGATCAGCACCTGTAAAGGTCAGAATCACTATACCATCGCGGGTCATTGGAGTAATAATGTTTGGGCTGGTAGCTGAGTGTTATTTACGGTGTTTGTAGCGAACGGGCGTGGAACTGGTCCCTGGAGATGAAGGATGGGAGCGAAATTGGATTCCGCGCATCTTTGTCAATGAACTCTTTCTGCGACGTGAAGGAATGGCTAGTACCTCAGGGACACAGATATGTTGATCTCAATTACCTACCTACATGAGAATATTCTCACATGAAGTACTCAACTTTGATAAGCGACACGTGATGCTCGACCGCATCGGGCAACATATGCCAAGTATATATGCCAAGATACTCTGAAATTGCACCAACCCCAATGAAGTATCGAGTGCCGTGTCTTTTGTGTCTTTTTGTGTCTTTTGCCTCCCCGTGCCTTCCCATGTTTTCCCTGCAATATCCGAGCCTGTCACGTTTGCCTCTTTTCTCATCCATCACTCCACCCATCCTCGCCCATGTGTCACTCTTCACAATAGCTTCTCTCTCCGCCAACACCATTTTGATTTTGCGATTGCATCCTCCTCGCTCGGCCCAAACCCTCCAGTGTCCAGTCTAACTACGTGTTCCTACCCGCGAACTACGAGCCGTCCTTTATTCTTTTCATCCTCCCGCCAACAAGGCCCGATCATGGCTCGAATCACCCAGTTTTTCTCTTATCTTCACTCCATCTTAACCTCAATCCCTCAACATGGCTACCATAATATCTCACGCGTCGTCCAACCGCAGATCCGCAACATCTCAGAGAGCTTCACAGCACGTGGTATCTCGAGAGATCCTTCCACTGCAGGAATAGAACTTCGCGAACTGAGAAAACCAGGGTATCGCGGTGCAAAAGAGACGGGCAAGTCCAAAACGCCAGCAGTGGCTTGAATACATGACATTGAATATCCCACTAGAGTGTCGACGACTCTTGTTGACATGAAATTGCCACTGTATCTCAGCATGGTTGTTACAGGCTCCGATGACTATACCCTCCATGTCCTCCCCAATCCCTTTGATTTTGGACTGCCTTGGAGATACATTTCTCAAAGAGGCACACCATAACAGAAGTCCCATCACAGCCAGCTGGATGGTTTACACAGAGAAGCCTCGGGCGTTCTGACGCTATTATCCTCCCCCTATCAGAGCCTTGATTGGATCTTGGGCATAATCAGTGGACGATCGTGATCCTCAGCCATACCGGTCTCTGGTGTTATCCGAACTCACGGACATTTCGCGCCAATTTACCGACGCAGTGCGAGGTGCAAAGACCAATGGCGTGTTATCAATCCGCACCAGGGCGTACACTTCAGGTGTATAGTTTTTGTCTATATCAAGACTCATGGGGCCTCCCATTGTTCCTATCCGCAGAGCAAGATAGCCAGAAACTTTGAAACCACGCCAACACTTAATTATCGAAAGGGAGGCAAAGCGAGGGCAGATTAGCGGGGCAACGCATGGCGCATGGCGCATGGCGCATGGCGGTAATGTTTTGGGAAGTCTTAATCTGCGCTTGTTCATGATTTGGTACATGAACTTTGGCACGAAAGGTGTGTTGTAAGCGTTGAACGATGTCATGAAGGAACGAGAATACGAAGCGAGGAATCAATGTAATATCACAGACTCTAGAGATACGTCGACACGATGGTTAGATATTGATGACACGGCAATGATGTACTGTCATCTGTCTTTATCCAGCACGTGTGTGAAGCTTCCTCATTGCCACGGTTGTCTGTTGATTGATTGGACGAAGCAAGCAGATACAAACCGATCTCATGCCCTAAAGCCCTGAAAACCTAAAGCACTGGCAAGGTGTCTCTCTCACAGTATTGGCGACAAGATAGTCACCCGTCCATGCGCAATACCATGTTTTCATTCGAGCATGTCGGACCTCCATAACCACTGTGTTGCCCTTGACTGTCAGTGGCTTCTTCTTTGTTCCTGTGTCTCGTGGTTATGATTCCATTATCCTGCTAAGCATACTCAAACCACGAGCACCAGTCGCTCGTCGGGCCATACTCTGTACTTTCCAATTCTTGTCGTCTGGACTGCATGGACCCAACTATGACATATTTTGGTCTGATCTGATCTAGCGACAGCGCCCCGGCGCTTCCGCGCTTCTTTGGTTCGGTCTTGCACAGGAAATAACCTTCCTCAGCCCAAGCTTGATTCATACCAGGATCACAACGTTATCCCCTCATGTGCCATGGCTTCGAGTGATATAGCTGCGCCACCGTCAACGGCTCCAAGTCTGAGTCTGAAGACCTATATCCCGAAGCATCCGACATGCCGCTTTCTCGTTTCTTTCTTGACCAAAATGTGCTGCTGCTCGTAGCCCCTGTGACATCCGTATGGCCATCGTCGTGCCGGAGAGTGGCACGCAGATTTTCATGTTTAGCCTGAGTGCGGAGATTTTGAAGCGGGTCACGCTGAGAGTCATCCAAACTGTCAGTCAAAAGATTCACCGGATCATGCACCATGTATTTGGCTGCTCCCTCGTCTTTACTGTTGCCGAAGCCTGTTTCAGCCTGGGCCTGGTTAGACGAGACTCGATTTGGTGTCGCGAGGAGGTCCAAGGCGTGGATACTCTTTCTGAACAGTTCACGATCGCTGCTACCAACGCTGATGCTGTCATCTGCATCGTCGGCTCCGCCATCGACACTGTTGCCTCTGACGCCATTTCTTTCACGCGCAATGCTGTTGTCATCATTCTCAGGTGCCGCCACCATGACAACAGACCCTCCAGACCCTGATGGCGAGCGGAGTGACCCTTCAGGAATATTACTCAGCACCCGGCGAGGAGCAATCTGTCCGTATATGCCATGGTCGTAGAAGTCGCTGGCGATCTGCTGCGCCATGGGGCTTGCGAGAGGAAGCGGCTGGAGGTCGCCTGAGAGTTCTGATGGAAGAGCCCTCACTGGGAGACTTGGGAGAGACTTTGCAATGTCGCCAACACGATCTTTGATGCCATGACGCTCAGTGGCTCCGAGTGACTCAGCTCGGGGTCTGATGTCAATTGTGCGACTGTCGCCTCGAATGGGATAAGCATCATTTCGACGTGGTGGTTGAGAAGCATGCTTTTCTGCAGACGTGACGCCTTTTGAACCATGTCTCATATCTGGGGCGTTTATAGAAAACTCGGCGCTAGCAGGTGAAAGTACGACTGCACTTCGACTTGTGGGTAGACCATGTCGCCGAAATCTGGTTTTGTCTCTTTCCATGCCCAGGAAGCGCAGTGCTTTTGAGGCGCTGCTGTTCTTGGGTGGCAGAGGCCCATTTCTGGCCGCGGAAAAGTGGTTCTGTGCGGAAACCTTGTTGGTGTCAGTACGCTGATAAGTGACGTCTTCGTGGGAGCTGCTTAATTTTTGTCGTAGACTCGAAATCTCGGTATCTCGCCGATCCAACTCCAGGGTATGTGCAATATTGAGGCTTTCCACTCGCCCGCGAAGCTCTTCATACTGACGAGTCTTCATATCGAGTTCAGCAGACATGTTTCGAGCCTGTGACAAACCCGTTTCGCTTTCACTCAATTTCTGGTCTAGGTCCTCATTCTGCTGAACAAGGAGCAAGACCTCATGGTCGCGCTCTTTCATGCGCGAGACCAAGCCCTCAAACTTTTCAAGGTATTGATCAAGTTGCCTTGATTGCTCAGTAATGGTCGTATTCTGAGACTGCACCACTCTAGTGTATTCCGCGACGCGGCTATTGGCTTGTCGGAGGTCGGCAGCATATTGGTCGATAGTACACTCGGGAATTCGAACAAATGGCAGTGAAGTGTGGTCGCCCAAGGAGTAGTCGGCCAGGATGCGAAAGATATGTTGCGTATGCGGGTCTTGCGCGAGCGTGGATTGCCTTGCTAGGTTTGCCCGAATGAAGAGGCCCAAAACGCGCACAACCTCAAGAATGGTTTGCCTCAACTGTATTATCTTCTGGCGTTGCTCATTCAATGTGGTTTCTCCCCTCTCCATTTTTGCTTGGACGTGCTCCAATTGGCGTTCCAAGTCTTTGACACGTTCAAGGTTAGACCGAGTGTCACGCTCAGCGAGGGATTGGGCGGACTTGAGTACGTCGTGATAGGCCGTGGTTATGATGCGTACATCATGGGAAAAGTTGGCGAGATCCTGGACAAGGTTAGTAGGTGTAACCAGTGCAGGGGAAACGAAAGGAAGACGCACGCTCTCTACGCCGACGTGGTCGAGATTTGCATTGAGCTTCATCTGACTGGCCTCTTGTAGCAGATCTTTGACATTCCGAACCTGGGCTTGCATAGCAGGAACCCACATGCCTGATATGGTTGGTTCGCACAAGGAAGGGAGGCATTTGAGTAAGTCTTCCATGCTCATGGCGCTGAAAGGTTTGGTGATGGGTGCTTCCTGGTCATTGGTTTTGACGGCATCCTGCGATAGGTCCTCGGCCAGTCGATCGGTCTTTCTTAGTGGATGTGCTAGGTTTCGGAGAGTCTCCATGATGCTTTGGTCTGTGGCCGAAGAGACGGAAAGTCCAGTTATGGACGCGCCGATATAGACCTTGGTGCGAGGTTGACGGAGAGACGGGGGTGGCGAGATTGGATGAGTTTGGGGAAATCCTTGACTTGGGAGAAGAAGCGACCCAGGAAGTTCAGGAGGCAGTGGAATTAGGGGTTTGGTTGACGAAGAAGAATGTGTTGGGAATGGCGGAAGTGGGCAACACTGAGGGGGTCTGGTAGAATAACAAGAGATCAAAATTGGTGAAGACGGCTGGTGCAATTCACACACAGGCTGTAAATATGGAGGTTTGGGAGCACATGACACAGCGATCAGTGAAAGCCATAGTTCCAACACGCTGGGCTGTGCCATTGGACTGATCTGAGGAGCAGGGAGGCTCGCGATCTTTGCTTCGAGCTCAATGCGCTGGTATTGCAGATCAGTGCTGCGCTTGATGAATTTGCCTTCGTCGCATGCCTACCGAAATACATCATCCTCATAGAATCCTCATACACGACGGCAGACGCATCTGACATGCAAAGATCTGTGATATGTTGTACAAATGGTCCACCAGAGACTTGCGAAAAAAAAGTTGAAGATGCAGTGCATTGACATGTCAGAAACACGTGCGGAAGAAGACAGGGATGAGGCAGGCAGGATGATGTGTTCATGATATAGGCTGTCTCAATTCCGGATCACTGGTGCTTGTATGTTTGGGATGATGAAAATTTGATGAGAATACAGAGACCAGTTTCGGACCATGTCGCTTGGATCTTTAGTGGGTTCACTGCAAAGCCCAATATGTCGACCGCCATCACACCAAGGGGCCAGCCTAGGTATGCTGAGATTGTCAGTCAAGTAAAGCTGGACATCAACCAGGGCTCGCCCATGCTGCTGGTATTGATTGTTCTCTGGACAGCCAGTAAACAAAAGCGTTGAGAGAGGCGCCTAACTGGGCCATCATGAGGCCACCGGCAAACGGCTTTTCCGTGCTGGTACAAACCAGTGTTTCACGATCGACCGGCTGTCCCTCAATGGTCACAAGATGCTCGTGGCCAGGAAGGCTGGGTTGTCAAGCAGTCAATGAGCAAGACGAGAGGTGGCCGAGTAGAAGATGGAAGGGTTAAGAGGGAGAAAGAGAAAGAGAATGAGAAGATGGAGGAAAAGGCAAGAGGTGATTCTGGACCGAGGCAGGTTGCAGCGAGCGCGGGTCACGTAACCGGTATTTTGATGATGAGAGTCTGCTTAACCATGGATTGACACGTACAAGGTGTAGGAAAAGGTGCCGGAAGGAAATGCTGGAAGAAGGAGTCAAGAGAAGGAGTCGTGTTGGAGAGAGAAGGTTGCCCGGTTTTCGTATTTTCGAGCTAAGTAGAACAACTTTTCCAAGCGCTAATCCCAACGATTGAACAAGAACACCATCCGGGGTATCACTGGACAAGGACCAAGGATTTGGTAGATCTGGTGGATTTTGACAAGGACCAACACGGTTAGGCGGATTCCAGCTTGACGCCTGGAACCGGGGTGTCATCCAAAACCACGATGCCGTAGGGATCTCGATCCCATTCGCTGACCAATACCTCGACCAATTGATGATTGCACAGAATGGCCCTCTCAGGCTCGCTCAGATTCTGGTTCGACAAGTTTTCGCCTTGGAGCTTGGTCCACTCTATTCGTGCTCGTCTTTCTAATTGATCTCTCATGACGCTCCAAAGATAGCCTCTCTCTGAGTTACTATGGAATAACGAGATGACGCATCCACCTCGCTCGGTGACAGCTAGGGTCTCGTGGTGGCTCAATTCTCCTGTGAGAATGAGATCGGCGCGGCACTTGCTCAGTACACTGCCTCCCGAGCCGGGGCATGTTGCGACGGTCTTGATCTGAATGTCTTCAATTCTGACGCCTTGGGGAATGGCCATGGAAAACCCCTTGGGCAGGCCGATTGCGTGGGCAATTCGCGTGATCAGCAGAGTCAAGGACTGAGCTGCATCGAAAGAGATGAGTCGACCGGCGCCTGTGTTGGATGAGTCGTACTTTGTGGACCGGGTCAGCTCGTTGGCTGCCTCGATTGCATCATGCGGTGACGGATTGACGACACTACGGGTATGCGAGATGACGGCGGGATGAAAGTGGCTCGTTGGTCGTGGGTACGTGGGCTTACTGTATGTTCGGCGAGTGGTTTGGGGCCTCATGGACTTTGCTTTAGGGGTGTTGGGAGACTGTGGGCCAGGAGACGACACATAGGGGTCAGAAACGGCGTCCGAGTGAGAGGTTGGTTTGGTCGAGGCGTCAGATAGGGTATCGCCCTCGTCGTAGCCATGGTCGGAATCTGAAGTTGTCACTTCGGTGTCTGAGGAGATTTCGGTATCAGAGGGCGTCTGGGCAGTGAAAGCCTCGCTTTCGGGGTCATCGACGCGACCAGTGACAACATCACACAGCCAATCAGCCATGCCTCCGGGGACAGTGTCGACTGCAGTATGGGGGCAATAGACGCTAATGCCATGGGCCAGAAGTAAGGATATAGTCAACTGCTGGGTGTCATTGGTCGTGATGGACTTGAGGCCGCGGAAGATGATGGGATGGTAGGAGACAACAAGCGAGACATTGTGGTCAATGGCTTCGGTCGCAACGGCCCGGGTGAGATCAATGGTCAGGAGGACCTTGTTGGTGTTGCGTGGTCGCGAGTTGTGGGTGGGCAAGAGGGGGGCTTCGACCAGCAGGCCAGTATTGTCAAAGCTCTTGTCGGCGAGGCAGTCAGGGTAGAGCTGACGCATGCACGAGATGACGGTACGAGTGAAGGGTGAAACAGGGTAAGGATATGAACGAGACTGGAAGTTCATGTTGCGACGCAGTGGCAAAGAAGGGAGACTGGTCGAGGGTTGGACACGGCTATGGGAGAAGGGTGGTGCGAGTCGGAGATGGAATTTTGGAGAAGAAGAATAAAGAGATGAAATGATGCGAGACAACGAAGGACGAAGCATCAGATGGTGTTGAGAGGGTTGAGAGGGGAGCTGGCAACAAGTCAATGGTAGGCGCAGGCATGATGAAGGTTCATCATGTAGATCTGTACAAGTCGGACGATGAGATGGGGAAGGGGAAGGAGCAGTGTGAGTGCAGGGCAGCCATGACGAAAGATGTCAGTGGGGAAGGAGCCACAGGCAAGAAGCTGCAAGAAGTATGGAAAAGGCAAGTACGGAGTACGGAGTAGTGAGGAAGGCGTGCACACGACATGACAGGCATGGAAGGAACGAACAATATGGAGGGAAGGAAGAAGGAATAACGTTGATCCTCTCCAAGTACTACTCTGAGTACTGCGGAGTATGTACTGTACTCCGTAGTACTCGGTAGTACTTGCCACTACTTGCTTGCCTGTATGCCTGCCCACCTACCCACCTGCCCTCTAACTATTGTGTGCGTTGCTTACAATTCATTCACATCCCAATCCTCCATGCTCCATGCTCCATCCTCCCTCCACCATTAATTCCTCCAATCCTTTCCGATCTCGCTCACTTACTTCCTCCCCCAAGAACGAAACATAATCCAGTTTGTTGACATCCTAATCACGCCAGTCTCGCCTTTTACCGGTATTATATACAGCAAGTACCTGATCCAAGTACCCACGTGCCACCAATATCCATCCCACTCTACCAACTTCTTCACCATCTACACCGTCGATGCAACCATTCCTCCGCACGAGATTATTTACTCGTGCCGCTGGCTGTGGTAAAAAAACATCTCTGTCACTCTCACTCAAACCTGCCAATCCACCGTCATCCCACAACCTCTCTCGCCTTTCCCTAACCTCTTATCTCTCCACTCGTCTCTTGACCACCTCCAACAGTCGGCTCGCGACACCCATGGCTGCTCAGACAGATCCCACCGCCGCCGACTTTGCCTCTTCTCACCAAATCACTCCGGAGTCACTCGAGTCCAAACTTCGCAATACCCTGCCTTCTACAACACACATCTCCATTCAGGATATGTCAGGTGGCTGTGGCCAGGCTTTTAACGCCATCATCGTGTCACCCGAATTCGACAAGAAGTCTCTGCTTGCCAGACATCGATTGGTCAACAATGCTCTGAAGGACGAGATCAAAGCTATCCATGCCTGGACTCCCAAGTGTTTAACCCCAGAGCAGTGGGAGAAGGAACAACAAAGAGGCCTGTAACATTCATACATCCGTTTTAATCCTTCACATTTGGTACTCGCCCAGAATGTGTCGCAACGAATACTTGACGGTCAACCCGAGAGGTTCATACTTGAACCGGGCGGCAGTATGGCGTACGCACAACTGACCTCCGTCGATTCAATCAGATCTGGTGGCGCATTATTTTGTTTTCCTCCTGGCGCAGCACCGGCCTACTCTTTGAGCGCTACTTCCGCCTGTCTTAGATACCACGCCGTTGTAATGCTACTTGTGGTTCAGAAAGCTCGAAAGCCCAAAAGCCCAAAAGCTCACGGGCAACACAGTGACATACACATGACATATACCCAGATTTCCGTCATTATATATAGCAATCGTCAGAGGCCTAACCCACGTATGACCAGTCCTCGTAGCTCGAGTCATTATCCAATGCCAGCAGTGCAGCCACCATGTCTTGAATCCTTCCAAGCTCGACCAAAACCCGCATGATAGCCAACTCGTACCGCCTTCCTTGGCCGGTCTCCATGCAGCATGGGCTGGTGTCGATCAAACTCGAGCGCCCATCGCCCCTCGCCCCTCGCCTGTGGGCTTCTGAGGCCAACCTAGAGCCTCCGACTGATTGGATTAAACCGTGTATGCATTCGCTCTGACATGTCCCATCATATATGCTGTACAGATCCGCCCTTTTCCAGAACTCCATTGGTTCGTGCAGGCATTCAGGCATTTATCCGTCCATCCAGCCGTGGCCGCATGCATAGACTGGGAACCACAGCCTTGGCTTTGATTACGGAATGAGCAATACGCTCAGAAACCGCATTTCACCCTTTGTTTCCGGACACCGGAGACTGGAAGGGACCACTAGTCGTGGCGTTCACGACGCCCTTGTCCACCGCCACAGCTGGCTGTCGTAACTTCTCTCAGCAGCTGGACACCGTTCCTAAGCCGTCTACTGCGACTTGCCGGAGGGAACTCCTTGTCCATAACTCAACACAACTCCAGAGACGTCAGACATCAGACATCACACACACTCACACACAATTCCAGGTAATAGTTCCCAATCAACCTAGTCGTCAAATCATAATGTCCAAGTTCGACGTTGTGACAATAGCATAACGCTGTCCAGGTCTCCTGTAGGTCCCTGTCAATTCCGTATCTACCAAGACCCCTTTCGCCTTATTGGCGCTGAAAACATGGACCTGCCGTTCGTCAAGGCGCCTTCCTCGTCCTCGCCGACTCCGACTCCAATTCTGTCGAGCCATTGTCGAGCCATATGATGCACTGTACACTTGACCAAACGCGAGGCCACCTCACTGTCGCATGGGCGCCGACATGGTCTGTTGCGGCGCGTACAGCCGCTGTCGTTTGTTCCCACTGCCCATTTCGGGTGCTCCAGCCATTTCTGACGGCCCTCGACGGTGCGAATGGGCCTGTTGTTGGTGCTGCTGCTGCTGCTGTTGTTGCTGTTGCTGCAACATGTTAGGACCTCGAAGTCCCACGGGCGTCTGTGGTGCGTTTTGTGTGTACGCGTTGCCGTTGGCATCGATAAACTGTTGCTGTTGAGGCGCGACTTGCTGTATGCCTCCGTAGTGGATGTTGGGGTTGACGGGGGAGTATTGACTAGGCGAATTCCACGTCCCACTGGATCCTGCGGGAGATGCCCCAGCCGAAAGGTCATCGCGCACCGAGTGCGCGTTGGAAGATGCAGGTATTCCACCGCCCATTAACCCAGCCTGGGAGGGTGCTTCCATGCCGGGAGGCGTCTTTTTGAGGTGCATCAAATGTTTCTCGAGCATATCCAACAGGGACTTGCGAGTAAAAGGCTTGGGTAGGACGTCGTCCATGCCGTGGTGGAAGTACATTTGTATGTCGTCAGATCGGATGTTGGAGGTCATGGCAACGATGGGGGTGCGATCGAACTGACGGATCAGATGGCAGGCCGAGACACCATCCAAGTTGGGCATGATGATGTCCATCAAGATCAAGTCGTACTTGACTCCCTCCTGCATCTTGCTGACTGCTTCTAATCCATCAAGAGCGGTTTCCACGGTACACGAGAATGAGTAGAGGAATTTGCCTCCGATCTGGCGGCAGGTTGGGTCGTCTTCGACCAGGAGAATTCGGGGGGCGCGGCTCCAGCCGGGGTCGGATACTCCGCTCTTCTTGCGCGACTCGGCAAAGTGGGCACGCGGATCCTGGGTATCGCGAGTGTTGGTGGGTAGACTATAGGGAATATTGTGAATGTGCTCGCTATAGGTTGGGTCGATGCCGTTGATCGTACCCATGGGATAGACCACCTGTTCGAGTTGAGCGGGATCCATTTTGGAGAAGCCCATGCTACCACTCGAAGTCGCGGAATTGGGGCCCCCAAATTGGTTGGAACGGGGCGGCTGGGCCATGGCTCCCGGTAAGAAGCCGTGGTTCATTTGTTCAAGTGCAGCGAAATTGAACTGAGTATCAGGAGGAAGATCATTTAACAGTTTGGCGGCGTGCTGGAGAGGTGACGCGGGAATATCATCATCTTGCGGGGGCATGTTCTGACTTGTGGGAGTGAGGGTCGAGGCGGACGGAGCCTGGTCAGGCTGGGGGGGAAATATGGACTTGCTGTCTCGCCTTTGTTTAGCGTCAACGGAATGAAGGAAGGTCATGACATCCTGCATCACGCGGTCGTGGTTGACCACCGTCTTTTGGATCCGCATCAGTTCTTGCACAACCATCTGATGGTTGATCTGGAGTTGTTGGTTGTTCTGGACCAGGGACTCGATCTGTTGAGCCTGGGCGACAATCTGCTGGTTCATGAGGTCGATCTGCTGGATGGGGATTTGCTCATCGCTGAGATTGCCAGGTTTTCGAGGCGCAGGAGCCTTCCGCCTGATGTTATCAAGGGTGTCCTTGCTATTGGCTTTGAATTCGGGATGGCGGAATTCCCATGCATTGGGTCCGTAAATGGAAGTGCCGCCCTCTTCATTATTTTGACGAACCTTGTGGAAATCATATTTGTTGAGCTGGCGAACAAAGCTGGCAAAATTGGAGTGTTTGAAGTGCTTTGGGAGGATGGATTTTGTGAACTTTTCGTTTTCCAAGACGACGAAGCTGTCGCGATCGTCGCCCCAGCGGACTACGGATGAATATGACGGGTCCTCGAGCATTCTGTGAGGCAGAAAAAAGATTAGCGAACCGTGAATTGGGTAAGTGGTGGCGCTAGGGAAGCCAATTACTTATATAACTTTCGCACAAAGTCGCTGGAGCTGTTTGCACCAGCGCCTCCAGCTTGGTTGTCCATGCCGGGCGATCTAGTCAAGACACAGGGGACCAATGAGGTTTTCGTTGTCTGGAAGAAGTGGGAGGCGACGTGAGTTGAGATGATACAGCGCAGGGTGGGTTCGAGATTGGTGACGCAAAAGACTCGAACAAGGCTGATCAAGGCGGCATTCTCAGGCGTGCGCACCAGACTTGTGGAAATTGAGGGGCCTGATGAGAATAAGAAGGGTTGCAAAGGAAGGTCAGGTCGCTAGTGAGTCGAGTCGAGTTGAGTCAGTTGAGCTGGGGAGGCAGGGAGTGTAGATGGTAGGGAAGATATTATCTGGCTATCGATTTGCGACCGAGAAACCAGTTGTCGGGTCGGCTGCAGGTTGGAAGAAGCTGGGGAGGGGGCCCGGGAGTTGGGGCAGGGAATAACCGAAAGGCAGAGCCAGAGCCGTATTGGGACAAGGAGACAAGTGGGAGGGATACCAATGGGCTAGAAGTTTGAATAATGGGGTAAGAAAGTAGTAAGGTATTCAGAGAGGGAAAAGATTAGGAGTAGCAAAAGCTGGCGGAATGTTGAAGGGGCCAACGGCAGAAAGACTCGGAGACAGGTGGCAAGGTACGATGTAATTCAACAGGATTGCAATGGAAAGACGTTCAAGTGTCGTTCAAGTGGGCGAGCAAGAGACAGTTGCTTGGAAGACGAGGTGACGGTGAAGGTGAGGGCGGTGGGTGCAGGTGGGTAGTGGATGATGGATGATGGATGGTGGATGGGTGGACAGTGGGCAGTGGACAGTGGGCAGTGGGTTTTTTGCCGTTGTCAGTCATTATTGGTGCAGAGATACCCTGTCGTACTTGTCTAGTAATAAAACCCGCCTCTGCCAAAAAAGATTGTCCTTGACTTCCAGGTTTGCGAAGCACACCTGGGAACAGCTCCGTAGGCCAGGCTGTCTGATGCCAAAGAGGTGCGGGACCAGATGGACCTTTGGCAACGCACCCGTTGGAGCCATATTACTTATTAAGTACCTCATGTATTAAGAGGCTCGAGAGTGCAGTACAGTAGGTGACCTAGAAAAGGTCCGTTGAATACCTAACTCTTGCATTGCCACCTGCAGTTTATTAGAAGTGTCGAAATCAGGCCAAAGGGTTTGAGCCATGGAGTGATGATGATTATTGAGTCTACGAGGTACCCAAGGCATGCGTGTCATGGTAAATACCTAGGTACCCAGGTAGGTAGGCATTGAGCCGCGACGGTGCCGAACGACAACCAGAGTTCTGGTGGTTAGGTTCAGGGCAGAACCGTTCTGATCCCAACTACTGGAAGTGAACCAGGGTGTGCAAACCAGAGGACCAGGAACAGGTTCTCTGGAGTTCAGGATTCAGTAGGACCTGGGAATCTCAAGTGCCAGAGTGCCTGTCAGGCGGTCCGGAGTATCTTTAGCGGTAGAAATGCGAAGTTACAAGTGCGACAGGCATACCCATTGCTTTGGCGGTGGATATTATTGGCTTTTCTCAAACCCTTGGCTCCCGTCGATTAAGTTTTGCTGGCCTAATAAAACCTAGGCGTGCCCTGGGCCAACACAAGTACCTAATCCAATGTCCAGTGTCTGGTGTCTGGTGGTAAGCACCTGCCAGCAGTAGGTAGGTAAGTAGACTGGGAGAGGAAGTACGCAGTGGTCCTAGGTGTCTACCTACCTACCTAGCAAGGAGTGACGGGCTACCAGGGTACCGCGCATATAAATGACCTGCTCGCCCTGCCCACCCACCCACCTACCTACCCACGCTACCTACTACCAAACCATGCATATTATTATTACAACTGTTCTCTCGTGCCTATGAACAGTGCGCCTCATTTGTGGGTACGTACGGAGTAGATGACAGAGGCCGCTTGGAGCTAGGTGGGTCGTTTTTGGCGCTTGCGAAGCCCGATCCGACTCGATCGTAACCCAACTTGGCGAATCAATTCAAAAACGAATATCCTGCACGTTTGCGGTCTAGCCTAGCAGTTTACAGGACAGTAGCACTGGTCGCCGCACTAATGGCCAAGGTTTACATCATTGAAGTACCCAAAGCCTATTATAAGTCGAGGCAAGGTTGATTAAAAGAGGTGATCGTTGGGTCATTCAAGTGATCGGCGAAACCCAGCAAACGTTGACTGGCAGACTGGCAGATAGGCATATTGGAACACGACTGCTACCTAAGAAGTTAGATATAGCTATGGTAGAGTGTTGATGTTGAGCGCAGAGGTGCTCTGTAAAGGTGACAAGTGACAGGAGAGGCTGCCCACAAGAGCACGAGCGACAGGGGATTGGCTAAGTACTAGGTGCCTAATTTAGTAAGTAGTAGGGGGTCACTGGGCGTCAGAGATTTGCAATGCACAGCAATTCCGTTCATCTAATAAAGAGCACACAACAACACCTACCAGCTCATGCTGCTCCATTATTATTACTGCGTGGGCGTCCTTTGCTCTTGGAGACACCAGTAGTCAGGTGCCCATAGCCTACCTAAGCACGCATGCACGCGCAGGAACCTCGGATTGGGTGGCCTTTGTTGGTTGGGGCCACCCCATTCTCGATGCCGAGGGACCTCCTCAACTAGGTGGCCGCCCTAAGTTCTAAGATGCCGTGCCTTGCCCTTCGGCCGTCTTCCGCCACCCTGTAAAGGCCCCGCTAGGCGAGCCAGGTCCGAAGAAGCGATCTTATCCAGCCTAGGTCACGATGGACTGGCTACGTGCCAAAGGCGATTGCGGACGTCCATGCGGATGTTGACTTACTCCGTACTTGGACTCATGAGCTCTTTAGCATGGTTAACCCTCCTGTCGACGCCAGTCAGCCATGTACATCGGCCACGACCTTGTCCCACCAACTTGAAAATCCTCTTTAGTCCTTCTATATGGTTCTCGCAATGTCGGCCAGGGGTAGTTGCTCCTACTAGATCGTGCACAGGTATGGCACGACTACAGTAAGTAACTTTGCAGATCAAAAATTAGGCCTCATCCGGCATTTTGGTATGGGCTGGTCTAGTGTACTCGTATCCGCGGTCCGACTCTGCACGCACAACGTACTCCGTACGAGGATGGATGTATGCATGGTAACGTTTACTCTCCCTCCCTAGGGAGTTGAGCCTTCCACGTCCCTGGGCTGGTGTTTGGTGGTTCCGAAGCAATGCAGGTGCAGGCCTTACGCATGAGGTACTCCGGATGTACTCCGTACTACTGTAGGAAGCTAAGTACGAGCAGACGCGGGTGTGGCGGCCACAAGTTCAAATTCTCAAGCTGAACGAGGGAGTCGTTCATTCTACACTTGGACATGGCGGGCTTGTGGTGGGGAAACCAAACAACCCCACTGGCCGTTTTGGCAGATCATGCCCCGTGTTGGACGACTATTTTGGAAACTTGGTGGCGACTCGAGGACAAGTTCATGCTAATGGGCACGCCCAGCAACCCCCGGAAGCAAAAACACATCCCTGGATCCTCCTCTTTCAAACTCTCTGGGGCTGTCACTCATCCTTCGAAAACTACTCCGTACGTGTTCCCCATGGCCTCCCCCGATGATTTTAGCTTTTACCTGCAAGTACTCGTACGGAGTACGGTAGATAAGAATAAATAAGTAAAAGGTAGATAGGCTCTTGCGTAATTCCTACTACTACTCTATTATATCTACTCCGTAGGTAGGTAATTACTCCGTAGAACTCTATAATACGCCCAAAACATTACCAGGTAGTTATCTTTACCCATATTTAGTTAGATACCTATCAAAGAGAGGTGTCGATGGCCTATCGTTTCTCTGCCCTGGACATTCCACTTTTTACTTATTTACGGAGTATTCTCATCCACTGTACCTACCTAGTATCTCGGTTTCTACGTTACCTCACATGTACGGAGTATATTGTGAATGACTTGATATCGAGATCGCCCAGCCACGCCAGTCTATTATTCACCTAGAATAAGCCTACCGCGGAAGTGCCAAGTGGTCATGCTGCGAGGAATCCAACCACTAGGGGCATGGGGGCACCATTCTTGTCCTAACCCTACCTCCATAGGTGCCTACCGTGACCCTTAAGGGATATTCGTATACTACCTACTCCGTAGAGCACATACTCGTACAACTGCAATGGGTTCACCCAAGGACAAGGTATTAACTTGATACAGACAGCTCCAATATGATCATGACTCCTCCAAGACTTCTCGAAACCAATCTTCACCATGGACCTAACCCAAGCCTCTAGGAAGCTGATCCGGTAGTTTCTATCCCCACGATGAAGAATATCACTCGTGACCAGGACTATTCCTAAGCCTCGTGGTCAAGAACCGCACGGTCAATGGGTGCGAGGCGACAGGAGCCAAACATCCAGCACAGTGGACATTAAGCACTAGCAATCAAGGACGTATGAATACTTGTAGGAGGGAACACAGGCCACATTTGGCCACCTGCAAGCCACGCGGAAGAAGACAATTCAACAAATGCCCAACAATAAAATGATGAGGTGCTCCTGCCATTTTACACCTCCGGTATCATGGAGCGAGGAAAGTGCATTCCATTCGAATGTCCGTCGCTTTCCCCTCATTACCGCTCGGCTTACTTACTGTAACAAGGGCAGAAGTCGACGGAGGAGGCCAAGCCCCCCCGGTCCTGGGCACACCTCGTGCCACGATTGGTGCATCTCCATCGTACCTGACCCAAATGATCGATTCCCCAAGAGCTGCGTTTACGGAGTACTTCGTCATCCTTCAAACCATTTGGAATTATACCATCTACCAAACGCACCTGCCCACGCCATTGTCAACCATTTCAATCCTTGAATTTCCTTTCTAAAATGTATCTCCGATCTCTTCTGCGCTCCTCCCAACCTCGTCTCTCTGCAACCTTACCCACCAAACCATCCCCCTCTCGTCTCGCGAGACCCTTCCATTCCACCGCCGCAGCTATGGTATGATGACCGAGCCATGACAGCCCATTTTCTCGCGGCGTTGGGCTAACGTTGAAGAACAAAGGTCAAAGAAGGTGACGCCGTTCCTAATGTCGAGCTTTTCGAAACATCTCCGGGCAACAGGGTCAACTTGTCGAAAGAGCTCGCATCAGGCAAGGGCCTCGTGATTGGAGTTCCTGCTGCTTTCTCCCCGACTTGCACCGGCAACCATGTTCCAGGATACATCGCCAGTGACAAGTTGAAGACCGCTGGCAAGGTTTTTGTCGTCTCAGTCAACGACGCCTGGGTGTAAGATAGCTCCCCTCAAACCACAAAGTCACTACTGAACATTGCACCAGCACCAACGCATGGGGCAAGACGCTGGATGAGAACAAGTCGAGCGGTATCCGCTTCATCGCCGATCCTGCCGGAGAATTCACACAGGCATGGGATGTGGCTTTCGACACCACTGCCATTACCGGCAACTATCGCAGCAAACGCTATGCCATTGCCACTGAGGATGGAAAGGTTGTCAAGGTCGCGATCGAGCCCGACAATACCAGCCTGACAAGTAAGTAGACGGACTTCGACCCACCTGAACTCTCATGACTGGATACTAACACAGATTTATCAGTCTCGGCTGCCGACAAGTTCTTGTAATTGTACAGCTGCTCGGGTCGTGTGGCCAGCCAATGTGGGGTCTGTGAGTCTTGAAAGATTATAGAAAATAAGCAGACTTGAAGAGACGAAAAGAGTCGATACCACTTAATACGACACTGATTGCATCATTGTTCAATCTCGGGAGTCCCCACCGCTTCGTCTCGAGTCTCATCCAGCACTCTTCCCTCTGACAATGTGTGCAGCCCCAATGCACCGCTTCTGCCCGGGACGGACAGACACGAGACCCGTCTGTTCGCGATCAAGGTCCTTCAAGATGGGTACACTAGGAGATGTTACCTCGGTGCTTGGGTCAATCGAAACCTGTAATCTCTCCACGCATTACTGTAGCACATCTATTTAGGTCAAGAGCGCTCTGACTTCGGCACCAGTCCGTGGATATAGGTCTCTAAGGGATTCGGGTGAGCCAAGGTCTCCTGGTCCGTCTTTGGCAGCATCTCTAGTTTCATCGACGATGGTTGATCCAGCCTGGACGTCGACCATCTCCAACATGGCCTCTAGCTCGTCGAAGTCGGCGCAGAAGCGGTCTATGGCTTCGGCCACCACATCTTGAGCAATGGCTCTGTCCAGGAGCTTTTTTAGTGCTTCTTGTGCATCCATCAAGGCGCTGGAAAGGAACTCGTCCAACCTCACGGCAAACCCATCCAGTTTATCCACCAACCACTCCTTTCGTGCCATGGCGTTCTGTCTGCTGTCCAACTCCTGCATCATCTCGTCCACCCCCGAATATTCTAGAAAGGTGCAATGCAGTTCCTTGAACAGACCGTCGCGGAGAGCTTGGATCTCAGTGCTGGCCTTTTCCAGAGGTGGGCCCACATTGGGGACTTGGATTTTCAGCCCCGACAGCGTCGACTTCAGAGCCGTCATGTAGTTAATCTTGTAGATGCTCCTGCTTCTGACGTTGGTAATCGACGACGCAGTGCCTGCACACGCGTTCAGAATTCCGCTCAATGACGCGGTAAAGATGCGTTCGAGTTCGGGATCAGTCATCTGTGGTCCGCGTGCCCGGCATATCTCGGCAAATTGGCGCAATCCGGTGGCGAGATATGTGGGAGGCGACAGATCTTCATTGACCACGATCTCGGAAGTGGCGGCGCGTATCTCTTCCTGGATTGTATCCTCAAACTGGGCGAGGGTGTTGGACTCCAACGTTTCAATCAATCGAACCAGTGCGGCCTCGGGACCCAGGAGCTTGGTGAAAATGCCACGGTAAAAGTCCAGGACGTTGAAGGTCTTGAACTGGAGCACGGGGTCGCCAGAATTGCGGACGGCGACATCGATTCGGGAAGACAGAGTGGCACAGGCGGCGGAGAGATTCCGACTGATGAGTGACGCTAGAGCTGCGTGGGGGTTGAAGACAGGCTCCCGCTTTCCTCGGTCCTCCTGGCCGGAGCCCTCGGTGGAAATGGACGAGGACGACCCGAGGCTGGATCGCCGTCGCGGGATCCGCGCCCACGGTTCGCTGGCCTTGCTGGTAGTAAGAGCCTTGGATATGTCGTCTCCATCAGAGATAAACAATCCCTCCAGGGCTTCCTTCTCCGAGACGGCGGTTGAATGGACCCAGGCCAGCATATCACCAATATATCGTAGCGGTTCATGCGTGGAAAATTCAATGGCCTTGGCGACACCGGAGGAGCCGGTGAGAGCTGCGTGAAAGGCTTCGGCCAGGGTAGATTGCCTGGCTTCGGCGAAGAAATCCAGACAATTTTGAAACAAGGTCGGCCGCTCAGACAAGACTCTCAGGGCTCGTCGAATGGAGCTGGATATGTGGGGATCTTCGAGATCGAGGCCCTTGAATTCTCTTTGGATCCAGGTATACAGCTTTTTGAAAGCGGCGTCAAGGTTTCGTGTAGTTTGTTCCATCAATTCGAGGCCCAAACGTTGGTTTTCATAGCCGAGAAGGATCTCACAGTCGCGGTGGATATGCTTGACTCGGGTCAAAATTTCGAAAAAGCGATCATCGAGAGGCTCGGCAGATGAAGTAAGTAAATTGAGATCCGTGGTAGAGATGAGAAAGTGCGAGGTAAAGGCAGTGAGGAGAGTGGATTTGGCCTCCGTATCTTGCTTGCGGGAGATAAGCTCGCCGGCGTCTTCGAGGACCGCTGCAGTCTCTTGTCTTGCGGCGTAGATATGGGAGCGCATGCTGTCCACGGTGGTGTTGAGGGCGTCGAGGAGGCTTCCGACGCGGCGCAGTTGCTGTCAAGAGATGTTAGTTGTGTCTGGGCTCTCCATATGCCGCGCTTGAGGGTTATGATCATGGTAATGTTGTCAGGATCAGAGGCAACTCACCTCCGCGACCGCGCCAAAGTCGTCCACGATCCTTGCGTTGCAGTCAATGACATGTTTTTGAGCATTGGTCTTCAAATTCCGCCGCGTGTCTTGATCATTCTGAAGGCCGCGGTCGTCAAGCAGGCGCAGGGCATCTCGGATCTCGTGGTCTGCGTAGGACGATGATAGGACACTGGTCACTTTGGTGCCGAGGGCATTCGGTTTCCTCGCAGCAGTGGTGGCATCGGCGCTGGAACCGAGAGAAGAGGAGACATCGGTGGCGGATGGAGAGAATACGTCTCGATGTGACAAGTAGGTGGTTGCCATGGGCCTCGGCGGGATCAAGATCTTTACAGTTCAGCCAAAGACGAGCACGGGGGGATTGTCTAGTGGCAGAATGCCAGGATAAGGGAATGAAGGTGAAGTATAATGGTGGTTAACGGTGGTTGATGGAGGAATTATGTGGCTGCTCTTAAGGCACGTGATATGTCGCATTTAAGTTGGAGATTTGGTTAATTTTATTCAAGATGCATGTATCACCGTCCTCGAGAAGATATATATATATATATTTCATGGTCGTTGCGCGGTAGTAGGTATAGTAAATTGGACTTTTGAAACCCCATTTATTTTGATGTCTATTTCATCAACCATCAACCATGGAACTGATACCGACAAGGTGACTATGTGAGGAATTCTTCCAACTGCAGCCCAGAGATTCATCTACATTTGGGAAATCAACCACTTGATACCTCCGACAAGGTTTCCAACGAACTGTTGCCCCTCGGGGACAGAAGGCATGATCCAGAAATAATGTGGCAGACCCTTGTAGTGGTCGTGTTTGGTGGGAACACCGGCCTTTTTCAGGGCTGCTTCCATTACATAGGCATCATCTCTGAGAGGGTCCTTTTCGCAGCTGGCAAAATAGGTTGGGGGATAGTTCTGGTGGTTGTCGGTGGCCAGAGCGGTGAAAATATCGCTGTCCTTGGGGTCGACCTCGGCGTGAGTATAGAAGATGTTCATGGACTCTTTGTCGATGATAGGAACTCCTTCCTTATTCTCGTCGTAGGATTTGTATATTGCCTGGTACTCCGAAGGCACATTGTCCCAGTGAAGAGTGCAAGGGACAATCGCAGCGATACCTTTGATAAAGCCGCGAGTCTCTGGTTTCTTGACCAGTCGATTGGCGACTTGCAAAGCGAGGGCACCACCGGCAGAGCCTCCAACGGTGTAGAACTTGTTGGGGTCTCCTCCGATGGATGATGCGTTTTGGTGAGCCTAGAATGGTGCGTCAGGACGAATGTGAGTGCATGAGGGCGAGACTGAGGCCCAGGCCCAAGAAAACAATGATCAACTCACCCATCGAAAGACCTTCAAAGTGTCCTCAAGCTGTGTAGGCACCTTGTGCTCGGGCGAAAGTCGATAGTCAACATTGACGACGATCGAAGGGGCATGCTCGGCAACGACCCTGCACAAGACGTCGTCTGAATCGAGATCGCCCGTCATCCAGCCTCCACCATGGGTCCAGATGGCAACTGGGAGAGGGCCCGACTTGGATGCTTCCTTGGGCTTGTAGACGCGGTACTTGATGCCATCAACGTCGCCGTTAGTGGCCTCGACCGCATCTGATGGGGGAGGCATATGTGGCATCAGCATGGCCACCAATTGATCGTACATGTTCCTCAAGTCTTGAGGAGATCCATGCATGACCATCCGACCACCGCTGGCCTTTTCGAACTGGAGACTGAAGTGAGCAACGGGCTAGAGGTGCGCGCACATCGTACCTACATCGAGCCATGATTGGGCGTACGCCATATTGTCCTTGCGCTGAGGGTGCGTGGGTTTGAAAGTGATTTGGCTGATGAACGACGTTCTGGGTGATGACAGTCCACAGATACTGGACAACTAGTTGTTGATCCGAAGGAGCGATTTCCTGAGCATTGTGGGACGCCATCGTAAGTATTAATGTAGGCCAGGTAGTCCAAGGCACGAATAGTCAGTCATGTTGACCTCGGCTCATCTGGCGGGGCCCTAAAGGTGGCATCGTGTCTGCCCATTCGTCCGTCCGTCCTTGGACGAGAACCAGACCATAGAGGCTGGAGTGCGGGGCAGTAAACTGACTCGAGTTGACCGGAAGATGGTATGTGGATGGGTGATACTTGTCTGATAGACGCTCTCGACTATTCGAGGCAATGTGAGGAGGCTAGAGCACACAGCAACACATCTTGACGAAACCTACCTCCATACCTACAATCATCAATTGATACTTTATTCTAGAGGAACAAACATATCGAAGGAATCACAGGGTTCGGATCGGGACACAACCTCTCCCTACCCGTAGGCACATTGGAGGGGTTGTGAACAGGAGGGACTGTGGATCTGTCTCCGTGCCCCAAGAGTTGGACTTCGCACGGAGCGAATGGCACCAGGTCGGTGGCTTCACTACTTAACCCTATGCACCAAAATACTCGCTTCGTAAAGGGACTTACATAAGAGAGCTTGTCACGATATCCGAGGGTTTTGCTACCCATGCTACGTGTCGAGAGAGGGTGCTCCCATATTCTACCTACTTGGGCAATTTTGATGTGGGTCGAATAATACATAATATTAATTCTACTCCAAGTGCCAGTAAACAATCAACACTGTCGAGGCCGGGTTCATGTCATGGTTCATAGTGCTATACTATTACCAGGGGTCCCTAGCCATGATACATCTTGACCATAGTCAAAGCGCCAACCTCAACTCCTCAACTCGTGGCCGCCTCTGTAAAGTTATAATGCCCTGTCTGCTCAGCATGCTTAGTGGCACCTGATTCACCCACACAGATCGCTCCACAATCACCGCATCGAATCGAAAATCCGGCCGTGTCAGTGTAGTAATGTCGTTCCTGTAGTTTCTGACACAGCTTGACCGCCGACACCAGCACCGCGTCAGCTTGTGGCCCCTCGAATTGCTTTTGATCAAATTCGGGCTCTGAGGTCGCAAATGGGCTTAGCGCAATTGTGTCATAGTGAATGCCCGAGTAGACAACGAAACAACGACTGTGTGCCCCTTCATTGTACCGGTCGACTCGCAGTGTCTGCACGTCGATGCTGCATATCTCCACGTTGAAATGTTGACTGAGGATATCCAATTCTATTTGACCACCCCACGCATCTTCCGACTGAATCCACCGGCAATATTGATCCGGCTCTTTGTTGTCAAGAATGGCCTTGGAATACCTTTCGGGATGCGCCTGAATGGTTTGTGCAACCACCGAGCGCAGCTCGGTGACGGCATCTAGGTCTGAGATAACAGCACTGGCGATCGCCCGGAACAAACAGGAATTGTCATCAGGCATGATGCGGAGCACTAACGTCCCCCCGTCTTCTGGCATCAACACCTCTGGCGGGTCATCCATGGCAGGATTGCTTTTCCGGGACAAAGATAATGGTGCAGGGGTTGTTTTAACCTCTGAAGTTGCTGGCGGTGCAGACCTTTGGCTGGCCGATGATTCATGTCGATCGCTAGAGCCACGCCCCGACCCTAACCCTTTGGTGGCCTCGGTGCTATTGACGATGAGTTGCTCGCCGTTCAATTTGACCTCGAGCGAGGTTAGTAGCTGTGACGGAGGATACTGATCTAGCTGGAGTGTTTTAGGAGGATATCCGTACTTGACATCGAAACTAGTCAATGATGTTTCCGTTGTGATCGTCTTTCGCAGCGTTTCTATCGTTGCGGCGTCGTCTAATGTCGCAGTCGAGGAGCCTCCCGATGGCCCTCGTATACGGATTCGCATATTGGATCGACGGTTGATTAAATGTGGATTCGCACAAAACCAAATGTTGCAAGCGATCGTCCAAAAGACTTCAGTGTTTTGTTCCTGGGATCTCAGACTAAACGCCACATCGAAGTCGGTGGATCACAGTAGAACGACAAAACAGGTAGATTAGTTGTTTCAACGCAGGCTGTCCATATTCCTGAACTAGAAGCAACGCTAAAGTCGCATAATCGGGAGAGGCGATCGAGCTGGTCGAGAAGAATTGTATATTGATTGTTGATCAAGTCTTGACCGACCATTATCGACCATGGATAGAGAACATCCCCCGCTACTGGCAGAGCAACTAAAGCAGCGAGGTCTCTCCGAGTCAACTCCTTATTTGGGCGACGAAGAATCACGTGATATGCATAGTCCCCAAGGCGGCAGGATTTAATCCCCAATTAGGGTTTGTGTCTGTCTCTGTGCGCGTCGCAACAACGTCCATGCCACATGATATGATGATATGAAGACGACGATAGCCACTATTGATCTTCTCAAACGGCTCGGACATTGGTAGCCTGGTAGACAGGTCTGCCGCCTGATGTCCCCTTCACTCACCCACCCCTGCATCCTCCACCCTGCGCTTTGGGAATGATACAAGATGGTTCGCAATGCAGATGTTGACACTCAAATGGCTCTCGAGACCGAGAATGAGGCCACCACAGAACCTGACCCTTCAATCGCAAACGCCTCTGACACTATTGAAGTCCCCAAGCCTGAGAGTGTCATTAAGGACGACGATATAGGCGATGATCGATCCGGGGACGAAGGAGACGCGCCTGAAGAGGACGCGGCGGGTGATCGTCCTGTTTCGAATGATCAATACAGGGCTTTCAAAAGTATTGCCGACACCCTCACAAACTACAACTACAAGAACAAGGGTGGAGAGTGAGTTGATTCCTGCCCCCCTTTCTAGCACCTGCTTTGCTAAAGCTCAACTTAGGGACTACTATCCCTCCCTGCTCTTCCGGCGCATTCCCAATCGACGAAACCTTCCCGATTATCATGAAATCATCAAGAACCCGGTTGCCATCAGCACGCTAAAGGGCAAAATCCAGAGAAAATCTTACACCGGCGTCCCCGAGTTCGTCCACGACTTTGCCCTCATCGTCCACAACGCCCAAGTCTACAACCGTCCAAACTCGGCCCCAGTCCGAGATGTGCTACAACTACAGTCCATTTTCACACAAGAACTCCAAAAGCTGGTCGAAGAAGGTCTGGCGAAGGATGAGGAGATCATCTTCCCAGACCTTGGAGAAATCCCTTCCGCAACTCCAGAGCCAGATCCCGTCTCCGACGACGACGAAGACAACGATGACGACCAGGATGACGACGACGATGACGACGATGCTGATGGCGACGACTCAGATGAGGACCGCACCAAGTTCAAACGTCGCAGGAGCCGTAGTGCTCGAAAGGAACGAGATGACGATGACGGCAGGAAACGGCGGGGGAGGCCACCAAGGGTCGACACTCCCATGGAGGCCCGCATGAAGGCCATCCTCAAAGGTCTTCGCAAGCCCAAAGATGCCCACGGAAACCTTCTGCTCAGGCACTTTGAACGCCTGCCCGATAAACAAGAGTACCCAGCGTATTTCACCGAGATCAAAGACCCCATCGCCATCGACACCATCAAGAAAAAGCAAAAACGCAAAAAGTACACGTCACTCGATTACTTCCTCAAAGACATTGATCTTCTTTTCAACAACGCTAAGCAGTTCAACTTAGATTCTAGTGAGATCTATCAAGACGCGGTCCTTCTTCAGGCCGAGGCCAAGCGCTTAGGTGACCTCGAGAAGGCCAAACCAGATGACGAATATCTGTTGGAAGATGGGAGGCGTCCTCTCCCGGGCGGTATTCTGTACAAAGACGAGACATGGAAAGTCGGTGACTGGGTTCACATCAGAAACCCCAATGACATGACGAAACCGATTGTCGCCCAGATCTTTCGCACCTGGGAGGATACCAACGGCCAGAAATGGATCAACGCTTGCTGGTATTATCGCCCCGAGCAAACTGTCCATCAGTACGAGAAACACTTTTTCCCGCACGAAGTTGTCAAGACCGGACAATACCGAGACCACCAAATCGAAGAGGTGGTGGACCGCTGTTTCGTCATGTTCTACACCAGATTCGGTCGCGGTCGACCAAAGGGTTTCGACACCAGCAAAGAGGTCTATGTTTGCGAAGCCCGGTACAACGAAGACAAACACAGATTCAACAAGATCAAGACCTGGGCTAGTTGTTTGCCAGATGAAGTTCGGGACATCGATTATGACCTGGACCATTTTGACAATCCCCGCCGCATCAAGAAACTTCCCAGTCCCCTGAAACACCTGCTCAAGGACGACACCAAAGACACAGATAAGATTCCCTCCCCGATATGGGGCGATCCAAAAGCGCCTCCGCTAATTGGCGGTATTCACCGCCAGCCGCGCGACGAGAATGTGAGCCAATTTGATTTACTTCCTCCTCTAACCTGCTCAAGATAGGCCCATGTCCTTGTCCAGTGGACTGCACCTGTTCTAGTACACACACTGACACTCCTGTTTTGCAGCAATCCCCTCCACCAGAACCGACACCTCCACCCCCACCAACGCCTCCGCCACCTTCGAGACAGCCGTCCATCAGCACAATGCAACGCCAGCCACCCCGACCAGAGCTGGATCCACGCCAAAGTACGGGCCCAAATAACTTTGTTCAGATCGCACGACCCTCACCATCCCTGGCCCCGCAGATCTCGCCTTATCAAACACAACAATCCATCTCGCCCGCTCTGCCCTATCATCGTCCAACGCCTTACGCGCAATCCTCGGGTGCTGCCCAGCACGCCGTGCCTCCACATACACCCATCGCCCAACAGTCACTCCCTTATGCTACTCATCAACAGGTGCATCCATCACCCGGACTTACAGCCGCTCCAGCGACAGGCTACGCCCCAGCTTCATCAACTCAAGCCTACAATCGGCCTCTGGCACAGCCTGTCCATTCCCATGGACCGTATGGAACAAACCCCAATCTACCCCTCGGCCGAGACCAAGATGTTTTCGTGCTACCCGACAGCGCCAACAATGCCATCCCAGCAGACCTTCGCCGTCGATTTCCTCAAGATGACCAAGGACGGGTTCTGTTTTTCACCAAACCCCCGGTTGTACACGAATCAGTCATATACGACAAGGTTGCTCGCGGATCACCCAAGCGTCTTGCCCACAGCGAGAGATACCTTGCGGCGAAGAAAGAACGGGAAGAAAAGCTCGCAGGACAGAAACGCGGTCTTGTAGAGGGAGCGGCCGAGCGTGAGGTCAAGCGACCTAGACACAATGCCGCCGAGATTGAGCATGTTGGTCTGCGCCCTCGAGCAATCCTCGAGTATCTGAAGCGCTCGACGGAGGACTGGGTTGAAAAGCTAAAAGCCAAGACAGAAGCAGATTATCGAATGTTGTATGGTGACGAGTGCCACGCGATAGAAGAGCAAGACGTTGAACGGCGACAACTCCAGCTGCAGAAAGCGGAACGATTGGAAGTGCAGAAAGACCGGCTTCGAGAACAATGCCGAAATGCACCAGAGCAGGACTTGAGCGCGAGTCGGAATCTGTGGGCTACTGTGGCTCGGGGTGAGCGGTACTGATGTCTGGGAATTGGGAATGCCTGTCAACCAAGTATCCTTTGGTCTAGGGGACTATATGGCACTTGCGAATTCAGCATCGTGATGTTCGCCCACGACTGATTGAGTACTTGGATCTTCAGGTAATAATCGATGGAGTCGTATAGACCTTATTTCCCAGGCTTGTTTAGCTTTAGCCGGCTATCTATTCTATCAATTTCGCAAATAATTCGTCTCTCTTGGTTTGGAGGCGATTGAGTTCCCCCAGAACACGTTTTACTTCCTGCCTGCTCGAGTGGACATCTGGAGGAAGGCCGTGGAATGATGCAATTGTCTCTTGGAACTGCAACATCTGTTTCCTTTTGCGGTCCAGAGCCTCCATTCCAGAAGCGACATCTGCCACAGTGACGTCGCCAGATTTGCTGCGTAGCGGTTGGACATTTGAAAGACTCGCGAGGCGGTTGCGGTACTCGTCGGCCTTGAGGGAAAGCTGCTTGATCTCGCGCTGATGTTGCAGAATTTGGGAATGGAGCGACGGGTGCTCGGGTACCAAGTCATCGGTGTCGATGCCCGGAGAGTTTTCTTTAGCATAGATGCCATAGCCATTGATCATTCCATCCACGTGTGAGTCCTGGTCTACTAAATTCGAGATGAGATCTTCGACCTGCTGAGTTTGAGCCTCCAGATCAAATATCCGTCGAGACAACCCAACCATGTCGACTTCCAGAGCGCCGATAAAACGCGAGGAATGGCATGAGCTTGACTTTCCCCCTAATAGCACCTTTGAACGCGACATCGAGTCAAGTGCCGACTGGGCAGATTGTGACAATGAATCATCCAGGATCGCGACAAGATCGCTTTTCCCGTGCAGAGGATGCTCATCCCCAGTGGTTCCATGCGTCTCAGCCATGATCAACTGCTCGCTTCTCGATTCAAAAATCAAATGGTGTAATTCGTTCGCCGTCAAGCACTCCGTCATCAATATCTGCAACGCATTTAAGGTCGCGGCGTTTCTCTCAAAGGCAGGGACCGGTCGTGGGTGATATGTCTCTCCTAGCCAGGAGGTGACCAGTGACCAGGAGTGTGTCTCGAGGGCATGGGCCCTTGCTTTGGACGGAGAGGCTTGCATCTCGCCTTGCGAAATGACATGGAGAGGGAGGATCCTGCCGCCCAGTGTCAAGTGCTGTGGTTGTGTAGATTGGTGCATGTTCATAGACGGTCAAAGTGCCCATTGATTTTGTTTCATCGTCCTGGGCTCAACGGCCGCCAAGAACCGCGATCTAGCCAATTACAACGCGCCAAAGTCAGCCTTGCCTGTCCGGGGAGGTTGTACGCGTCCATGGATGAACTGACGTGATCTGCGTGTATTCTCAACAGTCCTTAGTGCAATGGCCGAAATGTAATGTTAGACTACCTAGTATATAGACGCATTGATCCACTTAGAATAGGGGGATTCAGCAGCTTCTAGATGTCTTCTTTTGACAAGGTCGAACCCGACCAAAAGTGAACTGGCAAGCAACATTGTTGACTCTTGCTCAGGAGAGTCCGCATTGCCATGGACCGACCCATGGGCCGCAATTTGCCCCCTTACTTACGATTTTGGGACTGCCAATGTAGTTCCACATCTTGTATTATCATCATCTCAGATTCGGGTGCGGATGGCAGAGCCCAACCACTCCTGGTGCCGGCTTGATGTTTGGGTTGAGCGCAACGCGATGCTGACGAGTGTGAATAACCACAAAATACAGTCAGGAGCCGCTGTACTATTCTGGTCGTGATGTGGGTGACTGGGATCGCCGACGTGGCCTCCTCGTTAGCTCTACTGCCGTCGCCGTCACCAAACATAACCCCAAATCTGTGATCATAACACATATTGCAGGTGCTGTGTCTCTCTTTCTCAACTATGTATTTGGTACACGCGGGCAATTTCAGTCGAGAGCGCGTCTATTGGTTCAGCTTCAACCTGGGGTTATTGGAAGCCACATCTTGGCCATAGCGCCTGTCAAACACTTCACACGCGGCACATCCCAAATGCAGGATGCGAGCTTGATGCCACAACATTCTTCCCCTCACTAGGTCGAAATGTTGAACTCAGCAGAGCAAAAGCCCCGAGACCGAGACTCTTGTGGATGCCAATCGGCTAGAACTACTTGGTGACCTTATAAACTCCGCTTTCTCATACCCACAGCTTTGCCCACGTGCACTTGGGGGTCGGGGCCGATAATCATTCTATTGAACAGTTGAAATTGGCCGACTCTTTCATTCGTGGACAGAGTCATGAAGTTCACCCCATTTTGTCCTGGCCCAGACCTCACGGTCGAGCCCGAGGAAGAACCAATCAGCATGGGACACGAGGAAATCCATGTGTTTATATTATGAGGGACATGTCCTCAACGCGGAACCAACGACCTGTCTGGATCAAAGGTGACTTTATGTCCGAAATTTTCAACGTTGCGTGTGCAATTGCATTGGATGCGATTTTGAAGTCTGGCGGCTCCGAATCAGAAACCGGTGTGTGCACAGACAGGATTCATGTTCGACAGACAAGCTTTACTATCGAGCTGTCGGTACTGGCCAAGTTGGAGACTGACAGTGCTGACCTGTTGGGAAAACCGATTATCCTTGTGCTTCATTAGTGGCCGTTAGATTGCGAGTTCGTATTTGAGCCGTGCTGCCAATATCTTGAGAGGCCCCACATGATCTGCACGTGGCACAAACACAAAGCCCGGAAGTGTTATTAGGGTTAACGGCGCGTATATACATACTCTGCTTATTGGGTTGACACCAAGGTGTGGTAGGAGGGAGAATACAATGCTGCCTGATCATGAGAAGACGCAGGAGTCCCTTGTTTCGTCGATGGTTGACTTCAGACTTGTTTCGTCTCGCCCATCTACGAAGTATTTTCAATCAACTGCTTGGCAAACAGACGGCAGAATGCTGCACCTAGCGTAAGAGTCCTCTTTACGGAGTAGTCGGCCGATATCAGCACGGTTGAATGATCCACATTTCATACAGGGCGTGCGGAATAGCTGATTTCCATGTCCCAAAAGCCATGTGATCTTATCCTAGTCATTGGATTTGCGGTATTACAGACGTTGTCAATGCACATTCTAGTCAGGCTCCTATGGAAAAATTGCGAGCTAGCATCTGAGATTGCCGTGCGCCTGTGGCGATGTGCTTTGACTCTAATAACTCGTTAACGCAGGACTGTCCTCCAGTTCGCCACCAGACTAACTGAGCTCCATGGCCCGCATACCCTGTTGCTGCAAACAGTCTCCGAAACAGTTTAGTCCCAGTGGTCCCCAAACAGGGGAGAGGCCCCTCGGCCTATGAACAACCCGGAGCAGAAAAGGGGAAAGGTGGGCGGGATGTTATGGGTATGCTCGAGCATCCCGCTAGCCCCATTTCGGAAATACTTGGCAATATCAAACCAGCGCAAAATGCGCCCTCTACGTCAGTTGAAGCATCGTGGCATCGAGATCATTTCCAATAACGTCCTCGACAAGTAACAGCAGCCCTTCCTAAGAATACGGAACCCTACGAATCATTTGTCAATGCTAAATTATACCAATCGCTCCTGGAATCGTCGTGTGTCGCTTATACACAGTCTTGCCGCTCAACCCTTGCTCCGACGTGGGCCCACAAGGTGACTCTTGGGCCTTGCGGACCGGTCGGCTTTACATAGTATCTCTGAGCTGAAGAAGTGATCCACTGGCCTTGACTTACTGGACGGAACGAGTATCCAGAGAATAACCCATCCCCCTGGCTCGACAGCATCGACCATCAACAAGCAGGCTTGGTCCATCTTCCTTCCAGTCGACAAGCCTCTCTCCAACCCATCATCCCAGGAATGATCAGACAAGTATCTCAATATGCTTGAGTGAAACCATACAAGCCCTCCCTTACACTTTTGCCACCATTCTTCAAGCTGTCGTCTTTGTGTCGCCAATCTCTTCGACCTTCGACCTCGCTGTGTGCACACGAGGGATGGGCAGCCTGGATGGTATCGTTTAAGTGGGAGTTGGGTCTGGAAGGTGACAGCCGTTTGACGTTCAAACATTGTCGATCTTACCTCATATCAAAGCCTTTCAACGCCGAGTGGTCAAGGCTGCCAACGCCTTGGACTCTACATCAACTCGGCACATTCAACCTTGGCCTTCTAGTTGTCCGAGCCCGACAAACTTGTTATCATGCTGTAAATCAGAGCTTTAAGCCGCGGACGCTGTTCTAATCATCTCGCCTTAGATGACCGATCCTCACTCTCGTCTTGATTGAACATTTGACGTTGATCAGAAGCCTCCTCTTGCTCCGCTGTGGCTTTGTGTGATTTGTCGAGAGATCTTCATATGCTGTCACTTTGATTTCTTTCCTATTTTCGAGGCCTTTGCTCTTGTCAAAGTCCCATATCAATAACAATAACACAGACGTTGCTCATTTCCCCCTCACCTGACGCAGTTCTGTCCGCTGGAAAATGGCAAAGTCCGTGGCCCAGGAATTGCTGCAATGGATCTCTATAAGATCTCGCTTGCAGCACCGAGTCGGTGTTCACCTTCAGGTTTTCTCCCCACTCTCTTTTGATCAGCTCACCCTAGTCACTCTTTCGAGTTTTGTTTCTATCTGTTTCTTGGCTTCGAACCAAGATTCCTCTTTTGCAGAATGCTGCTCCTCAAGTCGGTGGCCACCGCGGCCACCTTTGCCATTCTGCTCGCCGACGTGTCCGTCTCAGAGCCAATTGCCACGATTGAGCCCTGTACGGGAGCACCTGACCTGAAACTTCATCCAATCACGGTTACGTCTCAATTTCAACCGGTGTCGACATGCCAGGCTAGTACTGCCTGCATCAAGGGGCAATGCACTACTATCTTCCCCTTCACCACTTTCCCTTATGTTTCAACCGTGGTTCCGTATGCGTGGAATGGAACGACTACCCAGAAGACAACTGTCACTGCCGCGACCCAACCCTTTCGAGTTTCTGAGCACCTCGAGACCCTGACCACTATTACTGCCGGCCCTACTGCTGGGCGCCCAGGTTGGGTTGATTGGATCGCCCGTAGAAAGGGTGGCCCGAAGTCTATTACTGTCTACGAGACTGTTACCCGACGTGCGGTCGCACCATTCAACGAATGCGGCCCTCTTGCTATCCCTGGTTGGTCTGGCAGCGGTGTCTGTGACAAGTGCTCAGAGTTGGAAGACGGAAGCCGGTCCCAGCTCCTTGACGTCGTTGAGTGCCGTTATGGCGTCAACGGTGCTGGCAAGCAATATCAAAAGTGTGCTGAGTGGTTTGAGACAATTATCTCTCGTCCGGCTCCCACGTCTACTGTCACTGCTAGCGCATTATGTTCCAGCAAAGGCCGTGTTCCCGGTCCTGGAACCTACACCTGGACCTTTCCGCAAACGGCTCCCCCAGTGACAATTACTGCACCACCCAGAACTGTCACCATCACCGTGCACGGCCGGAGGACTATCACTGTTGAGCCGAAACACGTTTACACAATCCCAGGCCGTGGATGGGATGCATGTGTCACCAGATCCTTTACTGCTGCGGGGGATTTCCAATTTAACATCGTCATCACCAAAGTCATTATCTTCAATATTCCAAATCACACTCGGCCAGCTGGAAGGTCAGTCTTGTTTGAGCTGTTCCATTTGACGTTGGCTAACCCAGCTCTAGTACACGCCACGTGCCTGTTCCCACGGGGTCTGTTGACAAGCACAGAAACGGCTGGTGGCCTTTGCCCAAGAACGACAAGGGAGATGACTACTATGGGGACAGCACTGAATGGGCTGACTGGGCACCTCCCATCAAGACATCAAGCACCACGACAAGAGGAGGAGGCCAGACATGGTCTTACTCATCGTCAACTTCATCATCACTCTCGCTTGGGCCCATTGACCAGAGTACTACATCTGACGGGACGAGCTCCACCTTATCGTCGACGACATCGATGACGAGCAGCTTCTCCATCTCCCTTGGGCCTATAGATCAGAGCACAACTACCACTTCTTCTGTGTCTACCATCAGCACAAGCTCCCGTGCTATTGATAGCCCAATAGAAGGATCGACAACAGTTTCGTCTACTTCTAGTGACACAGATTCCTCGACTCTGACCACCAGTACTTCAACTCTGACTGATGGACCGATCGACCAATCGACCACGGCATCGTCTACTTCCACTGATACAGAATCTTCGACTTTGACTACCAGTACTTCAAGTATGACTGACGGACCAATCGACCAATCAACCACGGCATCTTCTACTTCCACTGATACAGAATCTTCGACTTTGACGACAAGTACTTCAAGTCTGACTGATGGACCGATCGACCAAACGACCACAACCTCGCCCATTGACCAGGGGTCAACCACAAGCTCAACCGCTGACGAGGAGCCAACGACCACATCGAGCTCTACATTTACTGATGTGATTGTGACCACAACGACTTCAAGCTTCTCTGCTGGACCCACTGATGGAACCACCACGTCCCCTGAGCCAACGTCTTCAACAACAAGCCCACCTGTCACCACGACTACTCCTCCAGCTCCTTTGTGCAGCTTGACGGTGGATATTTGCGTGGGTTCACCCTTGATTTCCGCTAACATTGTCGTTGTTGAGGATTGTCCACTTCTTGGCGGACTTCTTTGTACCGTGACGGATCTCTTAAACCTGATCCCAGCGATCCTGTTGGGCAATCCCAACGTTGCCTCTGTCATCGTTGCGGACCAACAAGTCATTGGACTGAGCATCTCTCCCGCTCAGCTACAGGCTGCTATTCTGGATGGCACCCTTGTAGATCCTCTTGTCTGCAGCGTTGTCCAACAGGTTTCTGCCACCATCATCGATCCTACTTGCCCGGTCAATCCCACGTCAACAAGCTCTTCATCTACCATCTCAAGTACATCCTCGACCTTGACCACTACCGCAGCCCCGGCCACTACTACCTCACCTACTGCACCACTGTGCAACCTGTCTGTTCAAGTCTGTCCCGGAGATGGTCAGCTTGCCGCCGCCACGATACAGACAGTCACTTGTCCTTTACTTGGAGGACTTCTTTGCACGGTGACTGATCTCCTAAGCCTAGTCCCTGCGCTCCTCAACAGCGACCCCAACATTTTATCTGTCGTAATTAGCGACCAGCAGATCCTCGGTTTGAGTATTACCCCTGCAGAGGTCGAGGCCCTCGCCCTTCAGGATGTTGTTCCTGGAGTTTGTGGCTTGCTCGATCCGATCACTATTATTATCAATGATCCAACATGCCCCATCAACCCAACGACAACCACCACATCAAGTACAAGCTCGATCATCACAACTACGACGTCAGATCCTGCTACAACTACGACGTCAGCTCCTGCTACAACCACGACATCCAGTGCACCAGTTTGTGACTTGACTGTGCAAGTCTGCCCCGGAAACGCTGCCCTGGCTGCTGTTACGATCCAAACCGTGACATGTCCATTACTCGGTGGCCTTCTTTGCACCGTGAACGATCTCCTCAGCCTCGTGCCAGCCCTCCTGACAGGGAACCCGAACGTGCTTTCGGTTGTTTTGGGTGACAATGAGGTTCTGGGACTGAGCATCACTCCAGAAGAGGTCCAGGCACTTGCACTTTCGGGTGACTTGACCGCCTTGTGTGGTGCCGTCCAGCCGATTGATGTGATTGTGAATGATCCTACCTGCCCAGCAAACCCTACAACAACTACGAGCTCAACTGTTGTTAGTACCACAACTTCAGAACCTGCCACCACCACGACCTCTAGTGGGGACGTTTGCAATCTCGCTATTTCGATCTGTCCTAATAGTGCCGACCTGGTTGCTGCTACAATCACAACAGTACAATGTCCACTGCTCGGAGGGCTTCTTTGCACGGTCAATGATCTACTCAGTCTTGTTCCTGCTCTTCTGAATAGCAATCCTAATGTGCTTTCGGTTATCCTCGGCGACAACCAAGTCCTTGGTTTGAGTCTCACTCCTACCGAGGTCCAAGCTCTGGCGCTCAGTGGTGTTCTTACCTCGACATGTACTGTTGTGCAGCAAGTTGATGTCATTGTCAATGACCCTACTTGTCCAATAAATCCCACAACCACCTCAACAACATCGCCTCCGACTGTTCCCACCACGACCGTTGAGAATCCTCCTGTGCCAACCACCACTACAACATCGCCTCCGACTGTCCCCACCACGACCGTTGTGAATCCTCCTGCCCCAACCACCACCAGTGGCGGCGGCGGTGGCGGAGTACAACCACGATGCGGTGTCCAAGTCCAGCTTTGTGTTGGCCAGACGCTTCAAAGTGTGGGTTTGACTGAAGTCCCTTGCACCCTAGCTGATCCTCTTCTTTGCACTTTGACTCAAGTCTTAACCGATGTCACGAATGTTTGCGTGGGCCTCCAGGGCGGTTGCGCTTCGGTCGGTCGTATTGGTGTAGGTGTCAACATTCTCGGCTCCACCGGGTTGGCTGGTACACAAAGTATTGCCCAGGTCGAAGCCGCGATCGCAGGCATCCAAGCTTGCGTTCCAGGGCAAATTCTGACCTTGAGTGACCCGGGTTGTGCTGCGAACCTCTTCAAACGCCATGGCTCTGCAGGCAGAAGACGCAAGTATTGACGAAGGAAATTGTTTTACTCGTCACCCAAGCCGAAGGAATGTATACACTGTACGAGGATGATGCATTCTATTCCGGTTTCATGAAAGGTACACTTATTTTGCCTTAGATTTCAGATCGATTGTCATGAAAGGGAAACCAATTGGCGGACGATCTGGCGTGTGGGAAACAAGCTGTCTATGAATCTTCGATTTCAACTTCTTAATATTTATTTTGACACAATCAAATTTTCCAACATCCTCTCTCAAGCACTATTATGCTGTGAAGTGTCATTGCTTGTGGGAATGGTGGGCTAGCCTCAAAGTGCCTGGTGGACAAGCCATCTGGTCCGTAGTCTTGATTTGAGTGAAAGCCTCAAATGGGCTCATCACGTGGCTCTATTAGTACTTCGTTGATTGCCACGTGGGCTGGTTGTCGCAAAGCATATGCGATAGACGCTGCAACGTCCTCAGGGTCAAGAATCTGTGCCCCTGACGGTTCACCATATTTTTTTATCGCTTCAGTGTCGGTGGACATGCCAAGGAGGTCTGTTGCAGTGTTGCCGGGTTGGACGCTTGTCACTCGTAAACCACTTCCAGCAGTCTCAAGTCGTAAACTCTGGAGCGTCGCCTCCACGAAAAACTTGCTGGCAGAATAGACTCCCAAGCCAGGGAATACCTTTCGACCAGCATCTGATGAGATTGCCACAATGTGGCCCCCGCCTCGTGCGAGCATGGCAGGTACTGTGCTGGACAAGCAGTTGAGCAGGCCTTTGCAATTGACGTCAACGGTACGATCCCATTCCTCCACTTTGGCGTTTGCCATCATTGTAAAGTACATGACGCCCGCACAGGAGACAAGGATGTCTATGGGCCCAAGCTCATCATTGGCGGCCTTGACCAACGCCTCGACTTGCTTTCGGTCGGTGACATCGGTCTGCCGAATAATGACCTTGCCTTCGCGCACCACCAATCGACGCTTGACAGACTCCAATGCATCAATGCGTCGAGCAGCAAGGGCAATGTGACAGCCCTCTCTCGCCAGAGACGCTGCAACCGCAGCTCCAATCCCGGACGATGCTCCGGTGATAACTGCGACTTTCCCACTGAGAGGACCACGGCGCAAGGGTTGTGCTGTTCCACCCAGAGCATGTTGACTGGAGGGGGGGCGAGGCAGCCATCCTCTAGCAAACCAGTGACGCGTGTAGGTTTCTAGTAAGACTTTGTCAACCTTAGGTCTCTCGACCTCGGCTCGAAAGGGGCGAGTTGCGGCATTGTCAAGCACAACAATATCTCTCAGAAACTCGACACTGGGCATGCCACTGCGAAGGATGTCGACCGTGAAACCGCCATCCCCACCTTTTGCGGCGCCCCGAGTTTCATTCCATATTGCCACCCATTCGTCGAAGCCTATCCGTTGGGTTGGATATCCAAGGCTCTTGAGATCCTCAAAAACGTCTTTTGTGTCAACTGGAGTGGGATCTCCGAGGTGGAAGATGGTTTGATTTGTCTGTGTCTGATTACCAAGGTGTACAATGGCCTTGCTGACAAAGTCAACCGGAGTCATTTCAGCTCGCCAGCCTTGGACATTTGGAGCGTAACCGAGGTGTATCGACTCCACGATCAGTGCAGAAAGCAAGTCCCAGGCGTTAGCAGCACCGGTGATACTGTGGCCACTGATTGTGCCAGCCCTGTGGATCCGTACTGGGATACCACGTCTTCCAGCTTCGAGAACGAGCTGCTCTGCCACCCACTTTGTCTGCCCGTATCCATCTGCCAGCTTTGTGGGAACTTGATCAACGTCGAGGATGGTGTCTTCTGGCCAACCTTCGCGGGTAGGCTTAGGTGGCAGGACCCCGTTGGTGGACACGTATTGCACCGTGGCACCCGCGACGGCTGCAAGTCTCAATACTTCTCTTGTCCCGCGAATATTGGCATTTCTCAGGGCTGCATACGGATAAACGAGGTTGACAGTAGCACCGGCATGTACAATGACATTGACACGGTTTGCAAGGCCATCAAAGACCTCTGGAGACAATCCTAAACGATTCCGGGCAAGGTTTCCTGGCAAGATCTCAACTCGTTCCATGATTGAGTCCCTCCACAGACCCAGATCAAGCAGATTTCTACGCAATCTGGCAATGCCGTTGGCCTGGTCATCATCAGAGGGATCCTTGAAGCGAATAAGGCAGACAATACGAGCTGAAGTATTGTCCAGAAGATCGTTCAGAAGGAAAGCTCCCAGAAAACCGGTGACGCCGGTGAGGAGTACGGTCTTGGCTTTGTTAAGTGCGGTGAATGTGCTTTTTGATGGTTGAATATCTTTGTCGAGCACAGCGTCTGCACGTAAGACGGCGGGAAGATCTGCTTGCACAGCTGCGGTCTCGCCATCCCTGACACTGCGAACGGTTTCCAGATGGCCATTCAACGTGGCTGGATCGGCTAGCCGTGCGACCGGTACACGGAAACCAAAGCTTCTGGACAATCTCGAAGCAAGTTCTGCTAATGACAGCGAGTGGCCCCCCAAGTCAAAAAAGTTATGCTCGGCGGTGATGTTATCACGTGAAAGTTTGAGGGTTGACGCCCAAACCTCAGCGATATCCTCGAGGCTGATGGGATCGTCTCCGGCCTTCTTTTGACCACTAGTTCCGTTTGGAGAAGATGCACGTGGTGGTGGAGGCAGACTCTTCCGGTCTGCTTTCCCCGAAACTTCATGTGTTGGTAGTTCATCGAGCTGAACCCACAGAGCCGGTATCATGTATGGTGCCAAAGATTGTGCTAAAACACGGCGAGCACCAGGGCTATGTCCGGAAGCATTTATTTCAACAGGTGGGCGATCAGGGGAGCTTTCTTTGTCTCTAACAATGTACGCGACCAGTTGTCGCTCGAGACCTTCACCGTGATCGACGACGGCTGCCTGGCTGACGGCGAGACTGGCAACGATCGCGTTCTCCACCTTTCCGGGAACGACGGAATAGCCACGGAGCTTGATCATGGCTCCGACACGTCCAGTGATTTCGAGTAGTCCATTTGATGTCATCCTAGCGCGGTCACCTGTTCGGTACATAAGGGCTCCCGGGGTGAGATCAAATGGGTCGGGGATGAATGCTTTGGCAGTAGTCTCGGGCCGATTGAGATAGCCGCGAGCTAGAAGAGGCCCGCCGACGTACAACTCGCCGCTGACGCCTCGATCAACCTTCTGTCCTCCTTCATCCAGGATATAAGTGTGTCTTGGATCGAGGGGGGGACCGACGGGACAATAGCGAGACTTGTCGTCCAACATCTTGGAGATGTCTCCACAGGCTACCTCGTGAGTTTCACATGCACTGTAGACGTTGAATAGAGAGACATCTGGTAAAGCCTTGATTGCACGTCGCGCCAAATCGGCGGTGACAACCTCGCCGTTCAAATACAAGGTTCGTAGTTGGGGTAGTCGAGATCCCAGGTTGGAGTGTCTCGAGAGCAGCGCAGCCAATAATGTAGGAGTCATTAGCGTTTCGGTGATGCTTTTAGCAGCTAGCAGGTCGACGAGAGCAACGGGATCATAGCTTATGTCGTCTGGTACGGCGACGACAGTCGCGCCTCGCAGAAGGGGCCGGAGGATCTCCCATATGAAAAAAACATTGCAAGCAACGCGATCCCCCGGGTGGAGGTCGCAAACACCGAACCTCAGGTTGTAGGACAGAACAGGTGCGCGATGTGGATTTGCGATGCCTTTGGGCTTGCCTGTTGTTCCTGAAGAGTATGAAACAAAGGCAAGCCGGTCCAAGTCATGGTCATCCGGAAGCTGGGCAAGTGGTGCAGTTGGTGTCGTGGTTTGGCTCGGAGGTTCATCCAGTGTAATGACGGGTACTCCTTGCTTGATTTTGCCGACTTCGGCGCGATAGGTGACGACCACAATAGGATTTGCATCTGCGACAACGTCTGCTAACAGGTCTGGGGGATATGCCAACTCCAAGACTAAGAAAGCGCCGCCGGCACGGAGAGCTGCGAGGCATGCGATAACATAATCGGCGCTTCGTGGTAAAAGAACCCCTACCAGGCTGTCTCGCCCAACACCATGGTTGCGAAGGAGAGCTGACAGATCATCAACCCTCTCCTTGAGTTCGGCGTAGGTGTAAGTAGTCGACTCGTCCTCAAGGGCAACACTGTGAGGGGTCGCCTCGGCCTGCTTGGTAAACAAGGCCGAAAGATCCTTGGAGACATCGATAGGCGACATGTGGAGGGATGACGGGAGTTTGACTAAGGTAGGTGAAGGATGCAACGAGGGGTGCTCACCCCAGGGGTGGTAGAGCAGAGCTTTGGAGCGGCGTAAAGGCTGTGTGAATAAAGGTCAGATGATGCCCTGTTTACCGCACTGTGCCGCGAGAGATGAGGTTAAGTCTTTGACCACAACGAAAACCCTGACGCTGGTTGATGAAGAGCATCAGGGAGGAGAAACAAGTACAGATCAAGAGCTGGGGGCTTCCTGTAGTGGTAGTTGGGAGATGTTCGAAAATGGCCAGGTGTCGATTATAGCCTCAAAGCTTCAAGCACCTGTCTGGATTGACAGCCCAGGAATTGGATTCTCACAAAAGATAGGGATCTAGCACGGATCTAGGTAAAGTGAGTACCTATAGGTGGATGGTGTTTGTGCGTTTGAGATAGAGATTCCTCATGGCCAGTAGTTTTCCGCAGCAAAAAGAGACCAAAGCGACTGGGGGTGTTGATAGGGCAAGAGCGAACGCAAATGACGACATTGCACTTCTCCTTCCTCCGTCCTTAAGGCTTCCGTGGCTTCTCTCTCACCTCACAGTCTTTGTTGGGAATCACGGGATTTTAACCAGTACCTATTAGGTCACCATTGGCTAACAAATGCTTCGCACTAGCTTTTGCGTCTTGATGACCACGTACTTGGCTGCAGATATCTGCTACCAACATTTGCCATTTTACGGACGCAGTCTTGTACTCTTCGACTACACACTCATTGAATAGCCGATGATGGCCATGCAATGTCACTATCCGTGTCAATCTTCCTCTCCAGAAGTTCACATACGGTCATGTTCAAGATCGACGACACTCTCCACCAGCCCAGCTTGTTGCACGGCCTAAAGCAACCGGTTCTCAGTATGGGCTGAATCCGCACCCTAGTAACCCGGTCACAGGGAAACGGGTTTACAAAGCGTCAAGCTTCGAGCGGGTAAGAGTCTGGACATTGATACATTGGAATGAATCACGCAACATCTACCAGTTGTACGATGGTTTATGCAATGCCCGTGCCGCCGTAGGGTTATACTGTCTACATGAGGAATCCAGTCTGACATACCCCCTCTGCTCGCTTGTATACGAAGAGACCTTTTCGACTTGCTCCTCGACTCACGCCTTCTTTTGTCGTCTGCTTCAGTCTAACTAATGATCGATGTTACCTCCATAGGCGTACTTACTTATTGTCTTTCAATCAGAAACGAGCCCGCCTCCAAAGTTAGTCCAATCTCATGGATATCCTTGTCCCTCATATTTCCACTGCCGAGCCAACTCGACCTTCATGACTAGGCCTGATCTTTCAAACGGGGGCTAATTACACTATGGTTGCTCGGAGATTTAAGAAAAAGGACAGACAATAAAGCGAAAAATATCGTGTCCATCTGAAGTTGATCCCGGTGTTTTCACAGGAGAAGTGCCCAAACCACCGGAAATGCATAGCCTAACGCCCCAAGCCGAGAGACGGGGTTCTCAAGCCCAATACCACCGCCGGTCTCAGAGGCAGCTGGCGCTGATGACGTGGTAGTTGATGAGCTGCTTGTGGTGGGAGTGGTCGAAGTCGTTGGCGATGTTGTCGTGGTTGCTGTCCCGCTGCTGGACGAACTGGAAGACTGCACCTCTTCGTCTAATGGCGACATGACCTAGTCACAAGATAAGTCAATGACATCCACATATCCCATAGCAGGAGCAATATACCCGGTCAAGAACATGCATTACGCCATTATTGGTCCTAAGAATTGACAAGTCAGCATTTTGTTCTCTCAAAGGCTCTGCCTCGCACCCACATGACATTGGAGTTGATGATCTTGGCGTCATTGACAAAAATCTCGCCGTTCCGCTCGGTAATTTGGATCGTTTGGTTGTTGACACTGCGATATCTCTGACCATCTTGCAGGAAATTGGAATACAAGGGCTCGTTGATGATATGAAATTGAAGCAGACTGGTAAGGTCAAAGATGCTTGCCGTTGAATTTGGACTCCCCGCAGCGAGAAATGCGGCATCGTTCGGAGTCAAGCATGTCACGTTCTGCTCGACGTCTAGAGGGGCCCCTAGTCCGGTACGATCAAGTGATTGCCTGAAGGCAAGCATCTTCCATCTGCGAATGGTGTCGGTGCAGTTCAGCGGCAGCTGGAGGAATCTATTCTCTGTCAGCAATGCTTCCCAGAATTCTCTCCATCTCATACTTGTCCACAATCTGGAAACGGCCACCATCCCAATAGCCATCGATTGCTGTCATATTTATAACATGGCCTAGACCTCCCTGTACTTCGATTCGATCAGACTGCGCGTTTGTCTGGCGCAACCTAAACCGCTTCGCACCCGCCACCGACTCCTCTTCCTCAGGTTCGCTCGCCTGCATGAAGACTACCTGACCATTGTGAGGATCGCTCTCCGCTCCGTTCGATCCCAAGGCCGCTCCCGCAGATCGATTGTTGTAAGTCGGTCCTGTGAGAAACGTTGGTCGAGTGGTCCCATTGGCCACGGTAAAGTTCTCCGTTGTCAATTCGTCTACAAGCAGATGATATTGCAGAACCGGCTCCAGCTGTTCCACCGTAAGACTTCCAATCGGTGCTCCCAAGGCTTCTTCAAGCTTGTCAAACGCGGAATTGTCTGGCACAAGAACCGTTGTCTTTGTGAGTGATGTCGCATTCGAGGTCAGTAGTGCACCGGCCAGACCAGGATTATTGTACATGAGCGTGGTGAAGTTGGACAACTGGGGGAACTGGGAGATTGCTGTCAGAAATGACTGCGACATCCCCAAGGCTACCAAACCCAGCATGACGCTGACATGGTAGCTGCTTCTGAAAAAGAGCATTGTAGAGGCCAAGACGAGCACTGTAAATGACGTTCGATTCAAAGCATTATTGTCACCTTCGGGTGCGGAAAATTATTGCCAAAGTAACCGGGAAGGGATCATTGATTCCCTTTTAACAGTCAATGAAGCGTGGGGTGGCAGCCTGACTGGATCAACCCTTCGTGGTCTGTCCACCTATGCTTGAGGTTATAGCGACTGAACCCAGCCTCCCGGCCGCAGCTGAACTGCGATACGAGATTTCATCCCCGAGGTGCAGTGCAGCCCTTGGCTTTGCACAGCATTTCTCGTATCGCAAACTTCTAGCCCCGATCCTCTGGCCCCGATCCTCTTGGCTCCTACCACTAGAGCGAGCCCTCGAGACATGCGATCCATCAAGACTATTTTTACGGCGGGCAGTCGAATTTACTAATGGGGCTCATGACAGAACATAAGCATTGTTTTTGCAAGGTGTTTCTGGCGAAGGACTCGGCCAGGTTTTGTTGGAGGAATGCCCTCTCATTGTCATCGAGATGTTCGACCTCGTGGCTAGCGGCCTTGGTTCATCATCACGATAAAGATCATTACCAACTACAAGAAGCCCGAATACGAAGTGCGGCAAGCATAGAGTTTATTCTCACAGGTGCATGAGCGCCATCACAGCCCCCTCAAAGAGTACTTAAGCCACTGCATCTCGCATGCGCCAAGTTGGACAGTCAGAACAACCTCTTGCTAGAAGCATACCAGCCATGGTAGAGCCTAGACCACTGTACAGACCTGCGTTTGTTCGTTCCGAAATTCAGTCAACGTCGACCTTACAAGATCCATGGAACGCCCAGGCTCAATCCCTGGTAGCACCAACACCGACGGCTTCCTGTTATAGCCGAAAAGCCTTACTGCATCAGCGGCAGCAATCCGACTCACCTCCTACATGCGGGTATATCAGAGGAGATCCTGGTAAGTCCACCGACACCAGGTAGCCCCTAGTCTGAACGTGAGATAGCCTCTGCCGTCACGTGTCCTATCTCCTGGTACTGCGCAACCTCTCAGACGTACGTTGGATGCTGCGAGGCGTCCCCTGCGACATGTGTGGCCTTCTACACTACTTGCTATGATTTTCTCGGGAGCAATTGCGACAATGCCTGCCTCAATAATCCTCAAAATTTGGTGTGGTAAGTACAAAGATCGACTTTTGATTGATCAAACAGCTGACTTCCACTAGTGACACCAATCTTCCCTATTGTGCTGAGTACCTGTACGAGGGTGCATCGACTGGATACGGATGTGCTTCTTTCCGTGGCTATACCGTGGACGTGTTGTTGACATCAAAGACTAATCTGGGCGTCTTGACAACATCCACCCCACAAACACCAACATCAGTCAACAATAGCTCTGTGTCGACGACCAAGTCGTCCGCGGAGGCCGGTTCGGGTTCCCAGTCAGGCTTTGGAACTGGTGCCATTGTCGGCGTTTCTGTTGGCGGTGTTGCCATCATTGCCCTCCTTGCCTTGTTGATACTCTGCGTGCGAAGAAGACGTAACCGGGATAAAACTACAAAGAACGTGGCCTACAGTAACATTCCCAACTTATCCGAGAACCCGACACTAGAGGCCATGTCATATCAAGGTTATAAGAAAGAGTCTCCATCAACTCTCAATACATTTCCCAGCCCAAGATCCGACGCAAGGGGATACTCTTGGCAAGGTTCAACCACACAGAATGGGTCTCATTTCGGCTACCATGACCTGTCATCTAGCTTTCCAATGGGACAACTTCATCCCGTCGAAATGGTGAGGGACAATAGCCACTGCTGGGACAAACCTGACTAACAGCGATTAGCCCAGCCAACATGTGAATGTTTTCCCGAGCGAACTGGAGTCAGACACACGCCAGATACCAAGGACGAGTTAGAACTATGATTCAACCACCAACCTAGCCAGCCTTCGCAAAGGCAGATCAACGATACAATGACACGGAGACACATCAACAAAGTATCTCGGAAATCCCATCTCAAGATCTTCTGCGCCAACCTAACTTGGGAGTTCCACCGGGCTAATATCTGCTCACTCCTCTCCCAGCCGTAGGAGAGTAGTCTACTGTTTGCTGCATCTTCACTTCGTCGACAAAATGTGTGAATAATGGTAACAATCATCTCCAAAGGTAAACAATAACCGCAGGCTGATCGTATCTGAATCATGCAAATGGATTATTGTATCCAAAGTCGTTGTAAGGCGAATGGGTCGAAAAATTGAGATCAAACACTATTGGACTTTATGTCAGCATGTGGAAAATCGAGGTCGCAAATTTGGCCTCCTCGGGAGTCTCCCAGAGAAAGGCACGACGTACTCTGCTCAAAGGCGCCAAAGGCCTCCTCCAAGTGGTCATTAATGTACGGGACAAAGGTCTCGCGTTGAGCCGAATCAAAGAGTGCATAGGAGAAAGCAGGTTGAGCAGAAGCGTCAAGTGTGCTCATGTCAAGACCAAGCCGTGTTTCCCCTTCCAAGTCAGCCGTGCCACAACTTCCGGGTACCGGTGCTGCGTCGTAATCGGTTTCTGCGGGAGATACTTGGAGCGACGGTGACACCTTGGAATTAATGCCAGGCCGTGCGGCAGAAGTCTCTGTCCATGCCACGGGCAGCACGTTGTTTGGTCTTCGATGAGAGGCCAAGGCAAAAGTCTCAGGATCTGCATTCCTCAAGGCACTTTCCATCTCATGCTGTATCGTTTTTCGGTAGAGCTTCGTCAGAAGCTGGTTAGTGTATCGAGCAATGCTATTGGTCCTTTCCAGAGCTCGACTTGCAGAGATGATTCTCAAAACCCCGGATTTCGAGTCGCTAGCCAGCTGACTGTATGGAAGGCATGTTGGTGGGACACATAAAATGACTCCAGCGGTGAAAAGATGCATGAACGTGAATGAAAGAGCCAGGTGATGCTCAAATCGGCCAATAGGAATTCGGGAAATTCTCAAGGCTGCTGCTGCAGAGATTCCGAGTGAGTCTGGAATGTCCTTCAAGGCTGAGGTCAGGTCACTTGAGTTTGATATGCGACATTGAAGTAATGGCCGATGGGACATGATGATGGCAGAATCGTGCAAAACCTGAAGAACGACCCCTTGTAGTGCAAGATTGCGTCTGCACGAACGATCCTTTGCTGTACAAGACAAGTCGTCAACAAGAAGGTCGCCCCAAGGGTCAGAACCCGTCCAGTGGCTTGGATCAAATACAGGCGGCAATTCAGATCGCCATTTGGCCAGCTTCACTTCCGCCAATTTGACTGCTTGTACCAAAAAAGTAAGATCTTGTACTGTGATTCTAGGCCCAAGCTCTAGTGCCTTAGTCGCTTGAAGATGATCCTTGATGACCCCGTATAACTCAAATTTGAGGACATGAAACTTCAGAGGTGATAAAGGGGTGCTGCTGTCATTGAGGATCGTCAGACCTGCCGTCAATGGTGGAAAGTCTTGATCCTGTAGATCTGTCATATGTCGAAACCTGGCAAAGCTAGGATCCAGTGACGTTGGCTTGCCGTAGATCATAGACGCAAACAATTCACCAACGACAGCGTGATTCCAACAACGGATTCCAACTTGATAGGAGATATGATCCAAAGTGCTCCCATCGTCGCGATGAAGACCCAGCTTATGAGCACATTGAGCTGGAATACCAGAAATGTGCCGTGCGAAATTTAGGGAGCCAAAGTAGACATGGTAGATGTTTAATAACATGACTATTTGGTAAGCTTCGATCCTGGACTGCATAAGGACTTGATAGAAGTGGACGCCAACCTCTGTGAGTAGGGATTTCGCCATTGACATGGCATTAACGTTGAGAGGATTCAGCAGTTGATGCCCGTACCATGAATCGTCATTTGAAGCGCACTGAAAGCCTAAGGCGGCAACCATCAAGACCAGGATAACCTCACAAAGTTCTTCTTCCTCCCAAGTCGAGGTCTGGAGTATTTCAGACGCGCGGGCTGCGAAGGTTGGCTCGTGCAAAAGTTGGACAAACCAGTCGAATCGATCGAAATAAGCCTCAAGACCAGCATTGATCACCTCTGGCCAAAGATTGGATATGGTCTTCAAATGGAAGTGTTGTTGAGAATTCTGAACAGATGGTGCCAAATCATGTGGTGCACAATCGCCCCCAACATCATCGATGTCTTGATCTCCTATCAATACTTTAGCAAAGTCCATTGACGAACCCGAAGGTCCTGTCTGATTGTTGCCATGCACGGAAAGCGACCGGACGTCGTGACGACTTGGATATTCAAGACTGAACCCAAGAGGCATATCCTGTCCAAGTTGCAGTGTGTCGTTTTCCTTTAGCCATTGTTGTGAGTTTGCTTTAATTGCTCGAGCATCGGTTTTTCGTTTCCGGTTGTACAATGACCTCTCTTCCCCGGTTTGAGGCTGGCAAGATGCACCCGCCCGTAGGCATAAGGTGCAAGGTTTGTTGAAATCGCACTTGTAAAATCGGTATACCATTACTGTGCCGTCTCATTGTTGAAGAATACTCCTGCACTCACCTTTAACTTCTGCCTTCGGCAACGTGCGCAAGCAAATGTTGGCCGTGCCGAAGCTAAGGACAGGATCCCTCTCATTCTCGACACTCGTTCAACCCGCTCGCTGGGGGCAGTCAGCACGAATTTGACCAACCATAGAGCTATTATCCATTGAGTCACCGATTCAACGATATCGAAGGGAACTACAAAGCTCAAGACATTCTCAGCCGGTAAGAGGTTGACCAACAGGAGGGGTTGTGGAGACGTACAGATTTGCCGAACACAACTAGATACTCGAATGGGGGAAGCACGGGAAGGGACATACATATCTTTGTCATTGTCTGCCGCCTGACCTGGCTCATATGCACGCCCAGAAAGACCCAAGGCCGGTGGACCCCTTCCCTTCACGCTAAGGATGAGGGTCTGTAAGACTTGGCTCAAATGCGAGACTCCCTGAGGTGAATGAATTCGAGGCTCAGAGTGATTTCAGTTCTATTAACAGTGCTAGCAGATAAAAAAAAGTCTCAAAATCACCGAAGGCGGGGTTTGACACTAAGTTAATGCACACGATTCGTTCAATTTCATTTTCATGTCGACCTTGTCGCTTATACTGAGATACACCTAAACCTCATCGATTTCCGTGGTCAAGACTCGGCAGAGTTGGAGAACTATTCGACCACACATCTTATGATTTGGCGGCTTCATTTAGCTGCAACTCATTATGCAGACGTTTGCCAAATAGCTCGGCAGTTGCAAAGCGATATAAGGTAGCGCTCATATTTCAAGCCACGGCCTCGCTCGTTGTGGCCGCTTCTTCTTTCTCATCTCTCACCTCGTGCTTTTCGTCCTCCTGGTGATGCTCCTGACTCGCTGGTGTCTTACCGAAAAGCATGTCAATGTCTTCAAGGGCTAGCCCGCTCGTCTACTTCCGTTAGTCTCGAAATTTTGAATTTATCGGGAAAAAATTTACCTCGGGCAACCAAAACCAAAAGTAAATGGTGTGAACGATTCCCAACGCAATGAAGACAAGATAGTATCTCCACCCTATTGTCAGTGCAGCTGTCGGCGCAAGTTGCAACCAGAGGACGTCGGCCAGCGTCACCAGGGCGATTGCAATGCCAGTTCCTTGAGCACGAAGATGAGATGGGAAAACTTCGGCTGCAACAACCCAACAATGCGGATCAATGAATGTTCCATGACTGAAAGTTCAATTTGTTAGCAAGTCTAGGCCAAAGCTATGGCCCAACATACCAAAAGACGTAGAGAAACAAAAAGGTCAATGCGAGACCAGCCCACAGCCTTGTAGGAGTTTCACTGTAACGGGCCAGAAGCCCCGTAGCAACCACAAACATGGATGTGTTCGATATGAATCCGATCACTGAAAGAAGTCAGCAACATCAAGAGACAGTGGATTTATGGTCGTACATAGCAGCTTTCGGCGCCCGTATCTATCGGAGATGAAGGCACCTCCAAAATTCGCGAGCATTGCCCAAGTATTATACCCCGCGCCGACAAGAAGGGCTTCCGATGCGCTGAGTCCTAAAGACTGATACAATAGGGCATTATAGTTGTTGATAACCTGTAGATTTTAGTTTGCAAATCTGACTTGCCATTCAACGTCACTAACCAGGATGCCAGTGTTCTGAGACCCAACCGCCACCATACATGCCAGGACAAGACGTTTTCGATACGTCTTTTCCCTGAACAGCTGCCATCGGCCTCCGAGCTTTTGTTGTTTCTGATCTTCCAAGATCTGCTCACGAATTGTGACAAGTTCCTGCTGGGCGAAGCTGTTTTGGGGGTCATTTGTATCTCGGTGGAGACGGAACAAGATTTGCAATGCTTCATCTTCGCGGCCTTTGCTCACAAGCCAGCGAGGACTCTCCGGGATAACGAACGTCCCCGCGAGCAGTAGAAGAGCCCAGAGAACAATGACAGCATTGGGAAAGCGCCAGCCAAACGAAGTCCCTGAAGCCCAATAACACCCAAAACTAGAAATGTCAGCTAACATTATCATTGCTCGCATCTGAATGCTCACCCAATCCAGTTCGCCATGAAGTATCCCACATTGACGAAGCAGCCATGCATTCCCGCCATAATGCCTCGAAAGTGAGGTGGAGCAATTTCTCCGGTCCACACCGGCACAACGACAAAGATTTGGCCCATAGCAAAGCCGGTGATTATTCTCGCAGCAAGATACTGGGAAGCTTCAGGGAAAGCACTGAATGTGTGCTGATGAAGAGTACTCACCATACCTGCTGATGTTGCAGCAGTCTGAATGACACCTCCGATAATGCCAACCATGGATCCCAGCTGGAATACCTTTATTCGCCCAAGCTTTGTTGATATCAAGCCAGTGGATAGCGCTCCAAAGAACCCGGCGGCAAAGAACAGGCCGTTCGCACATGAGATGACGGTGTTGGTCCAACCATACTCCGGTGAAGTAGGATCGGGATCTAGATCTAAACTAGAATACCAAGTTGGTTGTCCTAATGTAGCAATGATCACTGAGAGAGTATAGCCACAAAATAGAGACCCGAAAGATGCAAAAAGTACAGCCTAGAATAGCGTCAGGACCTGTAAGAGTTCATGCTCCTCGGGGCATTGGCTCACCAAGACATTGAACCAGCTATAGGTTTCCATTTTTGAGAGTGCGAATAAGAAGAAAGTTGTGAGGTTGGATGAGAATTACAAAGACGTTCGGACTACTTGGACGTTAGGGTCAAAGATACCAGTCCTTGCCAGGCAATTTATATAGCCAACCCCGGGAAGCCATTGCCCCAACCCCGGAGTCTGAGAATGGAGAAGAACGATCCTTGTCCGGTGGACGAGGACCATGGTGATCTTGTGAAGCCGATGTTCGGGGAAGTGTTCTTTTGTTCATTCGTGCATAATTATCCTTTGCTTTATGTAAAGGTAATCGGGCGTCGACACGCGCAAGCCAAGTATTGGCTCGCGAGGGAAAGGGAGTTGATGGCACCTACACTCCTTTTTGGAAGATTTGGTCAGATGGAGAAGGATCATGCTAACATTGATAGATGATGTGATGTCAAGTCTCAGGCCGCATACGGTATGATGGCCAACAACCAACAAGTCCTCTCCTTCGAGGACCCCACGACTTCTCCGCAAAACCCCGAAGCTAGTCTGAGTCACGTTAGCCTTGCCCGGTGGACAAAAGGACAGCACCGTGCCCACTTGCACATTGAACGTGATGACAGAGATTGGATGACAAACACCAAATCAAGACCTCGAATGGATCTAGTGGTCATTGAATCGAAACGACCGTCGTAGAATGTTGCAATCCTCACTCGACTAGAATGATCCTGGTCGTGAAGATCAACACTCCGCGTACATAAAGGAAGGTGGCGGACCTTGGCCCCCCGCCGTCAGGCGTCCACAGTCGCAGTTTCTTACGACTACATTGATATTAAATCAAAACTCTGCGGCTTACGCTCCCATTTTTTGGATCCAATTCTTTGAAATTTCCTTCAACATACTGAGCCACACCTCCTAAAATATCAGCAACTGCTTTCTGAATCACGAACACAGAATGGCGGACCACGAAGCCATCACGAGACTAGAATCTGTGCTTGATCTGCAGAGAAAAGCCTTCATTCAGAACCCATGGATTTCGATTGCAGAGCGAAAAGCAAACATCAAGAAGATCCCAGAGATGGTCCTAAGTAACAAGGATGAGATCAGGGAGGCTTTAAATCAAGATTTTTCTTCGCACCCTGCAGCTGTTTCCGATTTCGTGGAGGTTCTAGGCGTTGTGGCTCGGGCAACCTATGTGATCTCCAAAATCGACGAGTGGACAGCTTCTGAATTCAGAGATGTCGATCCCCAGATGTTTGGAAAGTCGAAGGGAGAAATTCGATACCAACCAAAGGGCGTGGTGGGGAATATTGTCCGTAAGTAAAACAAGGCGTCTGGGTCTGAAAACACCACTAAAATTCCCAGCCTGGAATTTCCCGATTGACCTCTCCCTCGGGCCGTTATGCGAGATGCTTGCAGCTGGCAACCGTGTCATCATAAAGCCTTCAGAATACACTCCAGCAACAGCCAACCTTCTCGCACGCATGATCAAGGCAGCATACCCCGAGGATCTGGTGACAGTTGTGATCGGAGGTCTAGATCTGGCGAAAAGGTTCCCTCAGCTCAGGTTTGACCACATACTCTATACTGGTAATCCAGCCGTGGGGAAAATCGTGATGGGTGAAGCCGCCAAAAATCTTGTGCCAGTGACACTAGAGCTTGGCGGGAAGTGCCCTGTAATCATGACACCGGGCTCTGTGACGCCAGAAAACGTCAAGGATATTCTGGGTATAAAGATGATCAAGAGTGGTCAAATGTGTATCTCAGTTGATCATGTTTACTGCCCAAGATCAGAAATGGAGAATTTCATTTCCGAGGCCGAAACATATTTCAAGGACAACCTTGCCGATTTCGCGGTCTCTCCAGACAACACAGGGATGATCTCCGAACGACATCTTGGGCGAATCAAGCGCATGATTACACAAGCCGAAGATGCTCAAGTACGGTCTATCACGTTGGGTGGCCAGGCCAGTGTCTCTGCAAACACACGACAACTTCCCTTGACACTAGTCGTGAACCCTCCAAAGGACTTGGACATCATGACGGATGAGATATTCGGCCCTATTTTGCCTATTATTCCTTACGATGACTTACCAACAGTCGTTAATGACATCAATGTGGGCGAACGACCACTCGGCCTTTACGTTTATAGCGATGACCTTGCCACAGCCAATGATGTGGTCAATAAGACTAATTCAGGAGGCGCTGCGATCAATTGTGCTGCCATCCAGGGAGCTCTTCCTGCTCTTGCTTTCGGTGGGTCTGGTAACAGTGGGATGGGAAGACATCATGGAGTGGAAGGATTCCGAGAGTTTTCGAACCCGCGCGGGGTGTTCACTCGAGGGCGACCTGTAGAGGACTTGATCAATGTGTTCACTCCTCCATATGCCAAAGGATTACAGTTTGTGGTAGAAGGTGGCTATCAGCACGCTCTAAAATCGCTGCAGCGCGCTTGAGAACTGTTGGTTCGAACTGTCTGATGGGGTCTAACACATTCACTTGCTTTCGCAGCTCGGTCTCTATGTAGACTAAGCTAAGTGTTTCATTGATTTGAAATTACTATCCCATAATATAGGCACATGTTTCTAGGCTTTCTTTCCGGTGACTATTGGAGAAATACAACTCCTTGTGCGCTTTTGGGTTCTGTCTTGAATGTTTCCATAGTCTGTGAGAACTATCATAAACAACCAGGAGCAACGCTGCAGGGTATGACCCGTCCAATGCTTGGCCATAAGCACCGCGGGGGCAACTCACCACTACAATGATGGAGAATGTCTAGATACTATTCGATTGACAAGATAAAGCTTATGTTGTTTGCCATGTATCACCGTGACCATATCGATTGAAGGAAATCTGTTCAGACCAACATCGAATAGCCACGAGGAAACGCGGATCCGTGTTCCTCATTCCCTGCTCATTGATCCATCCTTCGATGGCATGACCAATGACTCTGGCTTGAGGAGTATTTGATCCTGCCTACAGTACACCATTGCTGAGTTGGCTGATTCGTGGTATCGCCATAAGCCATTGATGTAGAGGATAGCTCGCGCCACGTTGCCACAGTGCCACAACTGATATTTGACACCGGCTACAAAGTCTACGGCCACGAGAATCTCACATTTCCATCCTCAAGCCCCTTCAGAACAATTTCTATCCCGCCCGACTTGATGAGCCACTCCAAGCGGTGATCACGATACTGTCGCTTCATCATTCCACTCTGTAGAGCGTCATATGCCGTTGAACCACTCGCAACTCCAGTAGCGAACTCTTCTAATACAGACTTGATAGAAGGCCTTTGGTTTGCACGTTCATACCAGGACCTCAAAAGTGTTCCCTCCTTCGGCTCAAGACCATAGGTAGCAGACCTATTCAGAAACGGCCACACACATACATCAGCATAGCCAAAAACATCGCCTCCGAACCAGCTGTCGTTACCAAGCTGTTCTGTCAGCCAATGATGGATTTGATCGGTCTGGAGCTTTGCTTGACGCTTCAAACTATCCGCGAGTTGCCCTTCAGCTCGTTTAAATGTTGAGATCTCACCCATCCCCCAATTGATAGGCTCATATTGATTATCGCAGACATCCTCGATCATTCTAGCTTTAGCTCGCCCGGCAGCGCTTTCTGGCCTCAGGGGGTTTCCCGGAAATTTGTCCTCAATATATTCTAAGATGATAGTAGATTCGAAAATGACAGCATCACCATCTTGTAACGTCGGAATTTCCAGGCGATGATTTTGTTTGACAAACGCGGAGTCTAGAAGTTGGGTATTTCCGGTGCCTCCCCCTTTGGGCGTCTGAAAATGAAACGGGATTTGCTTTTCCCTTAAAGCAATGCGAACCTTTTGTGCGAATGGTGAGACTGGGTGATCCCAAAGAAAGAGTTCGGAAGTCATACTAGTGGGATATGAATTGAACGTGTGTTGCGAACTCCTGCTATCGGTACTTGTCGCTGCAAGTGATTTCGAATAACGATTAGCAGATGTAGAAAAGGTGTTACCCCCTCGAATCGCTTTCCTTCCTACTGACTCCTTATACCTCGACAAGTACACGAGTACTCGATTTTCCGCGATTTCTATCAGACATATTTTGCCGTGTCATCCTTGCTACAGTCGCTTTTTCCGTTTCCGGGCCACCTTAATTATCCGCGTATGGGCTAACACTTTTCCCGCCTCAAGACCAGGCTCACAGATAATGTCGTAGTCAACGCTCCATGCTAGCCAGCGCAGTTTGTGAGAGGAGACAAAAAAGTTGCCTTTGAAGGTTGATGACGACTACGGTGTCAAGGCGTCTCGTGGGAAGATATCAGTAGCAGTAAATCGACGTCTCGTCTCCTGTTGTATGGCACCCGAAAATAGCAGTGTTGCTATTCTCACCACGTGTCAGAAGTAAGCCAATGCTGCAAGAATCTTTGGTGCTAAACAATGACGACTATCTCGAATTCATCTATAGCGTGGTGCTTGGAAGAATTCATATGCCAAAGAAATCGACGCGAGTAATTAGAAAATCGGGTTCTTTAACCAAGTGTGCTCACTCTTTCCACTCTCATTGTGCTGGGCTTCTATGCGCCATATGTGTGAGTACCTAAATATTAACATGGCAAGTCTATAGGTATTACGATGGCGCGGATCACGTGAGTGAAGCACTGGGTTTCTATGAAGAAGATTCTGTCCTGGTTGGGGACCAACAGGTAGTTCGACAAATTCAGGCCACCTCCTAGAACTCATTGCCCCGCCCATTAGCGTAGTCTCGGCCAATTTCATAGTCTTCCCGCTTTTGAAGGCATCCTGAGGCCCTGACCTCCACGAAGTCTGCCAGTATGCAGGTGGTTATTGGAATTTGACCAAGGTACCTCATGTGCTAATGTCCATCGTGCCCCATTGCCAGAACAAATAGGATGAGGTAGAGAGTCCGATTGAGTCCCCAAAGAGGGTCCTCAACTAAATTTGTGGTCGTCAACATCACTGACTGACTCGCCATTTTATGCATACCTGGCCTTCAAGGACACCATTAGTCCCCGTCCGGGCTTTCCTGCCACATCTCACGCACTATAGTGGGACATGGCACATGTTTCTTCCCCCAGAGTGCTTTGTCATGCTCGTTGCTGGTGTCTATCGGCAAAGAAACCTGTATGTCAATTTATGTGATTCCTCAACGATCCCTACGAGTGCAGAAGGACATAAGAATCGGATGTTCGCCCTCCATTTCCCTCCTTCTATGTGGCCAAGCCCAGACTTAACGATCTCAGAGACCCATCACATTAGCTTTCATCTTTCGCTTTCGCGAAAGCATCAAGGAGGATTCTCCTTTTTCGCATGTTTCTTCGCTGGTTTTTGTCGCCGTTATACTGCTATTACTAGGGAGTCTAAAGCGATGACACTGCCAGATGAACTTCCTGGTAGCTACAGGGAGGAGATATTGAAGGTCAGCCATATTGCCCGCCGTATCTACTCCCATCCCTACAACATAACCTATCCCCCATAGTCTCAAAATTTGCCCAGTTAGGCAACATTTACCCTTTTGCTGGCTTTACAACCATTGTGAGTTTGCGATGCTGATCCAGTCAAAATGGAAGCTCCAGATAATGTTCATTGGGGGAGAAACAGCGCAACCGGACTCGGAGACCACCGCGCTGATTGAAGCGATTGTGAAGGAACAGGTGATTGAGATGGTACAAAGGCCTCCACCTCCAGCGACGCTAAAGTCATACACATGTAGGAAATCTAACATGCTCTCAGATTCTTCAAGCGTTGAATCTAGCAAATCGCCGAGGAATAAAAACAGTTTCAATCGTGGATATCGCATTTCAGATGCGCCATAACTGCTCGCGAATAGCTCGGTTGAAGAACTTTCTATACTGGAAGGACATACGAAAGAATGCAAAAGATTCGGACGATCGAGCCACTGATGAAGTTATTCCATTCGGGGATGGTGACCAAAAGGTGCAGTTGAAGACCTAGATGATGGTTCTGTCCACTTCAATTGACTAGTTGAAAGGAATCTGGGCAAGGATATCCATCCAAGTCGCAGCCCCGTCGTTTTAACCATACAGCTAGGATAGCTTTCCCTTGGGAAGACCCCTTTCTCTATTCAGAACAACCCCCAGAGATGATTGAAGATGAAGTGGGACAAGAAGAAGGAAGGCAGGAAATGCTGATCCAACTTGCGCTGGCCGACTACCGCACAAGTAACATGACAAAAGATGAATACGCCTACTGGTCTGATTGCCGCCAAGCTAGCTTCACATTTCGAAAGGCCAAACGATTTCGGCGCTGGGTGGGACTCGACAGACTGGTCGAAAGTAAAGTGAGCGACGATGTTATTGACGTGCTAGGGTTTTTGATTTCCGAGATTATCAAAACTCTCACGAAAGAAGCCATAAGTGTCAAAGAAGCCAATGATCGAGCAGAAGTCAAAGATCGAGCGGCTGCTATGGAGGAAGTAGCCAGGAAAAGGCAAGATACGGAACCTTGTGGCCTTTTTAGTAGACCACACGTGGATACAGCACCTGTCTCCTCAAAACATATCCAAGAGGCATATCGAAGGCTGCAAGTCATTCCTAAAAAGTACACTTGCATGAGACTTGGGGCTTCAGCGCCAAGGGCCTCATTAAGACTGATATAACTTGTTCAAGGCCATCGAACAAGCTGACTGTCCCTAATGCACAGAATAACCTGTTTGCCGCTGCATTATGCGCTAAGTAGATCATAGAGCGTCTGGTAGAGAAGACAATGTTTATCGACCTCGTCAGTCTTCGTTGAATCGAGCACGCTCAATAATGGGCCTTCGTCGCCAACCGGATTATGGACTCTGGAATGGCCTAATTCACCCATAGCCTGAGGTACCTGTGGCCAAGGTGGGCGGCCAAAGCCATAAGGATCTTTTGCGAAATCACACCATATCTTCTGAATGTAGCGGCTCAGCTGATGCTGATATGGCGTTGAACCATTGGGAGGGAATGTCCCAGATACCAGCGCGATCTCACTCGAGTGATAGACCCCTGCGTCATCAAAGATGTCCAAGTTTGGGAAGCTGGCGTTATAATAGTACCTCCAACTTGGAACACCTACCCGCGCCGTCTCCAGATGCACCAATCGTGCCGGGCATTGGAAGATAAAGTCACGGTACGGGGCGGCGAGTTGCTCGAACTCATTCATATAGCCATCGCTTAGAGGATAATTCTCTAGAAACGCATAGACCTGTTCATCTGTCGTGAAGCCTAAGAGTGGTTTTAGGAACGATGTCGCATTGATGGCGGAGACGGAATACAGTCGACCCTCATCCGCATTACTTCCACCAAGGATGGGAACACGGGCAAAGTCGCCAGGGTTTTCCTGGGTCGAATTGAGACGGTTTGAGCGCGCGGTCAGAGAACTGGTGACGTTATCAAAAATAGGTGCCCAAGGTACACGATTTTGCTCTTGGTAATTTCTTAGGTCATCCACAGGCACGCTCCGCATACATTCCAATATATCCGTTGCGTTTGTGCAGCCTACCCCGTTAACGAGAATATTCCATCCCGTGGCAGGATTTGCAGGACGCGCGCGGAATGTCGACGTTCCTGATTGCATGATAGCAGCTCGGAAATTGAGCGGTTTCGGCGGCTGAGTCAGAAAATAGTCGACACTATGAATCCAAGGTCAGTGCTATAATGAGACCTGTCCGAGCTGAAGTGTCGCATAAGAAAAGAAAACACGAAGCAATCTTTCTACACCCACCTTGCAGCTCCGGCACTCTCGCCAAAGATGGTCACTTGACCAGGATCACCTCCAAAGGCAGCAATGTTCCTTCTGACCCAATCTAAAGCCAGACGTTGGTCCAGAAGACTACGACCCCGGTAAGCATGCTTGAAATCTAGAGTTAAGGATGGGCCACGTACCCAGGGTTCCCTTCTGCTACTGGGATCTGAGGCGAACCCGGAAACCCAAAACCATTAGTTCTGTAGTTTGGCACAACGACAATAACATCATTGTTCACGGCCATATTAGAGAAGTCATACTTCTCGACTGCGTTGGACCCATATAAGAGGCCCCCACCGTAGTACCAAACCAAAACAGCCTTTGGCCTTTTATGGTGACCATACGGCGCATAAACGCAGACACTTAGGCAGTCTTCACTTTCAGCAGGAGTTGGTGTATTGAACCACAGTCGAATTAAGCCTCGTCTTGGCTCTGGGTAATTAAATTGCTGGATGCATGCTGGTCCGACCCTGCTTGCATTGAATGGTGCATTCCATGGCTTTGGAGACTTTGGAGGGCCCCATCGTAAGGGTTCATCAGCAAACGGGATTCCTAGCCAGGCGTTAAGCTTCTTCCCAGAAAGGAAATCAGTTTTGGTGAAACCAATCGCGTTGCCGGAATCGAGCTTTGCAATAGGGTTATCGCCATAGTTAGGGGTCGAAAGGACTCCAATCTGGAGCACAGCAGACCACATATAGAGGGTGATAAAGGATCTCATCTCGCTGACTTCAGTGACGGCAAAAGTGTATCTCAAAAGTAGATCAATGATGAGGGGAGTATTAAATCAAGTAAGAGCGGGCAGGACTATGTACATGTCGGAAGTTCATATATGCCGTGGTCGCACGGCAGTGACGGCACTGACTCTAAGACTTGATTTTCACCTGACTAGTAGAGGGCTCGGTACTTCTCTCATGAAGAAGACATGGCTAACACAGCCTCACAACTTTGAATGACAGTAGGTAAATACTCATAGACCCGGTGGCATCATGCCGGTGGGAGCGCTATAGAACTCCGCCGGATGTAACATCGCCTAGGTCTTGTGGGGGCTTCAACGCGGGGAAATAGGGTGATCTGTGGGGAATATCATAGATTGTTATGACTATACCCTTGGATCGCTTATGCCCCGTGATATTGAGCGCTAGTAAGAAGGTTTGGTTGAAGGTCGGTGTTAGCGGGGTATCTAGTAGGCTCGAAAACGATGTTGATCTACTCGAGGAGTAGGTTCTGTGTATATAATGCTTCTCTGCTGGCCTGATGTGTTTGACCCAGCGCCGATTGGCGGGATAGACCGCATTTATAAAATGTGGTGAGATTGGGGGCATCTTGACGACAAGATTATCGAATCAATCACGGATATCTCAGATGGCCCAAAGCAAAACATCAATTTATCACAGTAGTCTATGTCAAAGATTGAACTGTTTCAATAAAGAATGATGATATTGTATTTAAGAACAGTGCCTGGGAAGGAAATCTGCTTCGGAGAGTGATGATCGATTCGTTGATGACATGAAGCTGTGCTTGAACGAGCTGAGCGAGGCTTCTCCAGATTCATTCCCATCCTCATTATTACTGGAAGATCTCTGTCATGTCTGAGCTAGTCATGTTTCTCGCCAGATATCATGTCTAACTCAACGTCTCCATTCGGCTATCACCCCTTCTATTCCTCATTCCAAGACCAAAGGAAGACAAAAGAGACATTTCTCTGTTTAGTATTGCCCATTGTTTCAATGAGTGTGGGCCTCATCCCCTCCCTATTCCCCCAATGCTTTGACGCTGATTTCGTCTAGACTCTCTACAAGCTCAGTAGACGCCGGCTACGGTACGATGGCTCGGCTCGGTGCAGCTGGATTGGCCATTTGACCTTAACTCCAAGTTCGTTGGCCACCGTAAGAACGTAGCTTGGGTTTCTTGAGAACTCCCTCCCAATGAAGATCGCATCGGCCGAGCCATCTCTCAACACCCTTTCCGCCACAACAGACTGTTGCAAGATACCCACTGAGCTGACCAACAGTTCCGGAACCTGGGATCTGATGTCCGCCGCCAGTGGCGCTTGATACGCTGGTCCAGGTACTATCTTTTGGTCCGGGTGTAATCCTGCCCCTCACAGTTAGCCAGCAAATCGTCTACGCACGTATACTTTTGAGTCTTGCCTGATCCGGTGACATCTATCAGATCCACACCACAGCCCTTGAGAATCTTTGCCAGCTTCACCGTGTCGTGAATCTCCCAACCTCGGCCTTCCTCCAAGGAATCGGTGGCCGAACACCGGAAGAACAGCGGCATTCCTTCTGGGATGGCTGCTCGCACCGCCTTTACAATATCAATGGCGAATCGTATGCGGTTTTGAAAACTTCCTCCATAAATGTCTGTTCGGTGGTTGGAGACAGGTGACAAGAAAGTGTGGATGAGGTACCCGTGAGCGGCGTGGATGTCAATGACATCAAATCCGGCCACCACGGCCCTTCTAGCAGCATCGGCAAAGGCTTGAACACAGATTTCAATGTCCTCGACCGTCATCGCTCGAGGGACAGGGTGGTCCGCATCATAAGCAATGGCGCTGGGAGCAACCACGTCCTCGAGGAACCCATTGGCCTCCTTGGACGCCAGACCCAGACCAAGCCACGGAGCCAGCATACTTCCCTTCCGGCCAGCATGCGCCAACTGAGCACCGGCCTTTTGACCTTGCGAATGAATCATCTCGACCACGCGACGGAAGCTGGGAATCTGTTCATCCTTCCAAATCCCCGCGTCTTCTGGAGTCGTCCGGCCTTCAGGCAGGACCCCAGCAGCCTCCACAACCACCAACGACGCCCCTCTGCAGGCATAACTACCTAGCTGCGTCACGTGCCAGTCAGTTAACAGCCCATCTGACGACGAGTACTGGCACATGGGCGAAACCCAGATGCGGTTCTGGAATGTGACATCCCGTATCTGGATCGGCGTGAAGAGAATCGGCCGCGCTTGGCTGTCGTCAGACATGCTCAAAAATGTCCCTGGAGGAGGTTGCTGGATCGGGTGAAAGTATGATATACCGGGCATTGGGAGATTCTGGACAACTGTATCCGTGTTTGCTGCATCACGCTCGCTCCTGGATGGATCTTCGTGGTTGGAAGACTCCATCGCGACGGACATAGTCCTGAATGGCCGTGCCTTCGAATTCTCGAAAGTGTTTCGACTCGCTCGAAGCTTCGATTTCTTTTAAAAGCATGCAAGAAGGTTACAAAAGTTAGCTGTCCTAGTGTCGGGGGTTGGTCAAGAAAAAGAATTTACCTCTTTGGCCGCGGCAAACGTGCCCTGAATACCTACATCTCCCTACCACATGATAATATGCGCGATCCTTTCACATGGGCCGCCACAAGAGTGTTGTCAAAGCGGAACTAGGCTTCTCATTACAAACTCCAATCCGGATTGGTGTCTCGAATTAGTCAAACTAGAAGTTGACCGAAGATGGTCGGATTTACGCGAATATTACCTTAAATTGGAGTTGACACTCGTACCACCAGAGTTCTTGGTCGCCTTGGTCCGCTCCAGGGTTCAGACGAAAGTATGAGATTCGCTCATTCAATGTGCTCGGCTCAGATGCGGTCCTTGCCGCTGTTGAATTGTCCCAGATGTCGTAGTACACGTCTTGGTAATCATGAGGACTGCTGTGAATAATGAATACTTCCTTGGTGTTGGTAGATAAGCAGGCCGTCATTGGTAATACTGTTTCACGCTCTCGACAACAACTCACAATTGATAGCCGGCATCATTTCGACCATCCAAGGCGAGCCACAATGTTGGACATCTCTTGCTCAGGAACTCCGTATGAGGTACGCACCGTGTGAGAGTGAGGGGGATGTTCATCTACTTACCATCTTGTGCAGATTGGACTCAAGCACGGATCTGAAGCCAAATCTCAAGTCCATGGATCACTCAAATTTTACGAATCCATTTTTCAGACCATGTCAACCATGGAATGGCCCGAAGTCCGTAGACAGTCCGAAGCCTTTGCACCCTACATCGCCACCAATTACCCGCGGTACGAGCAGGAGATGCATGGCATCGCTGATGGAGCCGGTGCCGACTACACTGATATCCTGGCGCTCAACATCCGCAGTGAGATTGCATTCAGCATGTTTCAAGACCTAGCATCGGAGACATCCTCGTCAACATCCGTAGATATAGACAGTGACGGTTGCACGAGCATCGGGTGGATGACCCCCAATGGCAAAACATTCCTGGGCCAAAACTGGGACTGGAAGCCTCAACAGATGCAGAACCTCATCATCCTTAGAGTCACACAGCCAGGTACAGATCTGGTACCCTTTCAAATGATCACCGAAGCCGGTATCATCGGAAAGATTGGTTTCAACGCCAACGGGGTTGGCTGCTGTCTCAATGCGATCCGCGCTCGCGGCGTCGATCCACTGCGAATGCCTATACACTTTGGCCTTCGCACTGTGCTGGAGTCTGCCAGTCGAGAGAACGCACTTTCAAAACTGAAAAAGGCCGGCATTGCTGCCAGTGCGCATATTCTCATTGGCGATAAGACGGGTGTGACCGGCCTCGAGTGCAGCAATATCGGATTCGCCGAGCTCGCGCCAGACGGGCTGGGTCGCATCTGCCATGCCAATAATTTCCTTCTGAAGCACCACGGCGTCGATGAACCTGGCTGGATGGTCGATTCGCCCCTTCGAGCTGCTCGAATGCAGCAACTTGCCACATCTGATGTAGGTCAGAATGCGTCCCATGAGTCTATCATGGCATTGTTCAAGGATGAGGAAAATTTTCCCTCGGCTATCAATCGGAAAAAGCAGGGGCTTAGCACCAGCGAGACTTTATTCAACGTCGTGTTTGAGCTGACCGAGCGGAGGGGCTGGGTGTCTCTGGGTAGACCGACAGATGTGTTGGAACGAGTCGAGTTGGTATTTTAGATAGCATACTGCACGAATGAAATTCTCGAAAACAGTTTACACGTTGTCATCAGAGCCACTTAGTTCTACATACCCAGTACAGCGATATTGACTACGGTTGACAGTCATCGCCTCTAAGTTGGCCAATGCAGGAGGTGACACTTTGATCGAACTGTTCAGATGATAGAGCTACTGGGACCTGAGAGTCATAATGTTTTATCAGTGCTATCGCACACCGTCAGGCGACTTTCTCCACAGCCTTATCATCGTCACATAATTCCGTTACTTTGTCCTGCAACTGGAATTCTTCCATCGGGAGGCAAGTAAATGTCTCCATACGCCTTACGAGGCCAACATTAAGCCTCTCCTCGACGGCCTCTTCGAACTCTCGTACACGCTTCACTCGTAGATCTGCTTCTCAGTGGCCAGAATTGCCTTCAACTTGTCCGGAGATCTGGGGACAAAACGGATCAGGAAAGGCTTCGGGGCGTTGGCCACGCCGCTCGGTGTCTCGCCATATGTGATGTAGTCCGTGGGAGGTAGGGCATTCTCGTCTGGACATAGTCTAAAGGCCAAAATCAGGCGCATGAGGATGCCATACATGATTCGATTAGTGATTTGCCATGCTGGGCAGACCCGCGAGCCCACACCATATGCGTAATGAGGAAGACCAGGCCCGTTGATCTCTGGTCTTTCCAGCCATCGTGCTGGGTTGAATTCTGAGGCGTCAGGTCCAAAACGACCCGGATCTGTCAATCGCACGTAGAAATTAGGTTCATAATCTCGCAGGTGCCGCGCTCCGTATCCAAAACTCACCGTGATTGCCACCTTCGGAATTCATATACACATACGTCCCAGCAGGGATAGTGACTTCTGAGCCCTCCCCGTTGTGGACCTTGATCGCCGCTGTCGTCTCGCGAGGAAGTGAGAATGGCACGATGGAATAATATCGCAGCATTTCCTTATATAGCGCCGTCACGTATGACACCTTCTCCTCGCGGAAACAATTCTCGATTGCCTCCTCATCGGTGGCATAGACCGCACGGATCTCTTTATAGGCTCGTTCTTGGTACTCTAGTCCTTGGGGAGAGAGCAGCCCTCCGAGACCTGCAAAGACGTGAGATGGAATGGTTTCCACCCCCCCTTGGAGCATCGACATGCAGCACTTGACGGCATCTCCGAGAGTTAGAGATGCTTCTTTGTCTTTCAGGACCCAGGATGCGATGCAGTCGACTTGTTCTCCGCTGTCGATTTTCTCCTGTAGTTCCTTCAGGATCACAGCAATCATATCGTCCCGTTTCTTGGATGCGATACTTGCTACTTTGGCGTCTGTGGCCGCCCAAGGATTTAGTCGAAGTAACGGGACGAAATCAATCCAGGTGTTGGAGGCACCTCGGACCCTGCATCGTTAGCTTTTGGCCAAAAACAGTCATCGGCCTGTCTCATACTTTGTGATCTTCTGAGCATTCGAAATGTACTCTTGTAGCCAGGGGTCGTTGGCATTTCTGAACCTCTTGGCGAAGGTGAGTTGGAAGGCGATGTTCATGCTGACCTTGCGTAGTAGATCAAGAACTAACAGCGATTTGGTTCCATATCCTCCCTCTTCAGCCATGTATTGAACCAACTCAAACCCCTCACGGGCAAGCATCGGGTAGTATGATGGCCACAGTCGAGGCTGGGTTGACTTTAGCCCCGCTGTCCTTTGACGCTTGAAACTGTCGTTGAGGGAATGTGTTCCAAGGTCATAACCTGGGTTGGGCAAAAACATATCAGTCGCATCGGTCAATCCTTTGCCCGCAGCCATCTACGTACCGACAAAATGCTCGAAAATGTACTGTCGAGGCCTTCCAGAGGTGGAGTTTGCATTCTTCACGAACATCTCACGCACTGCATTGAAGGAGTTGGCGACGACGATTCTCCTGCTCCCAAACTTGCACTGGAGCAGCTCAGTATCAAGTCGCTTTCCCCATTGACTCCATAACATGGCGTCGTTCACGCCCGTGGCACCAGCATGCATATGGAGGTGGCCGATGAATGGCTTAGCCCCTGGAATCTCAGGGATGCCTGGGATCTTGCTAATGTCTGTAGAGTAGGCATGCTGCCGCCAGAGTTAGACCAAGGACTTGAGTTAAGTACCGAGATGGAACTTTGCAAACCTTCACAAGGAGCAATGCCAAAGAACCCAGTACAAATCCCAACACCATGACCCACTTTCCTTGCAGAGGCCCCGGTAGAGCCCCGGTAGGGTCATCAATATGGTGTGTAACGATCGTTGCCATAGTTGTCACTTTACGTCTTGACTTTGGCGTAGAGAAGTCGATGTCGATTCCCGGGTTGAACAATGCTGCCCATCTGTCTAAATATCAGCCTACCAGTGGTGACCCATGAGAACCACCTCTGTTCATCGATCATGCAACGAAATGCACCTGGGCACAGCAACTGAACATGTCCGGAATTATACATCCTCCATGACAATCTCCATGTCGCTCTCCCACGTGAGATTTTGTTATTCCCATAAATTTAGCGTCGCGTTGTTCCGCCGGGATCTCAGGCCAAGTCTGCTTATCAGCAGTGCCCCACCAGGCTATTCAGCTTCCATCGTGAGACCGGGGGACCGCAGCTCTCCCGGGCTGTCGCGTCTCTGGGTGACAATGTACTGCATAGTGTTTGTTTGTATCATTCCAGGCTTTCGAGTCTGAGGCTCCAGACACAGACATCCGAAGAGCCAACCTTGTCGATGTTCAGGGTTCCGGTAGCCACGTGCGTTCGTCTGCCAATCTAGAGGAGCTTCGTAGTATTAGTAAAGTGGTGATAAAAGCCATGCCTGGAACCAAAGACTTCAAGCAAGAAATCTCTTAGGTCCTGTCAGTGCCCAAGACATCCAGTCCTCTGTTCAAACAACCAATCAGACCATTAGAAAGAACAACAACATGGGCAAAAGGGTTCTGATCGCGTACTGCATTGATGTTGACGCCTGCTCCGGATGGTAAGAAATGTAGAAGGAATGTTTGGCGCCTTGATCTGACTGCTATAGGCTCAACACCAAGGATGGCTCTGCGGCCAATGCAAGTGATATCTCGCGAGGCATCTTTGGCGCCAACGTCGGTGTGGATCGACTGTTAAAGTACTTCACCGAGCGCAACATCAAAGCTACTTGGTTCATGCCGAGCCACACTATTCTGTCATTCCCCGATCAGATGGCAAAGGTTCGTGATCAAGGACATG